CAATATGTGCAAGTCTTTTTTCTTTTTTTTTCACAATTTTCTCGAAGAAATATTTACGCCCTAAAAGGTATGTATTACCTTATGCTACTATACATTACTGTTATTATGTAACATTATGATATTATAATATTATACCCCTGTATATGTTTCTCGCGTTAAATTCAATCGTTCCGATTTTCTAATATAATATAACGCTATACGAGTATAATACGGCTTTTATACATATCGCATTATACTACCTAAAATATTTTAAATATTATAAGTGCCGTTCCGTGTTTAAAATACATGTCATGTAATATACACGCGTATTTATTTGGCGCGATCGTTTTAATCGTATTATATATACTTACACAACCTACTATGTTATTATTTACACGGTATTTACCTATATTATAATATACTGTCATATTTGTAATACATTTTTTAAACGTATTTTTAGATCGAACCGATTATGTATAGTATATAGTGTGTTATTATAATAAAAAAAATAATAATAATAAAAATAAAAACTATAATAATTATACTACGTACTTATGGCAAAATATTATAATCCATACACGTGTTTTAGAATTTGATAATTATTATATCGACAGTTTTATTATTATTATGACTCATTATCGCGCGTTATCGCGGGTGTCGATTATTAATAATTGACAAGTGGATATCTACACCCTGGCTCACGAGAAATCAGTACAACTATTCGACCAAAACTCGTCCGATTCCACACATCCCCTACTCGTCGGACCACTGACAGCGTGAAATGGAGCTCCGAACCATCACTACTGCATGCGCGTGGAGGTACTGATCTCTCGTGGGTCGAAGTATAGTATAGATAGTGCGTAATAAAATTAAAATTACCTATTAGAATCCATAATAACTGTATACTATATAGACCTGATAATAAATTGACTATACATTATACATACCCTCTGTCTAACAAAAAAAATTATTCAACGTATGATGCGCCAAATTGGATAGATAACAGAGAAGAAAAAAAAAATCGTTTCTTGCATTTTCCATGAAAAACATTGACTCATTTGTAGATATATTAAAACTATAGCTGATAGTCCATCAGTAGTAAGTAGTTTTTATCGTTCGTGAATATTGGCCTACGCTGAAATAAAACATGTGATAAAAAACAAGCCTAAACAGTATACATTACTTCTCCTATAGTCATCCTGTGACTAGTGCTCCCAATGTCTGAATTTCTTGTGCCTAGATAATCCAAATCTTTAATATTTATAGATTTATCATAAATAATAAGATAGATAACCAAAGAATAACATATACTAAGGATGAATTAAATTAGTATACCTATGGATGCCCAACGAGCTATTATGGAAGTCATCGCTAATCTGACTTTACGCTGGGCTTATTCTCCCTAACGCTTCTAATTGATTAATTTTATGATCGTATTAAGTAATTTTATTAGTTTCGTCGTGGTACAAAAATGATTCCCTACTACGTTACGACGTAAAATATGTCGCACCATCTCTTCTTAAAGAGTGACGACTGAAAAAATGTCATAAATGTCAATAAAATCATTTAAAAAAGTATAACATATTTTACATTTTTTACAAATTCATTAATTGACCGATTTATTTAGTTTTTCGCTACCTATACTGATTATATAATCTTCTCTTCCCTATCTGAATTGCCTACAGTGAAAGTGAGATAGGATAATTTTGATACTTGTGAATCGGTCTACTATAGTTTATAGGTATTATAATAACAATATTAAAACGCGATACGTAACAAACAAAAATTAAAATTACTACAACTACGTAGGTTGTAATATTAATTTATAATTTATACTGGTCTGTAGTGCAAAAGAGTTTGTTTCCGGAACGAAATATTCAAATTTAACGACTATATAATGTTAAAAATTCATATACCTATGCTAAAAAATAAAAAATGATCATTAATCTCGTTAATATCGCTAACGACGACTTGCGAAGAAATTTAATATTAATCATGCGGTAAAATAATAATAATAATAAAAAGAAATTAGTCTCTATATATAACTTCAACGGCCGTCCAAACGTGCGCAGTCATATTCAAATATAATATATTTGTATTTGCTTTATCCGAATGAAAAACATTCCAAACTTGTTTGACTTGTATAATTTGTAAATATTATTTCCGATACTATTAAAAAAAAAAAAAAATCGTTGATAGTTTTATTATAGTATATTATATATAAATAGGTACTAAATTAACAGCGATGAAATCGGTCGATTAACATTAAAAATAATTAATTATTTCAAATATTCGTTTAAGGTCTTTATAGTACGTATATATATGTATATTATATGCTGCTCGTAAATTTATTTGCCTCTCCACAATCGAAAAATATCTTTCTTTTTTTTTTTTTGAACGTTTTATACGCACGTGCAATAATCGTATTTAATTTAATTACATCCTTAACACAGTTAGTTAATTATGTTAATAATTCGCTTTATTTACATTTTTCAATTTTATATAACTTGCAAATATTACAATATAATAATATAATCACTTAATAAATTTAATTGCGCAACGAAATAACGAATTTACATAATTTTAATAATATGTAGGTATTATTATAATACAATATTATTATAGCCACGTTTCCGATTATAATGTTGAAGTTTATATATAATATTATTTTAATTAATTCGCTCGAGGTACGAGTATTTTTCTGTAGTTTACGGATAACATCCCAAATAATGAATTATTGTAAGTTAATTGTAAGTAAATTTTTTTTTTTAACTTTTGGATGTATTGAAAAAAACAAAAACTAAAAGGTCACCACAAAAGATATTTTTAATACTATAATTAAGTAATAATATAATAATATAACTAAAAATTGATTTACAAGTATACGTCATAATATTTTACGTATTTTATAATATTATCCAATTAATAATAATGTTATACAATTCTGCTACTTAGATGCAATATTTTAGTGCGCGTTTATTCATATATGCCGACGAAAATAGCAGAAAAATATCTTATGATGTATACGTTTTTTTTTTGTTTTTTTTTTATCACACTACCACTGCAACGAAATAAAAAAATGATTTTCTTCATCGCATAGAAATACGATAAAAATAATAATATAATATGCGCAGTGCAATAGAGACACGAGGGTAATTTTGTGTGTCTAGCGGTTTTTTTTCTTTGTTAAAGGCAGAAAGGTTACATGATCCGCAGGGTTGGCGTTAGATAACCAAATAGGAAGAAGATACTTGAAGAATATTCAATTGTTTTTTTCAAAAGACGACTTATTGAATAATAACAGTATAACTATGATGAAATGGGATGCGAGTCTTATCAATAAATGGGTGTCTGGAAATTAGGTCAAATAACTTAACCAGATCCGCTCATGGTGTAAAGTTCGCGTCACCACTGACAGGTTGTATCTACACTTCTATAGAATTTGATGATTTTCAATAAGTAAATGCATAGGAAATGTACAAATATTACGTGATACACTCCGGATTATTACGATAAATGATACTATTACACAGTTTAACATTTTTCACGCTCGGTTACTCATTCGGTGTGTCTTATTAGTAATTGGTGTGCATACATATATTATAATAATAATTATTATTATTATCATTAAATTGGTTTAATGATATTTAAGCGTTTTTGTACGTCAGCACTGCGATGCGTTTCGAGACTTTTAATTATTATTTATGACTTCTATAATAATATAATAACGTAATGGTTAAACGTGGGTGCATTCTGCAATTTAATATCAAACCGTTTCGTTTAATACGAAAATAAACTATATGAAATAAAAGCTTGACACAATTTGTATAGTATATTAATTTGGCGATTCTGTAACGCAAATCTCTCCACTTTTTATTTTTATTAATTCGTTACCTATTTTAGTAGTTAACAAATTTTAACATTGCCCCTTCCCCCCTCTGGATATGTTATAGGATTTTATCCTCTTCTCTATACCACATTTTTTTTATCGATTCGATATACTGATTACCGATTTTCACCTAAAATCGAAATGTTGATTCGGTATGGAAAAAAAAAAAAAAAAAAACAATTACTATAACGCAAAAAAATATCTATATTTATATACTCTGTGTGTTTTGTGCACGTTTTGTATAAGAGAAATATTTATGAATCAACGTGTTAAAAAAAAAAAAAACCGTACATATTACGTAATCAAATATATCCATCATTTTGTTGACTAATCATAATAGTATTACATTTTTTTACACTTAAGTATATTTTAAAAAATTATGTTTATTAATAGACAATTTTTTTTTTTGTTTCCGGTTGTTTGCTGTTCACAGGATCCTATGACTGTAAGTATAACATACCTATATAATGTGAAAATAAAAAAGTGTATGCTCTCTAATTTTTAAATTTGTTATAATATTATTCGTATTGTATTACTTAATCGATTTTTTTTTGTTTTTACACATTTTCCATCACTTGATGTCGACTCGGCTTTTCCTTCGGATACAATAGAGCGTAAGTATATATTACTATACTATTATAATAAATTATGTTTAATATTAAGAGGCCGTCAAAGTTTAATTAGCTTTCTCTAACGCATGACAATATAAATAAGTATATTCAAGTAAAACAAACAAAAAAGGCATTTCAAATCGGTTTTAATGATAAATAATCTAATATAAAATGCGTAGATCTTTCGAAGACAACCTTATCACCGATATTTTGAAATGTTAATTACTAAAATAGCTACTGTCGTTATTGATATATATATATATTAATAAAAATATACCTGTGAATAGCAGAGTTCCATCCTTTTACTAGTAGAATTTTCACCCACTTTTTTAGTATAATTGATATACTCTTCGCAAGTAGACAAAATTTGTTGCGTTCTATCGCTCAGCAAAATCTGTGGTAGCAAAACGGTAATTTGGCTTTTTCATTATTATTTATAAATATTAATTATTTAAAATAAAAAAAATCCTATATAAATAAAGAATCTAAATTCACGTTTTGTTAACCAGAGTTATGCTATGCGATAGAAGAAACGCATAATATTATATCTACTTTTGCAAAACAATAAAAATAATTCAATTTTATAATACATTAATTTATTTTTAAAAAATGGTAAAATTTGATTATAAAAACTATATTGGTAGAATTGGATAGTTGATGAAGTCCCCCAAAAGACCCATATATTACTAACGGCATGCATGTACAAAATGTCATCATGGCTTCATTTTTGGGCTTGAGGGATATTTAAAACCATAAAAATCACCCTCTCTCGCAAGAACACGGTGAAATTTATATTTAAATTCGAACCCGTCTTTTATTACTTTCAACCGAATATAAAAAGACCCTAACCTCCGGATTTGAGCTCATTTGGTTTAGATGCAGCCGCTAAAAGTATCTAAAAATGTACCTGGTAAGTATATACCTAGGTGTATAAACATAATATAACAGATATAGTACATTGAAATAGTATTTATTTTCAAGGAAATTCGATTTAAAAAAAAAAAGGTGTACAATATGTTCTTTCGTAAATTCGTCCCCCGAACGTTGTTATATAAAAATTGTATAATTAGTATAACTAATAAAACCGATTTTAAAGTACATTTTAGTTTGTTTTACATGGACGTTTTGAATACAATATTTTTGCTGTATACTGCAGCCCGTCACAAATTATAGACATAGAGAGAACCACTGTGACGGCCTCTCAAAGATAGAGGTACACTTCTTTAGTACCCTCCATTTTTGAATTTTGAAACCAAATTCGAAAAATTTACATGGAAATATGTCCGGACTTATTGCGCAAACATAATGCCCCTAGTACGGTTTCACAATATTCAAAAGTGAGGGCACCCGTTAAATGTAATATATTAAACCTAATCAAAGGTGATAATTGTATTGTATAATATGCGTTTAAATGAATAGTGTATAGCGTTTAATAATCGATATTTTATTTCTTTATTATAATACAAGACCACGTTCGAGGTTTATTCATGGAATAATATAATGTATAGGTACTTAAAATTTATTTAAACGTTCCAAAATATTCAAATTCGAGTATATAATATATTATATTACATAACGTATAGATAGGCGGGTATAGGTACTAATTGAAGAGACGACGTTTTTTTTTTTCGTTGACACTTTTATAATGTTCGTCGCTGTAATGATGGATATCCTGAATCCTCCACTGTTTTCTATATACTGTTATATTATATAATAATATATACCGCAGCAACATAATATAACCGAAACGCGTTTATAATATCTTTCGAGCACATTAGCATAATATTATACAAAATTATAATATTATTATGTATCAATATATTATGCATATAATAGTATAATATTATGTATCTAAATAACGGTCAGATAAATATATGTATAATTGTTTTTTCAAATGTATTTGTATATAGTATATATTTATACGATAAACGTGTTGAAATATCGTTTTTATCAGTATTTATTCCCTCTTGTCGTTCATTCGTTTTCATATAGGTAATCGGTAAAAAAAAAAAACTGATCGATTTCTTAAACTACAATAACACCGAAAACAAAACGATCTTCAGAGTTGTGCCTACCTAGATTACCTACGTATATAATATAAATAATGAACAACTTTCCGGTTTAATAGAATTAAAATTCGTGATGCAGACAATTAAAAATTTACGTATAAATATCATAAATTAGTTGTAAAAAGATGTATACAAATAATAAAACGGATATTGTGTAAATATATATAAATGTATATATATATATGTAAATAAATGCATATTATACATAAAATATCGTGTTTCAAATATATATTTTTATGTATTATTATCTGCAAATAAATATTAACACCGTGTGTCTTGTTATTTAAACGCAGTTTAACGAACAAAACAAAAAAACGCGTTTCACAAAAATTCAAAACATTAAAATTATTATACAATACTAAACAGTACATTTAAGATATTTTTTTTTTTAATTAAAAAGAAATTTATTTTATTTTCAAACGTACTTGCGCTATTTCGTGATAATTTAAGAATACCTGTAATACATAAGCGCAACTTATAGTACCAAATTTAAAGGCTTTCAATTTTAGTTCTATACATTTTATACGTAAGTCTAAATGTGAACGATTTATTACTGAAAATGTCGCGAAAATGTAAAACACCCATTTCGAATGATGGAGGGTTAGTCTTGGGAAAGTTAAGTATTTTCATCAATAAGGCGTGTACTAATTGTGTGAATCAAAATCCAGCTTTCGATGAATTCGTTTATAATTTGTTCTTGATTTGCCCGGATTTAGTGTGGGTGTAAGAGTAAGTATAAATGTCCAATTATTGGTTTCGAATTATTATGAATTCCGCACCATAATCCAACATAGGTTTGAACTTTAAATTTTTAAGTATATATCTATATAAGTACATTTTACCGACGTGGGTTCTGGAGTTTAAAAGGTTGCTCCTAATATAAAAACGCGATTTCGGGTGGTTAAATGGTATTAAAAAATACAAATTCTCGATTAAGGGTTGTCAAAATTTCAATAAGATGCCAGATGCAAGGGCATTCAGACTTGATTGCAATTGAACAATTGAGATCTGCTTATAATTAGGTCAATAGAATAAAGTTAAAAGTCATGTTTTTTTTTTCTAAACGCCGTTTGTCAGCACAATATATAAAACTATCGCGTTAGGTGTATAATATGTTTATATTATTACTTTGGCCCAGGATAACCAGTAGTAGTGTAGGAATCGTGATGGTACAAGTGTGGGTATCAATACACCCGTATTATAATAATAATAATAAAATGCTGATCGGATTTTCGATCGTGTATCAGATACGGATGATATTTCTGGTGGGTTTCATATAATCTCGCAGACCTATCGGTATTTTCGGTACACCTGTAAAGGAACAAATTTTCCAAAACCATACAATATTTATAATAAAATATATGATGATAATAATAATAATAATATTCAGAACGTTATCCGCGGCCTCGGGTGGCCATTATAATATTCGGAATTTAATAATATTATAATAATACGATGATCGGGATATATCTATATGAACTATCTATTTTATACTTAGATACTATTAGGTATAGGTATATATATATTATATTTTGTATTTTTATTACGAATAAACGCGCGTTTTTATTTTATATATATTTTTTTTCAAATATGGTCCGCGATCGGTCCGTACGATACACTATATAGCATAGGAGTGAAACTATAAAAAACAAAATAATAATAATAATAAACTATAATATACATTATACACGTTTTTTATTTTTTCTCTCCGTTTTTTTCCTTCCTTCTGAAATTTGTTCCGCGCGTAAATATAATATTGTTAATACGGAGCACGTGAGATAATGGAATAGACGGTCGGTTCCCGACGCCCTCGGGGATCTCGCGAGAGGAGGGTGGGGGTTGGGGGAAACCGCGTCCGAATAACCGACAATTAGAGCGTTAATACGACGGCCGAGATTGCCCGCAAGGGGTAGCCCGGTCAGGGATGGTATCCCGAGTCCGAGATCCGTCCGGCAGATAACGCGCGGTTACAATATTATAATATCGTATTCGGCGGGAGTTGATAATATTGTAATATACTTAGGAATACACATATTATATACCGGGCGAGCTATGCGCGAAGCCACGGAAGCCGTTTCAGATAGGACGAGGTTAAGTATATAAAAAATTTAAAAAAAAAAAAAAAACCCGCGCCGAAAGAGTACGTAGGTATATGTATATATATATAATACACGTCATAATAATATTTCTATATAGGTAGGTATAATACGCGTAATAGTATTAACCCCAACGCTGCGGCAGCAGCAATAACTCCCTTCGGGCCTAAACTATCATGCTAATGAGGACACCTGTCCTAATAAAATTTACATTCGTTTTACATAAACATATAACTATTTTTTTTCTTTGCGTTTTAATAACCGCGCATTTTGAAAAACTACACCGGACACTGCACAGCACAAGTATACTATATATATAGTGTGTGTGTATGTTTTGATATTACTTACTATACTACTTACTATTTCGTTATTCTAACAATGATAATATGCCAGAGATTGTTGTTGTTGTTGTATAACAACGGTATTTGCGTATTCCGGTGTGTATAATATGTTGTTTTTCTGTTTTTTTTTTTTTTTTTTTTTTAGCGACTTTTTAAATGTCATCCGGTAGAAAAGTATAATATGTAAATAGGTATCCGCTTATATAATTATAATAATATATTAGTATTTATACGATACTTTATAGGCGTATAATGTATGTGCACGGTAGTCCGCGCAGATGTGTCACGTTTCGTAGTCGTAGTCATTTTGAAACAGTTACAAAAAAATAAAAATAACTGCAAAGTTAATAGCTGAACACGATAAGAAGATGTCTTCGTGCCCGATAAGAGCAGTAGAATATACATATAATAATATAGTGATGATTACTGTTGTCAGTCAGTGGCAGACTAGTCACGGGATCTAAGAAGATATATCTCCCCTCCTTTTTTACGTTTTTAAGCGCTTATTTATGGATTGTAAGTGTTTAAAGATCTTATTGTTTTTTTCTAAGTGTCACATTAGATGCTTGTAATAGGTTCGTTGCAGTTGTTTTCAAAAAGTTTTCCTCGACCTTAGATGGCTATCCGCGAGGACACCTCCATTCAAGGGATGTCCGATGTCTATATATAAATAAGAAATTAGACGTTATTAAACAATTTTATATTTTGAGTGAATTACTATATATAGTTGTAGTTAGTCAAACGTTAATGTATATCTGTGGAAATCTGTAGCATTTGGGTTGGTATTATAGGAAGTACGCTGGTTTTTGAATTTTCTAGAATTTTTCGTATCCTCGTATAGAAGACTACAATATGCGTCTCTGATAAATATACGTAAATTGTTTGACTTTGACGATATGCAAATTTATGCCGTTTCTAACATTCTACCTATGCTATTCTACAGCCGCGGTTATTGTTAATTTTTATTATATATTATTATTATTATTATTATTATTATTATTATTATTATTATTATTATTATTATTATTATTACTCTGTATGCGTCTACTTCCTTTCATCGTCGACACGATAAAGTGCTCTGCTATTGTGTTGTGGCACGATGATTAACATACCAGAATTCGTTTCCGTTTAATAATAAAAGGATTCTCGCGTTCTCCAGTCGCCGTAATAAATCATTCGTAATTAAGTGATATTCGTGCCGAACTTAAGGTTTTACACGCAAAGTCTCTGCGCGCGTGACAAACTCGAAAATATCCTAATCATTTCGAAATCATCCGAAAATATTTTCATTCTCCGAACTATCGCCGTGTTTTTGCAGCCAGTTACCGAGCGAAACTCGGTGGGCCGCAATAAATTACTTATTATCAAGCCAAGCAAAATAATTAATCTAATAATCGTGCACTCGTATATATAATCAAATAACCGTAAACAATTAAGACATGCTTATTAGTGAGTTAATTAGAGCAATTATATTTCGTCGCCTTCATGCAAAAAATGACTAAATGATATAAAAACGTTAAAACATTTTTTTTAGATTCTGAGTGAAGCGAAGAAGCTTATAGTTTTACAAAGATGTTTATTTTATTTTTTTTTATCTGTTAATAACTTTTCTACTAGAATACTTGATCGGATTTCAATGTGTAGTACATTTTCTGAAAAGAATTCGGCGTGGGGAGGTATTTTAGGGAGTTCATTTTTTGATTTTCTCTGAAGTTGTCTCATCAAATTTGAAAACCGAAAAAAAAAGCGGGTAAATATTAGTTAAAATATATTACGGTCTTCTTTTTTTCTGTGCACAACTTTTCTACCAGCTATTTTACTTTAACTTTTACGATACCAATGTTTCTAAAGGGTAAATTTCACTAGGAAGGTATTTTGAAGAGGTCATTTTTTTTTATTTTCCCAAGAGTTTTCCTAGAAAATGTGAAAAACCGGGATAAAACATGGGAAAACCGGGAAAATATAGGAAAACTAAGAAAATCGGTAAAACATTAAACAAATATTATTAAAGAAAATATATAAAGCCCATTTAATTATTTTACTATAAAACGACTTATATATTGTTGACAAAGCATATCTATCAACTGGACTCCGCTCAGAATCATTTTTTCGTAAGAAATGTTTTATTGTTGCTTACAGGTATGCATTAAAGTATCTATAACAGTGGCTGTGCCTGTCCCCATTATCCTAGGACATATTTTTAGATTCGGTTTATAGCGATGAATCTTTTATAGTTTCTCTATAATGTATGTTTTTTAATTTTTTTTTCTATTTGTACAACTTTTCGAAAAGAAATTTTTATCAAGTTTAACACCTTTTCTGAATGAAAATGTTATCTAGTTGGTATATTATTAGAAAAGTAATTTTTTTGATTTTCTGGGGGGTTTTTAAAATGGATTCTCAAAACTGGAAAGAAAATTATAGGTAAAACACAAATATTTACAGCGCACTGCGGCGTTACCGATTTTATTGTTTTAATTATTGCAAACTATGTTTTCCACCAGAAATAGTGCTTCAATAGATGAAACCGAAAAAATGCATAGCTTATTATTTTATTATTTTAAATATTTACGCACGATGTATTTTACCAGAAATATTGCTTCAATCGAAAAACAAAAAAACAAGTTTTTTGTTAAATTTTCAAACTAGTTCGTGAGTAAGAAAGTCGATTTTTGATTTTTCATGCAATTTTCATAACTATTAAGTAAAACCGAACACGTAGAAAAACCGAGAATATTTATGAAAATAATGATTATATTATTTTCAATATTGCTTTTTTTTTATTGTAATTCAGTTTAAAATTTTCTGAAAAACATATTTTTATTACAGAAAACTTATATTTGTTTTTCTAGACGTATTCAAATTTTAAATTTTGAGCCATTTTTGACCAATTAATAAACATTTTAATTTTGCTAGTTTTTTCGTAATTTTTATTTGGTAGGTACTCTGTGGACAGAATTGTTTTCACTTGGGATACCTTTTTGTTTATATATATTGGGGTAATATAAAGAATTTAAATATGTTTTCTTATTCTTTGACATTGTTTCCTTAATGACGTTGATTTACCGATTTTTTGGGGTAGTAAATTACTACGATAATTACAGTCATGAACTAATTTTAAACGTACGAATCTCGTTAAAATAATAATACTAATCATTATTTTTATATACATTGTAGTTAACGAAATGGCATAAGCTACAGATTTCACAAAACAATATCGTTTTGTTTCGAAAAGCTGAAAATATTTTCGATTTTATCCGTTGTGTGCTGGTTTACACCGCGAACGTCGTATTTATTAAAACGAAAACCGTTTACACTTTCTACATGTGGCACGGTTTTATTCAAAATATACTAGTGTCATTTTTAATTATATTTAACATTTAAGGGTTTTTTTTTTTCAATTTAGTGAGTTTTATGCGTATATAATTTTTTTCAGTTTCGTATATTATATTTCGAACTCGGCGGTTCCCCGTACGTTGTATTTAGAGGAGGAAAAAAATTCCGGAGTAATTTCGGTATTTTTTTACATGATTTTATTTTTCTTTGGCCAATTTATATGCGTGTGTTCGATGTTTAGGTTTCACTATTGTACGACGGTCGCGGTAAAAGTTTTAAGATTTTGACCTACACCGCTCGTGTTTATATATTTGAACGAAACAATACGACGAAGACGACGTAGTTTTATACGACCCGTGTAGAACGATGTAAAATATGTGCATTTGTCAGTTTACGGGGAGAAAAAGACGGATCGTATTTTTTTATATATATATTATGTATTACATTGCCAACGTCTTCGTGGTCGTAATGATGGATCATAAGATAATTTTTACTCGGCATATCAGAATTTATTAAAACGAACGAGGGAGAATAAAGAAATATAAAAGTTATTCGGCATACCTATATAGTATGTGAAGCATGCAGTGATATATTGCAACACGAAATATTATTTTAGTCGAACATAGATAAAACTAGAGTTTTATTTAGAAAAAGAGTATACAAATACACGTTTAGTATTGAATTTAAAAATGTTAACCCTTACGGGTTTCCGCGTGTTCGATAAAACTTACATTTTCTTAAATGGAAATGCTTCAGATGTCAGCAGTAAATTTTATCAATTTGCATTTTTTATTAACACCAGATTCTAATAATCTTGTGTTTTTTTTTCAAACAATTTTTATTTGATTTTTAAAAAAAATTAAAACGTATGATTTTAAAAAAAGACGAAATTTTATTACTGTTTTATAATGAAATAAATTATATACGCAATAAAGATAAAATCATAAAATTACATAAACGTATGCAAAAATATACGTTTTAGTTTTTTTGAAAAATCGGCACCTCGCTAACCTTGGGATATTTTTGAGAATGTAAATGGCTTGGTTAAAATAGTAGTTTAAAAAAATTCTACAATTCGAATAACTGAAAATATAATGTGTACATTTATGGTCAATATTCTAGAAATTTACTAAAAAAAATTGTAATTTTCTGATAGATAGCTTTCTCCCTTCTAAAAAAAAAAAAAACTCCATAATTTCAATCCGATTCCATCCGGCTGAATTAATTCGCGTTACAATTTCATGGTTCTCGCTAATGCGCTTGTACATGTATTATTCGGTTTGAAATGTGTAACCGTCGTCGGTCCGCGGCCAATTAATTTTTTAAGTAATTCGAAAAATAATATTATAATATATTATAAAATATACAAATATTATGCTCGTATGATATTCTTTTGGTCGTTTTCCGCCGCTGCCGTCGCCGAAACATTCGGAAAATGCGGTGATCTCTCACGACGACGTGCAGCACCGTGCGTTTAAAGAATACGAAATGATAAGAAAACTCGTGTGTATTTTTTCGGCCATCATTTCTGAAGAATGTGGTTTTACAAACGCGCATACGCCGTGGCCACGCGGTAATAATATTTACATACCACGTTCTCCTCGTAGTCGTATCGTGTGCGCGCACGTCTTTACGTACACACGTAGGCTAAACTTTTTTTTTCGGTAGGCGTCATCGTTGCTTTTTTTTTTCTCCATCTGTATATGGCCGTGGTTAAAAAAAAAAAAAAACAATATACTTGTATATAATATGTATAGGTATACATAGCGTACTACATAGTTATGCGCGCGTATAATTTTTTTTTTATATATTTCGTTATTTTTTATTATTATTATTATTATTATTATTATTATTATTATGATATATGTTTCCTCGGGTTTTCTCCTATATATCGTGCTTACCGTCATAATTCAGATCCGCCGCACAGATATCCGCGTATAATTTATGTGTGTTCAACCAACACGGTAGCCTGCGAGACGTGTGTGCGTGGTGCGGGATATTTTACTCGCCGACGAGACCCCTCGCTCTTATCACGAACCGAGATTTTTCGTCGTAGTCGTCGTCGTCGTTCGAAATTGGCTTCTATAAACGCGCGCACATATTATGCTCGTAATATTATTATAAAAAAAAAAATAATAATAATAATAAAAATAACGCGTATAATATAATTTTATCATATTATATTATATTATCGTTATTATATATATATATATACACATATATATACATATGTACACGCCGTTTTTTATATTGTGTTCGCGGCGCAAGGGATGTCCTTACATAATGATTTTTAATCTCCAAAGAAATTTATGGTCTCGTGATTTTCGGGCGCTGTCGGGCCGTTGTGCGCAGAGAGCGGGCGCGCCGTTCGCGTATGTTTGTGTGCGCGCGCGCGTATGTAATAGATAAAGATTTTAGTGACGGATATACTATAAAAAAAAAAAAACTTTATGTTTCCTAAAAAACAAAAAGGATCTATATGCGACTTTGGTTTTTGTTTTTTTTTTCGCCCCGTCCGCACTGCCGTAATAGGAAACGTTCTCGGAATAAATTAGAAGACGACGGCGAGGAGGTTGTAATATATTAATATTACGACGATGGCAAAAAAAAATTTACTCAGGCTTTTTATTTTTCAAAAAGCCCGCCGAATACGCAAGAATAGAATATTATTCGTTTATTTTTAAATCGATTTCATCTGATGCCGTTCTATTTATCGCTCTATTAAAAAAAAAAGTTTTCGATTATTTATTAGGTATTTAATATAAAAAGTATAATATTAAATAAATATAAAATACTACAATATGCGTTTTTATAGAACACGATGATGATGATAAAAATATCAGAGCGTTTTCACAACAGTAGAATTATATTATATTTAGAAGATAACGCCGCCGCGACGTATCGTATAATAGTTGTTGTAATAAACATATTTCAAAGTATAAGACAAATTTATTAGTTAAAAAAAAAAAAACTAAAAAAAATAGAAACATGTATTTTTATACGTGTGCCGCATGTAGTTTAGTGTGTACACATAATTCAAATAAGACATTTGTCAAAAAGAAAAATGTATTTTATATTTTCGTAAGTAAGTATACATCACATCATATAATTAACCTACAATCGTTTTTTTTTTTTTTTTTTTTGTCTCTCGTTCACTCGTATAATATACTGAAACTACTATTATTCTAGAGTAATCTACTTAGCACAAAAAAATTTAGAACGTGGTTATGGATTTTGAACATTAAATTGCCGTATACTCGAAACGATATAACAATTTAAATTTTGTATTTTTTTTTTTTTTATATATTATTATTCACCTAGCTATGCACTGCAACTAATTTGTGTAATGTGTTTTGTTCCATGTGAACGACGACTGGCCCGACTGTTCCCGCGAATGGATTCGGTCATGCAACTGCTTTTTTTCGTCTACCGCAGTATGTGAGTATCTATATTAATTTTTTTCATTTACTTATCATATGATTGGCGTTTAGTTATTTATATTCTTTAATAGCAGCTAGTACGTAGGTAATAATTATATGAAGTTTAAATCGAGTCCAGAATATTGAATCCGGCCACAAACATAATTTAAAAAAAATATGTTGAGGTTCTAGTCGAGTTCTTTCAGTTGGTATTCTGGAAACTAAATAGTCTTCCAAAAATGTGTATGTTTGTGTGTATTTATATACATACATATTTATATTGTTTCAAGCGTTCAAATAGTCGAATTTTAATTATTATGAAGTTACGTGTAGTTAAACGATATAAACATTTTAAAAGTTTAAATTCGTGTACCTCTACTGGTTTTCTTTTTTGTTTTTACTTGGTTTTGTGTCTTTGTTTCGTATTTTACTATATGGGTTTCCACCTTCCCAACCCCTACCCCCTAGATACACACAATTTTCTGCAATATTAGTAGACTTGTTATAATTTAGATGAACATGGTCACCTAAGTTGTTCCTATTGAACCCTTCCTCAAAAACAATTCATAAATACGCCACTGAAACACATTTAAGTACAATGTAAACCCAATGAACAAAGATTTTGCTCACTGTGTAATAAGTGTCCAGTAGAATTTATGATACTTAGAGTACATAGAAAAATATTTGATTATGTTTTTAAATTTTTTTTTGTAGATACTTAATGAGTAACCTGGGTACTAATTTAATGAAGTTACCTATACAGATTAAGTATAGTTATAGCTCTTATATTTTTATTCATCTCTCTGTTTTTGGGTTTATATTTCTAGTCAGTATATAGTCACATTCATAATTATTATAAAGTACAGTTGTGATTATTTTGAATGTGATATTGTGATATTGCGGGGAATGTGATTATATGTTTTGATTAGAATAATAACCAATGAGATCGTCGTATTTGACTGCGGCGATTCTGCGTTGTGTGATTCTTGTTTCGTGCGTCGTACTCCGGGACTCAATTCAATGTGAGCCTAAAATTTAATAATCGATTTAAAACGCACACACGAGTGCGTGGCGGGAAATGGTGAAATGTGAGGGCAGTAGTTGTAGAGAAAAATGTCTACCGGAACTTTGACCGACAGTTTCCCCTGTTGTACCTATACCATAGCACATCATAATACACGCCGACGCACTGCTGTACAATATAATATTATATATGTAGGTATATAATATTTGTATTATTATTATAATATTGAATAATGCTAATTAAAATCGGTCTGCAGCCATTGTTTCCGCGATTAATTATCATATTTGTATAATAATATATGCGAGTTAAGCGTATTAAACGGTTTAATGCGAGGTACAGCGGTGGTTCGGGGAGGGGCAATAATATATATATATATATACTGAGTGTGGGGAGGGTCGGTGGTCGATTATCATATATACTGTGTCGGGATACGTGTTACAATTTATACGGGTTGTTTTCGTTCGTATATTATAATATATAGGAGTGCAAACGCGCAGACTTGTAAAGTTATTGGCCTAATGTAAAACACCCCTCGCCGCCGCCTCCGCCCCCGACATCCGGGTTCATGGCTTTTATAATATTGTTACAATTAAAATATTTCTTCGACGCGTGTTTTGTGGTTCCGTATACCTAAATACATTGTCAGTGGCCGGTCAGCGTAAAATATTATAATAATACGAGTATTTAAAAATGCATATTTCAAATAATACTTAGCTATCATTCAAGCCGACCGTATATTGTCGTGTTACGTATTATCTAAGGCTGGACATTAAAACTAGTCGAAAAGTTCAAAGTGACGTTAATTTTAACCTTTAACCTTTAATTTTTTTTTATCAACTCTATATTTTTTTTTTACATCTACTAATACTTAAAAAAAATAAAAGTTTATTTTTAATTATGATACTGCGTTAAATTGATTTCAATTATAACACAAATATAGAGTATATTACAATCTATGCGCAATGCGCTATTTTGATATACTTAATATACATGGTACCATCGTATGAATATTTTTGTTTCCTACTTAATAATGTTTGTGATGTTCTGAGTTTAAAAGTCAAGTGCCATTTGATATTCTCACGGTATAAACTTCTGTGTTTGGTTTTCAAATTAACTCTTAACGTGTTAACTCGTTAACTTTTTTCGGTGGACTTGACTGATTAACTTGACCAGGCTTGTGTATTATCATCACATATATTTTTGTAATTTCAACGATAAAATAACATAAAGTATACAGCAATGGTGTAGGCATGGGCGGGACCTCATGCCTGTATTTTTTTTTCATTTATTTTTATCAAAATATTTTCATATTGATGTTACTTTAATCTTTATGGTGTGTATGCGGTATTTGTTTTTAGATTCTGTGAAAAATGAATTGATTTTATTATATGTTTTTTATTCTATCAGTTAACAAATTTTCTACCAGAATTCTTCCTTTAGTCGAAAACGGATAAAACAACTTTTTCGTATCAAATTTCGTCGAGTTAATCCACTGAACACCACTAAACCCTTTCTATAGGTGGTATAATTTTTAAAACATTCTAGTGAATTTTAAGATATTTATAGCCAAATGAAATTGTCTAGTTTTTCATTTTTAATATAACGAAATTAAAACGTTTTCATAATATTTTGGTAAAAATTATTTTGGCTTTTCAAAAATTGTTCCAAAATTTGATAAATGGTTCATCATATGGAGTTCTTATGCCACTATAAAAATATTGAAAATCTGCAGTTATCTTTTCTTTTCTTTTTTATTAATGGTTTTTACAATTTAAATTTTTATGAAAATTATGAAAATCTCAATTATGTAGACAATCCGTTTTTGATTAAACATTTTAGACCAATAACAAGAACTATATTGTAATTATGCTTTGCTGTGTCCTTATTTCTCATTAGAGAATCATACTGACTACTTTACTGGTTTACAGATAAGATATGAAACCGATAACCGATAGTCAAATTCGATAATCATAAATTAATATTGTAATTTTATCCTATACTTACTCTGTATATAAACAACCTTTCTGCCAGAAACCTTCCTTCAATCGAAAAATGTTTTGATATTCCAACCAATTGTCTTAATAATAAGACAAAACTGGAAAAACGTAGGAAAACGATAAACTTTACGGAAATATAATGGTTCTTATTTTTAATAATAATTAATTTTTAATTTATTATTATTTTTTTTTTTGTTGTTATTCCGTTAAAAATATTTGTAGAAACCTGCCATTTTTACCGAATATTGGCCTTTTCTGAACATGTATAAAATTATTTGACCATACGGAAATACTTACAAATTTAACACGAGGTCCATTATAAGTTATTATTTGTGATAAATACAAAAGACGAGCGTAAGTAACAGTCTTTTTCTAGAGTTTCAATATAAAATTTAAACAAAATCATAATAGTTAACGGCATTTCAAAACATGTATAACCGAACTTTATTAAAATTCATATTTCTTCAGCAATTGATTATCTTTGCATACAGATATAAATTAAACAACTTCATGTATCCTATTTTTCCAACTTCTAACCTATTATTAGCACACCCATCAGCAGAATCAGTTCGTTTGAAATTGTTCTATATCACGCGCAATTATGCTTAAATAACCATGTACAAACACAGTGGCAAAACGAATAATAATAATAAAACTTTCGCTATAAAAAATAGTATTAAAACCTATTTCTTTTTATTATATACATATTTCATATAGATATATACACATCTATCACGCATTTAGACAAATAATAATATTATTTTTGTAAGTCGAATAGTCGAAATGTTGAAAAACTCGAATATATAATTGTTTAGCTAGTCATTTTAATTTCTGGATGAAACGAAGAATATATTAGTTTTTTACTTCGATCAAAATTTTTAAGCGTAAAAAAAATTATCTAGTCGATGTATTGAGAAGGTGTTTTATTTTTTTTGATATAGTTTTCTTAATAATTGAAAAAAAACTAGGGAAATGTACGCAATAACAATTTTTATTATTTAAAATCTTGTTTTGTTGTTATTCCAGTAAAAACAATAATGAAGACATAAAATGTTTACCGAATATTTATATTGATACTTTCTGAACGTGGTATGATTTTCAAAACATTCAAGTTTTTTATTAGTTTTTATTTGGTTTCAGTGTCAATGACACGAGGTTTTCCATACGTTGTATACCGTAGTAAAAAGAAAAAATTTGAACGTATTATTATAATAATTTGTTTTATAAGTACAATCAAAAGTTAAAATTTCCTTACAAAATTACATAATTTTAAACCATGTTTAATGTAACTTCGTTAAGAATCGTTTTTCGTTAGCAATGGTTTATGTGTACAGACATAAATTAAATTATTACTCTAATAAACACTGTTTTCCCCTGCAACTTCCCGTCTACAACGGTAGCACACCCATCAGACGAAATCGGTTCTTTTTCGCATCCCTTTTATTTCTATGGTCAAAAAAAAAAAAAACGATATTATTACAACAATAAATATAATACAATACCTATTGCACGTATATATATATATAAATACTATATATACCCCTACATTATGTAGGGGCTCGAGATGTTCGGGAATCGTATACATATACGGTGCTGCAGTAGCAAATACTTAGGTTATACATACTCGAAACACAAGGGTTCATAACTATTATAGTTATATTACCGTATGCATATTATTATATTAGTGAGGTAAGTACCTTCGTCGTCGAGTGGCCGCGGTAGCTGTTGTTATAATAAATTCTAGGGTATATCTCGACCACCGGTAATTGTCTCTAATATATCCTCTCTCGTGCATACGGAATACCTATGTATAATAAGTATTTAGATAGGTATGTGTATTATCACCTGGTTTTTTTTGTTTTTTTTTTTTTAGTTTTTGTTTCTCCACAGTCCTTATATATTATACGAAATCACCTGTTGCGATGCCGCGCGCGCAATTAAAGTCGAATTCGATAACTCGTTATTAAAAGTCATTAAGCGGACAGTTTGCGTATACATTTTAACGGTCTCTCGCGCAGCCGCAGCAGGTGTCTCCCCGTATATTATATAGACGACGAAGACGGTCTTCCAAACACAATACCCCCGGACAAAAAAAAATTGACCGCTAGTATATAATATTATAATAATAATTATACGGTTTATCTTTTGTGTAAATCGCCAAGCGCCAACGACCCTATACGACAATATTTGATTTTGTTTCGGTTTTTTTTTTCGCACTAAACATCACCCAGGTATTAACGCGCAGTGTACACATAATTATTATTAAAACGTCGTTTAGGTAGTAATTTTTTTTTTTTGTTCGTTCACACTTCGTGCATTAATGGTTTTTTAGTAGTCGCATACCTATATATAATATAATAGTATTATATTATTAGATATGCGCAGTGTGACTAAACCGGGATTTTTATGTTTTGAACACGTCAAAAACGCATACCTATTTAAAAAAGAAAAAAATGATTTTCACATTTTTTTTTACGTCCTTGTTTAAAACGTAATATTATTATGTTTTTGTATAACGGTAGATAACTCGGAACAAAAGTCATCGTTTTTAAAATGACGTTATTTTTCTAGCAAATTGTAACGAATATATAGCTGAGCGGACGACTTTTTTAATATTATGCACACCTAAAATTATATACTTAAATCAGATTTTATCACAGATTTTAGTATGGTATATTTTCTAATTAGTATTTTTAACCCGAAATCTTCGTGAATGCCTATAAAAATAATAGCTTGCGGATTATCGTGGTGAACAAACTATCAATGTTTATTAGAACGCGATAAGTATGACATGGAAATATCAAAAATAATTGTAAATAATTTATCGAAGGTTTGATCACAGATTTTTGTGTTCATTTATTTCGTATTACATAAATAAATACCCTTATTCGTGTAATTGAAATATTGAAATATAGTTGCCTCTAATTAAAAATGAATGTACAATATTGTTTAAAACTTAGAGAACTAACTATTTAAAAATTGTTATTATTTTTTTAATTATTATTCAAATATAAATGTACAATAACCAAATTTGTTGGAAATGAGGACCCTTGCTATAAGATAACACGAACCCCGTGACCAATACCGTCAAATTAAAAATAAAACACAAGTATAATGTAATGTTAAGTTTAATTATATGAGATCTTATAACCGTGTTTTTTTTTAAGACGACGTACAGGATTTTCGAATAGGGTAAACGAAACCTATTTTTCTATGAGTGGGTTCATGCTCGACTGAAATTGGGAGCTCGGAATAAGCAGTGGCCAATTCTTTGAAAATGTTTTTTTTTAAAAACCATTCTATCATTGTTTATGTGCGGTTTGAATATAACGTTTATAAACTATAACCCTACGTCGTATAGGAAACACGTTTCCAAAAATATTATGTTCAACTCATTAACACATTGTAAAAAAAAAAAGTCGCATTGGGAACAAACCTATGTAATATACCTATATATACTGTTACCCATATACTATTTTCCCAAAGAACGAAAAAGCACCTGTCCACCGCCGTTTTAACATAGCAGTGTATATTATAATGTAAAGTACAGTACACAGTTTCTCATGCAGCTCTAAAAACTAATATACGACTCTGTTCATTATTATTACCAATATAACTTCACATTATATACTTCACTTATAATACAGCGGATAGTAAAATAAAATGCACAAACGACAGGATGTTATACGCGTATAATATATTTTATTCGTCGTGAATTCTGTTGTACACGAGTCGTTCCCATACGATTTTTACCCATTGGTGCATATATAGTGCATATATACGCGTTTCGAAAAAAAATTGCATAAACGATCGACTTTGCCGGTTGTGGTACATATATAGTTGGTATGTATATTTAAATTATGCAAATGTTTTCTATAATATAGGCACGTCTAATATTACGCGAAGTATTAGTTCTTGTCGAACACGAATATTGTTAAATCGTTAATAATTATTATATTTAGACTGCGCCTGTTCGGAATGTTTTTTTCCGACCGGTATTAACTTTGTTAAGTTCGGATTTTTTTTTCGTTTGTATACTATAATGTAATACGTACAGTCGTATTATATTAAATTAGTGATTTTCACTAAAATTTTAAGATAGAAAATATTTCAACTGGACTCTTATTGAAATGCGATTCAGAGACCTTGTGTAAATTAAGTAAATTGACTTAGAGTAAGTTGTTAAAATTATAACCTTTTTTGAATGAAAAATGTAGTATAATTAATATGAACAATTTTCAGAAAATTTAAAACTTACCGATTCGTATCTAATTTTTTCCTCTAAAAGTATAGTGGTAAAATTTCTTCATTACCTATTAAAATCGTGTGGTTTATATTTATTGAAAAATCGAGAAATAATAGTATTTTTTTTTTTTTTTTTTTTTTTTTAACTTTAGACGCCTATATCTTGGACAATTATTGAAATAGGCAAAAATAATAATAGTCAATGTTGCTTGGGAAAAAAATGTATTTTGCAGGTGAATCCCTGAAAAAAAAACACCATCCTTAGTCTTTCCGTTAGTAATATTTCATGTAATTATGTAATTGAAACATACTGTATTATAATATTCGCACCAATATAGAACACTAATAATTTTGGGAAATGTTAAAATACGTGTATTTACGTACAACACGCATTTACGCGCAGTACGTGTTAGAACAAATATCCGCATAGAATTTTTTAATCGTGGACACATCAGCTTGTGTTAATATAATATTATGTTCTAATAATTTGTATATATGTACAAAGAGAAAACACATGTCGTTAGATTAAGAAATGCTAAAAACATCTGTCAGAAAACATAATTATTCAGCTCGAGTAATAATATTATTCGGAAGTTTACATAATATTATTATAGTAATTGTTAATGTGTTCGGTGTTTTTAATGTTTGTTGTGCTTAAGTACTGCATATTTGTCGTACATTTTTTCGAAAGTAAAATTAATTCCATAGAAGATATTATACATGCAGTATATACACGTGGGGTCATACTCACTGGCCGTGATTGGAGGTGTTGCCCCCCCCCCCTTAAGATTAGTATTTTATATAATAACCGCTGTGTGAATATAGTACATTATACTCAGATTATTCTAGTACCCCCCCCCCTCAACAAAAAAAAGGATTATCTCCGTTAATCAGTATTTAATTACAATTTTTAGTTAATTTTCAATACTCAAAACTCTTATATTTGTTTGCATAAACATGACCATATAATATTATGCTCGTATAATCAACATTTATCAACAAATATCAGTCCCGTATTTTCAAACTAACCTAGCCAAATGTATTTAATATTTAACCACTTTTTTAGAGATGTTTATTCTCTTATTGAATGCGAGTTTAAACTGTTGTCGGTTGCAAGTTGAAAAGATAGAATAATTATGCATAATATATACTAAATAGAATAATTTAATTTATATCTGTACTCAACAATTAATCATAACAAATGAAAAACAATTCTGAGAAAATTTCGGTCAAACAGTTTTTAATAAATTTTAATTTAATATTATATTGATTTTTAACTGTGAAATAAATCTAAATTGTTCGTGACTTGTAGTCATTAAGAATTAAGTCTTCTTCTTCTTCATCTGCTCTTTAATACTCTCTAAGAGTTTTCACAGCCATAGTTATTAAATCGTTCCATTTTTCTCGGTCCCGGGCTAATTCTCTCTATTCTTACACTCTCATCCTATCCAGGTATTCTTTCACTGTGTATAGCCATCTTTTCCTCGGTCTCCCTTGAGGTCTTTTTCCCGTTGACTTCCTCTCCAGCACTGCTTTATTAATATCATCCTCACTTCTCCACCACACATTTGACCCTTTTTACTCTTATGAAGTTTACTACTAATGCTATTTCCACGAATTATTTCATAAAATGTTATTCAAAACGCCGAAAAGTAACAACATTTGTATTCGCATAAAACCAAACAAACAAGAAAATTGAAAACTCGAAAATTTCAAATGCCAGATTATTTCGAAAATTATATCACGTCTATAGAGTGCAACTATCAGTATTCGATGAAAATTTCAAATCATCAAGAATTTACTTTTCATTGAATTATACCGAAGAAACAACAGAAACCGTTATTACGTGAATATTCCCGTTTTCTCGACGTTGTTTCCTCGCTTTCCCCCATTAGATGTTCAAAATACTTCAAGAAAAAATATAAAATTATCTTCTCAATGCACCAATTTAACAAGAATGTCACTGACTACCGAAAATCACCCTTGATGTCGATGATCTCTATATAGTTGATATCTAAAACGTGGAATGCCGCGGTATTAAATGAAAATCAATAGTCGATACGTGCAGTTCACGGATTAAGTATAGAATTTGGCATGTATGGTTAACAGAATTAAACGACGATTCCTTATGATATTGTCGTTTATAATGTCGAAATATAACCATAATCGAATTTACTCGAAATCTTCACGTACACAGAAAATAATATGATCGCTGATTCGCGATAAAATACGATATCATCTTGTATAATATATGTATGCCGAGATTGTTATAATATATAATAGTTTTAATTTTTTTTTTTACAAATGTATATTATAGGAATCAATTACTCACTCGGTTTCGAATAATTCTCCCGTATACGATACCTGTATAATCATTGTGTATCGCGTTCATTGTGATAATAATACTTATCGCATTACCGCAGTACAAACATTTTCAACCGCATATTAGTATTATTATTATATTATTCTATATTGTACCACCGCCGTTCGTCGTCGACAATCGCGCAGAACATTTGTATAATATATTATTGTACATGTGTAATCTTATTTTTATATTATTATATTATGTTTCTCCCGGAATCGTTGACAAATAATATTTCGAAATAAAATGCAGTTTAAGTGCACACGTATAATGTATATACTGCATCAATGTCACGTTTCATCACGACACGACACGACGACGACGACAGCTTGTAATCGTATTATCGCGTTTATTGCTATTGCTCACCCGAAAACCTCCGGTTGAAAAAAAAAACGTCTCTCATTCGAGTGTGCCGCGGCGGTTACTTTTATGTCTCGAATATAATAATAATAAAATTGTACACACACGACACAACAATAAATAGATCGACAACAGCGCGCGAGAGTACGCGAATAATATAATTGTAATCCCGTTTCCGACCTCCTCGTCTTCGTCCTGCTCCTCCTCGGACGTATAGGTACCCATACAATATCGCGTATTATTGTATGGGTATTTTTTTCGAAAATCGTCGTCGCACCGATAACTCGTCGCGATGTCGGGCGTACCTATACACCCTGTATATCATGCGTTTCCATTGTCGGCGGTCCCGACACTTTTGTTCAAAAGCCGCCGCCGCCTCGTTCGAAATAAATATTGGTACCTATACCTCCGCAGTACGTACCCTATGCGAGGCGGTGCCCTTTCTTTTTTTCCCCGTCACAGTCGTCACGGGGCGCTGAACTCCGATAACGGGCGGCGCGGCCGCAGTGGTGTCGAAACGAAACCGACAAAGGTTTTCTATTTTAATTCCCCCCCTCTTCCTCCTCCCTCGAGAGAAATATTAAACCGCGCATGTTCCGTCGCAGTTCTCGTGTTTGCCGTTGTTTTTTTTTTCCTCGAGACGTTCCGTGCGTATTATTTCGGCGGTAAAATCCGCTTAAAAAATTACGCCCGTTCATTGTACGCGATGCGATGAGATGTGCCGTATATACGCGTATAATATAATATAATGTCTCTTGTACGGTCCGTGTACATAATAAAATATCCGATCCGATCCGATCCAATGCCGTGGCGGCGGCGCGGACCAGTTTGCGGAGGAAGCAATAAACCACGGAGAGCGCGTGCAGCCGGTTATCACTCGGCACTCTATTGTGTGTGTGTGTGTGTGTATATATATATATAAATACTGTATAGGTATACATCCGAGTATATTTTATGTATGGTTTTTTTTTTTTTTTATATATATACTCATAAGACGGTCCGCGGGGATAAAAATCGTACTGCAGATTTATCGGGGCCCTGGTCACAGCGTCTCGTTTACCACGTATACGCGGAGATACGCTGCGCACTGGGCCACGCGATACTCGATTTATTGAGATCCTCGTTCGGGAGGTCTGCGCGCGAATCGTGTATGTGTTTTTCCGCGTGTTGTATTATGATATAGTTACTGTATTATTATTGTATAGTGTGTACGTTTTGAAATTCGACACTAAAAATTTACCCACCTCTTTTAGGTCTTCGCCTAAATTAAATATATATTGTAATGAATTTTTCCCCTCCAAATAGTTCATAGCCTTGTATTGCAGGAAACGCGTGCAAATCGTGGATTGTAATATATCCGTCGGCTACCCACCAAAAACTCGTAAGTTTTTTTTCATATGTAAACAATTTTTCTACCAATTGCTTCAATCGACGACTTTATACTTTTATAGGAACTTTTTAATAGTATTTTCGATCTATTTGGTGAATTGAGGAGCTAAGTTTTTAATTTTCCTTATAGTTTTCTACTTAATTATAACAGTTTTGTGAAATTTGTTAAAAAAATCGACTCGCGAGGTTTATCCGTGTAACCAACGATATATTAAACGAATTACAATGATAATATATATTGTGTTATCAATCGGTGTTTTAATCTGTCTTTGGTACACTATGTTTGATGTATTATATTTTTCTATTTTTCCGATTTGTGTCCACTTCTAGACTTTTATATCGATTTCAAATACAATAAACAGACCATCAGGGATGGGTAAGATATCCGATACGGTATTTATTTGATATACGAGAACAATTATTTACGCTACCGAGTGCGGATCCTTTTAAAACTTTGTCACGAGGGTTCAAGAAAAAAAAAGACAAACTTTAGTTAAAATACATTATATTACTAGTTCGACTATATCATAATATTATTGTAATTATTCACGGTTTATAGTTTAATCTCTAAAAAAGAAAAAATGTCGCCTTATGCCAATAGTAAACAAGTCTCGTATATTCCGCCAGATACAAAATATAACAAATATCTTGATTTATACGTATGTACACAATAACTATTACAAAACAGATGTAGTTTCGGCTATCTCTGCAAATATACTTTATATACTTGTATATAGAGAACGCTGTATAGAATTAAATTAAATTTCCCAAAAGTCTCAATGTTTCACGCCCCGCGTGTGTGTGCCAAGACGTTTTAATTGTGTTTCGAAAATATTTTATTGTTCTGCGCTTAAATATTGTGACAATATGGGGGTACATATTGTATGGTATATACGACTTGTTGCTCGAGTCGTTTAATCGCAGTAAACGCGTTCGTTTTAACGGGGGAAATCGTATTGCATTTTGGGACGTGAACATATTATAGTCGTAATAGTGTGCAAATGTGCAATTTGCCGCTGATGATGGCCTTATATTGTAATAATTATTGTGATTTACCGGTCTCGCTTAATTGTGCAGTATGCGTTTGTTCGAAAAGCGCACAAGGCGAGTGCACATCCGAACCGCAACAGTGCAGTTACGACCGGAAACTGTATAGTATGTAATTATATCGATGCCATAATTTGTAGGGCCTTTGCGTTATTCGAGGGGTGTGTGTGTGTGTGTGTGTGTACGAGTATAACACATAATTTATTATACATACATATATATTATTATATATGCTTAAATACGGAGCATGTATGGTGTTAATTTCGCGAGAGTCGTTTTAAAACGAACGGTGGTCTCTATATAATCGTCTATCGGTTACTTCGGGTCTACAGCAGTATAAATCGTATGAACTCATTGTGTGTGTCTTGGTTAAATTAGGTTAGGTTTTTTATCTATATCGTGGAGAATACATACAAATCTAGGTTCTAAAATCAAAAAGTATGCAACATTGTTACCAAAATCACAATTTTTTATATTACGAAAGACTGAGAAAAGGTTTTCTTTAAAAATTAAAAAATTAATTTTTCTTCTGCAATTTAGAATGGGTAAGAAACTCGAAACTGCCATCAAAAGTTAAGATTTTTAGTCTTAATTTATTATTTATTTTCAGGTTGACGTTTGGAATATATGAAGTTTGAATTTTGACTCTGGTTAAATATATAGGCTTCAGTATCAAAACTAATCAAATCCAATTAAACTTCTACGTTTTGAAACGTTTTAATATTTATTGGTCTTTTCATACCTCTGTAGCGGAAAATTTAAGAGTAACCTATGTTCTCACTTGAATGGCGTAAATTTTGTTCAATACTACGGCCAGTATAACGGAGATGTCTTAAGAGAGGAGGTGAATTTAAAAACCACATAAGTAGTGGAGTACAATTTCTTAAATAATTAATTGTAGGTAATAATTTATAGTGGTTAAAAAAACTCCAAAGGGAGAAGGTGATCCGCTAATATCCCTCACTGTCTAAAGCTGATATACGGTATGTTACACCTGCACTATTTATCTTAATTTATGGAAGAATCGGTCAAATCGACGTAGTTTCGATACTAAAACAGGAATTTGTTCATCACTTCAATCAAAAACTTTACAAATTTTCTTGTAGCATTTTTATTTATTTATTGTATTGAGGAGATAACTTTTTTATTTTACTTGTCATTTTCTGAAAACAATTTTCTATTGTCGAGGCTGTGTAAGATCGTTTAAAATCGACTTACAAAGACTTTTGCTGCATGGTAACCAAAATATTTCTTAAGTTGACTATTTGAATGGTACCCATCGATTATTTTCGTTTTTCGAATTTTTTCGTGTCTGATTGGATCGGGGCATTTTGGTCCACCAATACGTTACCGTCAAGTTCAGCTAAGCTATTTATTATAATTTTAAAATAACAATAACTATCTATACAAGTATATATACTTTTAAAACAACACAAATTTCTATAAACTTTTATATAGCTGTAAAAATACAGGATTTTAAAATGAAATTCAAATAATACATCGTGATAATAATTTTTTCAAGTAAGATCATATAAAACATACAAAAATAAAAACAATTTAATTTTGCATATTTGAAGCATTTTAAATATTTAGTGCTATTATATGGCTAACAATAATTATATTTTGGCTAATATGTATTAATTGTCATTTATTTTTTGTTTACGAATATAAATCTTTTCCTCGCTACTTTTGGACACTTTTAGAGCTCCTCTGGAACAAATGATCTCAAGCTTGTTTTATTGGTGAATTAATGTACATTTTGGTTAAATTTCAATATGAATTTCACCGTGTTGCTACGTTAAGAGGATTATGTTTAACTTTGACACCCCTACAGATACCCCAAATGAAGCCGAAGGGATGACATTTTGTATTTGTGGAGGAAATTCATCTCTAGCGACGGAGCTGTGATTATTTCACTATTTTTGTTTGTTTTTAAGGCATATTATAATAATTTATATTTCAGTACTTTGTATGTGCTACAAAATCCAAGTCTTGGTTATGACGTATTAATTTAGGTGTCAATTATAATCTATTTCGAACTCGTTCTCGTGTTGTACAGGTATTATAGACACCCCAATTTCGAAACCCGCACGATCCATTCCGTATACCGCAATCATAATAATACATAATCATATCGTAACTATATAATAATAATTATACGGTGTGTCTCATAGTGATCGTGTATAGTGTGCAGCGTTTAAAAAATAAAATATCTAGTCATTGACCTTTGTGTGTGTGTAGGTTTACCGTTTACGTCAAATCACCCTTTGTTTTTTTTTTTTTTTTTGTTGTTGTGCCGCTCAGCAATAAAGGTGAATAATCTAAAATGCGTTTACCGAGTACGCTTAAAATGTACATTTAGTATAATATTATTTTACAGTTTACACACCTCCAGTTAAACGGCTATAGAATTAAGAGTTAACTCATTTTTATGTGATATTACCCATATCTTTCTCAGGTATATAAATTATAAAAGTATATTATATACAAACCTAATGGGTAAAATCCGAGTTGTATATGAGTGTAGCTACTAGCACTGTTATAATATAAATCTGTATAGAGTTACATTATAGACTAATGATGAAAGGATATACAGAGTAATTATTTTTATCATGAATCGACGATTATCGATAGGTACCTAAGAAAATGAACGAGTTACTCGAAATGTCTAAACTGTTTGATTTAAGTTAGTTATTCATTTCTTACTTAAAATTAGTTTGAAAGTTGTTTAAAACAAATAAATAAAATTTCCGACATACCTATGTAAATAACTAATTTAATTGGACGTGTTTCGATGAATAGTGCCTAATAACTTAAGTAGAAAAAAATACATCTTATATCAACCGGTATAACTTTTTAAGCTAAATGGCAAAAAACAAATATTCGTCTAAACATTGTAATAGATATTTTTTCCTCTCATATTAGTCGAACCGCCTAACCGGGAGGGAGGAGGCACCGCGTTAGCATTGGTATTTTAACAGTATATAACAGCATAACTGTTGTTCACATTTTATAGCCCTTGTATGAAAAATTGAAAAATTGTATATTTTATATTGTATAAATATGTACCTACATGTACAACATTTAAAAAGAAAAAGAAAACTAAAAATAAAATAATCTACTCGAAATCTTCACATTGCACAGATAATCTTCGGTTCGTAAAACGCCCAGTATATCTGTCTTCGACAAAAGATTATTATATAATGTTACCGGGTCTGTCCGTTCCCATCTAGGAACCCGATTACCCGAGGTCCCTGGAAGGCAACGATTTTATCCGGTCCGGAGTTTCCCGCGGCCGATAAGGGGCGGTTCTGTAACTCTTATAGTCACTTTCATAGTTTACTATTGACTATGGCTAGTGTTTTAGTTATCGTTATAGTCAGTTACTCAAATAAGATTTTAGTCAGACTAAAATAAAGTCCATTATGTAACTAAAATAATGATATAGTTATAGTTTAAAATGTAGGTGCTTAAACAGCTCTGAATGGATTGTAATATGATAACAGCTATGTTCTACCTATATCAAAAATTTAATTTTTTCGTTGTTTTAATTTTTATTATTCTGTGGTAATAACAATAAAATACAATTTAGCAATGTTTTTAAATGTATTATTAAACGATATTGAAGAACGAAATAATTCAAATGAATTCCGTTTGTATCGACAATACTTGAGGGATACAACCAATCCATTTGAATTCTCTGAGTTCAATTTAAAAAAATTGTGTAGGAGGTTACCAAAAAATACGATTTTTATGATAATCAATTTAATGCACCCTTTTTTAAAAAAACAATCGACGTAATAGACTTACAGTAGAAGTTCAAATGAGTATAATTTGCATTTAATGCTGTTATTTAAATTGTAGATTATAATATTTAGATACTTGAGTATTTAACCAATTTAACTAATATTCAATTATAATTTAATCATCCCAACAGTAATCACAAAATAATTCAAAATTGATATATGTCAACAATTCTGGAATTATAATTATTTATTGAGCAGTTGGCAACAGTTTTTTTTTTTTTTACAATAATATCGTGTTATTTTCCGGTGACTAAAAAGTACGTCTATTAGTCTCAAAAAATAAAGTCGATTTAAAAATTATCTTTTAGAATCGCAGAATCGCTGTGGACTTTAGATCACATTTACAGAATCGCCCCTCTGGTGATCATTTTGACGGCTGCGTAACTTTTCTTGGACACCGGCGACTTCCACTGGCAGTAAACCGGTCGGTAGGATGCCTGGTGCACGGTCAACCGTTTCCTCCCGACAATGACCCAGACCGCAGTGTATGTAATAAAATTTTAATTGCGTTTTCGAATTTAAACTGTACACCCGTAAACAGGTAACTATTATATACGCTTTGTAAACAAGCATTTATAGATGTATTGGTTGCGCGATTTTATAGGTTAAATTCGGTTAAAACTTTCGGTTTACTGTGCAGCTAATAACGGGATATAACCACGAACAAACGGAATAATAGTTAGGCAGATTTGCAGTTTTATACAAGTAATTTAGATGATAAGTTAAGATAATTCATAAATATCGTTTTAACATTGAATATAATTGTCATACATTAATAATCAATATGAATAAACTTGTGAAAGAATTATTTTATTAATATTGACAATAATAATCTCATTTTATTCTATTGCAGTATAAGTGAAGATATTCTGTTGTGCTATTTGTAATACAGACGTATTGTGTGAAGGAGTATAGATACCTGTAAATTTCTATCTAAAAATATGTTTGATTTTATACCAATAGTTGTATTCAGAGCTCCCCCTTCCATAATATGAAAATGCTGAGAACGCCACTGACCGTTATGGACTACCGTGTATATTACAGTATTCTCGCCCCTTTATCCACAGATTACAATCTGTATACGTTTGTACAGTATATAATAATATGTAATTATTTGTAGATTCACAATATTATACAGAAACGATTCCTGTGTAAACATTTCAATGGTTTTTTTTTTTGAGATTTTTTCTCCTAAGGTTCACGCCCGTAGTAACAATACAATGATCGCGGATCGAGAATATAATAATGATAACAATATAATAATAAGATAAATCAATTTGCCGCGCGTATACAAATAGGCGCACGCGTGAATATATAATATTATAATATAATAAAATATAACAGGCGACATGTACTCGGTCGCGTATTTACAGTCCCTATACGAATTCTGTCCAAACAGAAACGTAACCAAGTTGATTTTAGGAGGTCTTAATAGTTTTGAAAAACGTAACCTATTGTTATCGTGGTCTTAACCACGATAAAACTCCAAAGTAATTAGTGTCCCAAATGTTCACCTATAGTATAAAAAAAAATCTAGGTGTTAGCCAACGAAAATCCAAGACGGGTTGCGTATTTACGCTCGGATAGGGTCTGTAAATACGAAACCCGGGGCCGGGTAATCAAGTCGTGGTACGCGGGTACCAGTTTTGTCGTCGCTGCCGCAGTATTATTGTAACAATGCGCGCAGATAATGCGCGCGAGATAAGAATATTATATTATAACAATAATAATATATACCTACTTATAAGAAGAAACTATTTGGAAAACTCGCCGTATAAAAAATATTGTATTATAATAAAGTAGCCGCCTAGTACACGTGTTAAATGGAGAACGGACTTAACACACACAATATGGGGTCAAATGTTAGGTTTACGACGCGTATTTGCGCACATTGTATACGAACTTTACTATAGGCAGGTATGTGATAATATTACGACTGTGAACAAATAAAATAGAAGGAAAAAAAACGGTCGTCGCCGGAAGAATGAAATAGAGTCGTTTCGCGCGGCGCGACGGACAATGGCCACTACGCAGTCATCGTCGTTAGGAAAATCTCTCGATCGGATCGCGCGAAAGTGGTCATCTGATAATAATAATATTACGATATTATTGTATCTTTTTTACCGCGCTAATAGGCGTCACGAAGCATACGTGTTATAGTGCATATAATATGCATAACAAAAATTCCGATTAACTGCTGATAACGGGTGTTTTACCAATATTGTATCAATGTTGCCGAGATTTTAGCATACTCAGGAAGTCGGCTAACTATAAATGATGTATAAAAAAAGTATTTTGATTTGTTGTATCGCCCGTATACAATGTTAAATCAATGCTATAAAATAAAATAAAACGGTTCTCACCGAAGTTCGGTTAAATACGTGTTTATTGAAGTGACCTGCTTTGTACGACTTCAGTCAAAATTAGAACTTTGGGTTGCTTTTGATTTTTAAAATTTTTTCGACTGTGGTAAATCGATAAATTGGTTATTTTTTATTTATATTCTTCATAATACGTACAATTTTCAGAATATTTAAAATCCATCAAACGCAAATCCTACAGTTTTACCTAGTTATTCGAACTAAATACTTTTTATTTTTAATGACTGCAATCCGTTTAAAAAATTATACAAAAAAAAACTACTACATTGCGTTCAATTGTTAGCTTTTGAGCTTAGCAAAGAGTAAATTAGTTTGACTGTGTATGTGGTTTTTAAGTATAAAATCTTTTCTGAAATCAAATTTTTTCTAGTTGGTTCGAGTAAGAAGGTTATTTTTTGATTTTCGGAAAAATTTAAAGATCTGCAGTTTTCCAAGGATACTTATATTAACTCAATTCTAGATGTAATACAAGTTTGAGTGCATTCTGACTATTTTTAAGCTATTTATAATCCATTTGACATTTTCTATATTTTTCCGTGCGTAAACGGGTCGTCGAGTTACGAGTTAAAAAAAAAATACGTCTAAACGAGTTGCACCGTTCGTTTGCGGTAACAAATAGAAAAAAAAAAATGAAAAAAAATACATCTCGCTCCGTTGTGAATCTAATAATAATATTCAGTATGCGTGTATGTATTATGATGACTATAATTGATTACTAAACGAGAGTTAAAACGGTTAAACCGGTTAAATTTTGGTTATTATCTAAGGGTGCCTGTCACGTTGCCATTAGGTACTAATAATGTGTATATAAACGATATTCGTCTTCCGCTCCGGAACCAGACGGTCGAAAAACGTTTTCGTTTCGGCTGTTTTTTTTCTTTCGCTACATTTTATTTCCCCGAAACGCACATGCGTCGACGGCCTTTTAGCGTCGACAGGCCTCGTTATTTATCATTCCGAAGAGAGAGATAGAGAGGGAAACGTGAAGAGGAGTCCGATTGCGCGAGAGTTCGTCGACGACAACGGTCCTCGGAGGTAACTATATATCCACGGCCAAAACATTTGGCGCCCCGGGTCAGCCGTATACCCGTCGAAACTGGGGACTGGAGTTACATGTATACTTAGTTTATTATGTGCATATACACTGTGTACGTTTAGTGCATTGTATACACTGGGGTGGTGTCGCGTTCTCGCGCCTTCCCCGAACCGGACGGGGCAATATGGTGTAGTCGGCGGATACGGCGAAACAAAAATCCACTCCGGTGTAATACTTGAGTGTACATTATTATTATTTTTCGTAATTTATAATATCACGTTCTCCCGGGATCCGCGTGTTCGTATCCGGAACAGCAGTAAAGTCTGGGCGCCCCCGTAAACTATATTAATGACGTTTAACAGCGCAATTAACGCAGTGCCTATACCGAAATTTATGACGAAATCCTGTCGGTGACGACGGTATATTTTTTCTTTTTTTTTTTGCGGCGTGTTGCCGATCAAGTTTGTGTGCTAATATACTTTTGTTACGATATTACGTGGTATTGGCACTATAGATGTTATGTAAAAACGACAATTTACCTAATATTAATCATAGTTTAGGTTAACCCATTCTAATCTATTTTCTGGCATATCAATCTTATACTTAAATACGTTTTCACTCGGGTCAGTGTAGAAAATGCTATTTCAGGAATGTAAAGCATAACTAGAAACGTAGTTAACGTAAAATCGAAAAATAGTATACGTACATATACATAACCCACTGCTACACAACAAAATTACCTATTTTGAGTGTAATTATGTTTTATTCGGCAATTAAATTTCCGGTAAGATTACAACGGTGTAAATCGGGTTACTATTATATTATACTATTAAAATATTACACGTGGACCAATTATCTCAACACGTGCTTATACTATTGTTTGTTATATGACGGACTCGCCTCCAGACCAATGAAAAACACTGCGAAAGTTGTCAATTCGTGAATCAGAACTCCCGTGCAAAAATAACGCTTAAGACGCGAAACCACGTGCCGATTTAGTAGTTTTCCTGTAAAAACATGGCGTCTTGGAAGTGAGAAAGAGAGAGAGAGGGAGAAGCACTGTAATAGGCGTGGTTTGGCGATGTTTTTTCTTTTGTTAAACAGTGTGTTGCATTGTTTGCTATTTGGTTTCAATATACTATGTTTACTGTACAACATACATTGCCAATGGTATAAAATCGAAGTCATTAAACGTAGTTTTTATTTGTTTGCTTCAGGTTGTTGAAAAGTGCATTCAGTTATAAAAAAAATTACTGTAGTAAACAATAAACTGTCAGAGTAAAGTGTAAGGTCCTAACTTAGCACCTTACCCTGAGTTTATTCAATTCTAGTTGGATATTATAATATATATTTTTGAATTTTACTATGCATATCTCCGTTATCTGAGGTTTGAGTTCTATGGTTGATTATTGATCACGTGTGTATTATTTGGTATACTTTGGGTTGGGTTATGAACGCCTTGAAGGTATCCATAGGATCCCTAGGCTTTACTGGTTAATGTTAGTAGAGTTTAGATTAAACGCACTTGAATTTCTTATATCAAATCCAGGCATTCCGTTTATTCTTAATCGAATTTTCACAGTATCTAATAGTATGCACCATATCGATTTAGTAAAAGAAACCGATATCGATAGTCCATCGGAAATTGTTCTGTGAAATCGCCAATATACGTAAACTGTTGCAATATAATGATTATCTTTAGATACATTACTATATAATGCTTGAGATTCATTTCATAATAAATACCAATATGGTTCACACACAAACGTCAATATATTTTTAGATGCATTAAAAAATATGCAAAATTACACCGACATTAATCATTATTATACTTATAAACTTCTATTGTCGAAGTAAAAAAAAAATCCATCTAAGAAAATATGCAAGATCAAATAGTATTATTACCGACAATGACTCGAGGATAAATTTGTTTTCTTCTTTTTGCTCATCAAGATATGGACCATCGTCGATGTCCATAGAAAAAAAAAAATTCGGATCGTTACAATCGTTATTTTATTATATGATCGTGTATACGTGAAACATGTAACTATCATCGGATAATACTCGGATTGTATTGTGCGGCATAAAAATCGAACAGTTCTCGATATTATTGCCCAATAAAGTTATGGCAATGTACGGTCATTTAACGTGGTATATGGTATATGATCCCAGTGTAGAGGCATACGCACACGCGAGCCGTATAGTATTTAAAGTTGCACAGCGCAGACTCGTACAAACGCGACAGTAAAAAAAATCTGAATAAAATTATTCTATGCTCGTTTGCAATTTATGCGTTTCCAAACCGGTCGATTGTCGTTGTAATAATATTCTCCGGATAAAACGAGCTGCTATTGTGTGTGTATCTATCTATATGTAATATAATTATAATTTTACCGTAAAGAAAGGTCGTGTATATTATTGTGTAATGTCAAACGTACTATTAATATTAATTTTGAAAACATACTAAAATCCACAAAAATTATTTTTCTTGAGCATTGGCACGTGATGGACATAGACTGGATAATTATTGACTCAACCTCTCATAATGGATCTATTATAATTCAGTATAATTGTTCACAAGTCTTATACTCTTATATCGTTGGTCTTAGATGTGGAAAAAGAACTTAAGGCGATGTTATAAAAAAAATAATAGAAAATAACGGAAACTATAGAAAAAATTATACAAAAAGAAAATGTAAAACACTGATTTAACTTCTTCTTTCTTAGAATCAAAGATATTTCCATACATCTATCTATAATTTTAATATATTAGTCTTTAAATATGTGTTTAGAAACTTGGTTCCAATTTGTCTCACCACTGAAAATTTCCTTATGGGCGCCCCCAATGCCTTACCTAACCTAACTTATAAGTTATATTTGGTTATACGATGGAACGAAATTTTTTTATTTAATTTTTCGTTTAATCGATCGCAGAACACTTTTCTATCGATCTAAAAAGTTGTACATTAAGGATAATTTATTAAACTTGATTCGATCGAGAAGAGATAGTCTGCCTACAATCGTACAGATTTTCGGTCGAAAACCCTCTCGAATGCCGTTTATTTTTACTGTGTATTAAATGCGTGCAAGGTGACACATATTTTTCATTTTTCGTGGGAAACGAACCGTGACCGTGCAAATAAAATTATAACTTTCGTAACTTAATTTAAATATATTAATGAATACCTATTATTGTAATGCGGATGCGTTGAATAATATTTTTATACCGTGCTAATTTATCCGACAATGTATACGCTCTTGCAATGTGAAATAATAATTGTATGCGTGCGGATGTTACTCGGGTGTCCGTTCGCGTGACGTTATATTTTAATTTAATTTTTTATCCCGTCTTCGCGATATTACCCGACAATAATATTATCATAGTGTTTAATAACATGCTGCTATTTCGGATCTGAAATGACCGTGCAAATGCTGCCATTGCAATTTGCTTATGAATTATCAAAATTGTAATCATTTAAACCAATTCATATATAATAGCTCCGTTATTAAGTACTAGTTATACTAAAGTCAGTGGTGTATTTAAGGAGGGAGGAAATTATAAAGAAATATCACCCCTACCTTGATATTTTTTTAGTATCTTATTTAATGATGACCTTATTTTTAAATTCAAATTTATTTACCTTTTAATCAAAAATGTCTAGTTAATTTATCAAAAAACCTCAACTTATATAATTATTTTTGTACACAGTGCCGAAATAGGTTTTTTGAGGCAATTTCTTCATGACCAAAATATGACCAAATATGTTGAATATTGATCGACTAGTTCAGAGATGCCTTTCGTTTAGTGTATTATATTATTAACATTCTTATTTACGAATATGATAGCCTATATTATGTAGTCAATATAGCTAAATAAAGTTTTTGCCTTTATTATTTATAGGATATATAAAAATCCATTTCTCGAGTGGGTGGATCCTAATTTGTTCGTTTTGCCTCAAGTATGAAGAATGTTCGGCACACTACTATAGTTTTACAACTTAACGGCCTTTTAGCCGTCGGTATTGTGTCGCGCAAATTAGGAGCACGATTAAGGAGGGCGATTAGGAGGAACATAATTTGCCGTAAAGCCCGCTCAAAATTTTCGCAAATTCAATCAAAAAACCAAACTGGACCTTTTTTCCACTCATAAACTCTCTTATTAATGTGAGTGCACTGCGATAATACCACCCCCAAGGTTAAAGCCCATGCCAAACTATATATTGTCGGCTACTCAGCATAAACACGGCAAACGTTGTTTTTTTTTTTTTGTTAAAAACTTTTCTTCCAGAAATCTTTCTCCGATCAAAAACTTTTTTGTAATTTTATTTATTAAACCATTGGTAGGTCATTTTTTTTTTTGTGATATTCTTTATAATAGTTTTCTTGCCGCAGTTTTTTAAAATTTGTTAAAAACGACTTGTGCGTTTTTGCTAGGTAGCCGACGACATACAGAGCGCGTCCGTATACACAATTCTAAAATATCGAGGTGCACACATTACAACATATTGTAATAATATTACCTATATATGTATATATTATATACAAGTACTTGTACACATCAGACACCGGCCGCGTTGATGTACGTAGGTATATATCTTCGTCGGGCTTATGTATAGCTGCAATTAAATAATGACCAAAGTCTCCTGGGGGGTTCTACGCCGTCGTCGTAGGCGTAAGTCTATAATAATATATAATATATATATATATATAGGTAATGTATGTTTAACGAGTGTGCGTAGTGGCACGAGGTATGTATAATTGCTAGACGACAGGGCGGGAGAAAGGGTTATTATTGTTGTCGTGTACAGGTGTAAATTAAACAAAATATATAATATTATTATATTATCCGTTTCTCCTGTGTGTTGGTCACGAACGCGTTCGAAAAGAAACGGCAACAGCAGCAGCAGCAGCAGCTGATATAATAGGCGTTTGGGAATATTATAACAAACTATAATATACCTACATATATACGAAAATTGTATATTATAATATCTATTCCTCGAGAACCACAGTAGTTTTCTGCGGTTCTATATAATAGAAATAATACTATAGTTGAATACAAATTAGCGTGCAACATGCTAGATTAGTTATAAAATTATAGTAAGTACATCATCGTCCGTGGATAATTCCAGCCGTGTTAAGCCACTTGGCCCTTAGGGACATCAATTTTTAAATATTCCCTCTAAAAGTGTTATTTGGAAATTATTTGGTAGGTTAATCTATCCAAATTTATGGTTTTTATCAAAATTTTAATAAAATCATATTAAAATTCCAACATTTTACTTCTATCAAATAAAATTTTGCTGATTTATGAACGATAGTGAAGTCAGATTTGAGCGTATTGACTTAGTTTCGAAGTTATATCTTTTTGAAGTTGTAATATTACCTATACCATATATTATATGTTGTATGTTAAACAAATCTACATTGTCAATTTTAAAATATGTTTCTCGTAGTAAAATAGTAAAGTAGGTGGTACGTTTCTATTGTCATCATAGAAATCGCGTGATTAAACCCGTATTTTAAAAATACTTGTTTGCATTTGTTTTTTCTCTTTTACTTAAACAGGGTAAAAACAAAGGCAGTTTGGATGTACCTAGAGACCTAAAGCATCGCTCGCTCGGACTATTTTAATCGAAAAATGTCCCTTGATTTATTGTGCAAACTTTTCTACCAGAAATCTTGTTCTGATGTATCAAGTGTAGCATCTTTTCTGAAAGGAAATTTTATCCACATTGTACTTTAAGGAGGTAATTTTTTGATTTGCCCAGGAGTTTTCCCAATAAATGAGAAAACCCGGAAAAAAACGGGGTGTATATATACAATATTAAACAAATATTATTAAAGAAAATGTGTAATACATATTATGTTATTATTTTACCATAATGTGACACATATATTGTTGACAAAGCAACACTATTAACCGAATTTCGCTCAGAATCGGTTTTTATTAGCAATGATTAATCGTTGCATACATATATTATACTCACCTTTATATTTTATCTTCCCAACTTCTCACCTACATTAGTAGCCCACTCATCGTGTGAAGTATGTCCGTACCTTTTTTTCCATAATTATCTCATTTTAATGCAAGTGTCATCTCCCCCTCCCTGGTTTTTCAAAAAATTATTTTAACATTGAAAGTAATTATACGGAAATGAAGGGAAATTGTTCGAAATTTCGAAAAATGTTTCAAATAAAAACCCGCCATACCTTTTAAGAGACTAAATGCGTAGACAATATAATTTTAATGTATCTTAGTTGTATCAAATATTTAATTTATAAAGTGTATCTTCTATCGAATATCTTGTATTTCAATAGTTGTTACATATAATTATCTAGTATGCTGAAAATCAATGATTCTTAAGTCGAGTGTCATAAAGATACTCAGTAACATACGTATTGTATTTTTAATTTTATTTTCATATTCCTCTTGGTATTTTTTAGACGGCGTTACACTGGGCGGCCAAACACGGAAATATGGACATGGTAAAAATGTTGGCCGGCACGTACGGCGCCAACGTCAATATTAAAACTGTGAGTATAGTAATTTTTTTTTATTAATATTTATGAAAACCCACCCATCGGAAAAACGTTCACGTTTAAAGTTCATTTAAAAATAAAATCGAACTCATCATAAGTTATAAATGGTTAAAAGTTACAATATTAAAAATTTAAACTTATTATTTCAGTAGAAAATAAAAACTTTTAAAACATCTGATATTTAATGATAATAATTGTATGCGCTGTTTGCCTTTTAGTAGAAATCATTATTATATGGAATTATCGCGGTACAACCGGTTAAATTTAAATGCGTATTAAAATTAGAAAGAAAAAAACAGACTAGGTCGTCAACTTGACTGGATGTTGATGAAAATTAACTTTCAACTCGCCTTAAACTTTACACCGCTGTCGCGATATTTATACGGTTTTTGGTTTCTCACAATAATATTATTTACTATGTTATTTCCCTCTACTTCATATCTCAGTTGGTGTTACCGAACCGGTGCATGATACCTATCTATACTTAACAATTTTGAAATTAGTAGATTCTTTTGCCGTCAAATTTAGACCTGGGGGGGCCCGCCGAAAACCCGCTCATCTCCGACCTCCGTTAAATATATATTATTATGATGTGGTTGGACTAATCAGTTCCTACCCGCTACTATATAATAACTATATTCGATGATGACTACCTATGTACGCATCGAATATAAACAATTGAAAAACAATTTGTTCGTTAAAGTAATAAAAAAATAATAAGTAGGTAGGTACACTAGATACCGTTGAATACGTGCCTATAAGGCATTCAGTATAACCGTTTTCGTCCGAACGTATTTTTCTTATATATTTCCGCCAAAAACCATCATTTTCCCGTTTTCGCTTTGTTGCCAGATGTTAAAAGTGTTGATTTGTAAAACGAATATCATATTATCATAAATATGACGAGAAATTCATGTAATTTATAACAGTTTAAATTTTAAACTGAAGGAGTAAGGAAGGGTTGTAAACTTTATATTATCCATTTGAAAGAAAGATGGGTTCCTATTTGAAAATCAAAGTGTATACTCATTTAAGATACAAGGAGTAGTGGTAAAAAATCGGAACTGTTAAAATTAAGCTTAAACGATCACTGATTAGGTTAGATTAAAGGTAAGGTTAGGTTAGGTAATAAATGGATAACCTTATATTGATGTACTTCTATTATTATTATTATTTTTATTTTACCATGTGACTGTTAAATGCTAATATTTACTTAATTTATAAATCGCACTCTTGGTATATAAAACTACAGGTTTTTTTTTTTTTTAATAATTAGTTTTTTGGTCATATTTGGTATATTTTCAGCAGTGTTTGGAATGAATGCACTCAATGAATTTAATTCCATTTTAATAGGATGCAATTTTTTTTTTTTTTAATTTAAAAAATTGGCCAATGCCAATTCATTTATTTTAAGTCATGATGTGACTTTAATAATGATTGAATTTCAAAAGAAACTATTTTTATTTTTATTTTGACGCGCTCAGAATGTATTCGTTATGCAAATAGAAATAGACAAATAATGGGTACGCGTTCCTTTTTAATAACAAAATATAATAATACGTGTTTTATATAGAGTAACGTTCCGTGTAACTTGCCAATCGTCCGAATTCCTGAGCTCCATATGGTTTACATAATACAGATACCTATAATAATAATAATAATAATAATAATAATAATGTGGCCCGGGGACCGAAACGATTAGTATTATTATAATATATATATATATATATATAATGTAAAAAGTATAAAATTCCGACGGAATGCTGGGCTCCCTCTGTATCATTATCATTATTATACTGTACAGGTATCTATCTATATAGTGTGTATAATATTATATATTATATTATAATATGTACGATGATGCTGCCCGTAATAACAATATTATTATAATCTAATATACAGAGTTATAGATACGCGCTACAGATAACTCGTATTATATGCATACATATGTAATATATAGCGATAATAATAATAATAATAATAATAATAATGATTTTTAAATATTATACATTATTCATTACGCGCCGGCTGCGGCGGTATAGGTATAACCGTCTCTGTGTTGTAACGCTACGGTATTATACGTGGTGCGTATATTACGTACCCGCGCTACTAAAAATAACGTGGAAAATATTACGTGTACCGCGGTAATAACAATAATTATACGTGTGTATTATATACACGGATTATTCGATTTATAATAATAATTATTAAACAATATAACGCGAGCGATTGCCGCGGTTGCGCACCGGTACTATCCAGTTTTCCACGTTTTGTTTTTTTCCGTTCTTTATAGGTTTGTTTTTTTTTTTTTCACTTTTTTCCGCGCCCGTCTTTGCCCGTCGGTAGGTTTTATACCTATTTTTTTTTTTTTTTTTTTTTTTTTTTTTTTATATATATATACACACGTTTACGATTATTTTGTATACATAATAATATTGTATACCTATATAGTATAATGTGTGTATATTTATATTTTCCCTCCGGTTTTTATTATTATTATTAAATATCCCGGCGACGACAACCGCGACGAAGACGGCGGACGAGCGGAAAACGACGCCACCGATTCGGGGCCCCCGGGGACTATTGTCGAGCGTACCCGCCGCGGTGCGGTGGTGTAGTGTTTTACGAGTGGATATCGTCGTCGTCGTCGATACGCCGCCCGAGATACGCGATCGCGATAATATCGATCGTATTTATATACTCGACGCACAATATAATAATAATAATAATAATAATAATAATAATAACATAAGCGGCTACCGTTAAGCCGGTTTCGTCGATTTACATGTAAAACGGTCGTGACGGCGGCGGTGCGACGGATGAAAACGTACAAAAAAATATATATATATAAAAAAATACGTAATATTATTTATACAAAAAAAAAAAAATTAAATTAAAGAAATCGCCGCCGCCAGGTCCGCGGTGTATCGCACGTTCTCATCTCGACGCGTGTTTCTATCACAATATAATAATAATTTGTCGCGCGCCCCCGTAACGACCGCGACGACGACCGAACCGCACCGTCGGCGCCGTTACGCCGCGTTTTAGACGCATAAAAAATATTATTTCGAATAATTATTAGAAAACCTACCCACCGTTCTCCGAAAATAAAACGTTCGACGAATCTATTTCAACGATCTATTAAAACCTTATTTTTATCCCGGATCCGATCTATTTTAAATAATAATGTATACTGTTCCGCGAAGTAAAAAATAAAACACGGCGAATCCGTCTTGTAGAAGAATATTCATGAATTTGATGATCGAATTTTAAAATTCAAAATGTCCGTTGAAATATAGCGCAAACATCCCACTGCAGTGTTTCCCGTCCGAACATTTCAGGGTTAATGTCCATAGCTATGCGCCACCGAATTATGGACTGTACAAAACATAATATATACCTTTATTATACGGTTTTTCCGGTTTAAAATACATCACGGGTGAAAAAAAAAATCGAACAAACAGAATAATATACAATTGTCTAATGTATAGTTTAGGTCGACGCAATTCTTGACTTTTAAACCGCTCGCGTTGTGTTTAAACGTACCTACGTGTGTTTTCGTCTAAACCATATTCTATATCCCGTTAAAACACAGTAATATCGTGTTTACATATGGGTGCGTCGAATTAGGTGTCGAATTTTTTGTATGTAAAATATCTAACAATACGTACATAACACATTTATTCTTTAAAGTTTAGAAATTACACAGAACTATTAGAAAGTTATAAATTGTTTTGCCTGTGTGCGTTAAACGAGACGAACCGTGATAATGTTTTGTTACCTAATAACCCGTACATATTTCGGGCGATACACGATTCCGCACAATATACCTTTTTACCTATCCGATTCCACATAAAAATTCTTGCAACGTTGACATTTATGATAAAAAATGTATTTAAATTTTTCCCTTATAATAAATAATTAAAATTAGTCAAAAATTATAAAATAAACACGGTGCGATTTTTGTCAGAAAAGCAGCGCCACTTTAAAAGTTGATCGCATTTACGAACACCGAAAAATCTATGTTTATAACCATTGACAACAGCTAATTCTTTATTTTTCTTTGACACCATAATTCAAATTTCTGAATTATTCAATTTAATTTATAATGAGTAAACCACAAAATATCGCAATATACGTAATCGTACAGGTAACTGATGAGTTTCTGATTAAATGTACATTGTAGAGTGTAGACTATAATCTGTACTGTAGATAAACTAGAATTTGGATTAAAATCAAAATAATATTTTTGAAATACAATCGACAACGTCACAAATTAGTTTTTTGCGGAATCGTGAATCGCCGCATATTTTACTATCGTATTTTCTTAATTCGACTATTTATTTCTGTTATAAACGATCCGCGTCATGAAGTTTACGGAAAGATCAAACATTTATTATAGGTTATTTTCGTTTTTGATATTCGTTTCAACACGCTCGACTATAATATATTATGATTCACGAAAATGCAACGGTAGTGAACAATATATATATATACCTGTTTATTTATCCACTACCGTTGCATTTTCGTGAATCATATTATATTATAGTCGAGCGTGTTGAAAAGAATATCAAAAACGAAAATAACCTATAATAGACGTTTGATCTTATGAGTCACATATGATCAGTAAGTTTAACCCATATAGGTGCCCGTGATTTTGAATCGTAGTACCGGGTTCAAGAATTAGTAAATCACGCAACAAATGAATGCGAACGATAATATTTAACGACTACACGAAATGTGTCTCAACATAAAAACATTATTTTATTATTTTATTTTAGGACCTTTAAACGTCATTTTACTAATAAGATTTAAAATTACGCCAACGTTTACACGATCGAATACTATACAAGTACAATGTTATAACTTATACGAACGAACTACGATTAAACAGACGACACGCATTCTAAAAGTATAATCTGTACATAATAATAATTTGTATAAAACTGGGATGTAAATGAAAAGCATAAATAGTATTTTATTTAGACTCGCGGTTAGAATAATGCCCGCGATTTGCATCCGTATTGTTTCTCGAATTCCGTTTTTTTTCGTTTGAAACTCGAAAACTCGGAATTTGAGATTTCTGATCTTGTTCTTTTTAAATAAATAAAATATACCCCGAACGTGTAGACTCGAAAAGTTAAATTCTTCCTTTTCATACAAGCACAGGTATATGATTGAACACCGTAAAAAGTTCAACATTGAGCGCGAGATTCTTTAAAATGGGAAAGGCGAAAGTTTTTCCCGCAAACAATAATAACCTGAACCGACTTCCCCGACTTATTGAATGCCGAATTGAATATTTATTATTAATTCACGCCTTTTTATTTTTTTTTTTCATGAATCCTTGCACAACAAATGGAACAAATTAGAACGGAGTAAGTATAAAACTAATTTTCAATAGTGACGGGGAAAAAAAGGGTTTGGCAATTAAACAATAAGCGATTGAGAAGCGTGACGAACCGCATAGTATTATGCGGGAAGAAAAAAAACAAGAGAGAATTTAAAGTCCTACGTGTTATATGCATATACCCTTTTTGAGCAAACCCCTTGACACTGTTGTCATTTTTTTTCTGTGTGCGTATGTGTACGTATATTATTCAACTTCTGTATATAGAAAATACAATATTCGGCCGACAACATCTGTTCGAAATTTTAATTGTCCTCGAAACGTTTACGAAACGATTTAAAAATCAAAAAGGGGTAACAAATCATAGCACTCTGGCTCGACGAGCCACCCCAACTGCGTTATATTAACATAAAGGATATATAAAATATTATTATTATTGAATTGAATGTCCGCACCCCGGAAGGGTTGTGTTGTACTTATATGTGTGATATTCTAATGCACTACAGTATACATATATATACACCCACTGAAGAATCGTATCGATATTATTACATTTTCGTGTTCAATTGTTGTATATATAGTCCGGCTGCACAAGACGTCGACAACCCTATATAAATATATATATATATAATGTATAAAATGAAAAATAAATATTAAAAAATATATATATATAAATGTATAAACTCCTTTTTTCTCTCGGCTCTTTGTCCTACACGCGATAGTTGGATGGGTTCAACTATTTTTTCCCTTCCACATCTCCCTAATATATGTCCGGATCATAATTTCTACGCATAATACTTTTGCCTACATCTTTTCGTATCTCTCCTAATAACACCCAAACAGATACCCGGAAATGTCATATTATCAAGTATTATATTGGCGGCCCACCGGTTTTATAGAATATTAAAAAAAATCAGGGGTTTTTTTTAACCCGTTTCATTTCATTAATTTTCTTTACGTCCTCTGCAAAATTACCGCACGAGATTGCGGAAATTCTTTGGAGAAAGGATCGTTGCTACAGTATAACAGCGCACCGGCTCAATTTCAGTTTCGTTATTACGCCTTTCGCCCCCTTCGGCGATCGGGCCGCCGCCGCCGCCGGGCTTATTATTACTTCAGTCCAAAACGTTTCCCGCAAAAAAATTTCCGCAACTTTCCAATGTCCCAAGACTACGATGGCGCAATTATAACGATAATTATTGTATTATTTTACGTTAATCATGTACCTACACTTATTATATTTTGTATAGGTATATCGAGTAAAATCTAGCCGCACAAAAATTATTATTACTGTGGGACTCGATCGCTTTCTTCGGATGATATACCCATTGCTCTATGACTGCAGAAAATGAACGTCATCATCAAAAATCACTTGTCGTGGTGTGCACCATACTACTCTTAAAAAGATTTGTTTTGTTATTGTTCCCCATCTGTAAACAACTTTCCTACCGAACATCTTCTTGCTCCGATCATCAACTGTAAAGACAGTTTATAATAGCATATTTTTTCTATAGTTGGTAAGGAGGTAGTTTTTTGATTTTTGTTGTAGGTTTCTTAACAATTGGAAGAAAAAATGTCGGAAAATATACGCAATAGCGGTTTTTGTTATTTTCGATTTTGTTTTTTTTTTTTTTTGTAATTCAGTTAAAAATATTCGTGGAGACCTGAATACTTATATTAACCCTTTCTAGACGTAGTACAATTTCCAAAATATTCTAGCGATTTTCGAGTTATTTATATCCAATCGAAATTTTAGATATTTTTAGTTTTTATTTGGCTTATATTGATTAATTATTTTGGCCTAATCAAATTGCTCAAAAATTTAACACGAGGTTTATCATAAGCCTTTAACTTTGTGGTGAAAAAACTTCGCTTAAAACGCAAGTGCAGTTGAACGAAACACATATTTCTTCGTCCGCATCACGAAATTGTCGTTGTCAAATCCTTTGTTTATCAACACTCTCTCCATAACAATATATTGTCCGTTATTTTGACAGGGATACACGCCATGTCATATAGCAATGCAGTTCGGACACGAAGAAATCTACAAGATACTGGTCGAGTCTTACGGTAAGTACCAAACTATGCGGGGAATGGGTTAAAAAATATCTCCGACCCGCCCGCACTGTGTATAATAATATTAGAATCGATTTAATTAATTTAATTAAATCAATTTATTCATAATTGATTTTTTATAGTTTATTTAATTAATTAAACCCCCTTATTTATACTGCTGATTTTCAATTTATAAATTTTGCAAACAAAACGTTCGACCGTGAACTCTCAGCTCCTCAAATCCGTATATTTTTCCCTACGGTTTCTTTAGTCCCATGGAAGACGGGCTGAAGTCATTAGTTTATTGTTTTCAACACAGGCAAATTCAATTTTGAAAATACATACATTAATACACTGCATACTCTCATTTAGAAAATGCATACAAGTATTGAAGTATGCCTTTAGATTAAAAACTATAGGGAAAAACTACATAAGAAAACATTTAAAAAAATAAAAGAGCTGATACTGCTTGTGGGTGTTCCACTGGTTTAGATGAGAATTTGAGAAGGTAGGATACATAGAGTTATTTAATTTACACCTGAACGCAATGATAAACCATTGCTAACTAAGGTTAAGTAATGTTTTGAGTGAAGTTCGATCATACATATTTTGATAAGTTTTACCATTTTCATCAAAATTTAAACTTAAAACGTTTATAAAATTAAAACTATAAACTAAATTCCACTCGAATTCGTTTTAACCACTCAATACAGCTTATAATGAACCTCGAGTTAAATTTTCATGTATTTCCGTTAGACCGAAACGATTTTATTCACACAAAACGAAATTCTAACTAAAAAAAAAAAAAAAATACTCGAAACCCTAAGCCGTTCTTCCCTAGGCTGAAAGATTTATTGTTGCATTTGAAATTAAACCTTATATCTTCGTGTGTGCTATAATGCAGGAGCCGACCCAAACGAGCGTGATTGGAGCGGCCGAAAACCGAGACAGTACCAGACCAATCAGGACACGAGCCTATCGGCGGACACGTATCGCAGTGAGTATGCCCGCGAAAAGCCCTCGTCGGCCGGCAAGCTCCTTCTGTTCAGCTCGTTACCGAGGCCTAAACGGCGCGCTAAAAAAAACGTCAACCTGCAGCCGACTTCCTTTTCGTTCTCGCATGCCGCACAAGTAGTAAACAATGCCGCCGCCGCCGCCACCGCCACTACCCCGTCCAAGAAGGACAAACACCACGGCGGAGGCGCTTTACCGTTTTCCGGCTTGTACCACTATTCCTCCGCCATGCCATGATAATTATTATAATATTTACCACCGTGTATTAGCCATATATAATACCTATACAATATTACGACGACCACGTATATTAATATTGGTTTTTATTTTTTTTTTTAAAAAAGCTCAAAATAAATATACACAATTTGATGACCCTCTCCCGCCCACAAATCGTCGTCGTTTTTATACGGGCGTTACGATAATAATAATTTTATAATGTCTTCCTACACTCTTTCGTTCTCCCTCTTCGTGATTTCATGCAATCCTTCGCGATCCCACCCGTAACGGGTCCGCCCATTATAAATACGTGTTTGTAGCTCAAATAGTGATTTAAGTACAGTAGTATTAATGTATATTATATGTACAGGAAATGCGCTTATTAAAATTCGGTCGTGATTAGATTTTCAAAAATATCTCCATTACATAATTTCACTTAACACCAACTAGTTTTCTCGCCGAAATTTTAATCATTTCAATCTCAATATACTATTATTGCCCTTATATATGTATTGTGCTTTAAAAATTTAAAGTGACTACCGTTATTTTTTTTTAAAGGCGTAAATCATGAAATTATTATTATATAGTTTATCGTCTAGCTTGGGTACACTTTTTTTAAATTTAATTCACAACGGATTACATCGGTTTATATTATTCCGCCACCCCTATCAATCCGTTTGCCGAACACACTCGACTATTATGCTGCAATATAATATTATTTATATTGATATCACCGCAGTCGATTAATACCCTTGAATTTCAAACTTTATGTTCTAACACGAAAGTTAATTATTATTAAGTTGTTTTCTTATACTATAATAATAAATAATATCGATTTCGACATATTTCGCGCCCGGCTATCATTAATACGACGACGGCGTGGCATCTAAAACCCTCCTCGCCTCTTCTCCTCCACCATCATAATACAATGGTAATTTAATATACGTGGCGTTTTCTTTTTTTTTTCAATTTTTTACCCGGTGCATAGTTTGTGCAATCTTACTAGAATATACAATACACTATTGCTTTCTATATATTATTATCTATAATTTATTGTACATTTATAACTATGGCTGCAGTTACCGCAGCACCGTATAATAATATATAATATTTACAAAATTGCATTTTGAGTGATATACCGTTAAACTGTTATTTTATGTGACTCGTACGGTTCTATCAATACGTTTTCATGAACCTTCCATATACGATACAAATTTTAATTTAAAAAAATAATAATAATCACTACAGCCCCATTAGTACTAAAAAAAAATTATTGTTAAAAATTCAATCATAATTTTACCGCTTTTTTTCTTTATAAAAAAAAAAAAAAACGAAAAGAATTTTAAATGTTTAACCATTAACATTCTATAATCATTCACAAAACAAAAATGATAATAATATAACAAAATATCTCGTTAAAATTTTTATAAAACTTGTTATATAATTAGTACGAGTTTTGTTAAAACCGTTTTCAATATTTTCCTTGACGATAATTGATTTTTATTTTATTATCATTGGTACTGATTATCTTATTTGGTTATTAATATTATTTTTGTTTTTATTTTTTTTTTTATTACACCCAATATTGTACAATGAAAAGACCCTTAACAAAAGTACCGTTGTACATTCAAAACCCATAACAATTTTAAAAACCAATGCCAAAGTTTTCTCTTCTTTGATCTCGCTATAAATATCTGACTTTTGATGTTCTGCGAAACAAACGAAAAAATGAACAATTATAATTTAAATTGTTCATGTTTTCCTTCTATACCTATTGTGTACTTACATCAGAAATATTTGTTATCGCGGTTATTTTATTTTATTAAAATGACGTTATGACAAACTCAAAACCGTGCATTTTACTCAATATCGAATATTTTAATCGAATTCTAGTTGTAAACATCGAGTAACTGAAAATAGTTTTTTTTTTTTTAATATTTCACACACGCAGTTTATAAAGAGAACGTTACACTTAACCATTTGTTGTCTCCGTCTTACAAACGCTGTACAACATAGAAAATTCGAGGTTCAAAAGAACCAATTTCGTGCTCTCATACTTAGTAGTGAATTAACCTATTATCAAACTTATTATAGGAAAGAATCTATTATCTAAGTTTGTTTCGTTATTTGTATTCTCAAGTGTTTTATAAATGTGTGAAATCGCACAATTTAAAAATGATTGTATTTCGTTTAAATATTAAAATCGTGAGAAAAAAAAACCACATACAAACGCAAATAATGTTCTTTCCTTGGAGTTTGATAACGGGTTAATTGAATATTATATTAAAACTAACAGCACCAAATTGATTCTACTAAACTCAAGTTGTCTGTGTCGTGCGTTCGTATGATATGGAAACAACAAAATATGCGTGCTCCTCTGTTATATTTCGAACAAATTTCGATTTGCGTGCTATTTGAAAAACACAATTACGAACAAACGTGTTTTATGCCAAATAAAATACCCGCGCCTTTTTTAATATGTTTTTTGTTATAAAACGGTTTGTGGTTTTTGTTGTAAAAAATAAATATAATAATAAAAAAATTGCATGATAATAATTTAATAATACTGTGTATAGTTATATGATAAATATATTTTTATAAATCATTTGCAATGTAATTATTATATTGTTAGAAAATTGCATTTTACACGAACGGTGCTGGATTATAGTTGTATTATAATAGCAGTCGTGCCGCTGCTTGGCATATTAGTATTGCGAAACGTTTGGAGATCATCCGTTGTATCAGCCTTACAAATTCGCTTCAATAATATTTTTATATTTTATTTTATTGTACGTTTGTTGCATGTTTTAGCATGTCCCCTATAGTAATAGAGTCGTGATAAAATGATAAAAGAAGAAAACAATTCTCGATTTGTATATCCATTTCGAGACTGCACAAAAAGCACGATGCTATTTTTTAATAATATTATATCATTGACGGCGTGAAGGGGGTACAAGGGATTAAAATCGCATATACCTAACCCCTTAAATACCTACCTATTATTATTGTCTTAGTTAAAGATCAGTTAATGGTTCAATTTGTTTCTCTCGCAGTTTCTAATTCCCCCAAGAAAACGGTTACTTAATAAAGGGCCTCTACATCAATATATTTTGTTTCTCTTTTTGTTTCATATGCCTAGTAATATAGCAACATAGGTAGTCTGCACTTCTACGATTGCGACTCTCTGATTAGATTTATAGCAAAGTGACCAATTTATACGTTTTATCAGCAAGAGTATATTTACCATATATAATATGCTTTGACCCTATGATTTTAATAATATTTTCATTTTTTATCAAGATAAGCGTGGTTTTTTGTTAATTTTAAATGTTAATAACTATTATTAAGCAATAAAAATATTAAAAAGTCATCCAGTCACAGCATAGTAAATACTCTAATTTAAACTCTGTACACTCGTATATTTATCTTTGAAATTTATTAAATAGTTCAATATTACTAAACGGCCTAACCTGTATGCAGACATTCTAAATGGATTAAATTAATATAACTATAACATTTATACATACACGTATATGCAATTTAAATCAATAAACAAATAAGAAGAAATTGTATGCCCCAATTATAAAAAAAAGCCAAAAATTAACTTAAGCCCTTTTCCCTGGGATCAAAGATATTATAAGAGTACAATAAAATTTGCGATTTTTTATTTTTTTATTTTTTTTTTAAGTTAATAAGTGAGGTTTAGTTTAAATTTCTTTATATAAATCCGTCCCACGCCGTCATTGTCGCATTATAACGCAATAACAATATTAATGATATTTTCCAAAATTTTACTCCGCGATTTAAACTACTGCTACACAACTCTTGTATTCGACTTGTATTTTTGTTAACGTATTTTTACGCGTGATAACCATAATAATATTCGTTTGTTAATTTCCTACAATACATTCTTGCCGACCATATTGCGATATTTAAAAACTGAATGATAACCACCTTTTCTCCCACCCCCGAAACCGATAATACTTAACCGTAAATTATTATTTGTTTTGCTTATAGGGCTGTTGGAAGCGGAAAGGCAAGTAAAATTTTATATTAAGTGTGCGATGGTGTATGTGTGTGTTTGGTTTTATTCTCACTTCGTAGTAGGTATTATATAATATTGTATCCCCATATAGATATTACACTTTATATTTCGCACCGTTTTACAAAATTATTATTATTATTATTATTATTTATACATGCACACACGAACTCTAATATTTTCTACTATACAGTGTGATCCAAATAACGTAAAACACTCATTATCTCGAAAAGTGTTAATTTTTTTTTCGGAATTGGTGTTTTAGAAATTATTTTATAAAACAAACGGTTGTCCATTGTTACATTAGGAACTGTTATTTTTTTGTCTCCGTCCTTTTTGATGGTAAAACCTACTAAATACTTTTGTTTTTCAAATAGCAATTTATATTAAACATTTCATAAATAGTTCAAATGTGAATTTAAATCAATTTTGATGTTTTTAATTTACGTCAACCCGTTGTCGAAATATTCCACTATTAAATTTCGACAGAATAGTATGTTGTAGTGAAGCATAATGTGTGATGGCGTTTAAATAGTGCCCCACTACTCAGCTTCTATCACCACAAAACGACAAACTAAAAATTGAAATATTTCACAACGGGCACAATTGAAAATTTCAATGCCGACACTTATTTAAACGAAAACCTCGTTCGAAACTTGTGCAATTTTCAATAGATTTTTCTATTTGGAAATCAAAAATGGGCAGTGATTTCAACCCCAATACGCATTCTAGGACATATATGTAAAAGTTTAAAAAAACCAATTACGAAAAAAATTGATATTTTCCAGTCTTTCGCGTTATGTTGATCCCCCTGTATATACTTAACACGTATTCGCTTCGTACCGCTACATTATATCTGCGTGTATACCTACATTATAATATTATAAACGGACAACTGTGCAATTATACGAATCGCATGTCGTATGCATATAGTATACCCGCAGTAGCTACTCGTATATTTTAGGTATATACACACTCGAAACTTTGGCCAAAATTTAATAATATTTAGGTACACCTTTATATTATAACAATGCTGTGCTCTATCCGCCTAAAAGTTTCGCCAAAAACAATATTGTACCATTTATATTGTATTACGTATATATATAGCTAACAACATAATAATACGCTGTCTGCAGTTAGAAAATTAGTTTTAACACACGCGAAATAATCCTGTTTTTTGTTCTCTTGCAGTCTGCGTTCTGTATAATATGATGATAACGCTATATTTTTTTATTTATTAATATTATGTTTCCGATCGTGTTTTCTTCGATTATCGAGACGTTTTTTTTTTTTTTTTGTTCTTCGTTCATAATATACTGTAGTGTTTGTTTGTTTGCAGAACTAAACGCCCGAAAACACAAACACGCGGGTAAGTCATGAGAATGAGAACTCACCTATATAATACAATATCATTGCTTTTTACATAATAGTATAATATTATTGATATCACAAATCATCGGTGTTTGGTTCCGTTCTTCCGTTCGTTACAATATACATATTCATATATTTATAATATTATATCCGATAAAGGTTTATAATTTATTTATTATAATATTTTTAATTGCGTGAAATCACATACACTTTTTCTACCAAAATCTAAACGTTTCCAAACGCTGATAAAAATACATTGTTTACTATATCGTAATATAATAATATTTTTACATGTACGCGTATATAATTTGTAATATACGTGTGTAATTCAAGTCCGGATTAGAGAGCGAGATTAGTTCAAATTTCAAACTTCAAATTTTGCACTATGAACTTGTCATGTTGTTGATAAAACCGAATTTAGATCGAGCGGTATAACTTAAAACAAGACAATTTCACTGGATTTCAGAATTATTTCGCCGTCGGAAAATGATTACAAAAAAAATTGTAGTTTTAAAAACATTGCGGGCGATCCGTGCATACATAGTAATAGTTTAGAATTAGCAGTTTGAACTAATGGTTGATACCATGACAAGTAATAAAGTAATGTTAGATAAAAAATTTAATATATTTGCTATGCGCATCATATATACGAAAATTGGAGGAATGGGACCATAGTTTTTACAGTGGGTTGATAATAGAAAAGGAGTATGTAAGCGGAGATAATTCTAGGTCCGATGTGCTATAAAATATCCAAAAATAAATTCACGGAAATAATTTAATCGGAAAAATATTTTTTTCAAAACCGTATTTTGTCCAAAAATATTTTGTGACTAACCCCATAAATATGATAATATGTACGAATATATACATCTAAACATATTCAAATAGAACTTCAACCACCATGGTTAATAATTATTTATGTAATTATTTAAACAAAAATGTCCATAGTCAATGATTAGTGCAACACCAGTTTAATATTATTTCGCCTTTATTGTGACACCGCGACACATTTTCGTCTAAAAAAACTGTTCTAATAAAATATTTTCATATATTTTACGCGGATCGGCTGGAACCCTATAAAATTCACACAGGAAACATTCGCAAAGCCATTGAAGAGTTTTTTTTAGATACAGAATATATCGTGTAACAATTCAATTTGCAACCTTAAAACCCTTTAGATTTTTATTCACACAAAAAATGACTACAGGATATTCAAAAGTCTACTTTTTAAAATGACTCAGTTCAAACTTGTGTATTATTTTGTACACAGATCGCAAATAATGTATTCAAATATCTGCTATCATAATATTTGTGATGTACGCGTACATTAAGAATATATTTCATTACAGTATAAATGTATTTTTTAAGATATTATGTAATTACGCAGTAGATAATAAAAAAATATCCAATAATAACAATGTCTCGTCGTTTTTGTTTTGTTTTGTTTTTGATTTTTATTTATAATGCGCTGCAGAAAAGGATCTAGGATTTCTGAGGATCGGATCCCTGAACGTACGCGTTAAGCGTACCACCGAGGCGTTCAGCAACTTTCTGGGCGTCGGACACAACGCCGAAAAAATCCACAAAACTTGGGGCTCTGCCGACAATATACAACAGGTTACAAAACACACAACCGTATAGTACAATTATTATATATAAAAACACATAAACAAAATTATTAAATTATTATAATAACGTGTAAATCAGTTTGATATTATTATTTTATTGCATGCCGATTGTTCTCGTGTTGAGATGTAATGCGTTTTAACGTACTTGGGTTTTTTATTTTGTTTTAATGTTACCGTTACCGGACGTACAGAACGACACCAAAAGAATGCCTCCTCCGAAGAGCGCTTCGATTAAGAAGAGGAAATCCAAACGACCGCAAGACTTTCTGAGGAGGGCCTCGACTCCAGTGGACAGGTCGCCGGAAAAGAGGATGTCTGCGGACTACGTGACCACAGGCGATTCCGATTCGGATACAGCTTGCGGCTTTGGCACGAATTGGCATCCTTCTTAACGGCCTCGCGTCGTTCCCGAGTTGTCGGCAATTATTATTATTATACTGCTATTTAAACGCGGTTAACGTTTCTCAAGATTTTTAACCCTAACAACTCCTCACCTCCCCTGTCTATCAAACTATTTTTTTTTTGTGTAATAATATAGTCATAATCGATAACTGTGCAAGTATTACTAGTTATATAACAATGTTATTTAATCTGTTGGTTTTATATTAGACAAATTTTTAATTTAATTTTATGGCGATATCACTACTTATACAATATTATTATTTTTTTGTTTTTGACTTATTTCTATATATATATATTTATATATGTGTGTGTGTAGTGTTTACGGTACCCAGGATAAGCAAATTTTAAATTTATATGATTAATTGTTTGTTATTAATTATTATATTAGTTTTTTTTTTATTCAAGCATATATATGTACAATATTTTGAAACAGTGACTCGCGTATCCAAACGCTACCAAATCTATTTTTACTACATCGTATGTCTATTTTTATTTATTATCATATACTTAACTTTTAATTGATAAAGTTGTTTGTTTTAACTGTAACTAACCTCCTCAGTGATATTAATGATATTAAACAATTTATTAGTAATTTATGTATCGTGTTGCGTATTATATTTTTTGTATAACTTATTTTAATGTGTTAATGTAATATAAATAAATTGCAAAAACAAATTAGATTAAGAGAGAATACCATACACACGTGTATATTGTATCCATCTTACAAACATCCAGCATATCAAATTTACATTAAGGAAGACAAATTGTATACCTACTGTTATTTTTAATGTTAGTGTGAATTGAACTGCTTGTTATTATTAAACTTAAAGGTAAGAACATTGGCTGTGTTTGTACCGCTGGTTATTTTTTTAATCTATATTTTTAATTAATATATGGATATAAAATGTCTCAATTTAAAAATGCTTGTATTTCACTTAAAAATTAATACATTTTGAAAAAATCCAATGTAAAAATACAAATAATGTTCTTACCTTTATATTCAATAATAGTCAATAGGGTAATTCGCATTGTAATATTTTAACTAACAGCATACAATTGGTTCTTATGAACACAAATTTACTATATTCAATATGGCATACATTTATAAGATGGAAACAACACTAAACACAAGTGTATATAAAATCTTAAATTTATATAACATCATTAATTATCTACACCAGGATTGTTATAAAAATTAACTTCTTATAATATTACCATCATACAAAAAAAAAATAATTATAAGAATATAATAAAATTTATGCTTAGTGCTTTTTTAAAGGGCCGCAGTGTCGGCACCAAGTTTTACGAGGCCCTAGGAAAAATATTTTAGAAGGTCCTGAAAACACTTTATATAAATCTACATACAAATCAATATCGAAACCAAAAACATTTTATCTTTTCTCTTAGTATTTAATTGTTATTTAAACATATTTTTAAATAAAAAATACGTAAAATAACTACCAATTTATTACTCACTACTTTTTAAATTTAATTTAACATATTAGTATAAGTGAGTTAAACGTCACAAATTCATAAAATATAATTTTTACTTTTTTTTATGCGTATTACCACGGTCAAGATAACCCATAAATCAACAGAAAAAGTTCAATTTTTGTTCCATAAACTCTGGGTCAGCCAATTTTTTAGAGGTTCAATTTTAGGATAAAAAAAAATATTGGAATAAAATTGTAGATTTGTATAAAAAGCTAACGTAAAGCTAACTTGATTTTATACAAATATTGATAATTTTTCAATGCTGAAGAATTTATAAATTTTGTTTGTATTTAACACGACCAATGGTGGAACTAAAGACCCCCCCCTTAAGCCTCCCCAAGGTACGCAACTGAAAATTTTATTATTATATTTATTTCAGTAATCAGTTGGTGTTAGACCTCTGCGGGCGTTCTTGAGTAGATACTCGCTTATCTGCTCAGAATTTTATTTCGATATTTTACTTTAATTGTGCATTTTCAATTAAATGGTTTTTCCTATGATGTATAGTATTTTTAATGACGACATTTTTGAAGGTGATAACTTAAAATGTACGAAATATAAACAAATACTATATTTCAGATGTACGGTTTTGAAAGAGTCTGCTTTCCGAAAAATGTCAGTAATTGACAGGCAAAACTGGCATTGTAATAATTGTAAATTAAATGAGTAGTTAAAACTCAGGTTACTAAAAAAATTAAAAACAGATCAGTCTAATCCGCATAAGTCACACAATTAAATGATTAAGTGCTGTAGCCAGGGGAGCACGTGTCTGCCCCCTAAATCTTTGTTTTTTTAGTAATGCTGTAATGCAGTTTACGTAAATTTTTATATTAATCAAATGTATTATTATTAGTGCAATTATAAGTATAAAATATATTGTTTCATATTAATACATGTATAATAAATATAAATCACTAATTGTAGAATTACAATAGAAATATGTCCAATTTTTATCGAAATTGATTTATGACCGGATTTATATTTATTTACCTTGAGTAAGTACATATATTTTATGTAAAAATAGGACTATTCCATCAAACCGTTATGGAGATATTAACAGCTTAAGTTAGTGTTTAATTTAGAAAGGGGACAATCCAGAACAATTTCCACTTTCTGAGCTAATCTTAATAAATTAATGTGGAATGTAGTTTTTGTATTAAGTCACTGATATTTTTTTTTTTTTTGTTTAGTAACAGCCAACAAATTTTCTTACATTGTTTATTAATGTTATTTTTAGTCGATATATTTCTAAGTTTTGTTGTAATAAATATTATTCAATATTTTGCATTTTATATATTCTTGAATTATAAAAAATAAAAACAAAATATTTCGCCAATCAAACTACCCAAGATGCAGCTATACATCCAAAAGATTCCCATAATGAATTTACAAATGAATGATTTAAACGTATGAAGCCTTTTAGAAGGTTGATTTTGGAAGTTAGAAGTTGTGGAAATTAGAAGGATAATACAATTTACATTAAAGATAGTCTTACTTTAATACAAATCTGTTTTTTTAGTAATTTAAAGTAGTTCTTTTGCTCATGAATCGTGATAAAAATTACAAATATGCATGGTTTAAGGCGAAAAAATGTGTATTAAAAAAAAAAGATAATACTAAAGCTTTTATAATTAATGATGTGTACTCTCTTCTTAAATTAGATTATTTATTTTATTTAACTACTTTATTTTTTCGTTTTTATACCGTTTTATCACAATCGCAATGTAAAATTAATATCAGGAGTGTGAATTCAAATTGTTATGAACTCATTCTCTTTTTAGAAAGTGAACCAAATAGAAATAGAATTGATGTAATTATATTTACCGAAACGTATCATGATCCAAGTCATTGTGATTATAATAGATATTATGAAGATTATTATAATGATTACTATTATATCAACATCAAAAAGTAACAAAAATTATAGTGTTCTTGTTTTTGTTAAACAATGTTGTCACGTAGACTTTTTCGGATATGACTTCATCAAAACTACGATAAACTATTACTTGACGAAAGAAAATTTCGAGCGCAGTTCGGTAATACACAATTTGAAGTGCTGTAATTTTTTTTTTTTTTTGCGATTTTCGTTTAAATTATGATTTCAAAACACTTATTAAAAAAAAAAGTCGTCCTGTGATTTAGGAAATTTTACCACATCTAGTCCAATATAAAAATTATTATCAGGTTTCAAGTCTCTACGTGTATTTATAATCGAATTACAGCAAAACTCCCAAAAATTAAAATTTCTTAAAAGCTCAGAAGTGGCTCAAACATTTTGGCCATGATACCGTAAAAAAGTAAACCAAAAGAAAACAAAAAGAGTGATCTTGTGATTTTTCGACTAAATCATTTTTTCTGATAGAAATCTTCGTCCGTATTTTTATAAAATAATGAAATCATAAAATTATATGTTTTCCTACGTTTTTTCCCACCTAAGTGCTTTTACTCAAAAATAGCGTCAAAAATTAAAAATTGACCACTTGAGTTTTCAAAAAATATGCTACACTTATACATCGGAACAAGTTTACTAGGAAAAAACGTGTCTACAGACTAGAAGAATAAAAAAAATAAACATTTTAGTAAAATAAATAGCTCCCTCGCTACGCTGGGAATCTAAAAATGAATGTTTAAACAAAAAATTAAAATTTCATCGCATAATACGTTATAATTGATGAACAAAAAATCAATAAAAATTGTTTGGTCATTTTGATCAATCTTCTAACTCTATCCTTCTCTTTTTTTTCGCACAAATGTGGCAATAACTTGGCTTACTATAGGTGTATATATCACTATCTGTTTTTGTATGTTTATCATGGCCAAACCGTTTAGACGTCATTTAAACATAGTGGACAGTAAGTAATTTTTTAACCGTTTTAAAGTCGAGAAATATTTCTCCGCTTTGGTTGTAAAAACTAGTAACCTGGTACAAAAGTATTTTGGTGTTTTAGAAAAATTCGTTGTACCGTTCTAATGCTTCAACTAAAATTTGTGGAAAAAAACAAAATCAAATATTACATTTTACAGTTAATATTACAGTTTCCTCGACGTTTTCTCGGTTTTTCCACATTATTAGGAATATAAAGAAAATAAATAAAGGCTTCTTCTTTGTGTCTATACCAGACAATACATGCATTCTACCAGATAAATACATCCCTATACTTGATATTCTGGGCATCTAATGCCAACAACTAGACAAAATTTGCTTTCAAAAAAGTTGATAAACTTAAAAATTGTAGCATAATTTCAGTTAGAAAATTTGCTAACAAACACAAACAAATCTGAAAAACCACTAAAAATACTAATACAATATATTCTGTAAATGACTTATGATAATATTTAAACGCTAAGAGTAACAAATGATTTTTTTGGAACCACAATAATATTTAACAGGGATCTAATTTTGTATGAAATATCAATGATGTGATAAGTATTTAATACTTCACATTTTAAAAATATTTCACTTTACTAGTATTTATAATTAAATCATTTTTGAATAAATGTTTAAAAAAAAAATTATTTTATACTTAATACCAACTCAACAATTTAATAATTAAATAGGTACACCGTATTATATATATGAACTATTAATATTTCGAACAAAATAACCCGGAAAAGAGCTTTCATAAATATCGTGAAAATATCAATATTTTAATTTACTATGTGTAGGTTATCCCAGAGACCACTGTCCGTCCACCCCTGTCGATATTAAGTGTTGTTAGCAACGGCCATTAGACGGGGTCATCGGCGTTTCTTGCCACTGGTCAAGATAATATTTCATTTATATATCAAATATATTTTAGCTGTCATCGAACCAAGTTGTCGGATGACATCAATTAAACAACACAATAAAGCTACTGTTTTATCAAAAATAATTATTTATACATAGCCAATACTTATAGTTATGCGTTTTTAAATGATACCTGTTATACGGAAATGTCGAAAAAATGATGTATTTAGCGTAGGACCTAATATGTGTTATGTTAATTATAATATTCCTAGGAGTATGTATATGTCATATAAAACAATTTTAGAATGTGTAATTATTATATAAATATTTCATTATTTCAGCGTTACCAATGAACCACTGTGAAATTAAAAAATTGATTAAAGATGGTAATGTGCAATGTTTGGAAGAAAAGTTACTGAATGGCGAAGGGTATAAATTGATTGGCCAGTATTCAACGAATCCTAAAATCAAAACATTTTTGCAATCAGTTCCAATATACATAGTAAATATACTTACATATATTATGACCATTTACTATACCCCAAATGAATTAAATATTTTATTTTTGTTCCCTGAGTTATAACGTAAGTACCTAGACATTTAGGTTTTTTTTTTTTTATCAAATCCATCGATTTTCTACTTGGGTTTTAGGTGAAATTGCTATTAGTTTTTTTCATTTAAAATTCATTTCAAACTTTTAATTATTTATCTACCTAGGTACAATATTTTAAAACAACCGTTAAACAGATAGTACCTATCAACTTTTGATTTTCAAATATCAACCTCCAAACATGATTAGTAAAAATAATCTTGTGTATGGTTTATGGTGTATTAAACGATTCTATAATGACTGAAAAAAACAAAATCAACTAGACTCAAAATCTTCGTAAATAATCATTGACTCATGATAAAAAAAATTACACTGTGTATCGTATATCAACTGAACAAAACCTTTATTGATTTAGAGGAGTATCGCGATAGGTGTAACAAGGTGTTTTTAAGACCTTCACGATTTTTACCTAACTACCTCTACATGACTATATTTAAATATTTAATATAATAATTTTCTATGAACTTGCTAGGTCCTATAGGTACCTATTATAGTATATGTTAAGGTCAATAATCGTCCTATATTGCGCAGGACAGTTCTACATTCCTTTGATTTGTCCTACGTCCAAAAACGCTTTAAACTTTATGTAAGATAATATAATTTTACATTTCAATTCGTATACTTTACACTATATGAACAAATATCTTTTTAAAAAATGTTTTTATTATTTTTATTTTATTGCGTTTTCTTTTCCTAGTAGGTAGATATGTTATAATTTTTTTTTTTTCTAACTAGTTTCTGATTACATTATTATTGTTAATTATAATTTATATTTTGAATCATTATATTTTAATAAAATATATAAATACCTACGTCTATTATCGAAAATAATTTTAAAATGTACATAAAGTCTAAACAAGCGTAGGTACCTATACATTTTGTTGAATTTTTCCCGAAAATAACTCAACTTGGGAATGGGAGGATAGTGTTTTGTTTAGCTTTGTACACCTCTACAGACTGGGAAGTCTAATAAAGCCACGGGGATGATATTTTGTATTGGTATGCATGTTGTCAATATCAAAGATGTAGGAGCTTAGAAATAAATGTATTTAATTGTATTTTGTGTATAATGTAACAATAAACACATTATATCTATTGTTACTACTTGAATTAAAACCATACGAATAAATAAATAAAATATATAATGTACCTATATAATATTATATTTTGATGTAATATTCTGAACGGAGTTCAGTTAATAGTGTTGATTTGTCAACAATATATATATACCTACGCCATATTATAATAAAATAGTAACGTTATGCACTGTATATTTTCTTTAATAATATGTGTTTAATACTGTACCGCCTGTTTTTCCGATTTTCCTACGTTTTTCCTATTAATTAAAACAACTTCTGGGAAAATCAAAAAATAACATTCTCAAAGTACCACCCCAATCAGATTTCCTTTCAGAAAAAGTGCTATACTTGTGAATCGGATCAATATTTCTGGTAAAAAAGTTGTTCACAGATTAGAAAAAAACAATAAACATCATTGTAAAACCATAAGCTTCTTCGCTCCACTCAGAATCTTAAATAAAATTTGAAATTCGTACTACTATGCAATCCATGTTATAATCTACAAGTAGAACAGTAATGTCTCATTAAGGAAAAATGATGATAATTATGATAAGTAACTCTTATTAATAATAAATAATATGTACTTACCTATAATATTGACAAATTAAATTTACTAGTTATATTGTATACCTAATTAAAGTTTGGGTAAAAATCAATAATTTTACACTTGTACCTGATATTTTAATAACTATCTCTGTGTTAAAACTTTGAACGCTGAAACCCATTAAATTTAAAGTTTTACATTGTCTATTTATTTATTTATTTTTTTTCATTTTAGGCCCGGATTGACATGCTACAAGATTCTGCATGTAAAGGAAACTTGAGGGATATGGAAGTATTGTTAGAAAACGGAAATTCATCAAGAAATATTTATAAAATACCTCCAGTGAAATTAGTGTGTAGCAAAGATTTAAATGGTGTAACAGTTTTGCACAAGGCTGTTTATTATGATTTTTTGGATATTATTGAGTGGCTAGTTAAAAATTATCCACAAACTGTCCACATCAAAGACAAAGTACTTACAAATTATTATTTAAATAAAATACAGACATTGGTAACTATTATATGTTCGCACGCAACTTATTGAAACCTATCAATCAGGGGCCTATGTATAAAATATAGATATACATTTTACAAATCTCACATTTTTGTTCATTGGTATGCACAATAGGTGCTTTAAACCTATCCACTAGCTAGGAAGAAGGGATCCACCCACTCCTCATTCATAAAACTACCACAGCTATCGATATTAAACTCTGAACGTAGCGAAAGATGTATTGATTTACGATAATTTGTTTTTTTTTGTGTGTGAATCTGTATAAAAACACGACCATAAATCTTGCTTTATTCCTAAATTGCACAAAACTTCCTGGCATTTTTAAGATATTTTGAAATGTTCTACTTGTTTTCGTTTTTTTTTTTTTTTTTTTGTTCGATTCTATGTAGATAACATCTGTTTGGCTTTTTAAAAACATTAAAAATTTGGTACAAGTTTCATCATAAGTAGTACTTCAAGTAGTAAATCAAAAGAACACAATTGAGCATCATGTTGTGATATATTTTTTTTAAATTTTTAAAAATATTTTTTTAGAAATAAAAATTTATGATGAACTCATTAAAAACACGAACAATTATGGTAATTCATTTTATAGTTATAAATTAATAACATGTTTAGTTTAAATTTATTACACAAATTTTAACTGAACTTCGCCCAGTAGGTACCTAATATTTTTAGATTTATCCTTGCGTACAGTGTATAAATTAAATTGTACATCTATCAAGTAAATTATAATAATTAAAATTGTTCAATATTTTTTACTCGAGGAAGTACTCTGTTTAAGTTTAACTATATTTCTATTGTATACCTACCAAATGGTAAATTTTTTTTTAATTTTTAGACTTTGAGAATTCCATTACATTATATATGTTCTTGTTCGAACGTATCACGTATTTGGGATTTAATGCTAGAAGCTGGAGCCGATCCCAATGCATTGGATATAAACAATAATACGCCATCTTATTATTTAGAGTATAGTGAGAATATTACATTGCCAAATAATTTTAAAAATGATACATTAGAACAAGGTGAATCAAATTTTGATGGATATAATTTAATAGTAAAATTAATACGGTGACCACACACGAAAAATATTTTTCGCAATATTATATTTTTTAAACATTCTAAAGAAAAACTTCAATTTAAGTATTTAAAATTGTATCTTAGTTTTAAAATATTATAATATAATATGTAGGGTAATCCATTTATTATGATTTATCGATTTTTTTTCGGAAGATTTTTAGTGAATTGGAATTCTATTGATTTCAATTATTATGGAATCGTTTAAGTTTTACTCTAACATTATTTTAAAATGTCTGCTCCTACTTCTTATACCTTAATTCACTATTCATTTTGGATTTTTATGTATCCACCATTTGAAACACAAAGAAAATCTTTCTGAAAATAATTTACATCAGTACATCATGTACATCATGCATAACACATTAGTGTTATCACTCATCAGACAAATCGTTTATGAGTTTTAACAGTTTAAAATGTAGATAGAGGGAAGGGTAATTAACTTCATACCCATTTTTAGATGATAACATTGATAACCCTTCCCTACTCCTCTGGTCTAAAATTTAAGTTGTTATAACTCATAAACAATAAATCTAATATTAATTCATATCTATTGCTTAGACAAATATTTGCTATTTGAAAGGGGTGGGGCAATCTTGCTATAAGAAAATCCAAAATATATACTCATATATAAGGATGAGAAATAAAACTTGAACGATGCTATAATAGTGAAAAAAAAAAAATTAATTTAAAATCATCTGAGAAAATGTGAGAATCATCAAAAAAATCACCTGATTTACATTAGGCAATTTCGTTATCATTTTTTTTCATAATACACATTCAAATATAGAATTAATACTATCAAATATTTGAGTATATACACAATTAACTTAAAATTAATTGATTATTATTTATTTTTTAGATATTCCAATAAAACCTTCTAATATACGAATATGGATACATGATCGTAACATAAAACAACTAGCAAAGGTTATTTGGTCCGGATTTGGGGATAAATTATTGACAGAGACAAGCAAACAGGCAACAGTCAACAAATTTTTGAAAGCAGTACCCTATATAATGGTATATTTTTAATCCATCTTCGCGTTGTTTTTTTTAATATTACGTATTTATTACTTTTTCATTTGCAAAGGGTATTATTAAAGAAATTCACAAAGCTGTTATTGAAGATAATCTTGCATTATTAAAAAAACTTAACCGTGAACCTGTACCTGTGGAAATATTAGCAAGTAAAGACCAGAATGGATTAACTCCATTGCATAAGGTTCATAATTAATTTGTTTTTACAATTGATTTGAAAATATTAATTTCAAACAAATTTTAGGCAGTAGGCCTGGGCAGACTTAGTATTGTTGATTATATAATATCTAAGAATTCTAAAACAGTAAATATCAGGGATAGCGATGGTAGAACACCTTTACATTACGCCTTTATCGTAGAGCCGGATAACATTACACCTATTTATAACAAACTTGTTAAAGCTGGAGCAAATGAAAATTTAATCGATAAGGTTTGTTTTTATTCATTTAATTACTATCTCTAATCATTATAACACGTTGGTTTGTTTATTGTATTAATCGTATGTTTCTACTTAACAGATGATTAATGTTAAGCAATTAGTATAAGATAATTTATTGGTGCTCAGTGCTCAATGAATTAACGAATATGTATAATTTATCCATCATATTTTGGCACCATTATAAAAACTATTTTTATTATTTATATACGAAAAATACAAAATTCATATTTTTGTATTCTCATACGTAATGAAGAACAGGTAAAAATCACTTAAAGGGGATCTATGGAAGAAAATGACCGTCTAATATCAAACTTGGCTGTCTATTTGTGAAATACAGTAATCGTCTGTATTATGAAATGTATTATTAAATTTGAAATCATTTTTATCATGTACATACCTAGTCGTAATCGTATATAAAATTTATTGTAATTTACGTTCAAATTCTAAGTTAAAAGAAATTCCTAATATGGCTATAAAAATAAGAAGGGATATTTCTGTAATATTCAGCTCAACTTAATGCAATACATTTCGAAAACAATTTGCAACTCCTTAATAGACGATGAAAAAAAAAAATCTGACTTGTAGGCTTTAAACAGTTCTTTCAGTAGAAGTGGACGTTATTATGAAAAAAGTTGCCTTTTAGCCACAAAGTAGCTCATTTTCCTTTTTAGTTCTTATTGTCGATTACCTAGTAAGGGATATTATAAGGTTCTAGATCTCACCTTTTCTCGGCAATAAATAAACACTTTGGTGATAGACACTTTAAGGTCGACGTCAATGTACTTTCAAGTAAGACACATCGGGGTGTAAGAAAAAATGCTACCACAGTTATGCCTAAAAAAAAAATATTTGAAAATAATGATGACTTTGCGAAAATAGTATAAACGCTATCTATGAGTTTAAAAGTTTATTGGTTTTTATAAAAATCGGAAAATATCGGGTATAGTACGAAGGTTACTTTGCCTAATGTTGACGAGAACAAGCGGACCCGAGAAATATGATATTTAAAACTCTGTCAATTAATAATGGGAGTAAACTATGAACTAGATGTAAACACAGAACATTGCCCAATTATACACCAGAAATCACTTTGGTGATATTTGCCCATCTTCTCTAATATCTCTCAATGTGGTGTTAGGTGTACTAAAAGGAGGTGGAAGTGGTCAAGACGGAGGTGGCAAGAATACAAAAGATGTTGAAAAAGGGTATAAATGTGATAGGAATGTATAAAAGTGTAAATAGTCTAACATTTCGTGCAATTAAAGTGCCATGGAGGCATGTTTTGTAAAAATAAATAATTATAAAAAGACAGATTTGAATGTATGCAAATTAAAAATTGTAATATTTGAATTTATATTTATTTATAATCTTAAAATTCCAGTTTTATTATAAAAAGTCATAGATATTATAATAATTTTTATGACATTATCCACAATGTATTGGCTAATGTCAATAAAATTAAATTTTCAAAGCTATAACATAAAAGTTCCAATTATATATTTATTATGAAGGTTATTTTAAAAAAGACGTCCTTGGATAATGGGGTCGTAAATTTCCAGTTTTTCTTACGTTTTATCTTGGTTTTAACCAGATATTATGAAAACCGCTAGGAAAATCAACAAATGACTTCCTAAAAGTACCATCTAGACATCATTCCCTTTCAGAAATGGTACCGTGCGTATACATCTGAGCAAGATTTCTAGAAGAATTTTTGTACATAGAATAAAAAAAAAAAATATTTAACAAAAATACTTTTTTTTATGTGTTTAATATTATTTAAAAATAAAAATTATTTGATGTACATTTTGAATATTATAAAATTAATTTTTTTTTTTTCATCAAATATTATAAACATGAAACTTATTTGTATTTCAGAAGGGAAAAACTCCCAAAGGTGATGGTACAAAAATAAATGATATACCAATTAATTTATTAACTATACTACCTAAAGCGCCAAGAATCGCATCAGAGTTCCCAGCTTCTTGGGATTGGAATATTTTATATGAAGCTGATGAGAAAGAAAAGTCGGTTATAAAGTCAAAACCAAAGGTTATTACATTTATTCAAGTGCCTACATATAATTCAAATTTTTATAAATTTAAAGTTAAATTTATTAAAATTTGTCTACCATAAACCTATTAATCTATATATGGATCTTTTTTCATCCCCGTATATTCTGTTGTGAGTTAATATAGAAGAGAAAAATATAGTATACACTTTTTAGTTTCTATCTTTCCCACTCACTCGATTTCTCCTAATGTTTTCTCTGTCTAGGATCTACACATAGATTAATTGGTCCATGGAATTTATACAATTTTAAATTTAAATTTAGGAGTCTGAAACACAAGCAAATTTAACAACAAGTACAACAAAACCAACTAATACTAATGGTACCGAAAATATTAATCGTGTACAGGATATTGATAATATTGAAAATTCCAACAATGTTGAAAACGTCGATATTAATAATGATTACGTTTTAAATAGTGAAAATAAGAAGACCAACAATCTTAAATTGAGAGATGAAAATTATATTTCTCTGTACAATCAACGAGAGGTACAAGAAATTAATGATAATATTGATAATGTCGATAATAGTAATATTAAAGAAAGTAATAATCCTAATAATAAAGATACAAATTATACTACTTTGTACACTCAATCAGAATTACAAGACATTAACGATAATATTCATCGTAGTAAAAATGAAGAAAACGATGATCATAAAAATAGAGATACAAATTATACTTCTTTAAACACTCAAACAGAATTACAAGACATTGCCAATATTGTTGATCTTAGTAAAAATGAAGAAAACAATGATCATAAAAAGAGGGATACAAATTATACATCTTTAAACACTCAGATAGAATTAGAAGACATTGACAATAATTTTGACCACAAAAGTAAGGATGAAGAAAACCATGATCGTAAAAAGAGAGATACAAATTATACTTCTTCGAAAACTCAATCAGAATTACAAGGCATTGATAATAAAATTGACTACATACATAATAGTGAAAATAAAGAAAATAATGATCCAAAAAATATAAACAAAAATTACAACTCATCATACACTAAATCAGAACTGCAAGATATCGAAGACATAAACAACGGAATTTCAAAATCGAGCAGTTTTACTTTGGGAGAGGTTAGACAAGCGTTCAATAATGGATTGTTAGATGATATGTTACCTTTGTGTGGTCCAGTATACAGAGTTAATGGTTTAAAAGATACAGAAAACGTAGCACTTTTTGATAAAAATGAAACAACATCTAGAGAAACACAGGTAAAATTATAACTTAATAATCAATGTGGGTGAAAAAAAATGTACCTATACCATAAACAGCATAACAACACACATACTTTATTCAAAACATAAAAAGTCCACTAGTGTTCTCATAAAATGTTTTGAGAATATACTGTAACACCCAATTCTGTATTTTATTTATGGATTATACTTTTAGTAAGAAAATAATTATATAAAATATAAATTAAAATTATTTTACAATAAACATTTCTAAAAATAAAGTACTGTATATTGAAAGAAAATTTTGAAATTTTCAGTTAAAATAATTACTGAAATAAATACAATTTTTATTACTGTTTCAGTTTTAGTGATATGAACGGTTCATGAAAATTATATACTAAAACGGATTTTTTTTTTTTAGCTATTTGAGAGTATACACAGTTCATCCGTAATTTTTCAACAAAATGTTCAGAGTATACGGCGCATAATATTATTTAGTATACCCTGTGGGAACACCACTGTTAACAAAACATTTTAAACATACTACTCGTTTAACGTTTTATTATGATTATTGGGTTTTTCTAAGGTTTCAACATTTCATGTTTTTAATAGTGTTTTTGTTTGTTTTTTTACGTGTTATAAATTACGCATGAGAATAGGGGTTTTAAAAAAAATTATTATTATGATTAAATCCACTATTTCTATTGTATTGAAGACGGTTAGCTCAGAAATGAAATTCATTTTTTATTCTGGCTTTTTAATTCATCACAAATTGAATTTAAAAATCAATAAATTTAAAAGCACTAAAAACGCGGGTATCTCTATTGGCGGGTATCAAATATGTCTTACTCGGTTTTTGGTTTAGTGGGTACCACCATGATTTTAAATAGTACTTGCCACTGTGATTGAAATCACACCTTATCATGTATCTCAGATTGATAACGTTATTAACACATCCTTATCAGTATACTAACCTTAGTATGTCTGATGTTTGATAAAACACATTTAAATTCGCGCCAAAACTGATCAATTTAAGCTAGGTAAATTTAAAAAAAAACATAAGTCTTAAAATAATGAAAAAAAGCTAATTTTTCAATCAGAAAAACTATAGAATTAAGGAAAAATCTTGACAACCCCCATTACTGAAGAAATAAGGAATCAAAAATAAATAAATATGATTCAGTTAAAACATCTTAGTTCTAATTATCTATTAAATAAATAAATAAATCTATTTAAGATAATTGTTTATTCTATCAAAATAAAATGCATTTAAAATAATACCTAACTATAGGTAGGTATTTAATATAATTTTAGAAATTTGCTACTGAAACAAAAAAAAAAACGATCCTTAAATAGTTAAATTCATCTATATTAAATCGTATTAAAAATATTAACATATGTTTTATACACTTTAGGAACCTAAAAATTCAGCACATATTATAGTGAACAAAGGAAGTTTAGATAAAATTGCTGATTACATTTTGGATGGTAAACACGAAAAACTCGCAGGTATAAAATCAGACACGCCAGCAGTTCAGGATTTTCTTGATAAAATACCATTTTATGTAGTATGTATTTATTATTTTAAATATAATTATTTATTCGTTTGACTGAAGTATAAGTTAATTGTTAGACATTATTCTTTAATACTAAAAATATGGTAGTGATGTTTTACTTGTATATTGACTCACGTAGATGGAGGTTGTATGCATATAGAATTTATATCCCCAATAGAAACTTTTTTAGCTGGGCACAATTTGCTTTTTTATATAACTCGTATCGAAAAATATTCCTTACACAAATGTTATCAGATTTTGTATTAATATTATTTAAAAACCTATTTACCCACTATCGTCTGTATTTAATAGCATAACTAAAGAGTTAGTAGTTAATATTTGGAGCATTGTCATGTAATACCAACCTAACAAAAAATATCTCCTTAGAAAAAGCACGCATCGCTATAAAACGAATAGTTTCTTTGTTTCACTCGAAATCTGAAAAATGCATATATCTTCTAATACATATTTGGATACGAAATTCTGAGAATTTTGATATAAAATATAATTATAACATTTGTATTAGATGTAATAATTTTATTTTTGAAAGTATAATATAAAAATAAGTATCGTGATGAAAATAATTATTATTATTTTGATTTTTAGAACAAAATTGACCAGATTCATCGTTACTGTGCAATTGGAGACTTGGATGGATTAATTCAAGTTTTAGATCGAAAAAAATTTTGTTTAGCTCGCGAGTCTAAAAGTGGTTTAGGTTTAACTCCTTTACATACAGCAGCTTTATATGAACAGTTGGACATTTTTGAATATTTAACAACTAAGTTTCCAGAAACATTAAAATTGAATGATTTTTATGGACGTACTGCAATGGACTATGCAAAATCTATGCCAGATAACACATTTCTAGACAAATTGTTGAATATAGAAAGTATTTTTGGGGTACGTTCACTTTTTACATTTATCATCTGCTTATTATTTTTTTCATCTTTACTAACTGCAGAAACTCAATATTATCATGCCACATAAAAAAATATAAGGTGATTTATTTTGTACATAACGATAAATCATTGCTAACGAAAACCGATTCTGAGTGAAGTTCGGTTAAATATTTATGCTGATAAACTTCAATTAAAAATGTTATTATATAGTATATTTATTTATAACTACAAAATAAATTATAATTGGCCGGGTTTTTTTGTCTCAATTGTTGAAGCATTTTTATAGAGCCAAAAAAGTTATATCCACATATATTAGAAAATAGTACGTGAAACATTCAATGATACTTACGATTCTCATAAAAATGTTAATTTTATGCTTGACAAGTTTTATTGATTATAAGTCAGTGGTAAGTAGTTCAATACAATAATTCATAAGTCAGTAAGTTAGAAGTAAAAAAAGTTAATCATTCTGTATAAAACATAGGTATAATTACCTATACATCATATGTATTTTTTGTAGCATAATTTTTGTTCACAAGCATTTAAAGTTCAAATTTCGATGGAAATTGCAAGATTTCACACTAAAGTAAGAGTACACAGCATTTGTGTATTATTTTCCGTTTTATGTGAATTCAACTTTTTTGACTCCATATAAATGCTCAAAATGTTGAGACAAAAAACTCTGAAAATAGTAACATATTTTGTGGTTATAAAATAATGTAATAACATTTTCAATTGAAGTTTATCAATAAACATGTTTAACCGAACTTCATTTAGAATCGTTTTTTGTTAATAATTATTTTATTTATCGTTGCATACTGATATAAATTAAATAGCTTTTTTTATGAATCCACCTTTTCATATTCCCACCTACAGCAGTGTCATACCCATAGTGTAAAGTTTTATAACCTTTTAATGTTTGAATTTAATATTTAAAAAAAGTATTTCCATAGTCCTAGCGTGTTATTTTTATTCTAATGCTATCTACTCAATTACCTACCGCTGTCAACTAAAAAGTGATTGGATTAGTTTTACATTTAATAGTCATATATTAACCATTGTTGTTAGTGTGTATCCATAGTAATAGTAATGAAATATTCATAGGAATTTCAAACTGATTATCGTACACCGCTAAATTTTGGAAAAAATAGTGTCACATTCAAACCAAAGGAGATACAAAAAGCTTTAGGCTACGTTACTGAACCTGCTGACGAAGAATTAAGTGATTTGGATATGGACAGTAATATTAAAACAAATATTTTTCATAACAAGTAATCGTTTCTAATTTCTCTTTTTTTCTTTTCAGGATCTTCAAATAATTCTGGGAAACTGCTTTCATCAGTTATCAGTGCAAGTAGATTTTCCGTCGAAGACAGAGAATATTTAAATAAAGGTAATTTACATTTATAATTTGGACATTAAAAATAATAATATAATATAGTGTAATATAAAAAAAAAAAAATGAACCGCTTTAAAAATTAATTATAATTAATTTTTTTTTGTTTTATGTGTATGACGTGTTATAAAACAGCGGTTATCAAACGGTGCTCTATAGAGCCCCAGAGGGCTTTTCTTGAATGACCTATAGGGGTTATTATAAGTCGAAATTGGCATATTATAATGTCTTAGTATTACTTGAATCGAACCGTCTAAAGATAAGTAACAATTCAATGTTTATACTGTAAATATTATTTTCTAACTAAACATCAATGTCCGAATTCAAATTCCGGTTTCTGGGATCCGTAGACTTTTTTAGCAACTCTTAATAAACAAAATAAAAGTTTGACAACCGTTGTAATTAAGTAACAGCATAAGACTGTTAGTTAATTTTCATAAACACTATTGTTATCTATACGTGTACTAAATATAAACAAATACTATATTATACTTTATATAATAATAGAACAATTTGTTTTAAAATAATTTACTTGGACTAGTCATTATCAACCAAATATTTTCTGTAACCATACGAAAGTCTAGTTTTAATTTAATTATCTAATTAGAATTTATAATTAATTTTTATGTACTTAATTTGAAACTAAATGTGCATTTTTTTTAATTTCTCAGATATATTATCACCTATGATCTGTATTATGTATACTATTATGGTACGAAGCATAATGTTTTTAATTTTTACTATTTTACGCTTTATTAATAATTTACAGTTATTTTAACCGAGAAAACAAATTATTGCAGATCACTTAGGGGACATAAAATTTGTTTTAATAGTTTTAAGACAATATTCTGGATTACGTAAAATTATTTGTAAAAACAATAAAAATAATTTCAAATATTATTATGTCAACCTCGTCATCTTCTAAAAAGTATTTTACTGTTGGAAAGCAATCGAACTCATTGGATTCCATGAAAGTTTTCAAAAATTCTAACTCTTTCTTAAAAGTAAAAATTTGTTCATGAACAATGAATACGTTTACTTATTGTTTGCCACAGAGTGTGAAATTAAGTTCATGTTAGCTCTTTGTAAAAATGTAATTAATAGACAATTTTAAGTAGCTAAATTATATCAAGGGATCAATATATTAATTCGAAATGATGTTTTGAAAAAAAGTTTCATGGAATCCTTAAATGATTTGAAACACAGTTTAAGAAACACTGAACTAATTACATATTAAGAACTTAAAAATTTTGTTAATGTTCTGTTAAATCATATCAACACCATGTGGCTTAACCTTTTACCAGCTCCACTGCACCAACTATAAAGAAATGTTATAACTTTTTCAACTGAAAATTAGCATGGAAATAATCTTAATTAGCACGAAGTTCAAAACATGTTTTTAAAAAATTGTAATATTTCAATATGTAACGAGACTGGTGCAAAGGTTGTCAAAACGAAAATATCAGTTTTACTGGTTTAGTTAGAATTGTAAATATTTGGGAGATAATAGGGTTTAAAATTATCACATATATCGATAGTAAAATAAAATGAATACTTCATGTTTACTTCACAATGTTTTTCAAAGTTTGATAATAATACCAATTTAATTTATACATTATTTATTGAAACATGTATCTATTATATCTGTAGTCCTAAGGAAGAAGAATTTAATTTTGTATAGTTTTCAATACAAGCAAATTAAATTTTGAGAATTGATAAATTACATAATAACATGATTACTAAGTAACTAAATTGCTCTATAATACATATGATCTATGATTGGGTCAGCCAAATAAAAAAGTACTTCATAGTCGCTAGATATTTAAATTTTCAGTAAGTATAGGTTACATGTACAACCATGCAATTTAGGCCAACAAATAAAGGGGAGAAAATCGTATCATAAAACACTAAAAAAAATTTTAAAATTGATTTATGTCATTTCCTGGGAAATGACATTAATATAATGTCATTATTATTATTATTATTTTTTTTTTTTTAAGGAAATTTCAACAACAATTACAAACAAAATATATTATAAATGTGTACTCGTATACCTATTCGTTTAAGTAATATTATGTTATAAAATAATTCAAATAAGATTATTTCTAATTATATACCTATACTTACAATGTAGAATTATTGAAAAATATTATTGTTAAGTAATTGTTATTATCATCAAATATTATATTACCTGATTTTGATTTCACAATTTCTAAAATAAAGGTAGATACATGATAAAACGCAATTTTAAATACCTATATTGTGTATTAAATATTTGTTTAAATTAATAAACTAATTGCTTGTATTAAATGTTTTTTATTATTTAGCTTATAATAGTATAATAGTATAGTAATTAATATCACAATTTAAATTTACAATATTAACTAAGGAAAATTAAGAGTAAATGTAAACATTTTAGTACCAATATAGTTTTTCTTAAATTTGACATTAATTATATTTTTTAGCCATCGGAAAGCCATTAACTTCTGGTTTGAAGGATCTTATAAAACGCCGACCATCTAACCCCACTCTCTTCTTAGCTGAACATTTGACTAATCATTACGACGACCCGCAATCAGACCAAGAAAGCGGAGTAAGTTTGACTAAGATGGTATGATCTCAGACTAGAGATTATTAAAGCACCTAATTTATATCTATATAGGTTATTTAGGCGTAGTAATTTGAAAAAAGTTTTTACAAGTGAGATAATTCAAGTGTATAGTGATAATATTGTTATTTTATTTTAGAGCTTTAAAAAAAAATGTATTAATTAATTTTATCAAAATGAACATTTTAATTTCACATTTATTAAAGAAAGAAATACAATATCAATTAGGTACATATCCTATAATTATATTCTACGATAAATAATATAAAACCTAAACTTTATTTAAAATAGGAAATTATAAATCTAATGGAATTTACTCATAATAATTCTACTATCCTGAATTACCGTGTCGATACAAATATGTAAAATGACTCAAAATCTAAATAAAAAGCGATGCTTGGAATTGAAGGGTTTAAACTTTAAAACTGATTTGATATTGTGTTCAAGTTTTCAACTGAAATGGTGATATTTCAAAAATTAAATGTATTTTTTAGTATACAAATAATGGAAATTATTATGAAATTTATGTTTTTTTTTTTTTTATAACTATCAAAATTTTAAAGATAAAATTTAATATTAAAATTCAAATTAATCAAAAATTTGATAAATACAAATCTATTTTAAAAATTTGAATAGATCAATCCCAAGCCTCAAAGTTTTATCTGGTTTATTGGTTTGAAACGTCATATTCGTAAATGAAAACGTCCGTAATGAATATCAGGCAGTAGTTAAGTGAAAGAGTTTCATGATTAATGTAGTAATAAAAGGTTAAACAAATTTTCATATTTTATAAAATTAGAGCAAATTCAGAAAACCTGCTCTATCCTGCTTGAAATAATTAAAACATTTTTTTTTTTTTTTAGTCAGTTAATGTTAAATGTATTAATCACGCGTAGTTCTGTTATGAGTAATTATTTTTCATTAAAATATACCGTAACTTATATTTTATGTTTCGTATACGTTTATTACAATATGTTAATTAGCATGTTCTCAATATATTGTGTTTGATCATATTATGTGTTTTGTTATCGGTAATAAAAAACAGTTTAAATGTATAAATAAATGTTGATGTTCAATAATTTGTCTTTATCCAGTATAAAATTATAGATACCTTTAGTCAATTTCCAAAACCAAACTTTCAATGATTTATCATACTATCACATTATCCTATCCATGGTTGGCCGGCAGAATCCATCATTGTGGTCTTATCGCCACTAAATTGTCTTCAGGTATTGCAACCCAATGTTCAACCACAATCTATACCGAATCGTGATGATCAACCGTTAATTGTTTCACACTTGCCCAGACCTTGGGATATATTTAATAGCTATCGCCCGGAATTCAAAGCTATTAGTCGTGTAAGTTTAAATTTAAAATATATCTAATATTTTTTATTTATCTTATCTATGGCTTAGGTAATACTATATTGCTAGTTTATTATTAATTTAGGATGAATTCGGAATGAGCATGATACATTCTGCTGCGTCTAGAACGCATAACCGCAATGCGTTCTTTCAGTTATTACAAGAGCTTGATGCAAACATTGGACTACGAGATGAACATTATAGGACTCCTAGAGATATTGCTGTTAGTTCAAATATTAGAGAAAATGTGAAAACTATCGATAAGTTCGTGGTTCATATTATAGCCAGAGGTAAGTTAACAATTACGCTCAGAATCTAAAATTCGCATCTGAAAAACAATCGATTTTAGATTTTTTAAAATACTTATATAAATTCTCTATAATAATGTTAATAGAATAATACATGTATAATTTGAGAATATTAAAATTAAAAACAAAACTTAAAAATTAATTAAAAACGAATAAACATTTTGTATTTTTAGGTGAATATAATAAAGTTGTTAATCTTTTATTGGAAGGATACAACCATATAATAGATTTGGACACAGATAAAAATATATTCTTGCTATCGTCGAATAGAGGCCATTCTCACATATCAGCTATACTACCAAGTATTTCGACTTTTAAGGTAAATAAACCATTTGAAATATTAAACAGATAATTAATACAAAAAAAATATAATTAATTTTATTTAAGGAAACCCGAGAGAGACTTCACAGGGCAATTCGCTTAGGAGTACAGAATCAAGTCGAAGAAATGCTACAAGAACGAGATGAAGAATGTGTAATGTTAGCTATAGCGAAAAACGAACGGAGTCGGTGTAGTCTGCATATAGCCGTGTTAAGTCAAAATGAGGAGATTGTACGATTTTTAGCGGAAAATTTCCCTGCCACATTAGATGTACTCGATAACGTAAGGAAACATACAATTTTAGATTCCAAGCGTAGCGAGGAAGCTATTGGTTTTACAATGCTGTTTATTTCTTTCTTTCCTTTTTTTTTCTTTGTTCTAGTCTGTGGACACGTTTTTTCCTAATAAACTTGCTCTGATTTTTACGCGTAGCAACTTTTCTGAAAACTCAAGTTGTCTAGATTATACTTCAAATATGTAATTTTTTTTTGATTTTCAACGCCATTTTTTGAGTAAAAGCACTTAAGAGAGAAAAAAACGTAGGAAAACATACAATTTCACGATTTTATTATTTTATAAAAACACGGACGACGTTTTCTACCAGAAAAAATGATTTAATCGAAATATCACAAGATCTTATTTTTTGTTTCTTTTTAGTTTACTTTCTAACGGTATCATAGCCAACATTTTTGAGCTACTTCTGAGTTTTTAAGAAATTTTAATTTTTGGGAGTTTTTTTGCTGTAATTTAGTTATAAATACACGTAGAGACTTGAAACTTGATAATAATACTTATATTGGACTTACCTAGACGTTGTAAAATTTTTAAAATCATTAGACGACTTTTTTTTTTTAATAAGCGTTTTGAAATCAAATTTAAACGAAAATCGCAAACAAAATTACAGCACTTCAAATTATGTATTACTAAACTGCGCTCGGAATTATCTTACATCAAGTAATGGTTTATCATTGCTTACAGATATAAATGGAATAACCTTATGTATCCTACCTTCCCAACTTCTCACCTACAACAGTGATCGCTCCCATCTCCAATATCAGCTCTTTTTTTTTCTATGAACAACTTTTCTATCAGAAATCTTGCTCCGATTTTCAATTATAATATCTTTTCTGAAAGGAAATTTTATCTGGGTGGTACTTCAAAACGCTATTTTTCCAATTTTCCAAGCAGTTTGCATATTAATTGGAAAAAAAGTAGGAAAAACGAGAAAATATACGAACGTATATAAAGAAACTTCGCTCCAAATCGTTTTTCGTTAGCAATGGTTTATCACTGCGTTCAGATATAAATTAAATTTTCCTCTAAAATCATTCGTACAAGCTCTAATAAATACTCTTCTATATAAAATACATAACAGATTTCTTTTGCCCTAGACTCAGCCAAAAAATTGCAAACATGGAAGTATGCAATGTCTTTGTTGCTATATTACATGTGATACAGACAGAGAAAACAAATATTAGTAACGAGTGAGCTTAATGACCTTAATTAATGCAAAACCGTTGTATGATTTATTTCAATAAGAAGTTATTTTTTATTATTTTTAGTTTTCTATTAAATAACAAAATTATCGCGATATAGAATTATCGATTTTCAATAATATAGGTTTTTGCAACAAGGTTATTGCACCTTGGTCCAAGGCCTTATTTTAGGTTTAATTTTTTTGGAGTGGGAAGTGGCAGAGGTCCTTGAATTCAGTTCCCAGTAACAGAAAATAGCCCTATCCACTACTGTGAGTAACAAAAAAATACATCCTATTACGCACATTTTTGCTATTGGCCCTATATTTGTTTAGAAATGTGTGTATCAGTATTTTACAATCTTTTAGATACTATGGACCACTTGGAAAAATGTTTGATAGATCGTGGACTACCTCAATTTTAGGAAGCTCTAATTTTTTTTTTTTTTTGCTCAAACTAATTCTTAGATAAAAACTTAACTTAACCTAATAGATTTTGATATTCTTTTAAAGAATTTGTAAGGTTAAATTTCTTTACAGATTTTAGAAAAAAAGTACCATTTTCCCCTCATAATTTAAATTCAGCATCTCTGACTGCCGTTTGGGAAACAGTGAATTAAAGGTTTTATATAAATTTTATATAATGAGTCAAATCTAAAAATTAATTTTTAGTTATTATAGGTACTTACATTAACAAACTAAATAATTTTATATTATATTTAAAATAAACTATTAATAACAGGGGAGGGTGTGCTGAACCTTCCTGTGGTCCCTTCTGTAAGTAGTGGTTTAAAATTATTTTATAATTTATAAGATTGCCACTAAACCAATCAGCATGAAACCGACTGCCAGACGTCCTTAGACCTTCTTGCATACTCGGTGAAAATAGCCTTTCTCAAGACTACCCTTATATACGCGCTCTTCACCTTATCAACGGTAAGATATTAAAACCGTTTAATAAAAAGGATTTCAAAAACAAACACAAACGTAATCCTCAGGGAAAGACGAGCTCCCTAAATGAAAAAACACCTCGGAATGCAAGAACTCGCAGAGCAATTTAAGAATTATAAACTCCTTAATATATAAGGTTTAACAAGTTCAAAAGCAGAAATAATCAGTAAAACTTTTAGTGACGACGATGTACTAACCCTAAAGAAGATCCATATCTCAGACGGAGAAACGAGGCGCCTGATAACTCCAAAGTTTAGGCTGATTGACTACATTGGACACCCAAAGCATGGTCTAGCAATCTATGTCAACCAAAAGGTGGAAGAACGTCTCGTCAACCCAGTTACTGGCAATGAAATACAGTAGGTATCCGTGTGGACAACCTCATAATTTACATTGTATATAAGCATCCTTCAATAAACTGGTCCCACTCCATACTTCCAATACAACAATGCCTAACAGTATACCTAGGAGACTTCAATTCACACAGCACTGCCCGGAGCTATCCAACTGAAAATGAAGACGAAGAATAATTATGTAGATAGGCAATACTCCATCGTTTGCACAGACTCTACGATACCAAACAAGGGAGCACCTTTGTGTCTGGCAGGTGAAACACGGCAACAACCCCTGACCTGTGTTTTATAATAAATGATTTCCATGATCAACCTCTAAGAGCTACCCCCGCTATTCGAAATAACTTTCCCAGAATCCAACACAAACCAGTAGCAATAGGTATAGGTCTACACTTACCCAGAATAGACAAACCTATGATGGCCAGATAGAACCTACGCAAGGCAAGGTAGGTGAATTACACAAGTTATATATGGAAAAAAATAGCCACATCTCACTCCTCCTAAAGAACTACCCTAGGTTTATCAAGCTAGTCAAAAAAGCAGCGAGCAAGGTCATTCCAAAAGACCACAGGCAGATTTATATCCCTTGTTGGAACAGGGAGTGCGATTCACTACTGAAGGAATATAAACGTACCAGAGACGAGACCATCGCCATTTTCCTAATGACTCTATAAGACAACGAGAAGAGGAACTGGTAGATTACGGCAATGAACGATTTGGATTTTACCCACTCAAGCAGAAAGAGTAGGGCACTCTTCAGAAAGCTGGAGGCCGCTCAAACCTCAAGGAAAAGTGGTAATGTCATATCAAATGGCATTATATACAAGACGTCCAATATTTAGCGAAACAATGTCGAAAAATTTGAAGTAAGGAGGAAATCCAAAGAGACACTTAAGGAGTGTGAAAATAGATCAGAGCTGGTATCAGAGTTTACTCCAGAAGAGGTCCAAGATGCATTAAAATCAGTAAAAAAGATGGGAAAGCAACAGGGATAGAAGAAGAACTTTGGTCCCAATTGCATCAACTGGTTTGCGAAACTCGCACTGCAATTGGGAGTTTAGGTATCTAAAGTTATTATTATACTATAACCAAACAAAGATGCTCCCAACCCTAATAACTATAGGCCAATATCCTTATTATCCATAATGTACAAACTCAACTCTTCGACAGTCAATAATGGAGAAGTTCCTACATGTAAAACAAGCTGGTTGCAGACAAAACAGAAACTGTTACAATCAAGTCCTGGCGTTTACAACGCTTGCAGAAAATGGCTTCCAGCGAAAAGCGGAATCGGGTACAGTTTTTCTTGACCCATCTTCGGAATATGGAATATGCCCTGGACTAGAAGTATTTTTCTTAAAATGACTAAAATCTTTAAATCCAAAATCACTCTACTACTCTTGGAGGAAAGGCTTTCAAATAGCAAATGTAGAAACAGAACTGTTTCACCAGAAATGCTTTCCACAAGGGGCTGTTCTTTCCCCCATGCTCTTCTACGTATACATAGCAGGTATGACTGACATAGTGTCGAAGAAATTTGCACATCCGAATGATATAGCACTGGTTGCATAAGCCTCATCCTTTGAGAAAATTGAAAGTGTTCTGAACACAAACTTGGTAAAAGTACAAAAGTATTACCAGAAATAGCATCTCAAACTGAATCCAAACAAGTCGATTACAGCCACTTTCCACTTAAATAATCGGGAAACCAGTAAAGCTTTAAATATAAACAACAATGACGAAAATATCATCACCGAAGTAGCACCTAAATACCTGGGGGTAAAGATGGATAGAATTTTAACTTTCAGACCACACCTTGAAAGTATGAAAAACAAACTAAAGACGTGTAAAAACATTATTTCCAAACTAGCTAGCACAAGACCGTCACGCAAATATGCTTCATACTTCTGCCGTAGCCCTAGTGATCAGTGTGGTAGAATACTGCGTACCTATGTGAGCCAGAAGTACACATTGCAAAATGTACAGCTGAATGATAACGATAACTGATAATAAGGACCATAACAGGTACTATGAGATTTACTTAATTAGAGTGCATGGTTGCCGGTCCTGTATAACATAGTCCCCCCAGACCTACGTAGATAAGTTCAGATTGATTCGATTATATCGAAATTAATAAACCATCCAGATTTACCAATAGAAAAAAACATTGTAAGAGACCACCTAAGAACTCAAATCCAAAAACCCTATATGGAGCCAGACACTCACAAATAAAATGATAGAGGAATTGTGGGAAAACACAAATATCCGAAACCATTCCCTTGTAAGTACCCCAACTAGTAGTCCAAGACTTTGACTTAAATCGAGCACAGTTGATGACCTTGAATTACTGTATAAGGGCTCCTTCACACGAAACCACTCGGCAGCACTACTTAGCAGGGCGTCAGTGGCGCTGCGAATATTTTTAATAGCGCGTCAGTGGCGCTGCTAACGTGCAACAGTAGTTTTGTGAATACGAGAACATACTATCTCACAGTACAGAAAACAGTCTCAAAGCAGCACTGATGGCTAGAAGAACTTAGTGTTCTACTTCAAAATATCTAATATTTTTAGTTTGTTTTTGTTTTATTTGATTTTATATTGTCACATAAAATTAAACAAGTATGTTAATTTTGTTTTATGTTATTTTATTTTCATTTCATATATTGTTAATTTTAATTTATAATTTTATTTTGCTGAGCGTCATATGCATAAATAAAATCGCATATGTTTTACAGATTGAAAGAACGTCACTGCATTATGCAATGTCTGTAGATCAAGTGGAAGCAATGAGTACAATTTTAATAGGATGTGGTGCTAAGCGTGTAGTCAAAGACTTGGTAAATATTAAATACGTTGTAAATTTTCAATATCACAAGCGGTCAAATAAGTTAAAAATGCATAATAATATTGTGCTTGAAATCTATTTAAAAAATACTATTGTACGTGTACTTAATATATTAATAGTATATTTGATTCTATTCTCGGCATCTTGTGGAAATTAATAATTGAATAACTAGGTTTTCTGGTGCTTATTAATATTATAATTTGTTATTTTAAGTTTTAAACAAATATTTAATGATAATGGGTTCTTATAAGTATGCCATTTTATTGAAATAATTTATGATTGTACGATTTTACTTTACTAGAAATAAGTATAAATACATTTTTCTTTTTTTACAGAAAGGCAGACAACCTAGCTATTATTTCATGAATAAGTTTGATATTCGAAAACTGTTGGACGAAGAGGAAGAATTAAGGATTTAGACATGTTTTAATATATCTATTCAATTTGTGTGCCTACCTTGTTGTGCCTAGGTACCTAACAGAATAAATTATTACCAGTACCTATCCTATAATTTAGATAATAATAATATTGCTTATAAAAATTGTTTGAAGCGAAAAATCGAATTATAAATTTTTTACCTGCTGACAATATTAATGAAAGATAATATTTATGTATACGGACTATAGAATGCATTGCTATATATTTAGGTACCTACTTGTATTATTATGTACATTAATATAGCATTTTTAATATTATACTATTATTGTAGGTATATTATTATATCTTATAAGCCTAGATTATTAATTGAGTAATAGTTTTCGGTAGGTACTCGAATACTTACATAAATATATTAAATACATCTACGAAAATTAAGTACGTGTAATATTTGTACTTCAAATTTTTATATCAGCCTTATTTAGGTAGGTTCACTTTAATAAATAATTTATATTTTTAAACCTCAAAATAAATTATATTGATCTTTTTAAATTTGAAGCGTGGTGAAGGATCTATTGGTTTTACTACGATGTGGGTTTTAGGTTTGTAGAGGAGCAATCAAATAGATATTATAGTAAAACTATTGGTAAGTCTGCAATTTTTTTGTGTTTTTCTTTTTGTGTCTATCAAAACTCTTGTTAAGTATAACACCTTTTCTAAAAAGAAATTTGATGTAGTTGGTGCATTGAGAAGGTCATTCTTTTCTACCAGAACTACTTTTTCTACCAGCAAGTTTACTCCGGTTATCAAGTATAACACCTTGTCTGAAATGAAATGTTTTTTAGGTGGTACTTTAAACCAATGGTTCTCAACCGGTATGTCACATATTACTTTGATGTGTGTCACCAAAAAAATTGTTTTTTTATGTTTTTTATATTTATAGTTTTTACTGTACGTTTTCAAAGTATAAATATATGACATCATTATTAAGGTATGGTAAACCCACAGATACGCGTATTAGGTATTACGCGTAGGTATGTAAATAAGCATGTCCTCAGTCGTAGTCACCGTGTTGTGAACGCTGTGTTTGTCATTTTAATTTCATCAATTGTATTAAATGTGTTGTCATTTTTATGGATCTTTATAGATTTGTATAGTGTCGTCATACAAAAAAGCACGAGAACTACTGCTTTAGAGAGTTCATTTTTTGAAATTCTCAATAATATTCGAGATAATGAGGAAACCTGGTTCTTTAGGTTAAAAAAGATTAAGAGATTAAAAATAAGGTTATTATTGGCAACCGTTTTTATTTTTTTTATTTTTTATCATTAAGTTTTTATTATTTTCAAATCTTTTTAAAACAATGATTGTTGTCATGGAAACGCAAACTGTTGAAAAAGCAATACTATAGACCGAGCTATATTATAATAAAAATTTAAAATTAAATTTTCAATTCAATACATTCTTTTAACTATTAATCTTTATATTATATTTCTTTATTCTATACTCAAGCATTACTATCAACTGAACTCTACTTGCTTCTCTCTTGTACTCTAGGTTACTTGCTTGTGACCTAAACAAAAATAAAAAAATAAATAAAAAAAAAGTCATAGGTTTTCCGTTTTTTTAGTATAACATAAAAAGTAAAAGCGATAGCTAAAATTTCTTAAAAAAATTTAACGTAAAAAACAAACTTTTTCAAATAAATCAATAAAAAGTTTTTTCTAGGATACCATAATATTTCTAAAAACAGTTTAACTTCCGTAACAAAAAAAAACGACAATTTGTTCAAACACTTTCAGACTCAGTATCTTAAAACAGTTCACACACATTTTGAAGCATAACAAATTGAAAACGAGCTTGGGACGTTGATTCAAGATCCAAAAATGTGTACACAATAAAAATAAAAAAAATAAAAAAAAATTGTTTTAAATAAAAATGTAAAAGCAGAAAATAATGACAGATTCTTTAAAGAAATATTGTATTTTGGGATATTTTTTAAACATTTAAATTTTATCTATACTTATTTGTGATTGTGATAATCATGTTATCAAAATTATGGCATGATAAGATTCAAATTTCCATTACTACATTGCTAGGTGGATATATAAATCCACCTTGTTTCATTAGTACATTACCATTGCTACATTCCACGGTTATACTAGATACTAGTAACACAGAATAGATGAAATCAAATTTCATCTAATAATTGCAGATAATATGCGAATTCAAAGTTCAAACGTTTATATGATTAGTATAAGAAACCTAGCAGTAGCGGATTGTGCCGCCGGAGACTGGGAGGTTTCCCGGTGGCCCGGAGCTCAGTCATGACTCTATAATCGGCCCTATCATCATAAAACTAATTTTGTACTTAAAATTGTTCTTTTTTATTTTTAAAAATGTATTTTATTATCTAAGTATATAACGTATTGTGCATACGTCTTTGATAACGAGGAGAAAAACGATCACGATTTAAGATATAATGATTGTGTGACGAACAATGATAAGGTGGTTAAATGTTTCGTATCCATAAAAACATATAAAACAAATAATTGGGACAGTGAAAAGAAATTCTCCCGGGCCAGTTAAAATTCAAAATCCGCCGCTTAAACCTAGCAATCCATAGTTATAGTTTATTACAAACATTATCTATATCTGTGATACTGACCGTTTAAGGACTTCGCGGTCAGAAATATATGTCGGTACTATCAATAATTATATTGTCAGTAAATATAACTAATTGTGTGAGAGCTTAGATCATACACAATGGATGGAACCACAACTCAATATTTCGATGTACATATTATTAGCAGTGTCACTAGGTAGGTAGCCTTTAGTGCGCACGCGTGCCAGCGACTAGTCGCATATTTATCTCAATACCATAATATGATATAATAAATATTAAATAACTGATAATATAAATGATAATAAGATTTATGAATATAATATTTTATTGCATTGGTAATAAACTGAAATCTGTATAAAGTACCTATAGTCCATTAAAAATAAAAACAAAATACATATGTCGATAGCTCTTATTTGTATCGACACGTTTCGTTACGTAAAATTATCTTCCTTGAAAATCTGGTATATTCTTTTTTCGTTTTTTCGAGGAACGTTGTTTCTGGTATTCGCTTACATCCGCGTGGTGTTGCTATTGTGATAAAAATTATTGATAATAAATTGATAATATGAATAACGTTCATGGTTTTCACAGTGGCCGGCTGTCTGATAGAACTTTGTTGCTTACTCGTTTAATATTCGGCATTTTCGGTATTTACGCGTAAGTACCGTGAAGTACAACATTTTTTCGCCCTGAAAAATGTTCTGATACAAGAAAATATTATTTTAATTGGCTGTATTGTACCTATTTTGTCGTGAACAACTAGATACTGTCCAAGCCGCAAAATGGTTAACTATCACGAACAAGACAACGGTAAGCTAAACCATTAATAATTCGTTTCAATTAATATTACAGTTTACTGTAAATAAAACGTATATACGTTTTAAACTACCTATCTGTTGATTTGGTTATTGTTTATCCGTGTTCAATTTTTATTCATTCAGATGCCAGTGACTCGGAATCTATATCCAGTTCGTCATCAAATAGCAGTAATGCATCGTCCCGCAGATCGAATTCTCAACCAAGAGGTACTCGTTCTCCTTCGGATTCCGAACCTGAGTCTGCTGTGTCGAGGTCTCCTTCTAGAAGTCTGTCTGGTTCAACGTCTCCAGTTAAGAGTCCTTCAAAATCTCCTCCCGGTTCTCGTTCCCCGTCACCCAGTAGTAGACCTTCTAGTGCAGCTTCAGCTGTATCTGCTATATCTGCACGTTCAGCTGCTTCTGCTGTATCTGCACGTTCAGCTGCATCTGGACATTCAGCTGCATCTGCTGTATCAGCTCGCTCAGGTGCATCGGCCCACTCAGATGCATCGGCACACTCAGGTGCGTCGGCACACTCGGGTGCATCAGCACACTCAGGTACATCAGCACACTCAGTAGCATCGGCACACTCAGGTGCATCAGCACACTCAGCGGCATCAGCACACTCTGCTGCATCCGCAATATCAGCACGCTCAGCAGCATCTGCTGCATCAGCACACTCAGCTGCATCTGCCGGATCGGCACATTCGGCTGTATCTGCCTTATCAGCTGTATCAGGACGTTCAGCTGCATCTGCTATATCTGCACATTCAGCTACATCTGCCATATCAGCTACATCTGCCATATCAGCCCGCTCAGCTGCATCTGCTATATCAGCGCACTCGGCAGCATCTGCTATATCAGCCCACTCAGCAGCATCTGCTACATCAGCACACTCAGCAGCATCTGCCATATCAGCACGCTCAGCAGCATCTGCTACATCAGCACACTCAGCAGCTTCTGCTACATCAGCACACTCAGCAGCATCTGCCATATCAGCACGCTCAGCAGCATCTGCTACATCAGCACGTTCAGTAACACCTGCAGGTTCAGTAACATCTAATCAATCTGTGGCCAGTGGCAAAAGTGACTCGTCCCGAGCGAGCCGTTCTACTAATCGTAGTAGAGCTTCAACCAAAAGTAACAAATCAAAATCGAGTTCTGCAAGTCCAAAAAGTGTCTTATCTAAAAAATCAGGCTCATCATCCCCAGAAGTTACCAAAACTGCTGAACAGCCTGATTCTGAAGATAGTGATGGTTCTATTATTGGTAGAAAAAAACACCAAAAGGTTAGAAAAAGTTCTAGTATCTCCGGTAATGAATCTTCTGATAAAGAAGAAAAAGCCAATCAAAGTGATTCTGATGCTTCAGAAAAATGTATGTTGAACTTTCATAAATTATTGTAGTTTAATTTTTTTTTTTTTTAGTATCTTATTTAGATGTTTTTAAATTATTTATAGCACCAAAAGAAAATGATCTTTTTGGCGAAGCTGATGATATAAGTTCTGATGAAGATCAGCCCAAAACACCCAGGCCAATAAGTGATGATGAAGATAGAGTTAAAAGTGATAATGACGATAAAAAAAGTGGTGATGATGATGATAATGAAAATGAAAAATTAGATGACGAAGAAAAAGAAAAAGAAGTTGATGAACCTATACCAGAAAGAAGAATTGCTGTTGAGATACCAAAAATATCTGTAGATCTCGGAAATGATTTACATTTTGTGAAATTACCAAATTTTTTGTCTGTCGAAACTAGACCATATGATCGGGAAACGTATGAAGATGAAATTGACGAAGAAGAAACTTTAGATGAAGAAGGACGAGCAAGGTAGTAGATATATTTTTTATATAAAATGGCTCCTTACTATTTTTATGTAATTATTTGCAAAATCTTCCTATTCAATTTATATTTTTAGAGTAAAATTGAAGGTAGAAAATACTATAAGATGGCGTGAAGTTTTTGACAAAGAAGGTAATTTACAAAAAGAAAGCAACACTCGAGTAATTAAATGGTCTGATGGCAGTATGTCTTTACATTTGGGATCAGAAATTTTTGATGTTTACAAACAACCTTTGGTGGTAAATAATTTTAATATATCAACCATTTATGATATGATTGAAAAAAAAGTTATTCAATTCAAATTATTATTTTTATTTATTTTGTATGCATAATTAGTTGTTATAGGAGCCACAAGATTTGCAATTTTAATATTAATTGATGCAATAATATCTCTTTAAAGATTTTCTATTGTTGGTTTACATTATTTTTATTATTTCAATACAGTATTGGTATCACATAATAAAACAATATAGCATTATTAACAATTAAATTGTATTTATTTTTTTTTCCATAGGGAGATCATAATCATTTATTCATTCGTCAAGGAACAGGTTTACAGGGTCAAGCAGTATTTCGCACAAAATTGTCATTCCGACCTCATTCAACAGAATCATTTACCCATCGTAAGATTACTTTGTCTTTGGCCGACAGGTCACAAAAGTCCTCAGGTATAAAAGTGTTGTCACAAGTTGGAGCCGATCCTGATGCTAATAGATATGAAAAAATTAAAGTTAGCTTATTTTATAATATAAATTTTGTAATAAAATAATTTAATTTGAGAATATTTACTAAAATAACTGTTAATGTTGACATAATTCATTTCTTTGTTTATTAATTTTTGTTACAGAGAGAAGAAGAAAAATTACGTCAGTCAATGCGTAAAGAAACTAAAGTAAAAAGAGCTAGAGAACGTGGAGCTAATAGTAGTCTCAGTTCTTCATATTTGGAACCTGAAAGAGAAGATGCTTCTGATGATGAAAATGCTATAAGCTTATCTGCAATTAAGAACAAATTCAATAAAAAGTCTTCGGCTAAAGGTGATTTTTTTCATTATGTATTTTGTGACCAATCATTACATTTTTTTAAATTTTGAATATATTTATAACTGAATAAATTTATTATTTTTTAGTCGATAAAAGTAATATATATTCATCAGAAGATGATAGTTCAGATATGGACACAAAAAAGAAGAGACAATCTCGATTAATGTCAGATTCTGAAGATGATGATGATGATTAATAACTAGTATACATAATTAATTTTATACAAAATTTTGACTGTTACACGTACTTATAGTTGTAGGTATGTAAGAAAAAAAAATTAAATTTACATAATCTTGATATAGATTTAATAAGGTTCAAGTTTGGCAAATTAAAAACGAATACATTAAAATAATTTTTTTTTACTTGTTCAGGACAAACTGATCTTTTTTCTTACATTTTTAAGATTAATTTAAAACAAAATTATATTATTGTAATAAAAGTCTAAAATTAAATGAAAAATAAGGTACCTTTTTTTTGTACCTTCAATAACTTAAGTTTTGTATAATAATACTTATAAATTTGTAATATTGATCTATTAGTAAATACGAATATTATTATGTATTATATATTGTATAGTAGTTCTAAATTAGTTATAAGCTGATGTTATGAAAACCATCTTTTTAATAATTTGAACTGATTTTATGAATTAGTGTGCGTATTCATTCTTACATCTGTTTAGTTCACATCGAAGAAACGTAAAGTCCCCCCCCCCCTCCCTAAAATTTCTAAACAACTCATTTGTTTAAATTATTTACCTATTATACATACATACCTATTATAGTTGAGTCTATATGTCTTTTTCTTATAATAGTATTTAAAATATTTACATAATAAAAAAAAAAAAATTATTTTATTAGTCATTGTTATTAATTTTGTATTGTATAGTATAAAATATAAATTATAACTTTTAACAACAATATACTTGATTTGTTTAATAAATACTAAATATATAAACAATATAATTTTAAAAAAATAAAAGCTTTATAGAACCTTAAAATATTATCAAATACTTAAGCATAATAATTTTAACAATATTAAAAATTTATATGTTTAGTTTGTGACAAAATATCAGTTAATCTTTTTAAATCACTTTGTGAGCTGACAGTTTCTTCTGTATGGACAATTTTTAGCAAATTCATGTACTCTGATTCACTGAATTCAGCACCTTTTTCTAGGATCTCTTCCAATATTTCCTATGTGTACATAGTATATTAGATTATATATAAACGTGTCAATTTATGTTACACAATATTTTCAGAAGCTAATTAACATCAAGGCTGGCCAACTACTAATGTTAAGTTTAACCATTCATTGTATATGGCTAATTACACATTTTTGAACACCAAATCAATCAAATAAATTAAACTTAACATTATTCCACTTCAAAAACTGTGTCATTGGACAGCTTCTGAATATTATTACTTGTAACAATATTAGAGTTTACATTCTCATATGTTCTATATATTTTGTTTTATATTTACCTTTGGCGTGCAAAGCAATAATTCATAGTAATGAATAGTTTTTTCTAAAGTGATTTGAGATGCCCCTAACATGGCAGTTATATTGTATTTCAGCATTGTAACATCGCGTATCATTTTTCTAATAGCTATTTCATCAATTGTTTCTATACTGCGAGACTGAATTACCAAACTTTTAGCCATTATTTCACCAAGGCCTTCAAATATATATTGAACCTTAATATTTGAAACTGTATTTAACATGGCTTCATGTAATGCTGAAACAGATTGATTAAGGTCCAAAACTTTGGGTTCTATTGCATTTCCAACAGCTGAATCAAAACTAGGTAACAAGTAGTAAATACTTTGTGCACGAACCTACACATTTAAAATAGTACATTTTACTATGTTATTAAATATTAAATTATAGCAATTGCCATGATACCTACTTCCAAATATAAATACAAAATAATATTATCTGAAATTTCCAAGAAGTCACTGCCTAACTGTTGTAATGTTTCAACTAGAGACAGAGGTAAATTATTATTATCTGTTTTAGATGTGTTCAATTTAGGAACTATGTATTGATTTGATTTTGGATTTGAAATCTCATTAAGTTTTCTTCCAAACCATTCCTAAAACAAAAATGATTTTCTAATATTTAATATCAAATTAAAAATTAAAAATAAGGATAGAACATACCATGCTTTCTGAAAGATGGGCCAGACATCGAAGTTGATTTATATTAGAAATACCATTCACTTTAAAATCAATTCCTTCCAAATTTTCAAACAACTTATCAGCTTCTTGGGTATATCGTTTTAATTCATCACCTGAACTTTTTTTAAATTTATTTTCATTTTCTCTTCTTACCCAGTTATGCGATTGTCTGATAAAATAATTTATATTATACATACTACTATTTGTTACATATATATAACTTTAAAATATATTTTAAAACAAAAGTAGTTCTTACTTGAGGTAATCAACTAAATCATGCTTTTGAATCCATAAGTGACTAACTAATTTAGTTGTATTATCACATGCTTTTATATTAGAAGCAAAGAAATTGTCACATGTTTCTTTGTAGCTTCTACTAATGCTAACCATAATCATAAGGAAATGTGAAGCATATTCTGGCATAGTAATGACTAATTTTTTTATTTGACACATATTATTCCATATACTAACTGTACTCTAAAAAAAAAACAGCAAATTAACATTTAAACCGACTTAATAAGAAAGGTTCAGATATTGTTGCATTTGAAATTTTTTTTGAATTTAAAGCTTAGTAAGTTATAAAACATTTGTTTCATATTTTTATAGAAATACGAGAGTAAATCTAAAAAGACTAATACAAATATAATTAATAATTATTTTAAGAAAATAATATTATTCTGTGGTAAATAAAAATCCAGGAATATTTATAACAAAACATTAATTTTTGGTGTAATACTGCAATTAACTTTCCTAGTTTTTAATGCAACAAAATCTATCTCCCAATCATAATTTATAGTTTTTATTATTTACAGATAACAATGGTCTAGAAATATTTAAATCTTGAATTTGTTCTGGAGTAATAATAGCATGCCAAGCGTCAGCCTGTTTGGTAATTGATTCAACTGTAGTTGCAACTTTACTATGCTGACGATCAAGAAAAACTGTCCGTATGTATTCATTAAGCCACAAACTTAAAGTACATGTGTTCCTATAAAAAGTTATGATTTATTTTGAAATTGTAACTAAATAATTTAAAGATTTCTATTCAATACACACGAGTTGACAAAAATGAAATAAATGTACATAAAATCTTAATTTTTTTTCCATGTGATAAATTAGACAAACCTATGATATAATTAATTAAATTTTTAGTAACAAAATGTTTCTTACGTGTTAATTGATTGTTCAATTTGTTGTATAAACATTATGAGAGGTTCATAAATATATATGATATTGTCCGAACTTGGGGTACAAATCATTGACTGTGGTTGAGTTATACTGGTAAAAGGCCTCTACAAATCCATAAAAAAAAAATTGTATATCATTTATAGAAAATTCAATTAATATACAATTAAATACATTACTTCAGATATAAAATATCAATTCAAACACTTTAAACATATCACAAGTTAAATACAAGCGTTGTTTATTTAATTTAGTTACAACCACATAGTAAATACTTACATCTAATATATCAGAAGAATTTTCCAATGCATTAGAAAACTTGTAAAGACACTGTTTGGGCCTATCCAAACAAATATTGCATTAAATAAATTAAATTATTATTATTAAATAAATAATAAACTACCTTTGGACTTTTTTCTTTAAAAAAAATATATTCAAATCAATATTATTGAATATTGGTGCAGATTTTACAACTAAATCTGTATGACTATTAACATCCAAATAATTACTTAAAAACATTTGTACCTTAAAAAAAAACTTTATTTTATTCTTTACGAAAGAAAATAAATTCAGTGTCCTTCTATCTATGACATTAGATTATTATTATATGAAATTCACAATTTACAAACAAACTAACGAAATAATTAAAATTTATATATATTATACTTACAATAGACTCAATATTTTCCCAAACATATTTAAGATCATATTTGTTAACATTGGCAAGTAATTGTTGATCAATTACTTTATCCAAACTGCATAAGAATAGTTGATGAGCATCAACAACAGAATAAAATTGTAAAATTACACCATTTACTAAGGATACTAGTTGTTCTCCTGAATTTTTTGATTGATTTGTACTTGATATTTGTTTTGTTGTTTTTTCCACAATTTCTATCAACTGTGTTTGCATAGTAGATTTCAATTTCTAAAGTATAACAATGTATTATTATTAATTAATATTGTTTATCAATGATAATTAGCAAAACTCAAATCAGTACTTACTTCAATTGTATCATTTAATTTAATAAGTATAGCGAGGCACTCCACAGCTATAGGAACAAATTTTTCAGTATCAAGTTCAGTAATTTCAGTCTCATTATTATCATTCAAAACTTCCCTGTGATAAAAAAAAAAACAATTTCTTATAAAGGCAAAGAGTATAATTAAATTTAAATACTTTGCGGCAATTTGTGTTGTATATTTAAACGATCTTCTAGTACTTTGACCGAATGAAGAATTGTATCCATCTGATCCAATACGACGAAATGAGTTAGCAGATTGTGACGAAATTACATAAATATGATTTATTAATTCATCCAATAATCTATTATATAAGGCCTGTTTAAACAAATATTTATTCAAATAAAGTTGATTTTAAAATAATTAAAAGCTATATTTTAACTCTGTAGTTTAACCCTTTAGACCATTTTAGCAATTATGTTGATTAATATATTAATGGATCTAATAATATTAGTATATAATACAAGTAAAAAGTATAAATCAAGTCAAATTTAATAAAAAATACTCATTGAAAATAATTTATGAGGTAATTGGCATTGCTTTTTTTACCAAGCAGACTTTTTAAATTGCATCTACATTATTTTTTATCATATACTTAAAATATAATAATCAAGTTAGTGTGTAAGATTATTATATTTTAACTGCACTTGTAAATAATATTCATATTACTTGTTTTTTTTGTTTTAGTTCAATTCTTAACTCGTTTAATGCATCTATATTCTTTAAATCATTATTGCTTATTTGTAATGTATCCATTAACAACTTTGTACATTGTAAGTATTGATGTTTTGATTCCAACATGTTCAACTGATAAGGCACTTCTTTAATTTGTTCACTAAACACATAAATGTTGTACGTTACCAGGATGTACAAATTAGTACATAAAACTCTAAAGAAATTTTACATTTGAGTTAATTGAGTTAATATGTGATGTTGTTCAATACTCTCAACATAAAATTTTCTTAATTCGTCGCGTTTACATCGTAACAGTGTTTTACACGCTAGAAGTTTCTGTTTAGCTGCTTGGACTCGTTCTCTAGATAAATTAATTTCACTAGAAACAGATGTGAACAAATGCATTACACGTGCAAGGTTCTGATGTTCCATGGAGATCAATTCTTCTAATTTTTTATCACATCGTTTGTATTCTCTTTCCAATGCAGTTTTTTCAATTTCTCGATGTTCATTGGATTCAGTAGCAGATAAAGCTCGAATCATTGTCATTAATAGTCCACTCTAAAATAACAATATTATTATTTTTCAAAATATGAAATAAAATAGTCATCAAATTGTACAGATTTATCTTTAAAGTCATTGTATATTGCAATACTTATTAACTAGTAGAATAAATTATGTAATTTAAGAAAAATATCAAATTGTATTTGTTTAGATAATTCAAATTTTTGATAATTGTGTATACCTAATTATAAAAATAGAAAATGTTTATACAATATAAAAAAAAAAAAATTATTGATCAGGACATAATTATATTTTTTCCAACATAAAAACATAAAATAACTCAATTTATTATATTCCTCTCAAATTCCTTTACTCACTTTATCCTGGAATATGGTTCAGCTGTCAGATTCAAATGCATCTATCACTTGCAATATCATCAACATTCCCTGCCCTCTATAAGATTATTTCCCTTTCTGTTTTTTTAATTCCTTTCACATCCCAAATATTTCTTCAAACTTCTTTCTTAACGCTCCTATGGTCTGTCTCCCTCATACAGCTAATCTGAGCCCCAATTTTTCATATTTGTGATCTTTATTATTTTATGTTTAATTATATGTATTGTTACCAATCTGTAATTGGACATAGTCTGTCATTTTGAAAATAAAGAAATAAACATATTTTCATCCTTTAAAACAAAGTCGAGGAAAATGCACATCACATTAAATAACAAAGCTCTTGAAATAAGAAATAAACAAAATAATAAAGAAGAATAAATCCAATTTAAAAAATATTTATACAATAAAGTATAAATAAAGATACAAAAAAAGTTATATCTCCTAGATTTAATTATTTGTCAATAATCTAATTTGGCATTGCATTATTGTTCAAATTAGATAGGTTCATAAACTTGTTTTAGATTGATGTAGTGAGGGATGTATTGGTTTTATAATAATGTTTATTTTTTTTATTATTATTACATATTATTTTGTGAGCAACTTTTCTACCAGAAGTATTGCTCTGTTGTATCAACCATATGCATCTTTTCCGAAAGAAAATTTTATCTAGAAAGTACTTTAAAGAGATTATTTTTTGATTTTCCAAGCAGCTTTCATAATGATTTGGAAAAATACGAAAAAAATGTATGTACATGTATAAAAGAAACTTCCCTCCAAATCGTTTTTTGTTGGCAATGGTTTATCATTGCATATAGATATATATTAGATTCCCCTTTTATCCAAACTTCCCAACCTCTCACCCACAACAGTGGCTCATCCATCGTGTAAATTATGTCAGTTTTTTTTTCGTTAAATTTATATAAAGTATAAATTATATAAATTTAAAAATATTTACTTCAGCTAAATTTATAGTATTACTATCTACCTATCAATATGTATCCATAATTTTTATTTTAATTAAATACCTACATAAAATTGATTTTGCTGGTTTTTTAGACTTCCCTCCCAGTTATCTCAAAATAGAACATGCCAAACAGATCAATTATTATTTTGAGAGTACTTACTGTTTCCTTTGGAGTTTTAACACCCCTCGGTGGTTTGCTTGGAGGGTTTGCCATATTAAATAGATACACTTGAGAGAAATTTAAAAGATAAATTATCTTGCGATTTTAAAAATTAGGAACAGTTTTTTTGTTTTCCCAAATAAGCATGTAGGTATTAAAACATTATCTGGCAGATACCTTTTATTATAAAATGTATAATTCAGTTTATAACAATTAATTTCTGTAAACTATAGCATTGTATTATATTCAAATTTGACTAATATGAATATTTTAAGCAGAAATCCGTGATCAAAATTAAATGTGATAAGGCAAGGCCTTCTAATCTTATCTTTATTTTTTTTTTTTTACATTTGATAAGAAAATACAAAATTTGATATCAAATTTCCAAAGTCAGTCCTCGGTGAGTCCAAGTCATTAAATCAGAATCATAAATAAATTATCCTTTATCTGTGGTCAGAATGCGACTGTGTCTGTCTATCGTAATGACTATGCAAATGATTTGATTAATAGGTATTTTTATAATTATAATTATTACTATTATTTACACTATTCAAATTTCACAATAGAATACTGTTAGTCCGCCGAAAGTGGACTACTCGTTTTCCACCTAAACGTTTTCATTCAATTCTGACACGGTCGAAACCAAAAATGAATATGGGTAAAAAAAAAATAATACCAATTGGCACGGACAACAACGGACACGGGACAGCTAGTATAATATACTAACAAAAATATTAATTGGTTTTTTCTTATTTCGTATTAGGTACAACAAATATGCATTAAGTTTTTTAAAATAATTGCATCCATATTAGTTCTTAGATCACTAAGTACCTATATATTTAATGCCCGAAAAAGACCATTTGATATAATAAACCCGATAGTAACCAAAAAGTGCAAATGAATATGTATTACACTTGTGCATAATTCTTAGGATTACGTCTATACCAGAAACCCACACTATGTATCCTAAATTCGCTTAAAACCCTTACAAATTTAAATTTTTATGAAAACGAAAAATAATTCTGATTTTATTATTTTAATATAACGTTTTTTTTTTTTAAATCATGGATTGTATTTCCGCTTTTGGTTTTGTTCGTGTTAATTTTCCGATATAACGGGTTAATTCGGCCACTGCTATGTTTTGTCGTATCAATATGATTATTTAAGAGGATAGAATTTACAGGACACGTTATCACTACTCGTTGCGTAATCATTCTATTTATAATTTTTACCATTCGATGATATATCTATGTTCTTACACTACTCTAAGGTTTATACCACGATTTAAGATATAATCATGTTTCATACTTCATGTGCCACGTTGGAATAATATTAAGATCGTTCCAAACTTCAATAGTTCAATCATTGGTTTTTTTTTTTGTAAATTATAGATAATATAATAATTTTTGCAAGGTATACCATAATCGTAAACCTACTAATAGTTATACGTGTTTTTTATTAATTTTTTAAAAACGATTATTAATTTTATTCTATACTATTTTTTGAAACATGTTTTTGACTTAACAATATAACTAATGGCTAGTGAATTTTAAATAATTAATATCCATTGAAGATAGTCGAAAAATTATAAATAGTTAAATTATTCAATTATTAATTTTTTATTTATAATTTATATAAATTTAAATATTATTTCTTTAATTGTTGAAATTGAAAGTTTTTAATACATAAGTCAAAATGAAGATCAAACAATTCCCAAATACTGTAGTATCAACATGGTCTCCGAAATCAAATTATCCAATCAACATAGCAATGGGTACAGCTGCCCAACAATTAGATGCTTCATTTAACACATCATCAACACTAGAACTATATTCATTACAATCTAACGATTTAATACTCAATGCATTAATTTCAACAGACTGTCGGTGAGTTATTAATAATCTAAACTATTCTTATTTGGAAACAAATTATATTTCTATTTATTTTAACAATGTGAATAAATAATTTTACTTATTTCTTACTAAGATTTCATAAGTTGGTATGGGGTGGTACCAATGCTTCGGAAGAATGGGGTTCTGGAATTATCGCTGGAGGATGTGACAATGGAATTATTCGTCTGTATGATGCTTCAAAATTAGCCAGAAATGTTGATAGTATAGTAGCCAAAAGTGATCGACATGTTGGATCTGTCAGAGCACTCAATTTTAATCTATTCCAAGTATTTCATATTTTTTATTACCTAATAGTTATTAAATATTTAAATTTTAAATAAATTGTATTTGTACTTTAACATATTGTGTACCTACATAATATTTTTTTAGTTGATCTTTAGTGTCTTGTCTATCAAATAAAATCATTTATTTTATTCTAATTAAGTATCAGATTATGAAATTTAAAAAAAAATGTGTATACAGCATTAAATCATTATCACGTTTATGACTTAAAACATTTATACTATTTGAAGGAGAATTTTAATTAACCAAGCAATTTTTTGATAATTCTTTATTTTGAATAGTTAAATGGTTTGTTATAATTGATTTTAAATTGTGTAATATGAATTAATAACAAATGATTTTACAACACTGACAATTATGTAGTTGCTTTATAATACTTGACCAATAAAGTGTAATAAAATATAATAATAATGAAAAAAATATTGTAATATATATAAGATGTTGAATATGGTAAAGCTTGCACCAAATTCATACAATTTTTTTTTTTGCTAAACCCCGCTTAAAGACATTCATTGTTTTGTTTTTATATATGCAATAATATTAATTTTTAGACTAATTTGTTTGCATCTGGTGCATCAGAATCAGAAATATTCATCTGGGATTTACATAGCATGAGTACTCCAATGACTCCTGGCTCAAAATCAGAATCTTTAGAGGACGTAATTGATTTAGCATGGAATAATGAAGGTATTGTTACTATTACTAGATATTTTATACATATTAAAATTATAACTGTATTATTAAACATTTAAAATGTTATTAATCATTTTCTTGGAAATTTGATTTCAACTTTAGTTCAACATATTCTTGGTTCATTATTTCATAAGTATACTGTTGTGTGGGACCTACGTAAGAATGAGCCCATCATTAAATTATCAGATAATAATTCAAAAGTAAAAACAAATATTAATTTAATTGTAATTCTTGTTTTGTAATGTAAAATATAAAACATTTTCTAAACAGGTTAAATGGAAAGCAATGTCTTGGAACCCTAAAGTGGCTACGCAAGTATGCATTGCATCAGAAGATGATCAAAATCCAGTAATTCAATTATGGGATTTAAGATATGCATCCTCACCTGTTAAACATTTTGTGGGACATCAAAAGTAAATAATTTAACTAATTAAAAAAATATATATTTATCTGTAAAATTCTAAAATAAGTATAAGTATAAGCAATATTTTTTATTCTAATAAGATAATTTGTTTTAAAACAAATAATAATTGTTAATCAAATGGTTTTTAGGGGTATATTGTCAATGTCATGGTGTTCTGAAGACACAGATTTATTAATAAGTTGTGGTAAAGATAATCGAATACTTATATGGAACCCAAGCAGTGAAACAGAAGTAATTTTAAATTGTTGATTAATTAATTAGGGAACAGATTATGAATATTATAATATGGCAATACTTAATTTTGCCTCTAAGTAAAATAATTTTTAAATTTTACAGTCTCTGAATATGTTTATTTTTTATAGGAAAATTCATTAGTATGTGAATTAGAACATAATTATCAATGGAACTTTGAAGTTAACTGGTGTCCAAGAGATCCATTATTTATTGCAACATCTAGTTTTGATGGACAAACAACTTTATATTCATTAAGTGACTTACAAAATTCTAAAGATCAGGTAAATTATATTATTAAATAAATTTGATTTAAAATATTTATTTAACTATAATGATTTTAATTTAAAAACATATTGTTGATAATTAATAATTAGTAAAACATTTTAATAAAGAAACAGAAAAATTAAATATTGAACTGAATTTATACTTTTTTATAAATTAAAATTATTTCATTTTTTAGAAAATAAATGAAAATGTAAATACTGGTCAATTTCAATGGTCTAATAGTTTATCTAATGCACCAAATTGGCTCAAGAGAAAATGTGGTGCTTCATTTGCTGTAAGGCAATTTTTTTATACAAATAATTTAAAGCCTATATTAATTAAGAATTTATATAGTTTGGAGGTAACTTGGTGTCATTTGATGGTTCACTTAAAACTATCCAATTAAACAAGACTGTAATTGAACCTGATTTATTATTATGGTCTGAGTACTTACAACAAATATTGAATAATGGGAATTATGAAGGATTTTGTCATCATAAAAGTGAACTAACTCTTGATGATGATATTCAGCTAGTGTGGAAATTCTTAAAAACCATGTTTCAAAATAATCCTAAGGAAGCACAGTTAGAGTTACTTGGATATTCAAATAAGACAGTTAGTAAAATAGCTCCTCAGCTTTATATTGTATAATAATAATAGAAATAGAGTTGTATAAAATTACTTAATTTATCTTTATCTGTATTAATTAATTTTTTTAGTTGACAAAAGAAGAGTTTCATTCAAATATTCTAAACACACAAGAAGAAAATATTGTAACTAAATTTGAAAATTTCACTTTGAAGTCTTCTGTAACTAATGGTAAATATTTCTTCAAATTAATATTATTTTGTTTACTATTAATTATTAATTTATAATATTTATAAATACAGATTTACAAGACTTATTGTATCAGTCACTTCTTGTTGGTAATTTATCAACAGCTGCAGATATATTTTTTGATAATGGAAAGCCAGTTGAAGCTTTATTACTTGCCATAACAGCTGGCCCTAAAACATTATCTAGAATACAAAATAAATATCTCAAAGTAAATAATATCATTAATAATTTAAACACTATATTATAAATATGCATTTGTTGTAGAATTCTAAAGAACCAACTACTGCTTTGCTACATGCAATAATTACTAATGATTGGAGTGATCTGGTTGAAAATTGTGATTTAAATTGCTGGAAAGAAATAATGACTGCTCTTCTCACTCATACAAATGGAACCAACTTTATTTCCTCTTTTGAAAAACTAGGCAATCGTCTTGCAGCTAATGATAATTTAAGCTTGTCAAAATATGCACAGCTTTGTTATATTTGTTCTGGAAATGTTGAAGCTCTTGTAGAAAACATAAAGGATATAAAAACCATTGAAAAGTTACAGGAATCTGTAGAAATGGCAATGTTGTTGCATAGGTCAATGTCATCAAGTGAATCTCATTTGGAAGTTGGAAAGAAATTTGGGGAACTTTTGGTGAACTATAGTGAAACATTGGTTTCTCAAGGAGATTTAGAAGGAGCTTTGAGCTTTTTAGAATTTACAAACAAGGTAATGATTTTATTTAGCTCTAAACTAACAATTTCTTTAATTTATTATTATTACTTCAGGATCAAGGTGTTGAATTAAAATCTCAAGTTTATAAGGCACTTGGAAAAAATCAAACTATTGAAAATACAATTAATAATTCACAAGTATATTTTATATTTATTTTATTATTAATTTATAAAATCAAGAAATAATTACTTATAACTATTTTCAGAAACTGTTAAAATCCAATACTCATGATTTCCGAAAATATTCTACAACAAGTGCCACAGGAACTATAACACCAGAACCACCTTTTCCAACTTACCCTAACAGTTATATACAAGACAATGATGTTAATAATTTGCATCAAAATCAAAAACCACATCTTTCTAATTACCCACCACCTATTCAATCTCAACCAACATACAATTTGAATAATCAACAACAGTCTGTTTATAACAATTTTCCTCCTACTGGTACTCAACAATATGGAAATAATTTTATTAATCAAACAAATATGCAAACTAAAGCTGTACCTCCAACACCAACGCCTGACGCTAGCAGTAGATGTATGACTCCTAGCAGTATTAAGCCAGGTATACAATAGTTTTGATTTCTTAATTTTGTTTAAATAAATAATAGTTTATTTATATATATTTGCAAACTAGATTTGAATTAATATAATTATAATCAATTATTTTAATTACATTAAAGATTATTGTAAAATTAAAAGTTAGTATAAAATATACTAATAAGTTATGTACATTATATTACTCATTTTTTTTTATTTTTTTAGGAAAACCCAAATATGTTATTGATCCTTCTGTTAAAGGAAACAACATGTATGGTAGTTATAATAATAATGGATTAGGAATGTTAAGTCCAATGGGACAACAAAGTGGTTTCAATTCATCAATTGGACAGCCACATGTTTTAAATCAACCTTTAGGACAACAAAATATTTTTAAACCGTCAATGGTCCAACCAAACTGTTTAAGTCAACCATTAGGACAAACAAATAATTCCATTGAACCATTAATTCAACAACAAATTCAGCCAAATATTTATAATCCTACTTACAACCAACCTAAAGGCCCAGTGCCCAATTTAAATCCACAACCAACATTTCAACCTATTCAAAATAACTATTCCCAAGTAATATCACCATCTCCTAATTTAAATCAATCATCATCAATTTACAATCAAAGAGCTCCATCAGGTAAACTTTAATACTAACATTTACCTTCAACAATTTATATTCAACATTTATTATACATTTGTTTAGTAGAACCATTTCAGTCATTGTATGCCCCTTTGCCATCAAATTATATAAAGAAATCAACACCCGCAGGTTGGAATGATCCACCAATGTTATCCACTTCTGCTCCAATCCAAGTAATAACCAAGAGTATTTTAATAAAAACAAACAACATTTATTAGGTAGGTTTAAATTAAATGTAAAATAAAATTACATACCAGGTGATTCATCTAAGTGGGTACACTCATTATCTGAGAAAATATTAACTTTTTTTAGAACATTTAAGAAACAAGCTGCTCTGCAATTTTAAATTTATATTATATTTTGGAAGTAAAACCACTATTTACTTTTGATTTTCAAATGGCAACCTATATTAAAAATTCAATAAATAGATGGAAAATTAGTTAAAACAAATTTAAGTGTTTGATTTCTTTCAAGCCGTTGACGAGATATTCCACTTTTAAGTTTGGGTTAGAGGAGAATAGTGATGCAATATTAACACGCCACGCGCTGTATCTCCTTAAAAATGATACTCTATTCTCTTCCAACCCATACTTAAAAGTGGAATATCTGATCAACAGCTTGACAGAAATCAAACACTTAAATTTATTTTAACTAATTCTTAATCTATTTTGAGAATTTTTAATGTAGGTTGCCATTTGAAAATCAAAATTAAGTAGTGGTTTTACTATCAAAAGTAAGAGAGACAAAAAATAACATAAATATAAAATTGTAAATCTGTTTTTCTTAAATTTTCTAAAAAAAAAAATTCTGAAATAGTGAGTATACTCACTTAAATGGATCACCTGGTTATACCAGGTGAGCTAACTTAACTATTGTATGAAAGGTAGAAGATTCATTCAAATGGAAGTTTAAGACAAGGGTGATAGAATAAGCAATGAGGAAGTTTAGGCTAAGTTTATAATAAGCTTAGAGCTTTAAGCATAGCTTCAATAATAGACAAAACGAGAGAAAATAGTCAGATGATTTGGACATGACATGAATGACATGGAGACAGAGGATTCTGAAGCAGTAATAATTATAATGAACATTAATGTATGAGAAGACTGAAAAAGTGTTGGTTAAATGAGATTGAGAATAATACAAGAACAGTCTGTGTATGCGAGGTGGAAATCCATATAGAAAATTCAATATTTCAAATATTAGAAAACTAAAAAATTATGTGTGTTCATTTTCTTGTGTACCTGCATGTGAATTCTAATTTATGTGTTAATACATACTTTAAAACCTATTATACAATATTAATAGTATGTTTTTACAAATTTAGAAACCACCGACACCTGTATCATCTACTCCAATTACACACCCATTATATACAAATAATCCGCCTCCAATTGAAGAAATTGGAACTTATATTCCTCTTCGAAATAATGATGAACAATTCTCAACTAATAATATAACACAAGGGGTAGAAGCATTACCGAAGCAAACTATACCACAAGAACATATTAGAATTCAAGTAATATTGAATGAAATACAATCACGATTATTAGAAGCAGTTCCCACTGCTGTGAGTAAAAGTTTATTTTTTCATATTCATGCTAAGTCATGTTCTTATAAATTTTTTAATTAATATAGCCAACCCGGAAAAGAGTCATGGATATTGCTGGAAAAGTAGAGTTATTATACGACTCTATAAGAGAAAACTCTGTAAGTATAATGATATTATTATTATAAAACTTATATAATGATATTTAAAAATATTAGACAATACATAAAACAAAACCTAGTCTTAATTGGTTTCTTTTGATACCTTAATAAAACAAACATAATATCCCAAGAAGATAAATTGTTCACTTCATAAGTTTAAAAAATAATTGAAATCAATATATAATTATTGTAAATATTATACCTAGTTAAGATTATAAACTATTTTTATCATTTTTTATTTAAAACATTTGTATACATAATGTATGACTATGTATACATAAAATAAAATAGAAAACTAAGCCTTTCCCCTAATTTAAAAAAATTTTATGCAAACTATTATTATCTATCTATTAAAGATTTTGGAATCCACTTTATTCAATACTCAATTTTCTACACCATATTGATATTAACATAAGAAGAGCCTTAAAAGTTATTAGTTTTATTAAGTGAAGCTCTAAACTCTTCTCACCTAGCTATCACCAGTTCATATACATTTCCATGGTTCTGTCTTTACTGAAATATGGTGTTACCATTTGACATCTCACCAAAAATTACTGAGCCTTAAATACATACAAAAATAAGTTCTAGTCTATTGTGCATGTGTATTCAAGCTTCTTAATCTCAATTGATGCCATTTTAAACAATTTCTTCTCTATTATGTTCTCAGTTCTACTCTAAATACCTGTGGATATAATTTTTATGTACATAATAATTAATTAATTTAATTTTAATTTTATGTTACAGTTATCTTCATATTTAATTCAATGTCTACACACAATGATCGATCTCGTGCTAAAGCGAGATTACAATGGTGCATTTAATATACATACACAACTGGTTTCGGGGCCAGAATTTTCTAAAATATCTACATTCATGCCTTCTCTAAAAACACTATTTCAAATGGCCTATCAATACAATATCAACCTTGAAGGGTTGTAATTAAACTTGACGTGGAAAAAATATTGTTATTAGATCACACAAATATATACTAAATACATTAAACTTATAAATGTATACCTAATATAAATTATTATACTGGTGGTTCATACAAAAAATATTTATATATTAAATGTTAAAATGTATGTATTTTTAAAATTTTTAATAATAGATTATTATTTTGTTTTAAAAAAACTAGTTAATGATGATTGTTTCATGCCCTGAGTGGATTTATTATTTTTTGAAGGTTTATTTTTGACTTTATTCTTTTCTTTTTGAATATTAATATCTGATTCACAAGGTTTGGGTTTTTTGTTGATTGGTTCAGTATCTAATTCATTAGCTACTAAATTTTCAACATTTCCAACAGACTCTGATGGTTCACATTCTATTTCCACGAGTTTTACTTCTTTAGTGGTACCTAGAAAAGATAAATAAATACATAAATTAATTTTATTTACAAAATAATTATTTATTTAAGATTTCATTGACATTTAAATTTTATAAAACTACAAGTATAAAAATATTTTCTTACAAACAAATCCATCATCATCTATAAATGTAGAAGTGGTCATTTGTTTCTCTTTTTTCTTATTCTCTCTTATTGTTGGGCGTGGTGGAGTAGGTTGTACAAAATCAACTTCTTCTTCGACATCCATAATAGTTTCAGATCTTTTTTTATCTAAAAAAAAAAACGACTTAAAAATAGTTAATACAAATCAAAACAAATTTGTACACACACCTTCTTCTTCACTATCTATTTCTTCATCCGAACTATCAAAAGTTTGAATACGTTTTCTTTTAACCTTTGTATTGCTTTTTTTTTCATCGTTCTTTTTTTTTAATGATTTTTTTTTAGTTTTTACTTCATTTTTACTGTTTAAATTTTCTTGAGGGTTATTTTTCTTTGGCTTTGAAACTTCAACATCTTCATCTTTTATTTGGTCTATTATAACATTTTCTGTGGAAACTTTTTCTTTAATATCAGCTTTAGTATTATCCAAATTATTGGACTTTTTGAATTTTGTAAAGAAATCTGAATTAATCTGAAATATTATTATTTTTTTTTTTTTAAATAAATTGAATTAATAATAGTATTACCAATAAACTTTTACTTTTTTTGGAATAACTTTCTTTTCTATTTCTTCGGGCTTTGTTTTATTGTTTTCATTTTTCTCAACAAAAGATTCTAATTTATTATTCTAAATAGAAATAATAAATATTTAATAACAATTATTTTTTTTTTAAATTAAAAGAAGTTAGATTGAATTCTAACTTAGATAATGGAAAAAAGATCAAAATATTGAAAAATACTAAAGAAATTTTCTATTTAGTCAACTAGAACATATCTAGTCTGTAGGTTAGAATTACTTTTGAAATTATTCATACATACTATAAAAGGGCAGTGCTGTACAATAAAAGAAAAACATACATAAATGGATATAATCAAAGCAAAGTGTTAAACAATGGTTGTATGTGTCCGGAAATCTTATGCCGGGCAAATTAAAAGGGATACAAGAGTCAGAACCTTTAAGGAATATAAAGAAAAGGTGAACAATTGATCAGAATAGAAAATTAAAGTAGTATACCAAAATACAGGTTGATAAAAAAAACTAATAAATACACCATATACTGTAGCTTTTAAAAGTATTGAGAGTTACTGAAAAGCAGTTGAAAAATGGAAAATCTGATCTCGTATTATTTTTCTGGGTAGGTATCCAAATTAATGTTTTAGATACAAGACAATTTTTTCATTATTTTGAACTTTATTTCCAGTTACCTAAAAGTTCAAATATGAAGGAGAAATTATAAGTAAATTAAATATTAAAATTACGTTTTTCTGTGTTTTGTCTAATTCAGTTTTAACTGACTGTTTTGAAACTATTTGTTTACTATAGTTAGAAACTGTATTTGATGTTGAGTTTGTTTCTTTACCCAAGGGTACATCAATTTCCATTGCAGTTTCAACACTTTTTACAGGAATTGACATAATTCCCTTTTCTGTTTTTTTGATACTTGATGGTAAGTTAACAAAGTTATTTTCTGAACTATCCACTAAATATAAAGCATTATTGATATCACTAAGCCTGCTAATGGGCTGAATACTATATAAATGCTCAAAATTAATTTTTTTGAACCGACGGCGTACAGTTTTGGCATGATCATCATTTGCCAATACAATGCAAAACTCATCAGTTTCCTTAAGTATACCTCCAATAATAATACTGACAGAATAATTTTTATCATCTGTGAGTTTGCAAGCATAATCTTTTAATAATCTAAACAAAAATTAATAAAACAATAATATAGGTATTAATAAATTTAATTGTTTTTACTATTAGAGATTAACCCAAAAGAAATTTTAAAGGCAAACAATTTTTTTTTTACGCTTGTTTAACCATTGTAATTTAAATACAACATAAGAAAAGTCACAAATGTAAGATGTGCTTATGAGGAGAGTAGAAAATCGTAAATAAAATTAACACCAATTTTAGGAATGGAAGATATAATCTCTGAACAAATTTTAGAAGAGAAAAGAAATAAAATATGGTAGTTATAAAATAAAATTGATTTGGTTGAAGAAATTAATAAATTAACAATGATCATAAAGATTTACTATATTAAAATATGAAAAATAATATAATAATCAGGGCTCAGATTTTATAGAACTTGCTAATTATTATAGGATACAGATAAAAATATCAGAGTGAGCTTTACATTTGTTTTATGTGCTAGGTACTCTAAATATGAAATTTAATTTTTACTATTTTTTGCATATTTGAAATATTTTAGATTTTTAGTGCTATAAAATCTGAGCCTTGATAATAATAAACCCTCTCAGGTCATATATAAAACAAAATAAAGTTTTTTAAAAAGAATATTAACTCACTGTTTTGCTTTATTTGGATGAATAGCCAATTTTTGTGACAAATATTTATATGTGACCTGAAAATAGAAAAAAGGTACATTCCTCATGAAATAGAATTGGAAAATAGGTAAATACAAACTTCTTTTATATTAAATTAGAACTAAGAATGAACTCACTTAAATAATTGCAACTAACTTAAACAATCTGTATTGATTTCCACAAAACATGGTTTCTATTTATCTTTTTTTTGTTTTTATGTTAAATAAATTTCAAAAACAAACCGACATACTTTGTACGATGGGTAAGCAACTATTGTAGGTGAAAAGTTGAGAAGGTAAATAGGAAATTTAATGTAAATTTGTATGCAATGATAAATGATTGAACAAAAAACGAACTTCGTTTATACATGTTTTGAATGATTTAATATTTAAGATTTGAAAATAATAAATTTCATCAATTTTTTCTACATTTCTTCCCACTTTTGGGAAAATTGAACAATAATCTCTGTAAAATAACACCTCAGGCAGATTTCCTTTTAAAAATAGTGCTACACTTTAAAATTAAAGCAAAATTTCTGGTAAAAAATTTGTTCACAGAAAAATATAATAATAATTAAACATCATTATAAAACCAATACATTCTTCGCTCTGCCTACAATCGAAGATATAGAGATAACACTAAAATTAGTTAGAGGAAAAATAATTAGTGAATGCCACTAGAATCTATAAACATTAATTTAAAGAAATCAGATGTTGTATATGTTGTCACAACTAGAATAAACCATTTAAGGAATTATAACACAAATTAAACAACAAAATTTGTTTGAGGTATACACTAGTAGAATTATTTTTCTGATATGTATAAGATGATATTAGGCATAATTCTAGTTTGACAACCTATCGATTTTTATAATTTTTTTTTTCAAGATGTGTGTTTTTGTGTGTATATTAAGAATGTGATAAAAAAAGTTGAACGAACTTTTTCGTAAGTTATGGGAAAAACTTCATCAAGTTCGAGTTTCCGTTTCATGTATTTTTTAGTTAGAATTTAGCATTTTCAAATTTTTTTTTTTGTTTAAAACTTACCTACTCGTTCCTGGTTTTATTATAATTGTACATAACTGAAGCTTTATATTTCTGTTGAAGTTGCCTAAATTCTGAACCTTTTTATTTTTAGAGTTGTATAAAATTATATAATTGCTTAAACTGGCATACACTGGTGTCTTTACTCTAGTATGTTTAATGTCATAATTAATGTTTTTTTAAATTTAATACCTGTTGTACCTAATTTAGTAAAACAATAGTAAGTACTTTGTTAATCATCTATAACAAATTGTTGATAAATTGTAATTTTAATTTGCAAAGTAATATTATTTAACAAAAATCTCTACCTTAGAGAACATAGATCACTATGGAACTATATTCTAAATTATTCTTTATATGCATGAAATTTATGAGAACATTTTAATGGTAAATAGTTAAATAAAAAACTATGGTTCATAGTAATAAAACCAAATAGTAAACACTAAATTTATTTCAAACAAATAACTGAAAACTTACTATTTGTTGCTTATCTTCAAGCTGTTCATTAATAATTTTGGTTTCCATTTTTTTTGTTTTAAAAAAATTATTAATAATAACTTACAAAAACTGAGCTTATGTAATAATACAATAATTGAACTGTAAAAATATCAAGTTAATACAAATTAATAAATATAAAAGAGTAAATTTTATCTAAATTTGTCGTACGTAAAAAGCAAATGAATAGAATAGATACCATAAATGCATAAAATTTACGAATTCGTGGAGAAAATATTACCTAAAACTATGGATTACCATTCGAAAAGTTTTATCATTTATTATTATCACAAAAAAATTGGTAAATATATTTTTGCCGCCAAAACAATTGTTCGTTTATGCAGTCATTTTGTCTTCTTAAACTCAGCTGTTGACCAATGACCAATCCACTAAAGGAGAAATGATATCCATTTATAGATAATATATAATGCATACATCTATGATAATATTATACCGGTGAATGGCACTTGTTCGAAAAATGATAAGAGCTGCTTCCGAAAACGAGGCACGGTCGTATTGCGTATATCCTTATAAAATAGTAACTTTGTAGACTGTAGTCTCAACTTTAAAGAATAAACATGAAGAAATAATCCGAACTCCGAGGATACGATAAGAAAATAAAATATAGAACTTTAATAAAAGTCGTTAAAAAAATGAATAATTAATAATATTTTATGCTATGCTATGGTAATTATATGTACAAATACATTATATTTATTAGAAATTAAATAATTGTATGATTTATATACCTACATATTTTTCAATAATTATTTGTATTAATATATATATATATATATATATATATATATATATATATATATGCTTTCAATATTACTTACAATACAAAATACAAATGTTTATTGTTTATGTAAATAAGAAAGTATGTATAGGTAATAGGTTATACTTAAATATAAGCAATTGGTAAATTGGTTCTCTATTTCTAATTCTATACTATTATATTTTTGAATTCAATATTAAACAAATTGTTAATGCATTATAATTGGTGTATGTAAGAATCCATGAAAAAAATCAAAATTAATTAAATCAATAGTCTTTACAATAAATTATTTTGTATTTATAAGGACACTATATCTGCATTTACTACCTTAGTCTGACTAAAGTGTAATTTACACTACTTGGAACATAAATTATGGTACTTGGTTAAAATTACAGCTTAAACACAAACAACAAAATTTAAAGATGATTGTATGTAGGTTTTTTCTCAAAAGTTGTATTAAAAATGACAACTGTTAAAAAAACAACAAAAACTAACATGGTTATAACATTTTATAAGACAATTGTGTAGGAAAGACTACATACAATCCTCAAAAATATTCTCCTCTTTCAATATCATTATTTGTGTTTATACTCAAACTTCAACCAAAATGCCACTCTATTAATGTTCTTACATAATAATTATTTATGTGCATTATATTTTTGTTATGTTGCCTGTTAGTTTGACTAAGACAGTAAATGAAGGTATAGACAATCAACCTGAGTGTGTATTGTAATGGTTTACCAGGTGCTCGGTATTCTTAACTTATTTGTATTTATTTTTACAGATTGAACATTATAAATTAATATTTATTATATGGCTTTACTAATATTTAAAATTGATTTGTAAATCATTGTATCTAAAATGAGTAATAATCAATTAGATAAAAGTATTAAAGCAGTTAAAATGGCTAATGGTTTAAAGGATCCAACTGAACCATTTTCTTCATATATGAATTATAGTAAAAATAATCTGGATATAACTATGCATTTTAAAAAAGCACCTGCTTTGACTTCTTTGGTAAAAAAAGACATTTTCTCATTATTTAAAGACAATATGATGGAAACCTATAAGAAATGCCCTTGGGAATGGAATGAAAAAGAGAAACGTGCAGAGTTATTTCATAAAGATGCCAGGTAAAATTAATTAACTAATATCTATAAAAATAAAATAAACATTAATTTCTATTAGTGTAATCATTACTGACAAGTATTTGAACTAAAACAAATTTATAATTATAATATTATATTTTAGGTATATTCTAGTTTGTAATTCAACCAATAAATCACTAGTAGCTTTTGTACATTTTCGATTTGATATTGAAGACTTGATAGAAGTTTTGTATTTATATGAAATTCAACTTGAAAAAAAGGTGCGTGGTAAAGGTCTTGGACGATATCTCATGAGTTTAATGGAAAATATAGCATTTCACTACAACATGAAACGGATAGCTTTAACAGTACTTAAGAGTGAAATTAATGTTATTAATTTTTATTTTTCTCTTCAATATGAAATTGAATCATATTCACCAGAAGATGCTTTTTATTACATACTTAGTAAAAAGAGTAAAACTTTAGAACTTGTCAACAATTAATAAGTAAAAGTTTGATATAGGATTCTTTAAATGTATAATAAAACACTAATAATAATTTATTATAAGAATTTAATACTTCGGTAACATAGTATTTAAATCATTATTGCTACAGCAATTTATAATCATAATTTTGCAAAAATGTCACATACAATAAATTTGTGAAGTAAAATTATAATTATAATACATTTTTATATATATATTAATACAGACAATTAAGAAATCACAACAAAAATATTAGGAACTTATATCTATAAACAACCTATAACAAATACTGAAATGTAAAAATGTTTAAAACAAACTGTAATGTGTTTTTATATACATTCCTCATAACTACAATTTAAATAAGTTATACATTTTTTACATTTGAATTTGTAATTTTTATAAGGAACAAATTAAATAATAAAAATACAAATTTTTGAAAAATAAAGTTCAATGTCATTTTTAAAAAAATATAAAAATAATAAGTTTGTCTAAGTAGTAGGATACACAGGTTTGGACATTTTTTATAACAAATTAAAACTTAAATAATGTATTTAAACTTTATGGAAATTAAATGCTATAATATAATATTTGAATGTGATATTAAATTACTCTGAAGTTACAAAAGTAGGTTAAATAAAATTAATTGAAAAAACTACATATTTTTATTATTTATTGTTCATCATGTATAACCCACAGTAAAATTATGTTTGATATATTTTTAACTGTTACGGTATTTAAAATATTAAGCTATTATTAATTATTAAATTAAAAAATATTATTTTTCACTTATTTTAAGATTAATTCTAAATGTTAACTAATTTATATATAATAAAATACCAAAAAAAAAAGGTACTAAATACATAAAATAGTGTACTTATATTTAATAATAAACTAATATTTAAATATATATTATTACCTATATATATATATATTAAAATGTTAACATAAATAAAACAATAATTAAGTTTGGAATATTATCAGTTTAATTGTTGTATGCTAAATGTGTGATAGGCAACAATTTAATGTGTAAATATCTTGTTAAAGATTTAAAATAGTTCCCACATTTATAATTTAGTATGTTTAACATTTTCTGTCCAGTAGTTTTGGATTGTCATGGCTTCTAAACTGTTTAAAAATGAATCATTATCCAAACTGTACATTTCATCAGAATTTTCCTGGAATATTAAGTAAGTTTTGTATTATTCTTGTTGACTAAAAATTTAATTATGTATAATTATTATTTATTAATAATCATTATTGTTTTCATAATTATGGCCTTGAAAAAAAAGATAAAAATGTAATGAAGACTGTAATTAACTAATAGCTTGTGTATCAATACAATTTTATTCTAATAATTAATTTAATTATTTTTTGGTAATTTTTTTGGAAAAAAAAAGAATCACAAATATTATTATACAATATATTTAACTTAAAGTTCATTAACAAATCAATATCTATAAAAATACACTTTCAAGAGAATATAGATGATAATTTTGTTACAAGCACCGTCTCTAACATTTGATAATATGCAATATTATTAGAAAGTATAGGTATGTTATGAGTAGTGTGATCCTAGACGCGCTGTACATCAAGGCAAGTCGACTAAACGATGACAACAGTGTGCCAAATATATATTCATTGACCGAGGAACAGGTTATCAAAATCTGCCTCAGCTGAGTTTAGTCTCAGGTATAAATTATAAAATTGGCCTTAAATAATCACAAAGAAACTATGCCACAATAAATAAGATATGAACTATTACTATAGTTCTAATACATATAAACCAAAATAATTTATTGATAATAATTATAACATCTATGCACACATTTCTAAAATTAAATATAAGGGTTCAAGGACCTAAATGTGCAAGCTCTATTGTAGCAATGTTATTACCCAGCTATACAATAAAATGTTATTGTTGGAAAGCACATAATAAGCAGATCTAATTATGGGCTCAGGGTATAAATACCGGCACCAACAACACCTTTTCAGGTGAGTGGTGCTATCAACTATGAGTATCTTCACACCAAATTGTTTTATAAAAATTAATTAAAGTGTTTAAATATTTTTCACAATAATAAAGACTTATTTATAAATTAAGTTTGCCATTTCTGACTTTGGTCATAAGTTCATCTGGAACTTGATAAGCCCACAACAACTTTAATACAATTATATTGTTTTCAGTCATATTCAATGTATAAATACATATTTTCATTTTTTTTTTTTTACATTAAAATGCATCCACTTGCTCTTTAAAAAAAATAACAGAATTATGAACTTACTTTAAACATGTCATCTAAATATCCAATAGAATCTGCATTGCTGCAATGATCAAGCGCTTGAGGAGTATTCCATCTACTTCTTTTGTACATTATATATCCTAAAATAACTTCAAAATAAAAAAATTTAAATAAACACTTTACTCATATTTTATAATATTTATAAAATGTTATTTAAATGGTGCTCAATAAAAATGTATATATATTACGGGCAATAGCCAAAATTAGGCAAATCTCAGTAATGTATGGACAAAATTTCATATTTTGGCTTTTGCCCAGATAAACCTAGCTGTGACAAACCTCATTTAGGAAAATCTGTAACGTTCACAAATTTATTTTAAAAATATATAATTAAATAAATATACTATATAAATCTTACAATAAAAGCTACGTTTTGGTTTATTTTGTTTATTTTGCCTATTTATTACTGAGAAAAGCAAGTATTATAATATTATTAACACGGACGTACCTACTGTGAAAAATTGAAATGCGCGTTACAGATTTGCCCGTAATATATATTTAATACGATTTTATCAATATATTATAAAATATATAAATCCTATCATATATTTTTAAATAAACTTTTTTTTTTTTTAAATTTATAAACAAGAATTTGAATAATTTATCTCATTTTCCATTCTATTAACTTCGTGTTTTCACAAATATTATTTTATTAATACACAATTTGATTTTCAATAAGAATTTTAAAACTCTAAACCAATGGTTACCAACCTTTTTAACACTACGGACCAGCTAGAGAACTTTCGATGTGTCTTGGACCACCTCAATTTTAGACATTATTTTTTTTATATAGAAGAATCAATTATTTTCACATATTTTAGAATTTAGATTATGAATAAATAAAATCAATGAAATTCCTTATGGGTTCTTCCTTATAATAATGTTTATAATTACTCAGTTTTAAGTAAAATTTATAATTATCAACAATTAAATGCAAATTACTATAATTAAAACAAACAATTTAATGCGATTTACAGGCTTGCATTTCCTTTAATAACAAAGATATTCTTAAGGGAATACTGCTCAAAGCTACATACATGTCTTTAGTGGCAAACAACCGGTTTATTTGATTATTTTTATATAAAGCAGTCCGGAAAATCCTTGTTCACACAAATAATTTGTCGAAAACATCACTAAATATCTTAATACGATTTCCCAATACTTAGGATATATATTTATACCAAACTCTACGATATGCATGTAAGATTCGAGTTTACAGTTTCGATTGTTTTGTAACTCAATCAAATCTTCCTGGTTATTATTAGATCGATTATTATCAACAATAACAATAAAATGGTTTCGAATCATACTTTGGATCCCTATCGTTTTAATACCATTAAATTCTGGGAAATACCAATAAATTTCATCTTTAAGTTTAAAGTTTATTATACACGATTTTCGGTATTTATGTCACATCCCAAAGGAAAAAGGAAATATTTTTTGTGTACCACCACTCAATGTCTTGCATACCATAGGTTGGAAACCTCTGCTCTAAACGTATAAAAACTATTGTTAAACTAATAATTAATATTAAAAAAAGATAACTGGAATGATTTGGTACTAACTGATACCAAATATAATACATATAATTTATAAAACATTTAAAAACTTGGTATAAAATAAGAGACTGGTACTGCAACTCATAAAATTTACTATTTTCGTGATTATTTGATAAAAACCAATTGAAATTGTTTTCATTTATTTTATAAATATGTATAAAATACCAACCAAATGACAAAATGATTACACAGCCAGCAATAGAAGCTCCTGATATTAAAACAAAATGAGAATTCATATAGTTTGAAAGTTCAGGTAATGATGTAATATTTGTGTATGTTTCATTTGATTTGTCAATTCCATCTACAAAAAATTTCACAAAACCATATTATTTATAATTAAATCATTAAAAATGAAATTTATATAAACCTGTATCATTCTGAAGTTCATAATGTTCTTTTAAAACAATATTTTCGTTGATTTCAGTTGAATTTTCTGTTAAAGGTACAAATTGGGATTTGTTGTTCACTAATGTATTATTAATAGCATCTAAGGGGGGGGGTAAAGTTTTTGAATCTTGTGTCGGTGCACTACGGGCAATACGAACTAAACTGTATGGAGTAAATACATTACTAGACAACACTATTGGTAAAATACCTGAAAAATTAGTAAAACATGATATAGAAGCGAAAAAATGAATAGAAATGAAACATATTCATTAAGTATACATATATAATATTGTATTATACAAATTTATTCACCTTTTAGGTAACTAGCCAAACATATGAAACAAATTAAGTACATTATGTAGATATTAAGTAATAAAACATTTTATACAAACTAAATTAGGTGATTCAACATTTCAAATGAAAGTTTAATATAAATATGAAAAATAAATAAAAACAAGTGTATCAAATAATAATAATAATAATAATGATTTTAGATTAATCAGAATAGATATTTACTATTTGGCTCTTCAAAAGCTTGACTATTTGATTGATAACAGGTTTTTGTTTACAACTATATAATGTACATAATATTGCGATAACAATGTATATCATCTTTGGTATTATGCCCATTGAAATAGATAGAGCGCCATTGCCAATGGGAGTGCGTAAAAATCTGGAGTGTACAAATACTACAAATCTGGAACGTACAATTCTTGAAAATACAAATCTTGAATACAGGGTTTTACGGATATCGAAACCTGTAATGTAAAAATTCTGGAATAAGAGTCGTCCTTACAATTTTCGGTGCCCGAGGCATAACTCTTTTAGCAGGGCCTAATAAAAAATGTAATGATTTTCACATTCCACACAAAGGCAATTTCACTCCTGTAGGCCGGAATCTCCCATTTCCAAATGTAAACATACATGTAATATTTTTGCCCATTACTTTTACCAATAATTCAACTTGTTACCTTTATTTTATCCTTAAATTTGCATTTTATTTTGCTAGCTAATTTTAAATATCTAAACATGTATTTTGTGTCAAACACACATGATAAAATTAATTATTAATTATTTTTAAACATTAATTTACAATTGCTCTCATTATATTTTTTTTCTTTCTTTTTTTTTCTATTTTAGCTTTCTTTGCTATTTAATTTCCAAATAAATATTTCCTTTATATACCACTATAGGGCTCAGATTTTATAGCATTTGCTAATTATTAATTATAGGATAGAGATAAAAATAGCACGGTGAGCTTTACATTTTGTTTTATGTAGGTAATAAACTTCAAATATGAAAATGTGAACTACTTTATTTTGCATATTTGAAGTATTTTATATTTTTCATGAATAGCAGAAAAAAATCTGTTAATTATAATGTAATAAAAATATTATAGTTTATTGTGTACCTCGTTCACGAACGAATTAGTTCGAATACACAATTCAAACCATTCTTTTGAATTCTTTTTTAATTTATGACTTCTTGATTGTATTTATATATGTTTAAAAAATAATTTTAAAAAAATTATATTTATATGGTTATTATATTTAAAAATCAAATTATCAAATAACAAAACAATATATTACATTATTATGTACAAATTTTATTTTAGAAATTTACTCATTCATCATTATCATGCTATGAAAAAACGGCTTGATAACAATAATATTATAATGATAATTTGTTTCATACACTGTTTGTAGACTATATTTATTTTTTTTCATCATAGAGTATACTGTACAAGTATATTTGTTTTTAATATTGTCAAATAAAAATTCAAATTATATTTCTGTGGCTTGGTGCAAGAAGGGCCAATGTCAATTTTTTGAAAAAATCAGTTAAAAAAAAAAAAGAAAATGTACAATTTTTATTCTCAAAATAAATATTTTTTAAAATTTTGAAAAATTGAAAATAAAAAACATTTAGATTTGATAAAATACACAGAGCCTAATGGGGAATTAAAATTTCAAAGCCCATTTCCCAACAATTTTCAACAATCAATAACATTGGCTCTTTTTGCTCCGAGAAACAGATTTGTATTACATTATGTAAATTGTTAAATTTAAAGAAAACTTTCTTCCCAATTGATATAAGTAAAATTAGGTTTTAAGTACAATATTTTTATTTGTTAGCACTGTATTTATATTATAAATTTATACAATTTGTGCGGGGCCTAAGGTGCATAGGCGCAACTAGGGGCGTGCAAGGGGGTCTTTAGCACTCTCAAAAATCCGATAAACTTTTTCATAGTAACAACTTAGTATTTTATCCATGCATTTAAAAATTAATGAACAGAATAAAATACGGATTTCCTATAGAAAATTCACTTGTATGAAAAATAATGCTAAAATGATTCTAAGTCTAATTTCTATAATCTATACATAAAAATGTAAATGAAATGTATAGTTGGTTGTTGTAAGAAACATGTAAAGAGGATTGTGAAAGCATGGTCCCTATGGGTTTTTGATGTATCGAGATCTAATAATCTAATACTGTGGTCTGTCAAGTCGACGTCAGAAGTGATGCTTTAACAGGGCCCGCTCAAGTAGCGCTATCTAGTGATGAAATTTGAATCTCTAGAAATAGTGTAAATTATACTTAAAATAATGCAAATAAAACCGTGGTGTAAGCCCCAACCTTGACCCTGTGAGTCCCACCCTAGTAGCACGCTCTAGTTGCGATTTATGACTATGTGTTTAACACAAATCATCATGGTTAATACATAAAAGTATACAAGATTCCTACAAGTTTACTAATTATTAGCAGCGTATTCGATATTGAAACCTCCAAAATATGAAAACTACGGTAAAAGAGAAAATCTCGGAGAAAATTGTATTAAAATATCTGATATAAAAAGTATATATGCTAGTAATAATTCATTAGTTTTTGAAAAACTTGAACAAAACTAGACTAGATGAAAGTGAATGGGAGTTTATTGACGTATTTGAATATAATTATTCATTAGCTCCTATTATTGATTATTTAATATATTATATTGTAGGGTATTTAAGTTAACAAATCATAAAACGAACAAATTCCCCAAAATGTAAATCTTGTATCGCATTTAACCAAAATAACAGAGTAAAAGCCTCCTTAACAAACATAAAAAGTAAAGAATGGCTTAAAAATCAAAAGACTTATTTATATTATTTGATGAGTGCTATAGAAGATGAATTTCAAAAGCATTATGAACGTTACACTATGTTTGCTGATATTGTAGGAGGAATTTTCACTAAATTTAAATCATTCATTTTTCCTTATGTAAAACATGAAGATTATATCATCGCTTATTAAATTAAATAATAGATAAGTATACAAATGCGACAGACACTACACAAGAAAAACAAATTAAAGAAAACTCCAAGAAAAAAAATTCCCAAATTTTGTAAATCTTAATTTTATAATACTAACTGATTACATTTATTGTATAAGAGAAAATAAATTTAAAAAAAAGTTTTAATTTTTATCTTTATAATCTTTACCTATTAAGTAATACAATATGTAAATATAGTGTTACAGTAATATAGTGTTAAGTAACATGCAGTATACTTTGCAACACGGTCTTATTTGCAGTATAATTTTCACTATTTAAAGAGATTCAAATTACACCACTAGAGTGCACTACTAAAGCGGGCCCTACGACTAGGGACATTAACAGCACACATTTTACCACAGTCTAGGAGTTGCATAGGCCTGTGTCAGACCTAATAATCTAAGACTGTGCTTAATTAACTTAGTGCGCTCTTTGTCCGTGAAATTAATGTTATATTACAATATTATGTAAAATTATATTCCCATCTAATTTAAAAGCACACAACCATTACGTTCACGACTAAAAATACAATTATATGCGAACCTAGGGTGTAATTATTATTTTTATAGTGTTTTAAAAAAAAATATTTATCCACGTTCAAAAGTATTTTTACATTATAATAGGAATTTTATTTTACATGAAAAATCATGCCATGTTGTTTATATTGGCACAACTAGGGGGGAGGGTGCTTGAGAGTGCTTCAACACCCCCAGACTTTTATTTAGCGATATATTTAAAGATAAACAACTTGTTTATATTTTTGGTCTTATAAAGGTTTAAAAATCAGTACGTTTCGGGTACTAAATAAAATTCCATTAAAGGTTGAATAGGAGAAACCTTTAGGTGTTATATTAGGAGAAACCTTTAGGTGTTATATTAGGAGAAACCTTTAGAATATGTCAATACCATTTTAAAAATGAAGGCATTTTAAAATACCATTTTAAAAATGAAGGCATTTTAAACACATGGGTATGTGGACAAAGAATAAGCAAATATATGGTAGATATTTTATTAGTTTATTATTTTATATTGATCGATTTTGTAAGTTTGTACTTTAGTCTGCTAGGTTTAATTGAAGTTTTAATCATAAATTTAATCGTAAATCGAAATCACTAATGATTTAAAATTTCACATTCACAAACATGAAACATATTTTTATGAATATAGTGCATAAACATTCCACTGTGGTCTACGAGCACTACAAAATTGTTTTATCAGTTGAGTAATATTTTAGACTCTAGTCACAATTTCATAGTCCGTTAGGCCAACCAGTACCATCTTTATTCTTTAATCGTGCTACTTACATAAATGTTTGCACAATTTATAATAAATCAAATAGTAAAATTAAGTTACGATTTATTAATCTCTTTATAATATACATAGTTTTGTTGGTACAAAATAAAATTATTTCACTCATGATTTGACGACATTTTTTGAATTTTATAATGCCATTTTTGACTTCATAATATCCTCATTCCTTTGTATGGCTAAAAAAAATTGTTTGGGAAAAACTAATCTGAAAGACTATTGGGATTGAAATACCTTTTTTCGATTCTTTCCGATTGATACTAAATTTGGTTAGTGTGGTCTAGAGGCAACCTGGGGACTTTTTTCAAAGTTTGATGGTGATCGAACGATATTTCAGGCTAGTTCTCTTGGAAGGGATTTTATATAATTTCAAACTATGGAAGGGACTTGCGTGGGGTGACAAGCTACATTATTTGGCGTTAAAACCACTCTTCTATCACCAATTCTGGCCGAGATATACTTGATCCAAAAATTAGGGTAATCAGTAAAAACAACTTAAGGAAAAAAAAGAACACGAAAAAAAAAATAACAATTTTAAAATTTTAAATTAATTATTTACGACAATTAAAAAAAATCATAATTTAATTTTTAAAAATATTGAAATATAAAAAATATATTTCTTATGAAAAGTGTTGGTTTAATTGTAAAAACTATGTTAAAAAAGTATTTTCAAAAAAGTAATAACTTTTCAAAATAATAAGTGGTCACAATATATTTTGCATTCCTTTCATTCATTGAAATTACTATAAAGAACTTTTTCATACTTTCATGCACTAAATTTAGTCTGTCAAAAATCACTAAAGTGTTAATCAACAATATAATAATTAATTATTATATTCAAAATTGTATAATTGTTCTTTTTTTCATTGATCTTTTTTTCCGGGGTTCAAAAATTATAAGGGGGAGGGGGTACTTTTAGTATGAAGTGTGCACTATGCACAACAGACCTGTAAATACGGTGCAAAGTTTTAAATGAAAAAAAGGTCACGCGGCGAAATAAAATGGCGACGAAACGTTGGCCGCGATATGCCGGTGTTCGTATGCTTATATATAAAGTAGAATCTGCTTAATAGGGACAAATTTCCATACTCCCGAACGAATGTATTCGTTTTAGGCAATTTAACTTCGTTTATTGTACAAATACCTATTTTCTGTTTGAAGTCTGCAAAATAAAGAAAGTGATGCCGATAATCACGACGTGGAGCCAGTTAAAGTTACAACCAGAGAAGCAGAAAAGTGCATTGATCAGCTGAAACTGTATTTCACGCAAAATGGAAACGAAAGTGCTTCAACGACTTCACCAGACATTTGTGCAAACTTTGTCAATAAGCAAAGTCTTAATAAATTACAACAATGAAGAATGAACGATTTTCTACAGCTTATCAAATTATAAATTAAATATGTATGTATATATTTTTTGCAAAAATTACTAGGTTTATTAATTATTTCATAATAACTATGTATCTATAAAAATTCAATTAATTAATTAATACCATTAATAATATTTAGTAAAAAAAAGTTATTATGTGTGTATGTATGTATGTATGTATATGCACTTAAATTGTTTTTTGTTTTTTTTTCCCTCGTTAATTCGGCTAATTGGGACAGACGGATAATGGGGACAAATAGGTTATCGCCCGATGTGTCCCCATTAAGCAGATTCTACTGTATATTGAAAAAAATCAATTTTCAGACAGGAAAAAACCAATATATTCCTCACTACGCTCAGAAATCAGAATTTTAAAAAATGATAATCAGAATCAACGGTAATTTATTTTAATCTATGTTCGAGTGTTAAAGATAACTATAAGTACACTTATCTTTTCGCATTCGGCTCAATCATCATATTTAGGGTTAAAATTAATCCCGTAAAACCGGTTATGTGTCTTGATTTTGGGAAAAAATGAATATTATGTGGGTAGGTACCTATTTAATTTCAATAATTTTCTATCGATTTTATTGCTAGGTACGGAGTATGGGATAAAGCATTAATGCCAAATCTATAGGCTACTATTAAAATTAGAAAGATTTAAAGACAAGCAAGTGTGCGTGCACTGTGCAGTTCGTGAATATACGATTTCATGTTTGTACATTATTGCAGTAGGTATTATTGTTTACCTTTGTCAAAAAGGTTCGTTTTTCCTGGCTAACCATTAAATTAATGGGTACTATTCCGTAACCCCACGAAATCGCTTATTCTAATTTAATTTACTAATTTTGTTGTCTGTCCCGGTTTTGCTTGATAAAATAATCAGTACCTAATTATAATATTACCATTTAACATAGGTAACCTTTTTAGTTTTTATTATCTAAATGTTTTATTTGTCATAACTTTTATAATTAATACACCATAAAAAATAATAAAAAAAATCAAAAAATAATTTGCTGTTTGTCATATTTGGCACAATAATCGCAATCTAATATATGATTAAAAAAGAAGTGTTTTTATTCATTATCTATCTATATATTTTATTCATTATCTACCCGTGTATTTTATTATACATCAGTTCAATTCGAATCTAATGACATTGATCTTGTAACGCTAATATGTTTCTTATAAGAAAGACACAAATTACAAATTAAGTATTGTTCTTTGAGTTGAGTAGATTTTAACACATAAACCTAAGTTTAAATAATACACAATCATGTGCATCTTATTCATTAGTAGTGTACAACATATAATTGGTGGATACCGTTTAATTATTGCATCTAACCGAGATGAATTCTATAATCGACCAACGTTATCAGCAGATTATTGGTCAGAAGATCAAGACATTATCGGAGGTAAAATATTGTACAGCCAAGTATAATCAAACTACTTAATTAGGTACCTATTAATTGTTACTTGTATTTAATCTGCAGGACGTGATTTAGAGCCAACTAATGTGGGTGGCACCTGGTTAGCATTAAATATCCGTGGCAAATTTGCTGCTCTATTAAATATATTTGAGTTATCTAACAAACCAAATGCTAAATCTAGAGGAACACTAGTTGAGGACTTTGTCAAGAACAATACTTCAGCTCCAGAATACATGCAACAATTGAATGATGTATACAATGGATTTAAACTGGTCACAATCACCATAAGGTCAGCCTGAATAATTTTAATTCCAATTTAATATATCAAAAATAATTTACGTTGCTTATATGTGTATAAAGCAATTCATTATTAGACATACATTTATTTACCAATATTGTACAAGATGAAGGCCCAGCAATGAGACACTTAATTAATGGTGTGCAAGGATTTGGAAATGGTTCATATATAAAGGTGACTGAAGGAGAAAAACGTTTCAATGGCATTGTTAAAAAATATGGGCATAGTGATACAAAAAATACACTGATTAAAGAACTGCTACAACTTTTGAAATGGAATAAGCTGTAATATGAATATTTAAAAGTTACAAGCCTCGTAATTCGATGCTGTAACATTAAGTGCCATGACACCAGAGTTAAATAGCTTACTATGGTGCTGCAACACAATTGTCTCATATCTAAAATGTTTGATATGCAATACCATATGTTATGCAAGTCATGGTACTTAGTGTCTTGCTGTAATATTATCGTATGATCGAGACTTACGTATTAAAATGTTTAATTTAAACCTATTACAGACATTATCCTGATGAAGAGTTAATTAAACGGGCTTTAAATCATCCAGACAAAGACAGCCAAAAGCCATTTAGTTCTGTTTTTGTGGAAATACCAGAACAACAGTATGGTACTCGGTAAATATTATCACAAATTACAATTAAATTTTAGATTTGATGGATTTTTTGTTTGTTAGTTTTACAAAGAAATAAAAGTAAATATTTTTATACTTAAAATTTTCTTCAAAGCAATACAATTTGTTAAACAAAGATTCATCCAATTACTAGTAATAATTCAATATTAATATGTAATATTGTAATTTTTCAAAATATCTAAATAGTATACTCAAAAATTACAAACAAATTAAAGAAAAATTTTGACATGCAAATTCCACTTAGATATATGTTTTTTAAATACAATGGTTTGTATAGTTTTTCAATAAAAATAAAAAATAATTGTACGATAAAATTATAGTGGCTTTGATTTAAAATAATCTATATGAAATATATTTGTATTTTTATTTACTATATTAATTTAGTTTTTCATTTTAGAACACATACAATTATATTACTAGATCATGATGGCAAAATAGAATATGGTGAATGGACAATGATTAATTCAAATTGGGAACAACAATGTTTTATGACAGCACTAAAATGTGAAACATAGACTATACAAGATAGTTTTCAACATAAAAAAATCTTATATTTTAAATTGTTATTTATATTAAAAATGTTAAATTATTAAATAATGATTGTCATTATGACCAAGTGAAAGAATGTGGTTATCACAACACGTACAGTTGCAGGTACAAATCCTGGTCAATTTGCGATAAGATGATTGTCTTGAGACTAACATCTCTTACCTTAAGCATATAAATCAAAATTCTAACATTGAATGACTAAATTGGATTCCTATCTATTTCTGATCAATTTAATATCTATACACAAATAAAATAAAAAAATCTTAAATAATATATATCATATCCTATGGCAAAAAAAAGAACCAACAGTGTGCAAAATTTTTGGTGAACCTCTTACAGTTAAGAACCTTCTAGTCTACTGTCTAAGCCACATGGAAGCCAGAAGAAGCCAAGGAATCCCAGACAATCTCTTTGAAGCTCAGATGAAGACAACAGCAACAGTCATCCTCAAACACTGATAATATGTACTCAATTTAGAACAATCATAGTTTTTACCTATATATAACATTTATCTTATTTTATACTAGTAAGTATACTATATTATATTAGTAAGTTAATAATCTAAGTTGTTGAAGCTATACCATGAATAATAATAATAAAAAAAAATATAAATAATATATATTCCGAAAAAAATGTATCGGGTATTATTGTGTAATTACATTAATTTATATTTAATAATAAATTTAAATGTAAAATGTTATTAATAATTTTTGACTTATACAAATAAATTCATTAAATATTTAAAAAAAACTATATTAAAGATTTGGGAACCTATATTAATTTAATAACCAACATTAAAGTATGTTTATGACCTATATAAAATATTAAACATACTTTAATCTTAAAGTAGTGACATGAGAGATGTAAACTTATACACAACTCATAAATAAAAGGGAGTGTAAATCTCTGAGGGTTAAGAGCCCTTAGTGTAGACTAACTTTTCCGTAAAAAAATTTTAAGTTTAAAACAAGTGTTAACTTTTACAAATCTATGTTTTAATAACTATTTAATTAACTTAATATTTAACTATTAAAAAAATAAAATAAAATATTATTTGAGCATAACTACTTTGGTTATTTTAAGTATATGCCACATGTACATGCTATTGCAATAAGAACCCTACTTATAAGTAATAACATTGATTTTATAAATATAAAAATAAAATTAAGTAAAGGTAATATTTATTTTATACAAATATTATTTTATTGTAACAATATACACATTAAATAAAGTTAATATAAATAAACATGAATATATATGATATAAGTATACAAACATAAATTGTATTCATTTTTATTAAGATCTTAGAAAATTAAATTATAACTTAATTTTTTCAATATAATACCTAATATTTTAACAATATCTTGATGTTGGGCATATAATTAGTTTTATATTAATTATAGATATAATATACAGTGGGTTATAGATATTATAATATAATTATTGGTTATTTGTTGAGCGTACTTTTATACGTATAATTTAATCCCAACCATACAAATATATCACTTTTTGTTTAGTAAAATACATATATTATTTATGTTAATTAATATAATAAGACTAACAATGCTCAAAATAAGTTTGAAAGGTAATTCAGAAAATTTTGATAAAATAAAAATTAAGTATAAATCAAAAATAATATTTTATTAAATACTATTAATACCATTTTTGTCTGCTTGTTCCAAAAGTGCTTGTAAATTAGTATCAAATAATTCACATCGAATTGGCATTTCCAAGGAATAGAATGGATTTTTCAAAGCAAAATCAGCATATAACTCATAAATTTTTTTTAAAAGTTGTTCTAAACCTGTGTGTGTTGGATCAGCAATAACCATAAACTTCACACCTAAAACATTTTTTGTTTACATGTGAAAAATTTCAAAAATATTTATGTTATACCTGTTAAAGTTTGAAAACACTGGAGTTTAAATGTATCAGCTTCTAATGTTTCAATTCCTGAACTTCTAGGTTCTGGACTCAGTTGGGATGCAATGGCAAATAGAGGATAGAACATACTGGCTAGAAATATCTTTTCATTCACAGTCATCTTAGGTCGGCCAAATTTTAAATTAAGAGGATAATTAGCAGTATCGTTTAGCATGTCTAAGGCATCTGTGCCATCTTCTAATTTTTTACCAGAAACAGGAATTCCATTGATTGCTAATAATACATGACCGACTGAAAACAAAACAAAATATAGTGTTAGAATCATGAGTTTTATGTGTACTGGAGGTTTATTTTTGTCATTATTTGTAAATATATATTATGATATAGCTCTCAATTATATAAAACAAGTTGATATCTATACCTCCCAAATAGTGCATACAAATAGGATTACCATGAGTTATGGGGATCGACAAGCCAAGCAATCAGGGAGCAGTCTCCTAGTAATAAATAACAAACATAACAAGTCATTTTGTAATACCTTTGATGTTATCACGTTGACCAAATGAGACTAATAGTCTGTTGTTTTCATAAGACAATTTTAGATCAAGTGGATAGCTAAAAGTCTGTTCAGTTTCGATTTTCGGTACTGTGTAATCATAGTTGAATATTAGTCCACCCGATTTGGACACAATGTATACACCGTAGATACCCATTCGCGTTGGGTAAACTACCTACTTAATACTTGTTCAACTATAAATGTTCCCGGAATTCATCACGCAAATACGATACATTTGTAATGGGTACGAGACAAAAAAGTCTATTTTTTACAATTGTAAATCACAATACTGCATAAACAACGACTAAACGACCTATTAGCAATTATTAAAAATATTTTCATCACGATCATGATTTATGATTATGAGGATTATCACAAAGTTATCAATTAGCCATAGCTTTTAGAAAGAATGATAAGACCGTGACAAAATGGTCATAGATAATATATTATATTCTTTTAATATTATCTATAAAAATGGTACAGATACCGATATTATACAATAATATAGATATCTGTGGAAAATGGTAAGCATTTTATCTAACCAAATAAGAAAAACCTAACCTAACCTATTATTAACTTAATAATAAATGATAACATAACTCATTCATATTTAAATATACATTTTTCAAAAATTAGAAAAAATTGGTTATCGTTGCGCGATTGGGTACTGTTGTATTTTTTTATACTCTGTAACACCAGCTGATTTGTCTACACTCATATTATTATTACATATTATTATTATACCTAATCAGATAATAAAGAAATTCTTGCCCTCCCACCAATTCAGGCTTTCAGAATTCTACTCTTGACGGCGAGTGATAAAGACGTCGTCGTAGTCAGATGACGTGAAAAACATAAACGAAAGCAGTGCAAAATACAAATAGTAATATAACAAAATATAACCACTGAAGAGATAATAATTACGACAATAGATCAGGTACAGTTAATTCATTATCTAATATACCCACTGTCGCCGTCAATAAATTCTGCTGCGTATTTCCCATGTAAAAATAAACGCGTTATCGATTCAATTGGTTTAGAGGAAGCCTTTGTTTTCTACTTTTAAACCAGGTCCAAGGTTCCTTCTCTTCGATAGGCGATGTTGACATCATCGATCGCCTGCCGCGTTTGAAGCCCCCGTATCCTCTCTAGTCGCGACTTCAATGGTCGCACGTCTGACCTCACTGTCATAACCCACGAAACCATAAGGCGAACGAATAGGTAAGAAATACTTCTTTTTTTTCAAATTTAATCTATAAACAAAATAAAAAAGTTTGAAGTGATAATTATAAATCGTAGTTTGAAGTAATGTTGTGTTATCATTTGTTTTTTCCATACAGCAATGCCTATCCAAGCACCACAGTGGACAGAATTTCTAGCGTGTCCGGTATGTTGTAATGGCTTTGATGTTAAGGTCCGACATCCTATAAGTTTAGGATGCGCCCATACTATATGCAAATCATGCTTGTCTAATCTACCTAAAAAACAGTGTCCATTCGATCAAGTAAGTCTGGCCAATTTTAATTTATGTTGGTTCTTATTATGTTGCTCTTATAAATTAGCCTTATAATCTTTAACCACCTACTATATTGTTAAATAGTCTTGTAGGTGTTTGTTGAATAAATCAAAGAAAGTATTTATTTGACATTGACTAGGTACGTGTTTATATAAAACTAATTATTGATTACTCTAGATATAATACAACATTAAATTTAAATAAAGAAAAATTTACAAATAATACTTATCTATATTAAAAAAATAGTGCCAATTTAAACAATTTATTTCATAAAAAATTTATATTTTTTATTGACAAATGCTTTTGTTTACATTACATACATTTGTTACATTACCTATCTACTAAATAAGTAAGACAAATTTTTCAAATTATTAACCTTATGCATTAGCTGTCTTTTTTAAATAACATAAAATCAATTTGAATTAAATGGTACTTTGGATAATTATTAATATCTATTAATAAATTTTGTTGTTTCCAAAATTCTATAATTAATATTTATTTAATTAACTGCATATTAAATATTTAAAAAAATCCATTCTAATACTTAGAAGGTAATTTATTTTTTATTGTTAATTTTGAAATATTTAATTTATGAATATTTATCAGCTTGTTATGGTTTCTTTTCGTAGTTATTATTAAACATCTTTAAACATGCATAAATATATCATATTTTAATATAAAATCTATGATTTACCTATTTATAACTTTCATAATGATTCTATCTAAAACTAATCTATTATTATATAATAATTCTGTACTCAAAGATACTCAAATTTTTGATTATTTTCATCTATAAATTTATATTTCTTTGTGACTAATACAAATTGTTTTACAAAACTTTAACACATCATTATTAATATTCTTTAAATGGTAGAAATACTAATATTAATATTATATTTTGATAATTTTTAAATAAATGTATCTATTGTGGATATAATGTTGTACACTTTTGAACTTTACACTTTACACTTTCTGGTGTTAATTTCCATCACCTTATTTCCGTTACTTATGATAACTGGACATAGTGCCATATATCTTTACAAGGAGGGAAAAATTTACAAGAACATAGGGCTAACTCAATTAAATCAAAAATGAATATGATGTCTTTTAATTGTGGGGTAAAAAATATAGGTATCTAAATATATGTCCCTAACTAAAATTAAGATTTATGTTTTTTGACTACTAACCATAGTGTAACAGTAACTCAATTTATATACTATGTATTTGTTTATATGTTAAATAATTTTGGATTAAACTACATGTTTATATGTACAAGTGTTGAAAATCAAATAGAACAGACATTTTTCTAATAATAAGTAAATATACAAAACACAAAAATGTTTTATACACACCTATAGGGTGGTTTTTTATTCTGATATGCATAACACTAACATCAAGTATTACATTTATGAGTTATAAGTGTATAATGGTGTACAATATAGTCTGAGAAAAAAAGGGAAAATTAGAATTGACATTATTATTTAGGTTGGGTGGTATTGTAGAGTTAATTGTCAAACATAAAATGACATAATATATATTAGAACTGCACCAAGTATCAATTTTGATAGTGTATCGAGTAATATCACATTTTTTTGACAGGTCCCTGGTATTCTGTCCAGATGCCAGGTAATAACAAATTTTTTATTTGGTATTTGCATTTTTCACTGGGTTATAAAAAAAATTTGTGGTTACAGCAATATATTATATAGTTTATAGTGATAAGAAAAAACCGACAACAAAAATCTTACAATCTTGTATTATACATATAATAGTCGCCACATATTCAAATGGTTGCCTACTCAAGAATACTGGGAGCATCAAGTTTATCACTAATAAAGCTTTGGATAAATTTAAAATCAATTTTATGATATTTGACAGATGTAAGGCTTAGAGCTAAAATATTAGTGATTAGACTCTAATTGTGTTTTTGATGAATTTAATAAATAATTGGCAAATCCCATAAATCTGTTTTGTTTGATAGTTTGTTGATAGTTTAATCTATCTTTCGTATGTCAGCGTTAAGAAATGGTGACCATAGTGTTAAACCATACAATTATATAAAGTGAAAGACATGGCTTTGAGTCAAATTGTTATGTATTTCTACAAATGAAGCCAAGAGTATACGCATTAGTCCAAGAAAGACCCAAATAGATTATGAATTGCCTTTTGTATTTTAATGTGAATTTTTTAAAAAAAACTGGAAGGTTACTGTTTATTCGGAAATTCCTCTTGAAATTAAAACTTGGCTGAATAGCGGGTCTCAATAACCTCTATAATAACAACTTTAATATGATGTACTTCCTTTAGTTTATTGATTTTTATTTTATAGAATTTGATAAACATTGATATTGATCAGCTACCGATCAATTATGCTCTACTCCAATTAGTAGGAGCATTAATACCAATTAATGAAAACATTCCAAAATCTTTATTCAAAAGTATGACATCAGATGAACGGCTGTTATATAGTAAATCAAAAAAATGTGTAGAATACCTTGCATTATACCTTAAATCATTTGCTACTGGTAAGTAATTTTATTAAATAAATATTAAATTTAAAAATGTAAATATTTGTAATAAATGTCTAGGTGGGGGTCAATCAACTAGTGCAGGACTATCACGGCCTATGCAACGTAAACTGGTGACATTAGTTAATTGTCAAATTTTAGAAAATGAAGGTCGAATGAGAGCTATCAGAGCTGCCAGATCTTTAGGTGAACGTAGTATGACAGAACTTATTCTTCATCATCAGAGTGCTCAACAATTATCAACAAACTTGTGGGCAGCTGTTCGAGCTCGTGGTTGTCAATTTTTGGGACCAGCAATGCAAGAAGAAGTTTTAAAACTTGTCCTACTAGCTTTAGAAGATGGTTCTGCTTTATCAAGAAAAGTATTAGTAATGTTTGTTGTTCAGCGATTAGAACCACATTTTCCACAAGCGTCTAAAACCAGCATTGGACATGTAGTTCAACTACTTTACAGAGCTTCATGTTTTAAGGTATGTTGATAGTCAGTGTACTAATTATTAGTATGTATATGTATAAAATGTAACAATACTATTTTTTTTAAATATATAAAATTAATTAAAAATTAAAAAATGTGTTAATAGATATTTAAGTTTTTTTTTTTTTATATAAACTGTAGTTGCAACCTATTTTTATTTTTTTTATACAAATATATATAAATAATAAATAAATATATAAATACAAAAAATACACGAATAAATGTATCCCTGGAGTATTATATTAAGTGTATTATATACGACCGGTTTTGAATTAAAATTTATTATTGGGTGTATCACAGTCAAAATTTAAAACTCGACTGACTATAAAAAATTATATTTTATAGCTAAGTATTTCATTTTGTTTAGGTATCCAAGCGTGAAGGAGATTCTTCATTAATGCAGTTAAAAGAAGAGTTCCGAACCTATGAAAGTTTAAGACGTGAACATGATGCCCAAATTGTGGAAATAGCTACTGAAGCTGGCCTTCGCATAGCTCCTGATCAATGGTCAGCTCTTCTCTATGGTGATTCTGCACATAAATCACACATGCAGAGCATCATGGATAAGTTACAAAGCCCACAGTCATTTTCGCAGTCTGTTCAAGAACTTATAATTGCTTTACAACGAACTGGTGATCCAGCTAAATTATCATCATTACGACCACATTTTGAACTCTTAGCTGGAGTTGACTCCAATCCTAGTAAGTTTCTTTTAATGTTAAAATATTTTAGTGTGTTCCAACTAAATTTTTTGTTTGTTTTTTTTTTTGTAATAGGTTTGGAGTGGTGTACTTGGGAAAAGTTAAATTCTGTTCTTGAAAGTGCTAGAATTGTGGTTACAGGTTTAACTGATTTTGTTAAATCACATGGCAGTACTAATAAAAGTATAAAAAATGAATCTGTTCAAAGTCAAACAAATGTACCTAGATATAAAGTCAGTTTGTGTAGAGACCTTATGATACGAGGTACATGCCCAAGAGGAGGAGGTTGTACATTTGCTCATTCTGAAGAAGAATTAGAGAAGTAAATTTATTTGTAACATTTGTTTTTGATATTTATACTTTATTACTGTTTATGATTTATATTTAGGTACAGAAATAAGAATAGAAAAAATAGAGTAGTACCATTGACTGTTGACCATGAATATTTAACAAATAAACCTACATTTATGCCAAAAGAACAGTATGATTTCATCCATAATAAAAAACCAAATATGTTGTCTGAAAGTAGGATCTCAGATCTTCTAAATTGATTATAATATTTATATTACTAATAGTGTTAAAATAATTTTTTAGATTCCCAAGATATGGGTTCTATCCCCATGGAACATTCATATATTGTACCAACTGGTCAAACATATTATCAACCTGGTCAACAGCAAATTTATCCTGTGGGACAATCTGGCCAACAGCAAATGTATCCTGTTGGACAGTATGGTCATGAGCTGTATGGGTAAGTGTAATAATTTGTTCTGTGTAGCCGTAGATGATTACCCTATAATCAATTTAAAACTTGATTTTTTTTAGTCCTGGACCACATTCTCATGGAATGTTAATTAATTCAAACAACCAAATGTACATGGATCATAACTTACCAAATCATTCTAATAAAATGGTAATAATTTGTATTTGAATGCCAATTATATATTTATCTAAATAAACAATTTTATTTTTTCAGAAGAATTTATCATCAAGTTTAATGTCTCTTCAGAATCGTAAACAAGAACTTTTGGGTCAAATAGACAGAGTAATGACAGCTTGTACTCTTACACCTGATCAAGTAGTAAGTTATTTATTTGTGAGAAATATGAATGGAAAGGGTATCTACTAATTCTTTATAACTCGTATTACTTGATATTTATAATCTAATGGTACATGCATGAATGTTAAAGGATTTTGATCGTTATTCTATGTGGGACAATGGAAGTTTATTTCATGCTAAAAATGGATTGCCTTCTCCTGTTAATATTCAAGCTGGACGCCCTGTTTTAATTAGGTAAGAATACAATAGTTGATGTATGTATTGATTATATTTCAACGTAATATTAAATATTTCGGCAGGATGACCGTGAATTTAAATTTGGTTTTCGGGAGGTCGATAGGGAGTACTGAAATTGAGATTAATTTTCAAGAATTTCAAAACTTATTTCGCTTGCATTTCTAATGGTCAACTTATTAATTTAATGTAATAAATTAAACAGATTCAAAATGAATTTAAATTTTAAACATTATCTATCAATAAAGCAAAATTGTTCTGACTGTGTATTTATTAATACAACCATCATTTATAGATATTTTAATCAAAATATATTTTGTTCTATACTTACTTAATTATTTGTAAAAATTATTTTTTCATAATATTTTATTAATTTTACTAAAATGTATTTAAAATAAAATTTACTCTCGTTATTATAGGTCAGATTCAATTTTAGCTGATCCAGACGAATTTGTACCATTTGAATTAGCTGTAAATGGTAAGTACGGTCCAATAGGAGGTAATGGAGTTAATCCAGCAGTACCTCCTCCGCCACCACCTCCACCATCAACCAATAATAACAACAACCAATCAGTTGGTGCAAAAAATAGCAAGTCAATGCGTAGACCATGTACATTGTCAATACCCACACAAGCTGCAGCTGCACAGGCACAGTTTTTTAGTTCGACTACAACTACAACTATAACAACGCCTCTAGGCACACTGCGTGGAGCCCGTAATAGTCCAGTAGCAGCTTCCTGGTATTTCAATTCACCGCAAGGTTATCCAGCTGCTGCACACATAGTTGCATCCCCTGTAGGTGCTGCGATTGGACAGAGTTACATTACCATACATAGTCCAGCAGGCATAATCGAACCACCAAATTTTTTTGGTGGCCACAAAACTCCTAAAAAGTATATAGCACTAAAAAAAAGAAGTTAGTATATTAGTAATTATGCTATCTTTCATTTTTTTTTTTTCTACAGTTTGATGATAGAGTCTCAAAAAATGAAAAGTCAGTTGAAACATCTAGAAAAAAAAATTAACGATCTTAAGGTGAGGTAATAATTGAACCATTTCAGTTGTTATTTCAACTGTCATAAATTTATCTATCATAATGATGCCTTGTATATTAATTCAAGGCAATCAATATTATTTAGTCTAAGACAAATAAATAAATAAATTTTGTTCAAAATTTATTTATATAAACTTGATACTTATTGGCTACAGTGTTTTCTGATAAGTAATATAAATTTTTTTAAGTGGGTGGCTATATTAAAAATGGGTTTTTTTGAGGATATGTAAGACTAGGATAGTACCTAAATGTAGAGTTAATTTTGAAAGTGTTTTTCCATTTGATATGTGCTAAAACTGGAAGAAATTTGTTTTGTCTATCAACTCTTTAAACTCTTAGCTCAACAAGGAATGTATTAGTTGGTTTATTTAGGGGTACTACGAATTCATTTTTGGGTCACTGTATTATTATTCATATCAAGAAAAACACGTTTTTTAATTTGTGATTGGTCAAATTGAAATTGCATCTAATTTAATTGTTCACTTTTATACTAGTTTTTCTGCTTCACCAACAATTATAGACTTTGAATGCAGTAAAGAATGTGTTTGTTGTAATATGATATGTGTGTTTTTTTTAAAAAGGTTTTAAATGGTTTTAGTATGTGTTTTTTTTTTTCTGTCTATTAACAATTGTTCTAATAAAAATCTCACTTTAATCACAAAATGACAAAAAAGTTTTTTCTAGAATTTCGGGTCTGATTGATGTATTAGGGAGATTAATTTTTGAATTACCTTAATATTTAAATAATAATTGACAAAAAAACGAGAGAGTTTTACAGAAATAAAAATTTCATTATTTTCGAATTTGCTTTTTTTATTATAATTTAGTTAAAAAGACATGTAGTTATCCACAAATTACTTACATTAACCTTTTCTAGATGTAGTAGAATTTTTAAAACATTCTAGCAATCTTTGAGATATTTATAGGCATTTGATATTCATGAGTTGTTAATATTTGATTAGGTTTTATGTGGATAAAATTGTGAAGACAGCAGAATTGTATTTCATTACCTATTTGAATTCTTTAAGATAAAACTTAGTTTTTATTAAATTTTATGTAGATAAAATTGTGTTAAGGTGTGGCTTATATTCTTAACAATTTAACACGAGGTTCATCACAAGATTTACTTGGTTAAAAATGTTTGAATCATCTTGTACTATTGTGCCAAAAAAAAATATTATCATTTGATATCTGGACTCAAATTTAATGGTTCATCTATAAATTGGCATTTACTGTTTAGAAAATTGTCAAACACCTATTGTACTTTGGTTTATTTAGTAGCATTGTTATTATAGCCTCATCTACTTCAATTGCAATTTTAAAAATTACATTACTAGATTAGATTTTATGTTATGTATTTAATATATAATTGTATAATAATTAATTTTAATTTGAATATTAATATTAATATTTAAGCTTGCCACTCATAATGTGGCTGCTAAAGAAACTGACAAATTATCTGAGGAATTGGCCCAAATTGAAAAAGACATTCAAACGAAAGAACAACAATTCTTGGTGTGTACTACTTTTTTAATATCATTATATATTTTTAATTTTTTTTTTATTTAAATTAAAATAACGTAATAAAATATATTGGGTATGTACCTATGTATACTGGATTAAAATATTTAATTTTAAAATTTTAAAAATGTTTTATTTGTTATAATACCTAATAATAAATACTTTTTATTTTAAGACACAATGGCATTCTGAAACAGCCACAATAACTACTTGGGGTGATGGAATATGGTCAAGTACTACTTCTTCAGGATTCACTACTCAACCAGTAAGATATAAGTTACCTAATTTACAGCTTCTAGATTTTTAAAATTTAGGTGAAACAATGAATGTATTGGTTGTACAACTATGGAGTTTTGTTAGTGTTTGTAAATCTGTATTTGTATATCTGGCAATGTCTTAATACGTTGATTGTGTATGATGTCAATTGGTATCATTTAATATGTTCACCTATGCAGATAACACTAAATAATGTTATTGATACTTAATTTTTCAATGTACTATAACTCACTTTGCAGATTAAAGAACTTGTGTTTTACTGTTAATATTTACTAATATTATTTTAGAAGACGTGATATCAGTATATGCTGTTTATTTTGTAGTTCAGCAAAGACAACATTGTACTGTTAGTTTTAATATTAGATTAAATTAACTCATCATCAAACATAAAAATAAGAACATTATCTGTGTAAAATTGGTGCTATTATGTTATATACATTTTTATGAGTGTGAAATACCACAATTTAATCATGTTTATATCTCGCTTGAAATTTAAATAGCACTTTTTAAGTTTGACAATGGGTCAGTTCATTTTAATATAAAAATTAACTGCACAATGTTGTTTCTGTAGAATACAAATTTATTATGCTATACGTTTATAAGAGAGTGACTACACACATAGAAGTCACACACTCTAAATACTTACAGACACTCGTTTGCCAATAATAAATAAAAATTTATGTCAGGTTAAAAAAAATGCCACTTATTTTTGTCAGCACTTAGGTACATACTTACAAATGATACACAATGAATGTGTTAAATAACAATTTTGACATTTCCATTTATTAATAGAAAATTAAAAAAAAATGTAAATTGTTTGTATTATTGGTATAGAACTGTAATAGGTAGGCAGAGAAGATGAAAAGATTTGTAGGGTAGTTAATTTAAATCTGTATGTAACAACAAATCTTGCAGACGATTTGTCTTAACTCATAAGTGAAATATAGTAAATATCTTTTGATTTTAAATTAACAATTGTATTAATTTGAATTTATAACTAAAACCACTGTTTAAAATTTACAAAATTATTATCTATACTAACCAAAGAAAAACTAGACGATTTCAGATAGCTATATGAATAACTAATAAAATACCAAAACAATTTTGCAAATTGTTATATATCTAGAAAGTATTTTCTACTAGGAACAATTTTTTTAAATCAAACTACAAGTAAAAATAAATTTGAATTTAACAAAAGTTGTTATTTTGTAAATATTCCCTTTTTTTCTTCAAAACTACAAGTAAAATCAATATATAACATTTCTATTGTTCCGACTATATGAAAATTTTCTACTAAAAACCATGCCACGTTGATGGCCAGAATAACAGAGAAAAAAAATACTTCCCATAGTAAAACCAATACATTTTTTGCTATGTTTAGAATCTAAAATAAACAATAATACTTATTTTGTTATGTTATCTGTGTAATTATATTCTATATAATAATTGTAGGATGATACTTATAACAGAAATGGTAATGTTAAACAATCAGAATTAAAATGGGATGATAGTGAAAATGAAGCAGAAAAACCTATAGTAGAAGAAGTTTAAAACAAAACAGGTAGGTATTGACTGTGGTGTATATACATATTTTAACCATTGAAATTAACCAATTTTATTCACAACATGATGCTTAATAATTAGTTGAAACAACAATGTGATATTTGTATTATTATAATTATTATTTTTGATAATTATTATTGTAGAAAATTAAATTATATTATTGTATTATTATTTTTTATTAATGAAAATTTAACATTTCATCGGAATTATTTGAAACCGTAACTATTTTTATATAAGTAACAATAATTTGTTATATTTGTTTTGTGATTTATTTCTTCTTGTTATATATATATATACATTTTATAATATATATGACTTAACTAAGATTCTCAATGGTTACCATATTGTTTATTGTATTGTGATTAATGTTTATTTTTAAAATAATTATAAAATATGAAATTATTATCATGTCAAACATGAATTATTGTTATCTAAGATTATAAAAATTGTATTTTTATACTATAGCTTTATCGTAAAAAATAAAATGTATAAACTACACGATTATATTAATCTATTATTTATGTTGAGGGTAAAATTATATTAGTTATTTTATTTTATACAAAAAATATATATTATTTATTATCTTTAATTGGTGGTATTGGTATTTTAACATAATATAAATAATAATATTATTGTTTTCTTTTTATATACATATACCTAACTTAACTTGTGTTAAATTAAAAGGCTTTATTTTATATATTATAAAATATAAAAATATAATTAATTGTTATAAATATATTTTGAAGAAAAAACAAGTTTGGAAATCTTAATTTCCTGATTTCCTGAGTTCCTGGTTTCTAAATATATTTTTCTTTAAACTATATTTCTATGTACAATTTTGAATGGATTTAATAGATAACTTAATATAGTATGTTCTAAGTAAATATTTTGGTATGTCATGCATTCGTAAGACGGAGACCGCACATGTGAATATGGCATCCTTTTACCCAAAACATAGATGTTCCTTTATCAGAATCTAAAGTAGATAGTTGATGTTAGAACACTGCAACGCACACTTGTTCTGAACGATAAAAATCATATTGTAGTTGGAAACCCTGTAGTCATATATGGTTTTGAGTAGTATCGATCCCTTTAGTTGTTTAGTTAGTAAAGTTAATTATTAAAACCTGCATTCATGGAAGCATGTACATGTATAACACAGCCCTTACATGTCCTTGAAATTTCAAATAAAAAAGTTACAGTTATTTAAAAACGAAAAATAAAATATGGTTTTTGTATCTTTTATATAGAGCTTTATTTTTTGAATATTATAAAAATTTATTGAAATTCCCTTCAAAATATTGTTCTCTATAAAAAAAACTTTTTTGGTTCCTTTTTAATCTAGTTGGTGGGTATCAATTTTTTGAAGCACTTTTCATTATAATTGGGGAAAAATGAAAAATAGATTTAAAATAAAAACCTAAAATTTACTATTCATTTTTAATGTTCGAAATTTTAGATTCTGAGTGGAATGAAGAAGTTTTTGGTTTTATAAATATATTTTTTTTTTCCTGTGGGCTTTTCTACTTGCAATTTTATTCCGATTTACTATAAAACCACTATTTTAAAAAGGAAATTTAACTGGGGAGGTACTTTAAGTACCATTTAATTCTGTTTAATTCTGTTACCTATGGATGGCTCAGAGACCTATTCAGAAATTTGGCACTCGGCTGCAAATGTTTTTCCAGTCCCCTCCCTCCATTCAAAAAAAAAAATTATTTGTTGTTTTCCACCTACCAAGCGCGTGGGAACTTACTTTCTGATGACCACCCATTATCATTATCCTTTTTGGCGCTTTCTAACATTTATTTTTAATATTTAATGTATTACTTTTTGTAATCCTCGGTGGAAAATTGACTATTTAATCAAAAATGTCTATTAAACAATTTTTGCAAAGAATTAAATGGTTTATTATGGTTATATATTAATGAAAAAGTGAATTATTTCAGTTTGTTTGTCTACATTCACTGATTTCATACTTAATATACTACAATACATTTAAATTACAATTATACTTAGGGCTTTATATATAAAATGACTTGCTTTCATAAGAAGTTGAACAAAAGTTAGTAAAAAAAAAAAAACGGATTTTAAACTTAAAAAATTATTTTATCACATATTAGTCATAATTAATATAAAGTAGGTTTACTTATTATCTACTAATTATAAAATAATTCATATTGTTTACAATTTACATTTATAGATTCTAAGTGGAGCAAAGAAACTTATAGTTTTACAAAGATGTTTATTTTTTTTTCTAGTCTGTTTACACGTTTCTTCCTAGTTAACTTGCTTCGATTTTTACTTGTAGAAACTTTTCTGAAAGCTTAAGATTGAGAAGTTGTTAAAGACGAACGTACCAATAAATATGACGGATGATGAAGAAAAAACACATTCAGAGTGTAAGGTGAGTAATTTATGTAAAAAAATCGTAGAAGGAGTCGATAAAGTTGGAGATCACAACCATTTGACGGGTAAATTTAGGCATACTTTGTGTTTAGGATGTAACTTAAAGTTACAGCAGCCTAAATATATTTCGTGTTTTTTCCATAATCTCTCTAATTACAACTCTCACTATATTATTTCTGAACTCGGTTTCGATACCAAGACTATTTCCGTTATTCCGAACAGCGAGGAAAAATATATTTCTTTTTCTAAATATATAAGCAGTACTTTCACTATTCGGTTTATCGACTTTTCGTTTCATAGCGTCGAGCTTGGGAAAACTGTCAGCAAACTTAATCACACCACAGCTTGAAAATTTCCGTGAGACAGCGAAACATTTTGTCACTGGAGAAATGGCACTAGTCACTCGTAAAAGTATTTATCCGTACAAGTATACAGATGGGATAAGTTGAATGAAGATAGTTTACCGATGAAGAGGGATTTCTATAGTATGTTAACTGAGTCGGATATAACAGAAGAATATGATCATGCGAAGGCGGTCTGGGACCACTTCGGTTGTAAAACGTTTGAAGAATATTCTGATTTATATCTTAAAATTGATATTTTATTTTTAGCTGACGTGTTCAAAAATTTTTAGAGATCTTTGTATGGAAACATATAGTTTAAATGCCGTTCACTATTATACCGTCCCCGGTTTAAGTTTTCACGTGATAATGAAGTTTACCGGGAAGAAGTTGGATCTGTTAACAGATTATGACATGCTGTTAATGTTTGAAAATGGTTAGTATATCAACATTATTTTAAAAATAAAACTAATACTATTATTTTTTTTTTTTTTACTTTTTTTATAGGTATACGAGGTGGGTTAATGCAGGCCAGCCTGAGATATGCCAAGGCTAATAATGAGAAGACACTCGATTATGATGAGAAGGATAAATCGTGGTTGATCTACCAAGACTGAAAGTAAAAATATTAGTTTTATTATTTTTTTCTATTTTTTTTATCTTTATAGGTAACAACTTGTATGGCTGGACAATGGCACAATATATGCCCTATGGAGGTTTCAACTGGGTTAAACTAGACTTAGATGGGCTGGAAGCTTTAACACATACATCGGCTAAAGGACGGGTTTACGAGGTAGACGTGTCATACCCGCGACACTTGCATGACAAACATATTGACCTACCTTTCTTGCCACATAACGGAATACCAGTAGGCTCGAAAGTAAAAAAACTGATACTTTTGAGAAGAAGAGAAAATACATGATACACAATCGTAATCTTCAGCAGGCTATAGCAAACGGGGTGATAGTAGAAAAAGTAAATATTTTTTTTAGTTTAAACTTATAGTATAAATTTTAAAATTGTTAATATACAAATATTTTATAGGTACATAGAGTTTTAGAGTTTGATCAGTCTGCGTGGTTGGCAGATCAACCTAAACACCGAGATGCGTAAGAAGGCCAGGAACGAGTTTGAGAAAGATTTTTTTAAATTAATGAATAACGCTGTATTTGGTATGTTTTTTTTCCCTTATTAAATTTATTAATTAATTAATTTATTACATTATAGGGAAGACAATGGAATCAAAAAGAAAGAGAATGAAAATGGAGCTGGTGTCTAATGAGGAAAAAGTGCAAAAACTTATTAATAAGACGACTTTCAAACATGTGACTTACTACAGAGAAAATCTTATCGCTGTATCACTGGAAAATAAAATAATTAAATTTGATAAACCTTTATATATATTGGTGAATATACTTTACAATTTTTGAATATTCTGTATTAATACAATTATTTCCTATAGGATTTGCAGTATTGTAAATTTCAATGACACTAATGTACGATTATCATTAAAACGTTATGAAAAAACACTATAGTTATAATATAACACCGACACGGGTAAATTTATATTTTAAAACTACTTCCATATTATGTATTAATAAATATCATTATTTCAGATTCACTGATATATAAAATTATGACAGACGATTTTTATAATGATTTAGAAAAAAATTCAAACTTACTCGAACGTATGGATACTGCAAACTTACCGTAAGACCATCCGTGCTACATTGTTGATAGAAAAAAGATACCCGGATTCTTTTCAGACGAGACAGGTGGGCTTATTATGACTGAGTTTTGTGCACTGCGTGCTAAATCATACGCATATAATATACATGGAGGTAAAAAAGATAAAATAGTAGGGTATGCGAAGGGTATACGGAGTCATGTGGTTAAGAACCACATTAATCTGAAGGAACACAAAAAGTGTTTGTTTGGCGAGCCAGAACTAGAGAAGAAAAATGAGAACTTTTCTATACGTTCGTTCAAACACAGTCGATAAACCGAATAGTGAAAGTACTGCTTATATATTTAGAAAAAGAAATACATTTTTCCTCGCTGTTCGGAATAACGGAAAGTCTTGGTATCGAAACCGAGTTCAGAAATAATATAGTGAGAGACGTAATTAGAGAGATTATGGAAAAAACACGAGATATATTTAGGCTGCTGTAACTTCAAGTTACATCCTAAACACAAAGTATGACTAAATTTGCCCGTCAAATGGTTGTGATCTCTAACTTTATCGACTCCTACGGCTCTTTTACATAAATTACACACCTTACACTCTGAATGTGTTTTTTCTTCATCATCCGTCATATTTATTGGTACGTTCGTTTTTAACAACTTCTCAATCTTCCTCCCCACTTCAACAATCTCCTTCAAAAAATATTTTGCAACGTATGGTTTACTTTCATTTCCACGATAAATTACCGGTCCCATCGGTATGCCATGTTCCTTCAAAAGGCTAGCCGGTACGTCATCACCCGCCTTCACTAAAAACCCATAACTCATCGCTTCGTGATTATGTACTATCCTGGTATTTCCACCCTTACCTTCATCTATCTTCAGAAGCAGCGCTTTAAAATCCGCATATATGACAATCGACTGTCTATGTGTATTTTTCCACGCGTCGAATTTGATGCAGTCCCCATCCTTCGGCATCACAGGTAGCATAGGTTTGTGTGTCCCGCAAATTAATTTATGTTGTTCTAGTGCCTTTCTCCCGCTCAACTTATATTTATGCCATCTATCATCAGATGATGTAAAACATCGTTTACAAAACACTACGCTCTCACTGTGGTTAGTTTTCTGCGATCTAATGAGTGTCGACATATTTTAAATATAAATAAAATGCGAACCGTTATCATTAGTCATCAGCAACAAGTCGAAATGGTTGACTTTTTCATTATCTAAAATACGTAGCGGGAACACTTCATAAGACGGATATTTACGAGGCGGCTGAAATTTTTTTTCTAAACCGTACATATTTACGGAAACGTACGGGTTATTTTTTTCAAATTTTGAAATATTTGCGAGTGGTGAGGGAATGAAATACCATCAAAATTATATTTATCCTCGTGTTTAAAATAATTTTCCCCTAAACGATGAACCGAGTGTCCCATCACGTGTTTCGCTAATACAGCCCACTTGAAACACTGCTGATCAGTGTTTTTAGGGCTTATTGTGGCTCGTTTGTTTTCAAGGTATGCGGGTAATTGGATATACGAGGAGGATGATAAGGGTGTATACTTATACACCACTAACAATAAACCATCTATAGACTCGAGCGTAAACCCGCTTCCTCTACTCTTATAAGTTTCTTCTTCACCCAATAACTTCGTGTATGTTCTCTCTATAATCTCTGCAATATCTGACTCTATAAAAATTTCAACCGCTGCTGTCTTAAAGGCCCTATTCTCCGACGAGTGAATGAATTTAAGTCACCTCAAGCTTCAAATTAAGTTTTATTGGACTAAGCTGAACGCGTGTTTTCAATAAATTAATTAGAGCTGGTTTAACCGATTGGAGAAAGTCAGGGAAGTTTTAGTGATTGTTAATATTTTTAGTATAACGCTATACAATTTTTCGGTTTGTCGAGGAAGAGATTTCTATAAACCCTGGAGACTGCACAAAATTCATACGCACCTTCTTAGCCCTAACAGTCGACTCTGTGTTGGCGGATGAAACACGTTTTCCGTAGGTTGTAGATGTATATGTATCTTTAAATAAAAAAAAAAAAATCTAATAAAATAAATCAAAAACTATTAAAAAAATCCATCAAACAGCCTGACAACCGGTGTAATGCCGGAATACTCCAACTATTGCACCATTGATTGTTTCACAGACCGTATGATAAGTTTTAATATATATGACTTGATTGATAAATAATATGTTACGTTTATAATAAAATCTTTGTTATCAAAATTATTTACCAACGAGTGATAAAATATAAACTAACCTGATGTAGTATCCGCCAAGTTTTTATTTTCAAAATCTTCCAATGCGGTTAAACAAATTTCGTCATCAATCGATGGAGCAGAAATTTCCAATAGTTCTAATGAATTAAAAATCAATTTAAAACTGTATAATAAAAATGTAAACATGTGTTTGATTTTTTTAAATATATTACATACTATGAGTGGTTTTCATATGACGGAAGAGACTATCTTTTCGTTTAAATTTACTTCCACATTCAGTACAAGAAAATATATTTTTTTTTGTTAATTTCATCATGTCATTTTAAAGTCCCGTCATCAGTATTATCAAATCCGTCTTTGTAACTAGTGGCGCTTGAAGTCAAAAGTCCAGCCTGTGGGGCATTAGTCGGGGCGACTTTTGCTTCGTGATGGCAAATTTTAACGTGGATAGCGCGATTGTATTCTCGAGAAAACATTTTCGGACAAAGAGCGCATTGAAATTGCACTCTCGTGGGATTTGGCGTGGCGAAACAAATTTTGTTTAACTGTAAAAACTTTAGCGCAACCGACGAACGTGCATGCGAACATATTTATTTTAGATGAGAACGTTAAAATATAATAAGTAAATACTTCTTATAAAAACTGCAACGATAAGAAAAACGGTAGAGAATAAAATATTTGAGAGGAAACTGAAAGAAACGTGTAGGCGGGTTTATAGATGAATTTCTACTGAGCGGCACTCGTACTCAGGGGTAGATTATATAGGTTAATCGAATATTGTTATTGATAGTTATTTAACAAACGAAATAATCGATTGTTGGCTATCGAATCATATATGTTATCCTTTACCTATGCGTTTCTATAGGAGAATGTCAACTATCAACTGACCCGATTGTTGACGACGCGCGTATGATAGCTTAAATGATAAAGACGTAAATACGAATGACAAGACGTGTTAAACAGTATTGTTTATGAAGGATAGAGGTAACGGTTAACCCATGTAATGGTTTTATTGCGGGCGGATATTCGAGTGAACCTAGCGGCAACATGCTCCTTACGAAGCTTAGCGGCACCGTGCCATAAAGAAGCTTAGCGGCAAATATTGTTTAATATATACGCGTGTATAGGTGATAAAAAACGATTGTGGGCGGATTTCTTGAATAGCCGCTAGCTTTTCGCTAAATTTAATTAATACATTTATTATTATTATTTTTTTTAGCCTGATACAAAATTACAATTTACAAGTTTACAATAAAAATTTAATTTTCTTCTACATTTTTGTCTCCTTGACAACCAGATTGAAAAAAAAAAAAATGAATTTTGATTGAATTATTAGCATGTAGATAACATTTCGGATATTTTGTAAATTTTTAATTTCTATTTTTAAAATTACGTATAAACATTAAAACAATAAAAACTTTTGTTGAAACCGTTATCTCCTATGGTTTTCCGGCAATCGAGTACGTAAAATACGCCACTTCTGCGGAAGTAGGGGTAGCAAATACTTAACATTACAGAATGTGGCATAATTTTAGTTTAGCTCCCACGCGATTTTTCTAGTTTTTTTTTTCCAAAATGGGTATTTTTTGATGCTTAATCCATCGGTATAATCGTAACTTACCTATCATACTTACTTTTATAGTTTTTATTCATTAACCTTGAAAAATAGTGTTTTTGGAATTAATCCAAAATATGGTCAAAAATAGACATTTTTATTACTATTATTAATTTTAGTTATTGATATTTTGATAAAAAATGTTTTAAATTGAATTCAGAATAAGACTATCATCTTAGTTTTAGATTTACAACCGTTTAAACGCGCAGTTTTGCTGCGCTCACTCGGACAATTTTAATTGAAAATAACTCTAGAGAGTGACCACATTGGGTCTCTAAATTTACCTATTAACGCTTTTAACTTTTTCTTGTTACCTACCCGACGTAATTTTGCACAACAAATCGAGGATTATTTTCGATTAAAATCGTCCGAGTAAGCGCAGCAAAACACTGCGCGTTTGAACGTTTGTAGCTCTAAAACTAAGCCAGATAGACTTATTCTGACTTCAATAAATAAACTTTGTTGTTTAAATATCAAAAAATAATAATAATAATAATAATAATAATATCTCCTTTTAACCACATTTTGGATTAATTCCAAAAATACTATTTTTAAGGTTTATGTACAAAAACTATTAATGTAAGTATGATAGATAAGTTTTGACTATATCGATGGATTAAGCATTGAAAAATACACATTTTGGAAAATATTAAATCCTAACTAAGAAATACGCGAAACGGAAAACCCGAACTTCATGAAGTTTTCCCCCATAACTTGCAAACGAAGTTAGTTAGACTTTTTTTTTACATTCTTAACATATACGCAAAAACACACATTTAAAAAAAAAAAACCAAAAAATCGCGTAGGTGCTAAACTACAATCGTTCCCAGAATGTCAGGGGCATCAATTCAGTTCTTCAATAGGGGTGCAAACATTCGAATCGTACCAATGTCATATACAAATATAGCCAATAAATCAGGGCATGTATATATGTTTATTTCTCGGAAAAAAAAAAAATTGAATTGCATCGATCGCTCATATTCCTACTTTACATTTTAATATTCAAATACTATAGAGCAATATTTCTGCTCTGTATTCCTTTCTACATTTAATCGACGATCGTGCAATTAAATAACATTTTATGCGGGCCAAAAACACATTAACAAAAAATAGGGCTGCCAAATTAGTCTGAATCCTTCAAATGACACCCTTGCAGTATTCCACGGAGATATGGCAGTTGCGATTTGCAATATCTTGGAAAGTGTTTTTTTAGGATTTTTTTTTTTTGATTTATGAAACAAGCATATCTAAAATGTTAAATTAGCTAGCATATTAAACCCAAATTGAAAATTCAAAAAATAATGTAATGGAGTATTAGTTTAAATAAATTTAGGTGTTGACATTTTTATTTCCGTGAACCCGTTGACCAGTTATTATTTCACTTTTAAGTTTGGATTAGGAGAGAGGGTAATGAAATAGGTACTATTCAAATGCCGTGCAGCATTTCTCTCCTCCAGATAATTTGAGTACAATGATATTTTTCGAATATAAACTATTCTATTTGAATAAAAACTAAACGAACAACTAATCAAATAAAACTATTCAGTATAACTAAGAATACATTTAAATTAATGGAGACTACTGAATGTCGGCTTGTATACAAAAGTCACCAAACCCTTTAATGTTTTGTGTAACTAACTGGTTCAACTGTAGGTATTAGTCGTAATATATCGTAGAATTATTTGTCTATCAACCATAATGTATAATTGAATGGTTTTATTATAAACAAAAATATTTTAATAATATCGGCGAAAAATAACAAAATAAAAACTATTCGAATAGTTCAAATGAAAATTATCGAATAGGTTAACTATTCGAATAGTTCGATAGTGCCCATCACTAGTTTTAATTATTTCATCGATTTTAATCATTTTATTACGTATTTCTAGTACACATTTATTAATTTTTGTGGGCTATGAAATCAAACCGCTAGCTCATGAAAATCATGATTTTAAACTAGTTCGTTCAAAAAACTCAGATTACAACTAATCGGGCCATCGTAGTATATAAAATATATTAATATTATTATGAATAAAGCTAATAAATTTGTCAAACCTTATAAAAATTATAAAATATTATGACTAGGTAATAACTTAATTTAATAATATTTAAACATGAGAGAGAAATTATATTAAATTCAATTAAATTCTATTCTATCAATTTTATTCTATTTCATTAACTAGATACCACTCCGTAAATATGGACTGGTCTTATTTACCAGGAGTTAAGATCTTCTTATTCAACATCACTGAGATAGTACATTATTTGATGGGCTGGATACATTTTAATCTCCCTAACAGTGTTTTGTTCCCACTAAGCCTCTGATAAGAATACCTAAGTACAGAAGAAGACTTTGTATAACTATATACAATTTATGAAAACTGAATACATTGGACGGAAATATGAGATTATATTAGTAAATTTTAATTAAAATAACAATCAACAAAATATCACATCAAGAATTTGCCAGTTTTATACCAAACTATCCGTAACTCTTGTATTTAGGTAACGGTTGAATAGGCATTTTTAATTAGTAATAATTAATATAACAAAGAACAAACAATATTATTGGTAATAATAATAAACTGGTAAATTTTTTTGTCGAAAACCACTTCATCTATTTACACATCACGGAGACTTGGAAGAAGCCGCTTCCCGTCTGATGTACTCGGCTTTAGCCATCTCGGTGGCTATCCACTGTGGTACATCAGGAATCAAACAGCTCAGCGCGCACCGGAACGCCAACATTATATGCTAAGGAACAATAGATTTTTTGATAGTCACAAAATATATTTATATTATTATTATATTATGTTAAATAGGATAAATTGCAATTGGATGAAATGAAGAAAGACATTGTAGGATTCTGACTGAAACGTAAATTTACCAAAACTGTAGTAAAATTGAAGTGATCTATAATGACATAATATAAAATTGGGCATTTGGCAGAAAGATGGAGCAGATGATGGGGTAATAGTAAAAATAATGATGCTAAGTATAGAGGATAGAACAAGGAATGCATTTTAAGAAAGGGATAGCGTAGGTGTTGCGTCAAAGTTGATAAGATTATAGAATTCAGAATAGTAATACTTAAAAGACCTACACATATTGCCACGGTAGCAGTAAAATGGTACATAATGCATTTAATTACATTGAAACCTAAATAACGAGATGATAAATTGCAGTCACATGACCAGAATATGAAAATAGGGAAATATCAATGGTTTCGATATTTTGTCTACGTCATATTTTAGTACTTAAATTGTATGGATTTATACGAATGTTTTTAAAATTTATACGATTGTCATTCGATGGTAATAACGGTTGCAATTTAAACGTTGTCGACCCCAGCCCCATCCCGAATAAAAATTTCATTGTTTTTGATTTTTTTTTACGTTATATTTTAATATTTAATTTACATAAATGCAGTTAATAGTTCGAATGAAAAGAAAATTTATTTGTATAACTCCAGTCTGCTAGTTAATGGTGGTGTATTAACTAAAGTTAGAAATATGTCGGTTCAATAAATATTGGTACCTAGCTTTGATTAAAATCAAAGTATATAACAGTGTAAATAAAAAGGCGAGTAAGGGTATTGGGCATTCATATTTTATTAAATTGCCATTGTATATAATAATAGGTAAGTAATTAATCTTTACAATGTAATACATAATGATATAAAACTAATAAAAAACAAAGAGCTAATACTGAGGACGGGTACAGCCACTGTTGTAGGTGGGAAGTTGGAAAAGTAGGATACATAAAGTCATTTAATTTATATTTTTACGCAAAGATAAACCATTGCTAACAAAAAACGATTCGGAGCAAAGTTCGGGTTTATTTATTTTGAAAGACTGTAATATTTACGATCTAAATCAAAATTTAATATTGTAATTTATAAAAAAATAAAAAATACTATATTACACTCAATTTTATTTCTTTTTACTACAAAGTGAGATTTAATGAACCTCTTTTTAAATTTCACTTAAAGTCTAAACATTTTACCACAGAGTACCTACCGTATAAAAATTACGTACAAAACTCGCAAAATTAAAATGTCTATAAATAACTCGAAAATGGCTTAAATTTTTTTTGAAAATTTTACCCGTTTAGAAATGGCAATTATGCATTTTCTAACCGAATTACAAGTCCATAGAATCAACACTAATATTTATAACTAAATTTCATCAAAAATATTCATTTTTTTTAAAATAAGCTTAAAAATAGCTCAATGGTTTTGAAAATTTACCACGTTAAAAAAAACCAAATATAAGTTTTCGGTTCAAATTTCAAGTCTCTACGAATATTTTAATCTGAATTACAATAAATAACAAAATTGATAAAATAATAAAAGCATTAATTTCGTACATTTCCCGTTTTTCTTAAGTTTTATCCTAGTTTTTCCCATATATTATGATAACCACTTGGAAAATTAAAAAATGACTTCCTAAAAGTACAATCTAGACATTTCCTTTCAGAAATGGTGTCGCACGTATATATTTGAGCAAGATTTATAGTCGAATTTTTGTTTCAGTTTTGTTCAATTATTTAAAAAAAATATCAGGAAAATCAAAAAATAAATTACACACTTATAAACTAGATTAAAAATGCAATAAAAAACCATTTATGGAAGAAAACATAAGCTGTAAAAATTTAAAATATTGAAAATATTGTGCTTGATTTGAAAAAAATCGTATTTATCCGCTTTTTTCGATTATAAAAACTAATTTGGTTATCAGAAAACGACTTTCTTTAAAACATTAGAAAACATAATGAACAAAAATTAAAATAATTAAACCGCGACGACATTTTACCTATAATTTTCATTAGGTTTTTTTCATTTATTTTGAAAACCCATTGGAAAATCAAAAAAATGGCATCTTCCAATGCACCAACTAGATAAAATTACCTTTCAGAATTATACTCTATACATCAAACAAGATTTCTGGTAGAAAAGTTGTTCACAAACACAAAAAAAAGATATAAAATACACATGAAAGTAAAACTGATTGATCCCTCTGTAAAATTAAAAATGCACAAGGTACTATAGCATTTACTTTCACCGACATAAATTTAAATTTTATGTAATGATTAAGTGACAGTTTATAATAACACTGATAATAGTCAATAGCTAACTAATATTAGTTTATAAATTAAATTTGATATGTACCAAAATTTAATGGAGGAATGTAAGCTAAAACTATAACATGTTTTAATGTCTTTGTTAAGTTCTAAAATGTATCAAAAAATGACTTAGAAAAAATATTAAAAACAATATTTCTCTTCAGAGTGGGGCAGAGGTAATAGAATTTTATTTGAAACCATAATTGCTGTGGAACAAAAATCGTACAAATGTATATAAATTGAGTACTAAAATAGAGTATAGTCAAACCTATGTGTGTATAATTTTGAACCATGGATGGAGTTGGACTTGTATTAAACCGATCCTACCTACTATTTTCTTATAATAACATAAAATCGAAGGCTATACCAATTTTGAAAATCATTGTACAAATTTATATAAATTATGTACTAAATATCTATGGAAACAAATTTTGAAAATTATAATTCTTATGCACACCTAAAGACATTAATACATTGTTATTTATTGTATTTACTAATATTTTTTTTGCGAAGTTTATTTTATCTAATTAAAATTAAAAAGACAAATATTTTTATTAATAAATGGAATGTTTGATTATACTGAGTGTAATTTAGAGGATGTTTGATAGAAGAAGAGGAAGTTATATAGCTTTCACATTTTACAACTTACATAGTAAATGCATAATATACACTATACAATTAATAACCATTGGCCAATTGTTATTTATACAGGTATATATAAATATATAATTTACCAATATCATTATATTACAATAACTATTTTGTTATGCAAGTCATGGAAGGTAGAGGTAGATACACTTATTATTATGACTTACTTCAAGTGCGACGATCAACAAGACAGTTTGGATAGCAGTCATGTTCGGCAACAAGCGGTGAACTTGACCACTTAGACCAATCAGAGCACAATTCACCAACACGGCAATGAATCCCATTACTTCCATAATGTTCTATAGGACGAGAAGTCAAACATTGCCATAAAATTATGTACATTATTATATTTTATTTGAATTGTATTTATAAAATTAATACTGTCATTAGCATAAGTGAGATAACTCTGCAATAACGAAATTTAAAACAATTTAGTGTTAGTTAAAAAAAGTTCAAAATCTGTTTTATTTTTATTAGTACATTTGCCTAAGATCAAAAATAAATATTCCATGATAGTACCTGCAAAGTTCTTTTATGAATCAGTATGAACAATTATCATCATAAAACATCTATTTGTGAGATTTGCATTACAATGGTATAATTTATTTATCATCATCTATTTATACCTAATTCAGTGGCACAATGGCCAAGCCAACCAACCCCATTCACCATATTTTTTAAAGTTATCATAACCATTTCTTGTTAATATTTTACTTTAGTCTTTATGGTGTAGGAATGTATTGGTTTTATTGTTTTTTTTCCTTTAATTTTGTCAAGTTGGTGCATTGAGAAGGTTCTTTTTTGTAGTTATCTTCATTGTTGAAAGATAATTTTTATGGGAATTTATTTTTATTAAGGAATATTTATGAAATTTCTGTTATTTTTAGTTGTAATTTAGGTGAAAATAATTGTAGAGACCTAAAAGTTAACCAAATATTTTTGAGATTTGGTACAATTTTCAAAATAGTCTGGTGATTTTTGAGTTATTTATAACTTTTTGAAATTTATGATTTTTTTTGTTTCTATTTAACATTCCTGGTTCTCTTATATTTTTCCCAATTATTAAGACTACATGGCATATCAAAAAACGACTTCTCATGTACCAACTAGACAAAATTTGGATCCAAATGATTTTTGGTAGAAAACCAAAATCAAAAAGATTCTCTGATCAAGATCTAAAAAATATCACACATTGAAGTAGAACCAATCTATTCTACACTACACTCAGAATTTAAAAACAGGTTTTGAAAAAAACAATTTCAAAAATGCTTCAAAAAACCTCACAGTTTGATGACATAATATATATTAGCAGTATTTGAAATTACAAAATCTGAAGTGACACTTTTTTTTTTACATTTTTCTAAATTGTTTAGTATTCCTGCCTAAATGAAACAACATTTCTCAAAAGTTTATTCCCTTGACACTAGAAACAGCTAATGTTTAATTTACTTAACTCGTGTTAAAAATTGTATGGGTATATTTATACATCATACATATTATTCTATGAAACTAGAGATGTTTATAAAATATGCCATTTTTAAATAACTGAGTTGCCCTCATATTTGGTTTGCACTTTATAGCTGTTTACATTTACTATACTTTTTAGTATTCATTAAATACACATCATAATAAATTAATATTTGTGGCTTATATTTTTGCATTTTAAATACAATTATAAATGTTTAAATTGATGAATTACAATAGCAAATGGTTGGTTATTAGTTTATTAAGCTAATTTAAGCATTTATAAATATCATACTATACAAAAATCCCTATTTTCATTGTTTAATACGTAAAAGTACTGTTGATTTGAGTTCAATAAATTAAGAAAGTTTTATTGTGGAGGGGATGAATTATTGAGAAGTGTCAGTTTCATTTAGACGGGAATCCCACAATATATTAGAAAAATGTTGTTTGAGAAAAAAACAATAGTCCAACATTTTGCCTATTAAAATTTCAAAATTCAAATTTTTACATTCCAAATATTATTGTTCCAGATAATGCTATTTGACCATTAATTTTAGAATCATCATAAATAAAGAACTCTTGATTCGTTTACCTGCCACATTCCAATATCTTTTATCCGTTGAGCAAAAGGTCTTTGATATATATAGCACAGTTTGAAGGCATCACTACGTATTTCAATAAGATTGTTGAGTAACGCACATAGGGCTGCCAGTGGAAATGCAGACGAGAACATGACCACATAACCAAATTGGATGAAGATTTCCAAGTGTTCAGAGAATGTACCGTCAAACTGTGTGGACAAAATGGATATTTAATACCAAGAATTGTAAATTTATATTTTTAGATGAATTAAGTATCTAGATATATTCTAGATATACAACACCCTCCCCTCCAGTTTAATACACTAGTTCCATCGCTCTTCTCGTTTATGGAAGCACTACTGAAAAGCTTTAGCTGTCAGGCCTTTCGGAATTAAAATCACAGCACCTTGAATGACTTTCAAATTTCTGTAGTAATAGCTATTCATTGATTCATTGAATTTTTGAAATAGCTAAAGGTCCGGTGAAACCATATCATGGCTCATTTTAGAGGATGTTTTTTTGGTTAAAAACTGGTGCATTGCAAATACCATATAATCAGACATATTGTCATTGTAATATTTTAATATCTTATTATGTTAAATTTTTTACTGTACTTTGGGCCACAGCCCGTATAGAAAATAAATAAATCAATATGACCATGCAATAAAGTTTATTATTTTAGGGATATAAAAGTAATCGGTTGGAGATAAAATTCATTGGTTTTCTTAGTTTTACTGTATAACTGTTAATTGTTATCATGCCAAAGAGAAGAGATTTCACTATACTTCGTTCTAGAACACTGTATTATATATAGCACTCATGTGAACTTGGGAGTTCCAAAGTGCTTACTTACTTTAAACATAGAACACTCAAGTTCGGGCTGGGAAACAACACGTTCACCATTTGGTTTTGCTGGCTCATCTGATGGTGTCAATGCTCCAAACAGATCAAAGCTGATTTTGGCAAAACGGATCTGTTCCAAGATGTATGGTAATGCTGACTCTTTGATGTTACGCATCAACTGTCTGGTAATTAGGAGCACAGCCAATTGCTACAAGCATGATATTTTGTATATTATTGTAGTTGAATGACCATGTTAATAATCAATCAATATTAATTTTTTTTTTTTACCGTTCTTAGTCTTTCCTGATCTTGTAAATAGAAGGCAATATAGAAGAGGGACAGGAACGAATTGACAAATTGAAACTAAAAATTATTATCAGTAAATATATAATATAAAATATTACAATATGATGCATTTTGACTGAACATGGACAGAAATAATATTTTAATATACACACCAGGGTAACTTTGATGATCAGCTGGTTTTCATACTCAGTATCCAGCCTATAGTTTTCTAAATGCAGCATGCGCATAAAATGACCAAACACAATTTTTACAAGTATGTATCTTTTTAACCTTTTTATATGACATACGCTACATTATGTTATATAATATTTAATAAAATATCAGTTTTATTTGCAAACCAAATAATTTGATACATATACTTTGAAGTGAAAATGGTTATACATTTTACAAACAGCTTACCACAATCATTTAACCATACAGCAATGATACTGTAAATGTCATCAAGGACAGCAATGATTAATGCTAACATAATTTTCGGAATGTAACTCAAATATGTAGTATATTCATTTATTTCAATGTAGTAGTCCCACCAGTCCTAAAGCAATTAAACAACATGCGATATTAAATTATTTATTAATATGAATGAGGTTATTGAAAAGAGTAACATATTATTTGGTACCGACTTGAAATTTTATTTGAAATATTGTTAAGCCAAATACTACTGCCAAACATAGACCAATGATTGGTGCACTAACAAAATAACTGAATAATCTTCGTTTCCAATTAGGATACCATAATTCCGGTTTGCCAGTTATAGGACTAATACGTGGTTGACCCTTAAATTGAGATCAATTTAAAAAATAATCCATTAGATAATTACCTAAAGAAAACATTATATTGTAATTAACTATTATTAAATAATATTTTACTTTAAATTCTAATCGAGGTTGTAATAGGAGTTGATGCCTCTGATCTAATGTTGCCCAGCGATAGGCCAATTCGGCACAGTAACGTTTCCAAGTCTCCAAGTAAACGGTTAACCATATCACATTCATAAAAGCCAATACAACAAACCAAACACCCTCTGTCCATTGATCCAAACGCCTTCCGAATCCAAACTATGATTTAAATATGATTTGATAATTATACATGTCGAATGTGATAATAAATAAATTACCCAAAATGCAGAGTAGGCAATAGCTGGATATATCAATGAACCGGTGTAGTGTCCAATCCATGCAAAGTACATGGCAATTTTCACTCCAAAATAATCACAAACTCTATCCAATGGCTGTAAGCTAAAAAAAGACTTGACCCATATAATACGTAACCAAATTAGAGTTTTATTTTCATGAACTGGAAATAGATGCTCAATTATTCCATTTGATATACATTCTGTAACTGAAGTTAAACATACATTGTATATATTAATTTCATATCAATTACTAAGTATAAAATTACTTAAAGGCTGGCTTTCAACTAGTTCTGGGAGCCAAGTACAGTTTTGTACTCTGCGTGTATTTAAAACATATAATATCAATGATTGTCTCTCTTGCATTGTAAAAAAATCAGAACATTCTTCAATTCCTTCAAATGTATGCATTTCAGAAAGTATAAACTCTCTTAAACCTCCACCACCAATTATATGTTTTGGTAAATGCACATCTTGAGCAGCTTTCATTAGACTACAAACAATAGTAATAGTAATATTATGATTAAATGCAATCAGTGTATTCAAAAATAATACCTTACACATGAAATGGTGCTGTCAAATAAAAAACATATGAATCAGTTGATGAATGGTATTGAACATTCACTAATAAACCTAAACCATTGGATTCATCAACTATTTGTGATTTTACCCATTCAATAGTTCTAAAATCTGTAGTTTTAGTAAATGTTAAAACCACATCACATGCCTATAAATAAAAGCATTAACAAAAATGATAATTAATAGTAGTTACATTTTATTTACTATAAAGAGGAGGAGAAAAAAAATTAATTATATTTACTTTTGGGGGAATTGATTGGATCCACAAATGTCTTGGAGTCATTAAATGACCAGCTCTTGGTATTTTTCTACGTATTAATTTTGATGCTAAAAATGAAAAAATAATTAAAATTTAATAAAAATACTTACATTTTTTGACAAATTACATATCATTGTTATATTCTATTTAAAATTATTCACAGATCTATAATCTTGAAAAAATTATAGAAAATAAGATATTGATATTTGATTAAACATTAAAATAATATGTGTTTATGCTTAATAATTAAGTTAAATTAATCATATCATTAACTTGGTGTATTACTTTATAAGTTAAACAAATTATAAAAATTCATTTTTAAGCTATATAAAGTTCTACATGGCCTACAGATTTTTATAAATCTGTTAAGTTTAAAATTTAAATAAATTTATCTCATCATTCCTTAATCACTAAAAATAATTTTATTTGTTCAATTTTTGAAATTTTAAAAATAACCAATAAATAATAAATATTATTCTATATATTTAATCTAACATAACATACATATGCAATGAATAATTACTTAAAATAGAGCTTTTAATTTCTAGAGAACGAGTGTGTATAAATTATAATCAACTGCATTTTACCACACTGTACGATTGGAATTCAAAATTGTAATAAAATGAAAAAAACTGTCATATAATGACTACATTTACAATAAATGGGTTTTTATCATGTATTAACATAATATAGTAGCTAATACAAATTATTTATTGTGTTAGAAATAAAAATGGCTATTAGGTAGGTTCTAAAAAACTTTTGATCGTATATGAATTTATGGTACAATACAAATTTCAGAATTTTTTTTAAAAGTGAATTAATAAAAATTAATTTGTCTCTATGTATGTCTTGACAGAAAATTCAGCAGGAGAAAAAAAATCCGTAGACCATGGTGAGACATTGTATACATATTATACAAATATAATAGAAATATTTTAGAAGAACAAGATTTAATGATTAAACATAAATACAAATAAAATGTATTAACCTGTTTCCAAAGTTTCCTTGGCTATGGAAAGCTTATTGTTACTTCTAATGTCTATGAGAGAATCCATAACTAGAAGTATAACTAAAATAAGTTAATAAAATATACTATATTTAAAGAATAAAGGATATCTACTAGGGAAGGAAAATTCAAATTTGTATTGATTTAAATTTGATTACTGATTAGAATTGTATGATAAACCCATAGATAATGAAATGAATTCTGAGGGCCATTCTGTGACCATCATGATTTTGCCGAGCCAAGATAGATAGCGCTTTTCGGTTACTAAATTCATAGACTTATAATATTATAGGCACTGAATTATATACTATAATTTATATAATTATAGTATCAATGATTATAAATCTATGACTGAGTTACTCTCATACGGTAAAAAACTATTGTACAACTACGAAATTGTTCGTGCCTTTTTATAATATTTTTATGGTTGACAAAATTAAAGATAATTTAAGTCTTGAATCTTTAATATATCTTGTTTCTACTTTAGTTTTTAATATACGTATTTAAATATTTTATTTAAATGAACCTTAGATCTAAGATAATGTACATTATCTACTATAACACTATTAGTGAAAATATTAACTTTTCCGGTTAGTATATATTTACATTATTATAATATCTTTGATTCTTAAGTATACATAATTTATTTTATAGATTTATAACTGATGAAAATCATTAAAAATAAAAATGGATGTACATTGGTTCGCAAGATAAATATTTAGTTTTATATCATATTATACTGCTGGCATTCCCGAAGTACGTGCTTGATCGTAATGAATGTTCCGCCTTTCGGAAATAGGACATAAAGGGCGTCATACTTTGCCAAGAGATAGCTGTCAGTCTTGTGACTTATACGATTTATTTGTTTTATGTTATAATACTTACAATTATTTAATTTCAAATATTATTCAATTATTCAATTACTATAAAATATTTCTCAATATATTGTACACACGGTTTTATGGTAATATTGTTCCATAGACGAGCTGCATCACTGTGTTAAATCGGCATACGGCTCCATGCTTCATCATAATAAAGTTATAGACAATAGGTTATCCATACCTTATCAGTGTTTCAAGAGGGACGCCCAGACTGGTATAGTTACTCCAATTTTCATAAAATGAGGCGTTTAATCTATATTAATATTATAGTGATGAATGATAAATCGCTTCATTTTACCATTCCTCTAGGAATATTGCTTCACTTACAATTGTTATAGGAGCACCCTACCCATTTCTTTATTCTCTATGGGTTACATAGAGGTATAGAGTTATTATTACTCAATGAATGGGTAATACTTAGTATAGATCTGCAAGGACCATCAAATTTTGGGGCTGTTCGAACTAACAATTTTATTTTTAAACCCGGTTCGATCAAATCCAAAATATTTCGTTAAATAGAGCCCAGGCCCAGTTCAATGATAATGCTAATCTCTTAAAAAGTGTTAATTTAGTAGCTGATTTTTTTCATTGCTTTATTATTAAACTTAACACTTATTACGTAAAATGATATCCCTGAATTAGATACTACATTGTTAATAATATATTAAATAATACATATTATCATTTTCATTTAAAATAATAATGATTATTTTAATACATTTTGAAACACCAAATTAAAAAAAAAAAAAGCTGATGCTGGGGATGGATGCAGCCACTGTTGTAAATGGGAAGTTGGGAAGATAGGATACATAAGGTTATTTAATTTATATTTGTAAGCAAAAATAAACCATTGATGACGGAAGACGATTCCAAGTGCAGTTCGGTAATTTATAATTTGAAGTGTTGTAATTTTTTTTGCGATTTTCGTTTAAATTTGATTTCAAAACAATTATTAAAAACAAAAATTTAACAAAAATATGGTCTCTTGTCGTTTTTTAATTGGAGTCAATTTGTTGCCTATTGAAAATAATTAAATTGTGAAAAAATCTATTTTTTTTCCCGATTAATCGTTTTTATTTTAAATACATTTCGAAAATCAAAAATGACCTATGTATTTACCAAGTAGATAAAATTTACTTTCAGAAAAGGTGCTACACTTATACATCGGATCAAGTTTTCTAGGAATAAAAGTGATCTACAGCATAAAAAAAAAAAAGTATTGTAAAAAATATTAAAAAAAAGTCGTCCGATGATTTTTAAAATTTTACCACGTCTAGGTAAGTCCAATATAATTATTATTACCTAGTTTCAAGTCTCTACGTTTTTTATAACTGAATTACAGTAAAAAACTCCCAAAAATTAAAATTCCTTAAAAGCTCAAAAGTGGATCAAAAGTTTTGGCAATAATACCGTAAGAAATTAAATCAAAAAGGCATCAAAAATGGTGTCTGATGATTATTCGATTAAATCATTTTTCTGGTAGAAAATATCATCTTTTTTATGAAATAATGAAATCGTGAAATTGTAATTCCAAAAAATTGAACAAAAAAAAAAATTCAGACCCTGATTGGTTTAATGTTTCTAAGGGCCAAGTCCGGTCCAATTTATTACGAGCCGGGCCAGGTAATATATCTATGGGTGTTATACACAGATATAGATAATAATTTATTATATGTGGTGATATATGAATATATGGCATTGTCACAGATATAATAGTACTAATAATACCAAAGCACAGGTATCTATAAACTACACCATCTGTGGACATAAATAATATTTTTTATTATCTATGATTAGGTTGACAATACGGTGGTTGGTTATTTGATAATGATAACAAATAATGGGTAGGTTGATAATGATAAATGATTATATTTTGTTATCATCAATAATAATTTTTTTTCTAAGTAATATGTTTTTATTAAAACAATACTCTTTATTGATAAATTTAAAGTATACTTAAAACACAAAGAACAGATTGAAGAGACCTTCCAGTGAAGGTATTTCGACCATAAAAATTTAATAAGCTTACTTCGCTCTGTCTTTACCATTCTGTTAACTTATCTTTATTATCTGTAGATAAACCATATAATGACTGTTATCGATTTTTCGTTGTTAATTGTTATCAGCATTTGACGTCACTGATAAGATTTTGACATTTTCCACCTTGCATGAAATTTTGAGTTAACATTTAATAGTAAATTAAACATTAAACATTAGTATTAGTGTTTAGTTATTACTGGATTTTTTAATTTTTTACGAATAAACCTAATAACGTTCTACATCTTAATACCTACAATACCTACTTTATTTAGGGAAGAAAGTTGTCTATTGTGCGATCGTCTAAAAGCATAAAATATGTTATTGGTGCTATTATGGAAAGGGCTGTGACCAAAGAACCTATCTGGCAAAAGTGCAGCTTTTGCCACAATGCCACGTTCGAAAAATTGGATCAGTTTGAACGGTGAGTAGGTATATCTATGTCAAATGTCCATAAGTTGTGGACTATAACTTACTGATGGTCAGTTTTTCAATTATTGAACTGATGTACATTTCATTTTGATTTTTAAGGTACCAATTATATGAAATGATATAAAGTGTTAAATTTAATTGAAAACTATTAATTTAATAATACATATTACCAATACAATATACCTATTGTATTTTTTGACATTGGTAAATAAGTATGAAGCCTTGAAACATGGTGTAAACATTCATTTATACTCAAGGTTAATTGGTGCTATTGATAATTTTAATTTACTTATTTACTAATTTTCAATTTGTATAACAAGCTATATGCTGTGGACAATTCAAACTAAATTCTAATAAAATACAAATTTTTAATTTAAAATATTAAGATTATGAGAACCTCTGAGTGAAAAGCTTAAGAATTATGTTATAATTAAAAAAATGTTAAAATGTATATATATATTTTTTTTAATTTAAGCTTTATATTTATTTTTGTTAAGTAAGGGAAACAAAAACATTATTAATATATGGTTAGTATTTATCCAAAAATATAATGTATTGACTATGTAATACATATTATTTTTTTGTTTTGTTAATAATGTTGTTAGTACTTTGAATCTTTAAAATTTTAACAATATTAAAATTATTTTATAGACATTTGTACAATGTGCACAGTAGAAGAAAAGATAGTCAGCACTTTTGTGAGTATGGTACTAATGGAATCTGTAATACGTGGAATGGAAAAACCGCTAATGAATCTGATTATAAAATACATGTTGTACATGACCATGCTTTTCGAACAATTTCTTGTGTCATGCCGTATCGCAAAACATCAGACAGTCAACGACCAACAGATGAATGGAATTTTTACTCAGCATCTCAGAGTCTTGCTACTGTTTTAAATGATCCCAGACGGTCACGATCTGTTAGTTTAAAACTATAAATAAAAATACATTATTTTAAGATGCCAATTTTTTTACAGTTAAAAACAAAATTAGATTTTCAGGCATACAAAAAATATACATATTTTAGTGTAAATACATACAACTGATATATTTTAATATATACATAAATTATCTTTTTAGAAAGATTTCTTTACCAAGATATGGGGTGATAAATTCACTGATACAAATCCAATTCCACCTCCTCAACATTTGCCTATAATAAGACCACAACATTTTCAAACCTATCTCAAACGTATAGCAAAAGTATGAATTAATTTAATTGTTAATAATTAATAATTTTAATATATATTTACATTAATAATTAATTTTTAGCGACATAAAAAACATGTAGAACTTGAACAAAAAAAAGATAAACAGGATTATCCTGCTGAAATACTCCAGCAATTTCCGAATTTACGATTATCCAAATCAACGGGTAAATAATAAATTATAAGATACTAACTGTGTAACTAAATTAAACAATTTTTATGAATATAATGTGTAATTGATTTCAGACAGGGTCAGTTATGATTTATCTGAGGTTCCATCTATATTTTTGGAACCTCATGTTGATCTCAGTAAACCTGAAACTTTTTTTACCGTATTTCCCAATATTTTTCTCATGTCAGATACCCATGCTAATATCTCGACGGCCAATATTAAGATATCAGATAAATCTATTCAAGAAAAGGTAATTGTGTTTTTTTTTTTTATTTATTTTGTTTTTGATTAACTTGTGTATTGTTTTTTTTTTTAGTTGAGCCAATATTTAGATACTGTTGAAGTAAAAATTGCTCAACAAGTAAGCTCAAAATCAGAAGGATTTTTTCATACTATGACATCACATGACACTGTTATGGAGCAAATACGCCAATCAATTCAATTAACTCAAAACTTACGGTATGTACATACTTTATACTATGTTAAACTAATAGTCTGCTTTTGATGATGAATACTTTTTTAATTGTTCCTTTGGAATATTGAATAATACGTATTTACAAAGTAATAAATGTTTATAAATTATTTTTATTAAGACTTAATGAATATAACATTTTTTTTAGTACTAAAATTAGACAAGTGGATGAAAAAGTTGTGTCAAAATCGATGGCAGTTTTAAAATATAGCACTTCTATTTTAAACCATAGTGATGTTATTGAAAAGGTATAAATATAAAAATATATTAATAAACTTTTATCATTTAGACTAGTTGATTGTAGAGCTTTTAATAGTGTAAATAATTTACTATTTATTGTAAAAATTTTTACATATATCAGAATTGTTTTTTTAGTTGAAATTAATGGCTACAGTATATCACACACAAACAACAATACAAGTGTTGTTGTCAGCTGCTGATTATGTTGCTGCTTTAGACTTAATTTACACCACTAAAGATCTATTGTCTAAAGAACTTTCTGGGGTACATTGTTTCAGGTGATCATTAGTAAATATATTTATAAAATTGATTGAAAATTTTAGTATAATTTTATATTTCGCATAATAATTAATTATAGTAAACATTTTAAGAGGATGCTATACTTGCATCTACTGTCTCAGTCCAACTACCAGGTAACATGTAAAAAAAAAATGTTTACACGGAATAAGTAAAACTAATTTTATTTTATGTTAGAGTAAAAGAGTACCTATCATGAAATTTATAAAGAACAATATTTTGGATGAAATGTTTTAGGGATTTTTTATTATTCAAAATATTCAGTTCAATATAATTGATATAAAAACCTTTATTTTTCTTTTTTAAATAATTGTAACTTTTTTAATAGTTTATAATTCAAAAAAAAACCCATCATTTTCCCTCTAAAATATTGTTCTCCATACATTTTATATTAGGTACTTTAACTTTAAAATCAAAATTAAGCTAGTTTTACTTATTCTGCGTAAGCATTGCTTTTGTATGTCACCTGGTAGTTGGACTGAGACAGTAGATGTGGTTATAACATTCCTTTTTTGTTTGAATAATTATTTTAGGTATTTGACTTCAGAATTAAATGAAATAATTAAAATGATAGATGCATTAATGGCTGGTGAATTTGAAAGATGTTCATCAGCAGATCTTAATCGACCATTAGTAGGAACTGATACAGAAGTATTAGAAAAAGTAAGGTTTTCTTTTTATATTGTATAACACAAAATATAATTTCTTTTTTTATTTAGGACAAACTATTTTCAATACTTCTGGGGATGTTGCGCCGAAAAAATTGGGCATTCTTGGAAGCATATAGTAAAGAATGTGTTGCAGCAATTAGTGCAGCAATTAAAAAGAGTGTTATAGATACAGTTGCAAATAGTGATGTTGATCATCAAGTCAGTCAGTCTTCAAATTTAGAAAGTTATTTACATTGTTTAACTGCTAACGAGTGGCTAAATATGTTAGAAGACTGTTCATATACTTTGTCTCTTCTTTTACGAAGAATAAAGGTCAGTAGATAAGCCAGTATTTCAATAAATAAATATATTTACAAATTATATAATGTATGCATATTATAATCAATAATAAAATGATTGCATGGTACTAAGTAAATGTACAGGATGATTCACTAAGTGTGCTCGCCCCTTTTTTCCAGTTACATTTGGTATAAATAAACTGAGTATTACTTTAAATACATTTTGGTGTCAACAATAGATTTCCATTAATTTTTGACGAATTGCACTTTTAAGTTTGGGTTGGAGGACAGTAGCGGATTATCATTTGTATGGCGCCAAGGCACACAATGTTTTATTAGTGCTCCACTACTCTTCCCCTACCTAAACTTAAAAGTGAAATATCTCATTAATGGTATGATGGAAATCAAAAATTTTAACATCAAAATATATTTTAAATAATACTCCATCTATTTATAGAATTTTTAATATAGGTTTTCATTTGAAAAATCAAAGTTGGTGTCACCATAAGATACTTCTTAAATGTTGTGAACAATTTTACTATTCAAAAATATCGGCTTTAACTACGTTTTACAATTCCAAAATTCATAATTTGAATAATTTAAACAAAAAAATGGGGTGAGTATTTTTAGTGAGTCACCCTTTTATTTTAATATTTTTGAAAAACTTGAAGGTAACTATTTTTTAGAGGTAATTCTTCTAAAAAATGCTGACGTATCAACTTTTTATACAATTTGTGATTTTTATTAATTTTTTAAAGCTCCAAAAATGTACAGTTAATTAGCCTTAATAATAATAATCAATTAGTGAATGTGATTACAGCTCACTGAATAATTATTGGTACCATTGTCTGAACTTTAGAAAATTGTTAAAAATTAAGAATTTAATGAAAACAAAAAGTTAAAATGTAAACATTTTCAGAAGAATAAACTATAAAATGTATTTCTTTAAATTTTTTGAAAATAATAAAATAAAAAGTTATTTTTACTAAAACAAGCAAATTAATTGAACTATAATAATTATTTGTAGTCCTTATCCTCTGTGGGTAATATAAAAAACCAAACAAACAGAATTTGATTAGTCGAATATATTATAAAAGGTATATTTTCATGGGACATACTGTGTAATACAATATGATACAAGCTTAAAAAATTGTATATATATTTCATACAATTAGGTATATATAAACTTATTTATAGTATTATTAATTAATTTAAGACATTTTTTATTTGAGGATGATATAACAATAATCTATACATTCGCCAAAATATCACTTTTAAATTCTAAGCGGAACAAGAAATGTATTAGTTTTACAATGATTATTTAATTTTCTATTTTTTTTTCTGTGAACAATTTTTTTACCAGAAATTTTGCTTCGATTTTCTAGTGTAGCACATTCTGAAAGGAAATTTGTCTATGGTTTTCATAACAAATGGGGGAAAAAAATTGGAAAATGTATGTATTATTTTCAAACTACAAATATTATGGTCTTTCAAAAAAATATGTAACCAAACTTTGCTCATATTCGTTTTTCGTTACCAAAGATTAATTGTTATGTATTGATATAAAATAAATTTTTGTACATCTGAATCTACAATCAAAGTCAAGAAAATAGCAGAGATAATATGGTTGAACTCTGTAATAACATTTTTATTCAGCAAAAAACACGTAATAGTAGGAGAGATAAACAATTTAGAAACAATTTTATCCCAAAATTTAGACCACTTACAGATTTTACACTTTAAAAATCACATCCAACAAAAATTACTACATAAGAAAAATGAGAAATAGCATAGGGTAGATGATAAAATTAATATTTCAGTAGCACAAATTACACAGAAATTACAATTTAAAAACCAGCATACTTTTCAACCAAGAATTACTTATTTAACTACATAGTTTTAATCAAAATCAAACAAAATAAAACTTATTAAACGGAACTAATATAAACTACAAAAATAAGCCTGATAAAATATTAAAACAAAATAGTGGATAAATTAAAAACAATTCAGAAATAGTTCTGGTAGATAAATCTAATGCTATTTTTATCATTTATACTAATGAAATTCATAAAAAAAACTTAAGATTTTATAAATAATAAAAATGTTCAAAACTTAATATACGACCCAACTATAATTTATACTAAACAAATTAATAAACTGATAAAAAATTTGATAGAAATCATATGTAAATTCCAAAAGATAATATTATTGAAATCTGATTATGAAATAAAGGCTCTATACTTACATCCATTCATAAAATTATATAAATAAGATAGTCTAATTCATCCATTATTTAACTTGAAAATTGCTCCAGCTTATAACCTTACTAAATATATTTAGACTCTCTTATAAAAATAAAATTAAACATGTATACTTCTATAAAAAACACTTATGATTTTATTGATAAAATTAATATTGTGCCAGGTTACAAAATGATTTCTCTTGACGTTAAAAATTTATATAAATCCATTCTTAAACACGAAACAGAAAGTTTTTTAAAAAATAAACTTATTCATAGTAATAAATTTAATTCAAACGAAGTACAAATGCTGCCCCTAATTCAAATTGTTTTAAACATGTTTTAGAAAATAACCATAATATAATTTTTGATATTAATACGACTTAGACATATTAAAATACCCAAAATAACATTCACATTTATTCAGTTTTAGAAGATTTACACGTAAACAATTAAATAAAAAAAAAATAATTTTAATGTTCAAACCAATTTTAAAATTAATATCTTATTTTATTTAAAAAACAATAACCAAATAATTTATTTTTTTAATATATTTATGTCTAATAATAACTAATTTTAAATAATCTCTCCTATTAAAATAAATTATTTCTATAGTCTATTTAAAATGACCAATTTGTAAATTTTTTTTCTTTGTATTTCTTCTATTAATTTTTTTATATTTAGTCGGATTTTACATTTTGACTGTGATATAACTGATGATGAATTTTTAATTTCAAAAATTTATAATACACTTATTTTACATTTTTTATTTCTATATTTATTTACTACATTTAATAAATTTCTCTTCTACTTTCCCAACTTTTCACCTACAACTGTAGTCCACCCATTGTGCGAAGTATGTCTGTTTTTTAAAAGGAAATTTTAAATACTTAAAAAAATCTTACTATTTTTAGTAAAAAAATTGTATAATCCATTTTAATACTATTATCCTTTAGTATAAATGAGATATTTAAATTATTTCTGTATGAAGATTATAATATTGTGATAATACCTAAGTATTGAAACATTTATACTTGAACGAAAAGTGCATATTTTCAGATTAATAGTTTCATTAGTTATTTATTTTAAATCTATAATTTTAAGGTACTTCATGAAAAAATCGGGCTATTTTTACTAACTGAAAGAGAGTTTTTGGATAAAAACAACATCTTAGTAAATCTAATTCTTCATACTACATTCAGAATCTAGAATATTTAAAAAAAAAAAAATATTTTAAAATCATTATACTTTTTCTAAAGAATAAATGTAATTCAATAAAATAATGATAGTATACATTTTTTTTTTTTGAACTTTGATTTAATATTAATATTTTTATATTTTAGGCGGGATATATTATTATGCAACATGCTCTTAATGTCAGCGCCAACAAATTAAATACTCACGACAATAATACGATAGAGTAAGAAACATTGGATTGTTAATTTATTTCAGTGACATAAATAAAATCTATTTTAGTTTAGAAGATCCTTCATTTGACATTAATCTAAGTGAAGAAGACTATTCCAAAGTCAGAGTTAAGTTGATAAATCTTTTAAATTCTGTAACCAAATATGCTGTTGAAAAATATGCTCAATTAGTTACTAAACGTTCTAGTGCCAAGTATGTGATTTTATTATAAATAAATTCATTTAAATTACAATTAATAATAGTTACTATCTTAATATTGAATTTATGCCTGGTATAGTGCTGAGAGTGAACAAGTGAATGGTAATACTGAACAATTCAATGGAGATGAAGAATCTAGTAATTATTGTTTGTCAGATCAAAAACAATTAATGCGTTTATCTGAATGTGTAAAACAGTTGAGTGATAGTTATGTAGAAGTATGTTCTAATCAAGATGTAGGCTTTAAAATATTGCAGACTGCGATGCAATCAGAGGTTGTATTCTAGAACCAACAATAAACTATTTGCATTATAAATTCACTAATTATAATGTTTAAAACTGTATAATATATTTCAGGCTAACAACTTTATTAAAAAATTTCATAATGAAAAAATTAATAAATTAAAATTGCTTTTGGACAGTGAAAATTGGCGGCAAAAAGTTGTTCCATTGGAATTTCAAAATTTAGTTGAATGTATTCAAAATACTGGTATTTATGTTTTGGATTATTTAAGTGGGTTTATTGTTAGAATGTATTTAAGTGTTTTGTATGGTTATGGTAATATTTAATAATTACTTAGTGTTTAAAAAGTATTTGACTTTAATTGCTTCTAAGAAATAAAATGATAACATGTTTCTGTGTGTGGAGGAATGAAAGGAACTGTTATGTGCATATGTGAATTTGATCTGGCCTGTAGTGTATTAGTCATTGACAACTGTTATCCTATGAGTGAATTATATGATATTATCAGTTTGGAAAAGCTATTTAAAAAACTNAATATCCAGGTAATTTGAGTTTGGTTTTTTTAATTAGTTGTTTTAATTAGTAATACATATTTTCATCCACTCTCAGAACTTTTTATTGTTGATTAGATATGCGCATGTACAATACAACTATTTTTTTTTTTTTTTAATTGGCAACTCCCCTTTTTAACTATTAGCTAATTTTAAATTCTGAGCGGCCCAAGAAATGTATTGGTTTTTTTCTGTGAACAACTTTTCTATTAGAAATTTTGTTCCTATAATCCAGTGTGTGGTCTTTCAGGGAGATATTTTTTTTATTTTCCCAGTGGTTTTCTTAATAAATCAAAAAAATGGAAAAATGTACGAAATGTATTATTTTCAAATCTTAATAATTATGGGGTTTCAAAACATGTATTACCAAATTCCACTCAGAATCATTTTTTGGTAAGAATGATTAATAACTGCTGTATACCTTAAATTTCTCCTCTACCTCCTCATCTTCTCACCTATAACAGTGGCCCATCCATTGTATGAAATATGTCAGTTTGTTTTTTTTTTTTATGAATTTTAGTGATCAAACTTTTTTAAGTCCAATATTAACTAAGCTGTGGAAATGTACATGTATGCAATATTTTTAAATATGAAAGTATTATAATTTAAGTATGACAACTATAAGAAAAAACAAAATTCAAATTTCATGGCTCTGTGAACAGTTATTGATAGTTTTCAATTAGTATTTTCACACTGTGTATATGTATAATTTGATATTTTGCAAAATAACAGAATTACTAGAATATGAGCTTTGCATCAAATTATATTCAAAGATTTATTTGAAAGATTCAGTAAGCTTTTGGTGATGTCATAAGAATTTCACAGTTTAAGAGATATAAATGGTTCAATGGCCAAGTATGTGTTGAGTGACTCATATTTCAAGAAGGCTCCTCAAACTAGCCAAATTAACAAGGTTATTGATTAATTAAAGGCATTGGTCTTGTAGGATTGCTAGAAGGTAGAGTTTGAAAATAAAGTGATTACTGTAACTGACAATTTAGCTTTCGAAAGTGTCCACAGAATTGGTAGTTACATCATGCCAATGTACTAACTCATTCTTCAATTTAAATGTATACATATCTAAACAAAGTTTCAAGAGTTCCTTGACCCCTGAGAAAGTTGTATTATATTCAAAAGAGATAGTTACGAAGGAGTTTAAGTTTTCTGCTTCCAAATAAGGTTTTTTATTTAAATTTTTTAAACAAATGGATTGGATATTTTTTTAATACACTCTTGGTGCTTTTTAAATGAATATTTTTTCACTCCAATGGATTACACTATACAGTTACAACATACATAAGATTGTATTTTTTCTATTAAGTTTTACTTTGTTAATATTTTGGATATTTAATATACAATATTCGAGGTTTGAGAAATACTTAATGTTACTAAATTCAATATGACTTGCAAATTTAGTATTCTTATAAAATATAACAGTTTCTTAAATTCAAATTTGAATACATGTATTTAGTCCAAATGAATATTAAAGGGGTTATTGATCAATGTAATATATTATTAAGTTAAATTTGTGTTATTTATGTTTTGCTAATGATTAATTAATTTAAAAATATTTAATAATATAAATTTGTAATCTATTATTTCTATTACATGATTACTTTTAATTATTCTAAAGTATATTCATGTTTAAAAAATTAATTTACTAGTTACTTCATTAATAAGTTGTTAATCAAGAAAAAAAAAGTACTTAGTTGGTTTTTTTAACTTTAATTTAATACTATTATACTTAATCATCATGATAAATCCAAATAAAAAAAAATGTCTAATACACAAGAAACTTGTTGGTATAAGCCGGTGTAAATTTCCCCTTGAAAATCAAATGAGTGTGAATTTGAGAAATTTTTTGGAGTAACTGGTGTTAACATTAATGACACTGGTTTGATTGTTCTGCACCATCATATGTAAACTGGTTTCATATCCTCTAATTTCTCCTTTGAAATAATAAATGAACAGATAATTGATAATAATAATAATTTAATTGATAACCTATTCAAATTGATTTTTATTAAGTACTTATTAGCGGGAAATGCACTAATAATGCACTAATAATTTAAATTATTGTTAGTATTATCATTATTAATTTTGAACAGTTTTGGACAGACACCAATTTCCATTGTCGAATCTATATTGGTGTAAAATAATTGGTATTGAGTGTTAGTAAACAGGCACAAAATGTATTGGTACACCGGTTTGTACCAACAAATTTGTAGACTATCTTACATGATTGAGTATAAATTATAGATACTTATATAAAATTATTTATAAAATAATAAACTGTTAATTAGTATGGCTTATATTTGTAGGTCATTTTTCAATGCCTAAAGCGTTGACATCTAAGGGATCCACAAAACCTGCTCAGATATTGAATGTCAATGAGGAAAGTTTTGCAGTAGTTGGGTAAATATATTTGTATTATAATAACTATAATGTAATATAAATAATTTACACTTTTAGGACTGTATTGCTTTTAATTCAAATGGTAACTGAGTACTGTATCAAGGCTGATGAGATAAATTTAGCTGCTCAGAGTTTACTGCGTTATGTATGTGACATATTAAGAGAGTATAATTCCACATCATATCATTTAGTACTTCAAGCAAAGGCAATATCAAATAAGACTGGTCTAAAGAAAATAACATGCACAAACTTGGTGTTGTCACTTAGAGCTCTACAATTATTATTATGGATTGTGCCTTACATAAAAATACATTTTTCTAGTAATTCTTTATGTTTTCTATTTATTTGTATTTCTAACTGTGTACAAAATAATAGAATTATAAAAATCTTTTACTATATTTTAAATTGAATTTGTAGGGTTTTTAGAAGAAACTCAAGTAAATGCAATATTAAATAGAGTGAAAAATGATATAACTAAACACATTAAAGATATTCAAGACAAACTGCATGATATTGTTAAACAGATAATCGTGCAGCAAATGTCTAGTTGGGAGGCTAAACCTCCTATTCCGTCCAAATCATTTCAAAATATTTGCAAGTACGAAAATTATGTTTACTATCAATAAATGTATTGGTTTAAAACTATATTGGTCCTTTTTATTGTTTACACAGACATATATGTAAACTTCATGAGGCTATAGAAAGTATATTGCCAAAAACTCAAATTCAATACTTATATAGACGAATACATATAACATTTAAAGAAATTTTACACGAGTGTGTAAAAAAAATGGACAACACTAACAATGATGGGCCTTTACAAGGGTAATTTAAATATTTATGTTCATTATGTTTAATATCTTTTCTAGTACTATAACATAGTTTATTTCTTTATAATGTGGTTAATATATTAGTTGTATAATAATATATTTATTGTTTTTATTGTTTTTTTATTTTTATTTTGTTTAGAATTGTGTCATCTGAATTAATGTTTTACATTAAATCATTAAAAAGCATAGACGCATTACCTGAAAAAGAAATTACTATAGAGTCAATGAATGATATATGGAATGAAAATTTCTCTACGAACAACGGTCAGTAATAAATTTACATGGAAAAAATTGAGTTGAACAAATTTGTACCTACTATTTAAAGAATATATTATCTATGTTTTAATAAATTATTTTGCACTATATAATAATTAATATAAAAATAACAATAAACCAAATTTAAAATTATTCAATATCTTGTAACAGTTTCATACATTTGTATTGGATTATTTAATTTTTATTATTTTTAGAATAAAATAATTTTTTTTTGGTTTATTAGTATTTTTATTCTGATAGGGGCATAGTTATATAATAATCTTACAACCATCAATTATAAAATTATATTTATTTTTGTTTTTTATTAGTTATTATTATTATTTTCTTTTTGGGTATTTATTTATTATTGGGATATTTGTAAGAATATTAATATTAATTATTATTGTTTTTTAAAAAAACACTCTTTTTACTATTTTATAATTTTAGTCAGTTGGTATCATTTTGTAAGACTGAATATGCTTGGTCATTAAAAAAATAAAATAAAAAATTATTGGCCTATAAAGCATACTAATAGAAACTCAAAATTCTATTGCCTATGATTAAAATAATTTTAATAGTGAAATTATTGGATAATATTTTTCTACATTTCATTATTTATTATTATCAGTTTACTACATTAATGTTCAACAACTTTTTTACAACTTTGACTGAGCATAAAGTATGATTCATAGTTAACAGAATAATATTATAGTGGTTTATTATTATGCTCAAAAGTACTCGATTAGGAATAACATATAAAGCTCTACAAAAGCATATCTATTTTCCTATTAATAACAAGTTGTTGAAGTTCAAGTTTATGTGAAAATATAAACTGTGAATCGTCTTTGCATTTATAATGTTTGAATTATATCATTGGATGCAAATATAAATGTTTTATTGTTTTTGTAAGTATTTATATTTTATATAAACTAATACATTTTAAATATAATCAATGATACTTTATTAGGATATATAGCATATTAAACAAAATATTAATACTATTTCATTATTTAATATTATAAGTAACCAAATTGGATATTTATCCAATTGAAAAGACTCATCAATTTCTTAGGTTTTTTTTTTCTATTTAATTGTTTATGCTCAACTATCTTTTCTACTTTTATTTACAATTGTTAAAATATTCCATTATTATAATGTTGGTGTTGAAGTAGAGATAAAATTTTAAATTTTAAATGAAATATGTTAAGTTTTTATCTTTTCCATAATATGTAGATAATTATTTAATATTTAACATTTATTACTTGAAAAATCATTAAATTTAAATTTAAAAAAATGAAATCAATATTTAATGATGAAAACAAATTGTTTACAAATTTAATAGGTACTTTTAGAAATAATAAATGTTCAATATTAAAATAATTACCATTCAAGTTATAATATGTTGCATCTACATATGTAGTGTAAACTTAATATAAACTGGGTATCTATTTTACAAACTTTGACTATAATGTGTACAATTTTTAGGTTTATGTTATGGATAAAAATGTTATCCACTTTGTAAAATGGAAACCATAGTTTAATTAGTGACATTTGTTTTTAATTTATCCTATATGTGCAATTATATAAAATTAAAAAAAAAAACTGACATACTTCACACAATAGGTAGGTTACTGTTGTAGGTGAGAAGTTGGGAAGGTAGGATATAGAGAGAAATTGAATTTATATCTGTATGTAAATTTTCTCAGTTTTTCTCAATTATTATTAAAATCGCTTAGAAACTGACTTCCCTAAAGTAGCACTCAGATACAACTTCCTTTCAAAAAAAGTACTATACATGAAAATCGGAGAAATATTTCTAGTAGAAAAGTTGTTTGCAGATAAGAAAAAAAAAATAAACAATGTAAAACCACTAATACATTACTCATCATGCTCCAAATCTAAAAGTGGATGAAAATGAAAATTCGTAAATTTATAAATTTTCATTATTTCAAATTTGTATGTGTTATGTTTCTACCAGAAATATTACTCCAATAGAAAAACTGCAAAAGACCTTTATTTTTGCATCAGCAAGTTATTCTTTTTTTTTTTTTGATTTTCCATCTTGTGTTTTTAATAATTGAGTAAAAAGAGTAACCTGCAAATGTTTACCCATGTAGCTTAAAGTAAAAATAAAATATGCATGCGTAATAAAATAACATAATAAAATTGTTTCCAAAATGAACACAATTTTAAATTTATTTTATGAACCTAAAAGTCTTACACACGTTATGACACAATTTTATAAAATGGCAAATAGGTAGGTATATTCGTGTGTATATATTATGTGTTTAGATGTTTTATTTTATTTGTACCATATTTCTTTAAAAAATTTAAATTGATTAATGTGTACAATAGAAATATTAGTAAGTTAAAATAATTTATTTGTTTAAATATGACCAATTAATATTTTGTTGTATTATTTTAATATTAGGTATAGACATTCTGTGATAACCAAAAAAAGTTAACTAGATATATGCATTCAAATATTTATGTATAAACTTACTACGTTTTATTTAAAATAACTACTACCTATTTAAAATAATTGTTTTTGTCTTAAATTTTAAATTAACTTATTATGTTTTTTAAAAAATTTAATTTAGAAATTAATTGAATTTTTGATGGAATTCAGCCATCATTATGTTTTTTGAATAAAAATAAAATGAGTATACAAGTTTTAGTTTGTTTAAATATTGGATTTCACTTTTACAGATTATCTGACACATACATCAGACTCATATTTAGTCATTTTGGGTTCAAATAATTGGTTATCATTACTTATTAGGTACTTTTATATCTAAACATATATAATATATATACCTGCATTCATTAAAATTCAGAGTGTAAGGTCAATGAAAATAAATGTCAATCAAATATTTGACTCAATTGAGTTTATGATACAGTGCGTATCAATATATAGGCGCTAAAGTTTAAGTTGGTTTAATTATATTCTTTTTACGATTTAAGCATAACTATATCTTAAATTATGTTAACTACCTTAAATATTTCACTGGTCAACCTTTCCCTCCATTGTTCTATTAAAATATTCTAGGTTGTTGTAGGTACCTATCTACTTAAGTATTTCTTGTTAATAGTAAAGTTATTATAGTTATTAAAACACATTAAATATTATTTCTCATGATTTTATAATGCAGTATAATCAATCCTTGACACTTAATACATATGTAATGGCATAACTAATAATAACCACATCTAGCCAGAGTCATGTTAAGCCATTTAGAGCATCTAGTTTTTAAAGATCCATTTAAAGGGGATGATTCGGGGGTAATTCCCTCAATTTATGGTTTTTTTTTACAATTTTATTACACTCATAAAAATTTCAATACTCAACTTTCTCCAAATAAGATTCTTCCTTACAACTAAATTTTTTTCTAGATACATATTATGTTATTTATACTCTACTAATTAGTAAATAGTAATATTAGAATATTAAGAATATTTTTGTTGCATATAAACATCATATTTCCAATGTTTTAACAGAATATAAATCCAAACTCAAGTAATTACCAAACAATATTACTATTATTATTCAATATTACTCTATGCAAAGTGTTTAAAAAGCAAATAAATAGATACATTTAGTATCTATTTATTTTATGCCATGAAATAATAATACTGATTTTGTTAATTTTTTGTTGGGCGCTTATAAGTTTTAAAAATAGGTATGACACCCTAGGGGAAATTCCTCCGTGCCCTTCATTACCTTTAACATGGCTCTGCATCTAATCCTCTACAATATTTCAACCAACTCATCGTTAACAAGGTGTGTGATAGAGTCTTTTTTGTTAACACCGGTACCATCAATGTTGAATTAAAGAACATAAGTTCCTCTTCAATGAATTGACAAAAATTTTAAATTTCCAATACCAATTTATATTATTTAAAAAATCAACTATTATTAGAATTTTTAACATAGATAACTGTTTAAAAATCAAAAGTGGGAAGTAGTATCCCCTCCAAAAATAAGGGTGACAACAAATAACTGTAATGTAGGTGATATTTTATAACTACTTATTTCATACGTCGTCAAAATAAAATTCCTGAAAAAAGTAAATATTTTCCGATAATATTAGTGCAATCTTATCTAATCACTCTGTACATTATTATTATTAAGGTTTGTAATCAAATGGACCAAATGGAAATGAAAATTGTACAGAAAAACCAAATAATTAGTTATGTGACATTAAGGAAAAATCCTCCCACACCCCCTCACCACTTTTTGAACACACTTCCTACGTACTTATATATATATATGTATGTATATAGGTACCTACTATTTAGTTAGTATAATTGGGATTTATTATGTCAATTTCATAAGCCTCTATACCTAAGTTGTTGATACCTACCTATAATAAATTGTATTTTAAACGGTAAGTAATTGCAAACATCGAGAATTTTAATAGTTTACAATCAACAATAAATTGTGCAGTGTTTTATGAGGTTTTTATTATTATTTTTTTTTTTAATTGATAGGTATGATGCATGATTATTTCTATATTTTATATTTTGAGTTATGATAAAATTACACATGATTAATCAAAAATTGTGCGTTTTTTATTAGGTGCGAAACGCCATTTATAAAAAAATAGTGTAGATAATATTATGTAAAAGGTAGATACCTAGTTATTTTTTGGTTTAGTTATGGTTTAGTTATCATATTTGTGTTTTACATAATCAATAGCTAGCTTATTGCACATATCATAATAAAGTAAAGAAGTAGGTAGTTGGTTGGTATTACAAAGAGGATTTGGTATAGTAGGTTTTCAAAATTAATTTGTTTTTTACATAAAAGAGTATACATTATTATTTTTAAAAACCTATTCATAAATTAATCTGCAAAGAAAAATTGTTCGCAAAATAATAGGAGTGCCTATAGAATAACTGTATAAGTAATGATCTATGAAAAACAAAAGTTGGCAATAGTTTCACCATCATAAGTGACATAAATTAATGCAATGTAGTTCAAAGGGGTATATGGGTATATCTCAATTTTTTGAAAAAGTTATTATCTGTGAGTATGTACAAGTACCTTTGAGATAATGATAGTGTTTTATAGAAGATTGATCACCTTGTGGTCTATAATATTTTAAATTTTAATTAATTAATTATGCAACATAAAGAACTTAATTACAACGGCCAATGACATTAAATCTAAAGAAGCTCCGAAAAAAAAATATAGAAATTGATGGTGTAAATATAAGAATAACGAAAAAAAGAAAGTCATCAAGAATCTGAATTAGGTATCTACTTTCACAAAAAGGTCTAAGTGATATTAATACTTTATATCAATCAGTCGTGGTTGTGTAGTACTTTTATAGGTGCTTAAGTACTCCTTCAAAATTGGGGTAGGTGGGTTTTATCTTTTTAATGATGGTACCTGCTTTTGTTTTATAATAATTTTTTGATTTTACTTTTTTACTTATTTATGTTATTACTAGGGCAGAGGACTTGTAGCATTAACATATTTTTTTTGCATTGTCACAAAAATAGCAGAGTGCGAAACGAATACGTTTCATGCTTCCACAAATCTAGTTTTGAAATTTGATTGTGCATATAAATCCATAATTTGCGTTTTTTTAGTTTTTAGGGCATATTTCTACCATTTTATACTTTTAGATATATTTTTTTTAATAATTTATCATTTTATCAATATTTTTTCGTTGACGTTTTTATATATTTATTTATACAAGCAAAATTCAAAATTATTTTAAATTTTGATCATAATATGAATATGGTTGTTGACTTTTTCCAGACGCATGTTTTTCCTAGAAACGCGTCTCGAGAATTACTGATTAGATTGATTGTCGGATTATTAATTTTATTTATAGACAGATAAGATAATATTGTTCAACGCACAAAATATTATCGTTACGGGCCACGGGGACGCCTGTCGCCGAAATCGGACATTTTCATATTTCAGTAATCGCTGTGTTTCTCGACGGTTGATCGTCGACCATACGTTCAAACGTCTATTTACTATTTATTAAACAAAATGCCTAAAGTTAAAGTTCTTTATGTTCACAATTAAATCACATTGTGTCTGAATTCGGTCTTGAAGTGTTCTCAACAGACGGTAAAATACTTTATTGTAAAAATGTGTGATATCAAGTGTGGTAGTGCTAAAAGGTTCAATGTTGCACAACATTGAACTACAGGAAAACATCTGAAATTAGTTGCTCAGAGGAAAAAAAAACGTAAATATAAAAATATAATAATTCATTACCATTCAGTAATAATAGTGAGCACTTATAATTGGTGATAATTTTCATTTTTCTATTTTTTTTTTTTTTTATTCATAAATCGCTTAATAAATTTAAAAATAGTACAAATTAGGTAGATAATTGCTTACGGAGCAGTCCATCGGGAAAAATTCCGAATTCCAAACCAATCCAGACCTGATGGCAGATAACTGGTATGTGTTAGGCACCTACTTGAATAATACTTGGTTATAAATTATTATTATCAAACCGTTTTAATAATATTCTACTAATAATGGTTGTTTTCACATGTACCGACCAGTGGTATCTTATAAAACGTACAAGCCATCTCGGACATCTTAATAAAAGTTTTTGTGAATATTTCATTTTAACATTTTTGGAAAAGAAATTAATTCACTAGGACTCAAAAAATTCAATAAACTACAAATTTTATTCATTTTTACAAAACGGTTATGAAGTTGACAAACTAAACAAACCACATTCAAAACTATAAAACATGTTATCATTGAATAAATATTCATTATTTTCTAATCTAAAATCTTGAGCAAATTCATTAAAATATTTTTTTTGTTATTTTTGTCCTTTCATTAGAAAATGTTGATTTACGTTCTATTTGTTAGCAATATTTAAAGCATTATTAGTTTATCTTTATGCTTTTCTTTCCCAGTAAATGTATTTGGCATTAGTAATGTTAAAGCTATTTGGAAAACTCCATTGAACCCAAAGACAAATTGTAAGTAGACATAATTAATTATATATAAATATATAACTTATAAAATATAATTGATTATTATCGTACCTACTCAATTTTATCCAGTTACATTATTATTCACATATCACGGGTTTCACTATTCATATTTTTATGTTATATTTGGTGAAATTCAAAACAAAATTTAAAATTTTTGCATACATAAATTGCATTTAAGAAGACACTATGGGGCCTGTTTAAGTCCAGGGCCCCGCTTTGCTATCCCGCAGTTATGTCACTGCTCTCGCCTCAAAACACCCCTGCATTGCACCTTGTTAATCCTATCCGGTTCTCACCTGGTGAGATTTGAGTGTCTTGGAACAAAAATTATAAAAAGAAATAGCCCCCCCCCTCATGTGGTTCCCTTCGACTGGCGCCGTCAGTCTGGCCAACTTTCGCCAACACCGTTAGCGTCTATTTTCACGACAATACGTTGTGTGACCAAAGTCCAAAGTTTTCCCGATTGGCTTAAGGAGTTGTGCGTACGATTGTTGTATAATAAAACCACAGCGCTATCGTCGTCGAATTCTAGGAAATTTTTCGCCGTGATTAAACGTTGACAATGACTGTCAGTAAAGTTTGTTACCTGAATATTCTGTTATTGTTTCCAAGTACTACTTGACTTTAACCGCTCCGCTCATGAATTATTCGAACGCGTCGTCGTTGTGTAATATTTTCTGTTTGCGCGTACCGAACCCGTCGCCTTTGGATATTAATAATATATTATCTATTGTAATAATTCTTGTGTGCAACGAACATGCCGGACTCCGTCGCCATTAAATGTTTTCGTGCTCACGAATTCCGTCCGCGGAAAGAACGCGTCATGTCCTCCGTCGCCGTTGAATATCGGCGATATTGTAAGTACCTACCTGTATTTACGTTTAACGACATTTAACGGAAAATACCACCGTCGTATTTCGTCCGCGATACGATTTACGTTTTATTCTTTTACAACGGTTTTACAGACGGACGACGGCCGACAGTTACGCGGAATCGCGACTCCTGCACTTTACGATGTATACAGTTTTCTACCTACGAACCGTGCGATTAGCCCTCGTTTACTAGCCGTTTTTTTCGATTCGTCGTATTGGCCGTGGTCCCGTAGCCCGTGTCCGGTACCACATCGTTACGTTTCTTCTCCCATGGGCGACGGATTCAACGATGACGATTCCTCGCTCATCGGTGGCTCGGCGTCTCCGCACTCCGCACTCTCCTTAGTTTTCGCCAAGCCGCGGTTGCGGACTTGCGAAGTCGCCATAGTTTTTTCGCTCGTGGCTCGTAATAATATATAATATTTTGTTGTATTTTTTTTTTTTTGTGCCGTGTTCGAGTTGGCCTTTTTATTTTCATTTACGATAAACGCGTCGACCGTACATGAATTATACGAATTGCGAGTGCCTTTGCGGTAATCGTTCGACACGGTCGTGGCAGCGGCTATTTGCCGATTGAACACGTCTCCGGTGACGGTGAGTACTTATATTAATCGTAATATTTTAATAAAAAGAATCAAAACGATTGGGGTTTTATGACGTTGTCAATCTCTTTAAGTATTACGATATATCGCACCCATTCGATAAATATATCTTTATTGTCACCTGTTTTTTAAATTTCTTTTTCGAAGTTAAATTTCTTTTCTGATGTTAGAAGCACATAATGACTTCATCTGGCCGCCTAAAGAGGTAACCCTTTACCCCCGCCTCTCTCTCATAACTCCGTCCCTTCTTTGCCTTTGTCGCAGAGCTCGGAATGTACCGGAATGCACTGAAAATATTCAGTTGATAAATATTGGAAAAAATTAATGAAATTACCATTTGGTTAGACGTTTGCGATAGGATAACGATTCACAACCAAGAGAAATATAATTATTAATAATAATTGTTATGACTATTGAAAATTAAATTTCCGTTACTTACTGCCGTTAATTTCTTCGGCTTGTCGCAATAAAAACGTTTTGATCGAAAATGTACACATGCGACAATAATATTGAATCCGATACCACCATCGATAATGCAATCAAATTAAAGGCGATATTTTTGTGCACAACTCGATTTTAAGAACTCTGTCTATAGACTATATCTGTAGGTATCTGATAATTTTATTTGTAAAAGATGATAATAGTGACAAAACTTATTTAGTCTGATATTTGCTTTGGTCGCGGTAAAAAAACGTATGTATATTTCATAATGGTTCATTATAAATCGTGCAAATCGTCACATTTTCAAGAATTTCTTTTTAATCTAATAATTTTATTCACAAATTAAAATGTCCATAAGTAACTCAAAAATGGTTCAAATGTTTTTAAAATTTTACCACGCCCAAAAAAAGGCCTACGAATATCTTTAACTGAATTGGATACATTCAAAAAAAAAAAATGTTAATTATATTATTTTATTTTTAATTGTTTTAGTATATTTTCCGGTTCTTTTTACGTATATTTGGTTTTGCTTAATTATTAAAAAAAAAAAAAAAAAAACGAAAATTAATTGTATCTAAATATAATTAAAAATAAAATACTGTTTACTGGGATAAACGACAAATCTTTCTCAAAAATTCGTCCGCGGGCCGCTATTTAGTCACCCTTGCTGTACAATATAAAATATTCACGGTAAAATGTCTGGCGGCCATAGTTCATCATCGTACGCATCGGACGGATCGTATGAAACGGATTTTCGAATTCTTTGTATAGTAAGTTATAAGTGTGTCCACCAAGGGCGCCCATCTGTCAAAACCTATGGGAGGGGAGGTGACAAACTAAGAATCAATTGCAAAATTGTTTTTATTAAATAACGAAAAAACAAACATACATTTTATACGTGAACAAAAACTGTAAATCGTAGTTTTGCTTACTAAATTTTTCAACAAACTTGGTGTCGTGATGAACTTTTTGTCTGTTTTTTTTTTTTTTTTTGAGCATACACAGTCCTCCACCCAACCTATATTCTTCCATAGTACTTCTTGGAAGATTATAAAAATGAATTTGTTTTAACTATAAAACAAATGGCAATGCAATTTTTCTAGGGGGGTGATATATTATCCCCTGTTACCCCCTAATGGGCGTCCTTGGTGTTCGGATGACCGCCACGCATCGGGCCCGTCGGTAATGCCGACGAAATTTCTCCGAGGGGTAACTTTTCCGACTGCAGGTGCGGATCACTCGTTATGAAAACGCGAATGTCATTGAATTAAAATCCGATTGTAAATGACCGTCGCATCGGCAATCCGATTTCTGCGGTTTCAGTTGGATGCACAATCACAAATCGATCCGTTTCGTACGACTCGTCCGATGAGATCGGTTATGAGTCGGTAAATATTGCAAAATAGTTTTAAACAAATTAAAACTAAACATATACTGCTCCTTATTTCTAATTCAAGGATTTTGTGTTTTTGTTTATTTATTTTCACTTCATACATGCGTGTTTGGTATTTAGGTTTTATTTGCATCTCTGGTGGTTTTCTTTCTTATTTTCTGCTATTCAAATTCGCATTATAATATCATGTCTTCGGTGCGATTTTTTGGGACGCGACTAAATAAAATTATTTATAGGTTTATTCATAAATCTATAGGTATGTGTATGTATATTATAGATTTGAACATTTTATAGAAAAACAATTACTATATGATTGATATACCCGTTCGACATATGTTATATTCAAAAGTTGCGGGCCACGCAAACGATTTACACTACTCTTCCCTTACCACGAAATGACAAACTTAAAAGTGGAATTCCTCGTCAAAAGGATTTTACTGAAATTAAAAATGTCTTCACCAAAACTAAAAGTTTATTTATTTATGCAATTTTTAATATAACTAGCTTTTTGAAATTTAAAAACGTGATAGAGGTTTTACCCGAAAATTAAAGTGTCAATAAATAACGGTAATGTACAATTTTAGAACTCCTTGTTTCATACAATTTCATCGTTGCAATTATGTTTATATTCTTATATATATATTTTGGTAGATTTAAATGTATTAAATTGTAAGTACAAAATGAAATACAATTGTTAAAAAATTGCACGAGGAATTTCATCATAAATTATGATGATCTTGTAACAAACTGTTGAATATGTTTGCTAAACCAAAATTGATTTATTCACATAAATCTAAAATGTATCAATGCACGCATTATAGTATGGTATCTAGTGTTATTTAGTAATCATTAATCACGTAAAATAATGTATTTGATACAAAAAAACATTGAACGTTTTTATTAGGTACCTATCGTGTTTTATCTCTTGGTATGCCATCACTCCAATCATTTTTAGTACTAAGACAGATAATCAAACTGGTTTTATAAATTGTATAATGTATTCTGTATTTCGTATTTTGTATAATCGATATTTAGTACCTATGTGAGAAGAGAACATATTAAACTATAACTGTTATTTATGTATTTTTTTTTTCAAATTTGGCATTTTTAAGTGGATGATTATTGACTAGTTTCTTGATGAACGCAGCTACCTATAGTGATTGAACCTTAATATTTGGAAAATAGGTACTTAATAAACTACATCTATTCTGTGCGGTTTGACTGAGCATCTTTTTGCGTTCTTTCTGGGTTTTAATTTATTCTTCAATTAAATAGATTGATTAGTTGAAAATAAATATTTGTTAATAAGTATTAAATTTGTTAACAATTATAATATTTAGATTATTTAAAAAAATTAATGTATCTATGTAAGTAGGTAACAAAATATTGTATAATATATGATAATATATTAGGAAGGGAAATCCAAAATGGCCGTCCCTGTTTTATGTATACGAGTATTATTAAGTAATAATTAATATTGGTATTCGAATCTTTCCAATGTATGTGGTTCTAAATCGTTATAAATCTCCATTCCCCATACATTATTTCAATGACCATGACTTTTTTAAATTTAATACAATCGTTGTACTATGGAGTGTTTTGGGTGATGCACATTTGGAACACGTTATTAATTCAATAGCTGAATATAAATTATGTAATAGGTTGTTACTATGCAATTTAAATTTCATACAGCATTAATTATATTTATAACTGTAATCCCAGGATCAATTTTAAATACTTTTTGTAGTATCTAAGTTTTTATAAATGATAAGTGTTGGCCCAGTCGCTGCCAGATTATCGCATAGTTAGAAGAAACTGTTGTTTATATATTCATTTAAAAACTTTTTGGTAGGTATCTACTTGGAAATATCCATATAAGCAATATTAATTAAATTCCTATAGTTTGTACTAAATTTGCTTTTATATAAGAATATATTTGACGATAGTAATAAATTACTCAAAGTCCTAATGAAGTATAAGTTTATGATATTCCCAGGCATTCACCGTTTTAATTATTATACTGTTGCTTATCCGGATATTTCCAAGCTCCAAAAGTTTGTTGATTAAATTGTATTTTTTTTTTTTTTGGTTAAAAATATAATTTATAGGAAAAACTAATTTTTCGTTGAGTTGTACAATTTCAATCATTATTTTTGTAATATTGGGAAGTGGAATAATTCTTACATTAGACTTAGATTCAGGGACGTTAGAATGAAATTTAGGTGACAAAAATAGGACATTAAAAATGTTTGAAAAATTAATTTTTTTTCTATAATCTCATTAGTAGATGATTACTAGTGTAAATACAAACTTTCATTTTCATAACATTTTTTTAACTGGAGTTATAAATAAGTGAACTAGACAAATTTCGTTTTTTTGTTATTTTGAAAATAAAAATGCCGTTAACTTATTAATTTTTTTGGCTATTTAAAATTTATAAAATGAAAAATCTGTGTATTAAGTAATTCGCATATTAAGATAAAAAAAAATGTATACATTTTATTTTTTTAAATCTAAGTTTTTAACGGTTATAAATCATAAAAACAAGTTGAACGTTTTTGTGTTTTTTATTTTCATAGACTGGAGTAAAAATTTACTCAAATTTACCCTATACCCAATGTATTTGCATTTTGTAGAGGAAGTTCTCAGTTATAAGAATACATAATTTTTTATTGCGTTCCGTCACATCTGCAACGCACACAAATCATATTTTCATAAAAAAAATAGTGTTTTTAAAAATTTAAAAATTTGTATAGAAAATTAATTATTTGTGTACAATTTAATAACACAAGTGTTATTGACTAACACGTGTTAGACGTGACAGATTGTATGAGGGGGTAATCCGTAAATAAAGTTATAACAGAAATCCAGTATTTCATTTAAACAGATATGATATTTATCAGTACAATTACGATTAGAATAATATTACGCCTTACAGTGTTATAAATACACTTATGTGCAATATGCATTAATTTATACGAGTACCTGTTGCAGTTTCATAAAGGTTAGTATTACGTTTTTATACTGTAATGAATATAGTACCTATAACTACGTTTTATAAAGTTTACTAATATTTTGTATTTAATAATTTTAATTTTTACTGATATATTTTACAATAAAGTAAATATTTCAAATTTATTTAAACACTATGAACTTGTAAATATGAACAATCCGAGTCGAAGCCTGAAGCCTAAAATATTACAAAATAATTAAATATATACATTAGCGTTAAAGATTTAAATTAAATAAAAAGTTTTCAAGTTATAATTTCCTTCTAGGCCCTGATATTGTTCACCTAATTTTCTCTCTTGGGATTCGAGCCGGTTAAAAATTCTTGAAAATAGGCTAGGAATAAGGATTATAAAAATATTCGAGCACATCATATACGAAAAAACTTTAGACAAAACATTAATGAAGATCTTTTAAATATGTTGTTATAAAAAAAAATAGTTTCATCTGATCAATATATTTCGTCGCTAAGAAATTCACCAAAAAAAATCCTAGACATTTTCTGATGATGTTCTTATATTAATAGTTATAAGTAACAACGACGAATATAATACACTTAATAATCAATTTTCTAAAATAAATATAAGTATTTAAACCAAAACTTATATTTTATTAAATTTCTGTTTAATTTTAAATTTTAAAAAATGTTAAAAAAACGTCAATTTTCTTATAACAATGTGATTTTTGTGCGTTTCAGATGCAGGTAAAAATACACAATTTAATATTAATAACTATAATAAGAGGGATAATATTAAAATTGTACAATAATTTTTGCTCATTTTTTGGAGCAAATAGCCCAAATATTTTGGGGGCTAAGTTCCCATAATATTGATTACCTATTAATACTTAGTATTTACTTGATTACGATTTTATTTGAGAGGCTTGGATGTATTTCAGGAAGCTCAGCCCTCACGTTTGTACTAATGAAGTTGGTGCATTAGGTATGTAAAATTTGCCAAAGGCGCCCACGGAGGGTAATAATTACGACTCTGGGTTAGGTTATGTACATGTGTAAATTGGTGTATCTGAATTGATTTTTAGATTATTTGAAATACAATTTCAATTTTCTTTCCCATTTTGTACAGATGTATGACTGTTTACGTATTACCATTGATTATAATATAACTATGCACTTAATGATATTATGCAAATGCAAACACCACTTTATACGTGTACTCTACGGTTTTATTGGCTTAGTGAATGTAGTAACGAGTAACGACAATTTATTAAATTATAATATTTTATACTCGTGCAGAATGATAGAAAATAGTGTGTTACGTTCATATTAAATAATATATTATTAGATTGTATTTCGCATCTTTTGAAAGTTTTTATCGGGAACCAATTCGGATGCTGCCTATAAAATATAATTACGATAAAATTAATATAATCTAATTTGTTTAACTCGAAATCGTTAATATCTCAAACTTTTTCCGCGTTCATTAGAATTTCCCATTTTAACAATGTAAAAAATCGCGATTAACTTGAATATTTCGTGGGTAACTCGGAGTTCCGATTGTATAAGAGTCGGTGATGATACCGAGTTATTCCCATGCGTACATTTACTATTGAAAGTAAAGTTTATTAATGTTGCAGTTACTGATACAACTGGTTTACCACTTAATAATATTACACGTTATCCACTCACTTAATTCGTATAAGTGTTTCAATGTTTACGATTTTAAGATAATTGTTTGTGATATCGGTATTTAAATGAATAAAATTAAAATAAAACGAAAATTCTCAAATACTCGAATTCTCAAATACATCAAACTTTTTTGCCTGTCCTTGGATTTGACGGATTTAAATTTTAAAAACGGTTTTTGATTTTTTTAGCTATTATTTACTAGGATATGACGAAAATAGAAATGTAATTATTTTATTGGAAATAGTAAAAAAAAATTTGATTGTACACTTATATTTTTAAAAAATTGTGCAAAATCCTAATTAGTGTTTAGCCTTTTACTTTTGATAAAGATAATTGAAATGTCAAAAAGTAACTACAACGTATCCTAGTGAAGAACCTAAAGAATCGTAATACTTTTCAAAATTTAAATTAGTCGGATGATGTTTACAGTTTTGTCTGACTTTTCGATACAAAACGTCATCTCCATACGTAAAAATTATCGTAATACTGTATGGTCGTATGGATGTTAATATTAAGCAGACATCGAGCAGTAGGTAAGTGGAAAAGTCTTTAATTAGGTGGTTAATAAAATGTAAAAAATTTTTTTTTCAAAATTTTCTCCAATTGTTTAAAATTTGAAAAACTCGCCAACTGCGTTGTATAGTTAAATTTAATGAGCACGTTTGTTATCATAACGGACGTAATACTGATACACGATCATACAATATTGAATTAAAAATTACCGAACCGTTTAAAATCTCGTAAATATTTAAAAACTGCAAATGAGATTGTTATTTATTTTTTTTTTTTTTTCGAAACACGATGATGTCTATATACACTAGTTACGGCTTTGCTGCTTGAATGCATTTGTAAACGCTTCGCTTACAGGTTACAACAGTAGAGTTACGGGACCTGCATGCGTTTCAATTAAAATATTTCCCGCAGTATAGTTATTAAGTACCGCCGCCGCCGGCACAACGGTTTCGCGGTTTAAACATAGATAATAGGTATTATAATATTTACATAATATAATATTATTATGTTCCGTATTCGTTCGCCGCTGCAGTGATTTTCGTTATGCACATCCGGCCCAAGGTTAACCATGTCTGTGACGGCGGCGGCAGCCATAACTGTCCAGAAGAACAAGATGACACAGAATCCGGTTCTAAAAAAAAAGAGGTGCATGACACACGTACAACACGCGCACACACGCGTGGCCAACCCGGGTTTTGGACGGCTCGCAGAGGAGACCGCGGCGCGAGGGGTATACAATGATAATAATGTATCCTTGTGTGTCTGGCAACCTCGCAGCCTTGGCGTCATCAGCGGCGGAGGTGCCGTGATAGTTAGAGTAGTAGTAGTAGTAGTAGGAGCAGGAGGAGGAGGAGGAGGAGGAGGAGGAGGAGCACCATTAATCCCATTAATCTCTTGATCTATCGAACGCTGCCGCCGCCGTCGTCGTCGTCCGCATCGCATCATACTCGACTGCAGCAGTACTTCAACTTGTACGGGGAAATCCCGCGGTGACCAATAGGAATGAAACTAGGATAAAATCTCCCCCAGTTCAAAAAAAGCTCCTTTTTTCTTTGTTAATAAGCCCAAAGGTGAACCGAATTATTTTCAAGTCATTTTTTAAATTTTAATTGATTAATCAGACGTCATTAATAGATATTTACTCAGGTTGCTTTGTTGATACCATTCGCATAGGCTCACAAAATGGAAAGCGATTAGGTGCTTATCCTTCTTCAAACTCGGCGTATAGCCCCCTCCCTAGATTAAATGCTTATCAAGTAAACTCTTAAGTATATATTTCTAGTAAGTTTTTATGCTTAACCGATAGCTCCTTCTCAGCCTTGTCTTGACAGTTTTTTGTAAAATTTGGTTTTAGGGACATGTCCCCTTTCTGGTGATTCATATACAGTGCATTTCACTCAAGTGGTAACATGAAATATTTTTGTCCAGTGACCTTAGATTGAAATTTGGTTTTCAAAAGAAGATAGGAAATACTAAAATATCTACACATTTTTTGAAGGATTTTTAAATTTTTAAACCTTTCAGTGTATGCATGTGCAATAAAACTTAAATTTTTTTAAATGGAAATACCTATTTCCAACACTTGATTTGGATAAACCATTAATTTTTAAGCAACTTATATGTATAAAAACTTTTCCCTTATCTCGAAAATTGGCCGAAATATAGCTCGTTAACGTTGAAACAAAATTATTTTATTATTATTAAATTAATTTAATTTTAAACAATTTACGAAATACAAAAAATACTCATCAGTCATCATTATCTTATAAATTGTTCGAAGTTTTGTCCATTATGTTGTAAACATAATTCTGAACGTCGTATGACTTCATTTTGAGTAGCTGTCAAATTTGTTTCTTTGTCAGTTGTGCGCATGCTTCCGTGATTTTTTGTTTTAAACGCTGTAGTCTAATCGGTGGGTCAGCATTAACTACAGCAAGGGAGTACCATTTTGTAGAAAAATTACGTTTTCCTTAATATCTAATGGAACACTTTCTAACAATAGTGGTAAATGGTTAGAAATAAAATCCAAAATTTCCTTACATTTAATGTTCTATCATAAAAATAGAGACCTATTATAAAACCTTCAATTAATCCACACCATACATTTGTTGGATGGGGACATATGGACCAATAACTTGGCCGGAGAGTTCATCTGATTTAACGTCTCTAGATTTTTTTCTTTGGGGACATTTATAAACTGTAGTCTATGCTGACCCACCAATAAGTCTCCACCATTTAAAACAAAACATTATTGAAACATGTGCACAACCACTGGCGTATGTTTAATGTGTATTTCAGTATTTTCTATCTTTTCTTGAAAACTCCATTTCAATCCGAGGTCACTGAACAGAAATATTTCATGTTACCATTAAGGTGAAACGCACTGTATAAGTATTAATAAATATTATGGTTACTTGAGCCCTCCCTCAAATATTTTGGTGGTTTGCGCACATGATATTGTAGTAACTAAATTTGAAAGTTAATGTATAAGAAAAATTTTAATTAAAAAATGTATATTACATTATTACCTTATAAATACACGATGCTGTATGCAATTTAATTAGTCAGAGGCGAAATCAGGGAATTAAAATCGGGAATTAAAACACAATCAAAAATTTAAATTACCCTTTAATTTGTATTGAAATTTTAAATTATAAATAATTGGTTTACAGAATACAAAGGCTAATTTATTATAATAAATATTCTTTTATACTTCCCTAAAATATTTTCATGCGTTCGTTTCTGCTTAATTGTAATATATTTATTATATAACTAATAATATATGTAACTATAAGTTACAAAATAAAAATACTATAATTTTTATATTATAATATTATATATTTGGGGTCCCAAATATATTTGGGACTCCTCACAAAAATATAATTGAAAAATCACATAAAGTTTAATCACAAAAGATCATAATATGTATGACGTACTGTAGTTTAAATTAAATTAATAGCAACTGTAAATATGACCTAAGTTTAAGTATGTAAATACATTGAACAACAATTTTGGGCTCTTATGCATAAAGCTACAGAGTAGGTGGTAGCCGTGGCATACACTGCATACCCCATGTGCACGCTTATGTCAATAAATTTAAATTATGCACGGTGTATAAACGAATAGAAGATTCCTAAAATTGTCGATTGACAATAATTAATCACGAAACAATAAAAGGTAGACTAGTTGAAACGACGGTGTTCACAATACCACCGATTTATGATAAAACCGAGAGTCTTAACAGTTGTTAGTTATTAGTATATATTGTATACCCAGTAAACTAACTAAGACACCTACCTGGTTAGTTCACCGATTAATAACGGCTGTTTGTGATTTCTCACATAATCGATCTACTATACTATATAATACTGTTAAATAATAAATATATAATCGTTTTTGCGGAGAGTTTTCCGGCGTGGCTTACAACTGCATAATAATACCGTAGTTGCAGCAGGTGGGCGGTTACGCGTGTGCCGTCGTCAGGTATCTGTTGCTGCATGTGTACGTGACGTTACCGTTGTAGTAATGGGTGCGATTTTTAACTTCGGTCACCTAGACCTATGAGGAGATTTGTATATGTGACACTCATACAGCTAGATAACCAAAGAGAAAAACCAGCTACCCGGTTAGTGGTGTAGGTACGCGTCGAAACGATTCTGCACGGCACGTTCGACGTTATGGCACAGGGTGTCTGGGCGTCTGGAGGTCACAATCCGTATTGTTTCGAGTAGACGCAGCCGTTGGTAGTGTATAACACAGTATATTAACATAAATCATTATTACAAAACCTGACGGATATACCTGCAAATGTCTGAAGAAAATTACGCGTGTAACCTGTAGTGGTAGATCTGAACAACTTATTTAAGGGGGAGGGGAGTCAAATAACACTTACTAGACACAGTAACTGAAAAACATATTTCGGGAGAGAGGCGAGTATCAAAAAAGTGTATATGAATGCGTTCATAATTTTTATGGACACCTTGTCTCACAGGTACTTGTATACATTTTAATTCAAATGCCAAACGATTTTCTTTAAAAAAGTCTAAGGACGCCTCGTCGTAACCCCCCTCCCCTTACAAATTCGTCACCGCATAATGTATAGATATTGTCTACACGTTTTCTGTTAATAACGGTTGTAAATTTGACATTTTTAACTAAATATAGTGTATCTAGGTAACATTACCTACCTATACGGCTGATAACGGCCACAAAAGTATAATATTTTATTCTAACGGTAGAAACATCGATACATAATAATAATAATAATAATAAAAAAAAAAAAAAAATGTTTACTGTTATATATTATTGTTCAGTGATGTATCAGTTTTGCCCGAGTAGTTTTGCTCGATGCTTTTGACGTCCCGCCGCCTTCTAATGGACCGTCATCCGTTTGAATACTCCATTCGGTATCGGACGAAAAGCATTTTTCTGACCATACTGAAACGTCGCTCGGGCGGTTTGCGCATATATTACGGATCGGCGCGCGTGTTCACAGTATAGGCATACACGTTATAATAATACACTCACTGCTATTATTATTACGGCTTTCCAAATGTTTCTTTAACGACAAAATAAACAAAGGAATCATGGACAATATATAATGTACCTACGTTGCCCATGGCGGCGAGTGTGCTGTGCAGGTCGTCGTCGTTGTCGTCGGTTTAGAAATGTCCTAAAATCCCTCCTCGCCCCGCCCCGCCGAAACCCGACCGGTTAACGAGATTCATAAATGCGATGATATTGAAAATAATATTACTAATACTAACACTACAAAAAATATTATATAGGCTGTTATATAATAATAATGTTTAGGTAGGGTAACGCAGGTGCATCATGATGCAGGTAGGCATTCACTGCAGCAGTAGTTCCATACGTTTATATTCGTTATAATATTAAATTTTAATCCGTAGGATCGCTGGGCCGTCCGTTGTTGAGCAAAAATACATAGTTTGACAGTGCACAGTGACGTGACCACGGGTAGGGAGGTCAGGGGGCTTATCTTCTCTCCCACCATTGGATTTTCAACACAACAATGTGTATATATTTAGTAATTCAATACTGAAATCTATAGGTTTCAGTCAAGCTAGAAGGAAAAGTCTGATCTATTGATTAAAACTTGGTTTTTCCAGCTTTTTAACTCCCATTATTGAGTTGTTAATAGAAGAAGATTCTACGATATGATTAATATTAATATTTGCTACATCCCCTTCAATTGGAAATTTTCTGTGGCACGCCACTGCCTATGCGATTATTGTATATTTTATTTAAGGCGGGTCTACATGGACAATAATATTATAATAAGTATCATATTTTGGAAAATGTTCCTTATCCATATACATTATTATCATTGTGGATATTATTAGTTTGATATAAACAATTTATAGGTATGGCAGAACTATTTAATTTAAATGTTTATAAATAATATATTATGAAAATAAATGCGGTCTTTTTTAAAATATTAAACGGAATTTAAAAATTATAAATTATCAATTTTAATAGATTTTCTTCTATTCGTACAAAGTGAAAAAACATAATTTATTTTATTTATTTATTTAGCTTCCATTGTTTTTATAGTTATTCTATAGTGTTATTTTTGTAATGTCGTATTTTAGGTAGGTACTTACTACCTAAGTAATTTATTGAATGATTGTAATATTTTGTCCGAGTTTTGATAATAGCCGGTACTATAGAGATTAACGACATGTGCCATTCCAAAAGAAAGGAATTCCCCCAGTCAGTTCAATAACATTTAATCAACCTCGATAAATTAAAAATTCAACAAGTACCTCATATTTTAGTTTGTTCTCCTTGAAACGTAAATTGTTGAGAATCTATATACTAAACAGCTAACAGTGTTATTCATAAATATTATAGGTAGTATAATATAATTGAAACCAACTGACAAATTCTAAATACCAATGGAAAATATTATACATATTAGTTATTAGTTATTAATTATATAAAATAACGTTATAATATTAACGCTAATTGTAATACAACATTATTAAAAAATAAAAAATAAAATGATAATTCTATTTAGTTAAGAAAATTCGGACTAACAATATGAATATAGTTATGGTATTTACCTAATTTAATTATAATTTAAACAAATTTAATGCACTTAAAAGATTAAATTATAAAAACAACTCCTGAAATTTACTAGATTTTAATGATAAACCTAAGAAAATACATATATAATATTTCCATAAATAGTTTATTTTTATTAAAATTACTGTTCGTACAAATATATATTATATACACTTTGCTAAATAATTGAAATATATTATGACGATTATTTCACAGTGATAACACTATAGTCTTATTTTTAGTATACCTACCTATAGATATACTTTAGGAAATATGCGTACGATTTTCGACTGATATAATATTCATTATTTGCGTTCGAAGAGTTTTGTGAACAGCAATTTTAGAAAGTGAATTTTATTGACATTAATGCGTTTCACGTTACATAAAACGATTAACATTATATAACAGTAAAACACAGCATAATATATAAGTACATACTAATAATAATACGATACAAATGTCTGTTCGAAAAATACAGTTATAAATAGTTACATAGTTTTATATTCTACAAAACTTGTTGAAATATAAAAATAACTATAGATATAGATAAAAATATGGTCTATAGGTTCTTATAGTGACTTTTAAGTACCTAAAGGACTAAATTATTACCTACCCATAGGACTATTATAAGTAAGAAAAAATTGTATAATATGTAATAACCTCAAAGTGGAATAAATTATTTCGGTTGAAAATTAAACACACAATACCTATGAATTGGCTACGATGATAATAATATGTTAATATCCTTATATTACGAAAATATGTATTGCGAAAAATAGAAAATCGTTACATTTCGACAGTATATCTGAGCCGATTTGAAATAACGATCGCCACGATAGTGTTTTGAAAAAAACAAATTTATTTTACCCATGGGTACATAGTATATTATACATAATTATTATAACATATTTTTAGAAAATATAATATAATATTACCTGCAACCGATGCATATTACAATTGTCGAGTTGCGTATGTCGGCGGAGATGTGATGCAGCTGAATGACGGCGATATTCATTAGTTTTATTTATTGTTATACATTTTAAGCACGAACATTCATCGTTTTAATTTTTTTTTTTTACGAATCGTATGAACGTAAAAACTGACCTACTACTGTAAGAACAAAACCATAGGTTAAAGTAATTATAGGTACTATGGAACAGTGACAATTTCTGAGTGTGGAAATGAAAAGTATGGTAGGGCTAAAAGAAGAAGACGACTGTGGCACCAAACTGTTGTTGACTAATGGGCAACCTGTAGGTGTAAGGTCCAGCGATCTGTGCACACACGCAACCGGTTCATATTTAACGAACAGGTACTGGTTTTCGTCCCACCAGTCACTACAGTATCGCATGTACGCTACGCTCTCACATAAGTCTCGCACACACACACACACACACACACGCGCGCACGAGCGCGATACTTACGCACGCGTATACCTACACATGCACACACACACACACAAACACAACATACCTTTTGTTAGCCCATCTCCTAATCTATACGAAAGCCGTGTGCATATACGTCTGTTTTTTTTTTTATATAGCTATACCTATTCAATTTAGCGTGAGCTAAGGTATAGATAGGTAGGTATATTATAGGTATAGATAGGTATACGTAAATATCGGTCTACAGCCAATAAATATTATAAATTCCGAACGTGTACATATATGACGTAGGTACGTACCTAAATATAGTGTTTTAATACGGTACGTATAGAACCGATAGTCTTGGGTGATTACTGCAGTTTACCGGTATATCTGAAAAAAAAATTCAATATATTTTTAGATTGTGAACGAAGAGAGGAATGCATAGATGTAATATAGGTATACCTAATGGTTTCACTGTGATCAGTGTGTTTTTTTTAACCGTCTGCAGTCAAACACGACTTCGACCCGCAGAAGATAGTTGCTCCGATCGTATCGTCGACATCTGGGGAGCACATTATAATTTCTATGTAGTAGTATTTTTTCGATAGACAATAGTTTACTTTACCTATTATAGTATTGAGGTGGTCGTCATTTTTTAAATTCCTTGTATATACTTTTCTTCTATAGTATATACCAGCTATTGACAAAAAATCAGGTATGAAAAGTCGAAAATATTTTATATGCGACACCGGTTTTTGACAAAATCATTTTTTTTTTTTTTTTATATATAATTTAGCGAGAAATAATATAGCGGAGACTTGATATTTTTACCAAATATTACCGATTATTTTTTTCCAAACGTGAAGTTGTTTTTAAAATATTTGAATTTTTTTCCTTTTAGTTATTTATAGATTTTTGAAATTATTGAGTTTTTTGGTTTATATTTGATGTTTGAAGTTTAAATTTTTGATAAATCCGTTCAAAACATGATACATTGAAAATTATTTTGTAGTTCAAATTGTATAAATTTGTCAATGTAAATTTAGAATAAATAATTTAACCGAGGTCCATTTATAATTGTTTTTTGTTTGCAATAATTTATAGTTAAATTCGTGATTTAAACATTTTAAATTAAATTATCCTACATTATGATATCTTCCCATTGGCACAAACTGATTGCTTCCCAACTACAAGTATCAAGACAGTTTTTAGTGAATAACCATGGTGTGCCCACTCCCTTCCCTTAAAAAATAGATAAACCAAACGTTACCCATGCTTTCTTATTAGACTTTCTTCATGCAGTAATTTCTCTCCTCAGTGACGATATTTCATACATAAATTATAGTATTTTGTTGTAAAATCGATTAAGTACCTATTTCTGTTATTTCATTATTTTACTAAAACAGATAAATAAATTACTCAAATTAATTAATTTACCATTTATTTTTTAGTGGATACACGTAACAAAAATATTATCCTACTGGGTGTCCGATGGACTTTATCGTGTGTCCATTTGAACATCTACAGAAAACCATTTAAATATGCCCGGGTTGGTACCGTGATTCTTTTCGTAAATTATCAATAACATAATCACGAGTTGGATACAAAAATTATTTTTAGTTAACTTTAATTATTATTCTTAATCTAATTAATAAATATTAATTTTATATAGGTAATTAATTCAGGAATCTGGATTAGTGCCTTCCCATGATACGACGTACGTCCCATCGACCATCCGATTTTTTTCAAAAATATTTGTTTATAATAAGTATACAAGTAGATAATTTTGAGTAATATAATTTCGATATGGTTTTCATACATTTAGAAACGTATGCATGTATGATGAACATATTTTATAATACGTTTATCTTTTTATAACATTAGACGTATTATGTGTAATACAAAATATTAAATTGATCTTTAGAGATAGGTATGCCTTATAGCTTATAGATGGCCATTATTATGTTTTGAGCTGTCTATAAATATCGTTGGGTAATCCATTATTACTTTGATGGAGTACCTAATTTTGACCACAAACACTACAAGATTTCAATATATATCGAGAATGAGCGTCAGTATATTATAGTTGTTTCTATGGAGCTACGATTCAAAAATGCCATGGTTATCCCTCGCCACTGATTTGTATATATTTTTATAACTCTAGCTTAATGTTTAACCTCATTAATTATATTTGGAATGAAAACTACATGCACGATTTTCTTTTAGAACTTACATAGGAAACACGAAAAAGCTTTGAGTGTACAAATCTGAAATCCAGGGTTTTATAGACATCGAAATATGAACTTTAAATTTCATTTGTACATTACAGATTTGTATTTCAGGTTTCGATATTCGTAAAACTCTGGATTTCAGATTTGTACGTTCAACGTTCTAGAATTTCATAAGTACTTGTATAATCCATTTTTCTCGAGATTTTCAATACTATGCTCATAAATTGAATGATATAAGTAAAAAAATATAATATTTATATTCATATTCAATAATTATTAATTTTAAAAATGAAGTTGTAAACGATAAAAATATAACGGTAGGTACCAGATTGTAAATATTATATAATTAAAGTCGTTTTTTTGTCATGCAGCAGACAGTTCCGGACCTAAACATTTTTACATCCTGAGATAAAAATACTAAAAGCTCCAGGCGTTGTTTTCTACCCACATCGTTTTATATTAGTTCTACATTGATTATTACTTTCATAGTGTACCAATTATTTACTATTTCTCTTCTAGTCCCTTCTAAGATACTGAAAAATGTAATTAAAGTAGAATTTATCAGTAAACAAACAATACAAATATGTGAATACGCCCCTGAATATTTTACGCGTAAGGAAAAATCTCTGCTTTCCCTTCTAGTTATAGACTGGACCTGGTTGTATTTATACCAAAATTAAGACAATTTTATTTAATTTTGTTGAACTTGCTTAAATAATCTTTAATTTGTATGTATAAAAAACTGTTTAGTTGTATTCATTTTAAATTGTAATAAATAATTAAACAAGCTAATTTATTAGGTGTCACAACCTGATAGATATCAATTTAAAGTAGACGATCATAATATAATAATATACAATTATACTTAGGTATCAATTCAAAAAAGGGATTTTCGAAATTATTCTTAAAAATACTTGAAATCAGATTTTAAAACTATCCCAATAGTGGTATAGTATCATAAATTATAATATATAAAATCATTAATATCGTACAGGTATTTACGGAAAAAGTAAATTACACAAAACAAAAATATTACTATTATTATATTTCTGTTACATACATAGATACCGGCTGTATATTATTGTGTATGTATGAAAATTACAATTACACTGTATTTAGTTTCTATTTTATTTTGTTGATAAGTTCAAGTTAAATTAAGGGAAATATGAAAAAAGCGAGCTAATGAAAGCTTATAATAGATTTTAATACTGCGTGAAGGTAGATTAAAACGAATCTGCCACTTAAGAGTAGAGATTGTGTGCAAGCACTATAATATAAGGATTTTCTAACGGTTGTAAGAACCGTTTTCTGTATTCAATCTAATTTTGAAAACAAATATAGATTGTATTATATAGTGTGAAATAAATACAAAAAAATACTCTTCATAAATAATTATAGCTCGTACAAACAAACATTTAAATATGTTTACATTTTATATAGTGTTCTACTTCTAAGGGGATTTACTGTATATTTTAAAGTGGTTGCATTAGTTGGTTTTCTTTATTTAAGTAAGTTTTCTCTCTATATTATAGTTGGGCAAATTATTGAGGAATAAATGAGTTTGATTAAATAAAATTTAATGACTTATAATCAACTAAAGTGTAATATTTGATGTTAAATTTAATTGAAGCAATTTAAAATACAAATAATTTGTATAAATTAGAATAGACACTTAAAAGTTCCAAAAAAATCGCCGTGTCGAGAAAAACTGAGAAGCAATTAAATGCATATAGATTTCCGACATAATATTGGTAGTCTATTCTATTATATTGTTGGGAAAATATACAAATTATAATTTAAATTTGTGTGTGTTTTTCGAGGTTTGATATTTGCATATGGTTTGCTTTTTTTTGAAGAATACGCTCAATATGTGTTTTTAGCTTAATAGTTAATATGATAAATTATTTTGTATCAAAGAAAATACGATGTATTACCTATTTCAAAAGAAATTAAAATATGTTGAAATTAATTTGAGTAGATATTTATGAATTTTAATTTATTTGTGTTGGGATAAATGTTTCTATTTTGCTAGGTATTCTATTTTGCTGAACTTAAATAATTTCAATAAAATTACACAAAGTTAGGCAGTAAACTCGGTAGTTAAAAAATCAAAAGTCAAGTTATAAATTACTTTATTGATTGTTTTTAACTTACTTAAGAGAAGTTAGATAAAACGTTAGAAAATAACTTAGTTGATACATTTCGTAAATTTATGGTATAGTTCTTTCAATAAATAATTTTACATTCCGACCGTAGCAAGGGAGCTGATGGTTTTCCTAAGATGTTTATTTTTATTTTTCTAGTCTGTGAACACGTTTTTTCCTAGTAAACTTGCTCCAATTTTTACGTGTAACAATTTTTCTGAAATTTCAAGTTATCTAGATTGTACTCAAGGGTGGTTATGTTTTGATTTTCGACGCCATTTTTTAAATAAAAACACTTAAGTGGGAAAAAACGTAGGAAATAATTATTTTTTAAAAACACGGATGACGTTTTTTACCAGAAAAAATGATTTGATCGAAAAATCACAAGATACCTTTTTTGTTGCCTTTTTTATTTACTTTCTTAAAGTATCATCGCCAAAAATTTTGAGCTTTTAAGGAATTTTAATTTTTGGGAGTTTTTTTCTGTAATTCGGTTATAAACACACGTAGAGATTTGAAACTTTGTAATAATACTTATATTGAACTTACCTAGACGTGGGAAAATTTCCTAAATCATCTGACACATTTTTTTTTTTTTTATATATATAAGAGTTTTGAAATCAAATTTAAACGAAAATCCCAAAAAAAAATACGCCACTTCAAATTTTGTATTACCAAACTGCGCTCGGAATCATCTTTCGTCAAGCAATGGTTTATCGTTGCTTACAGATATAAATGAAATAACCTTTTATATCTTACCTTCCAAACTTCTCATCTACAACAGCGGCCGCTCCCATCCTTAGTATCAGCTCTGTTTTTGTTATTTGTTATTTCTTATAAATGTGTAACTTGACTTAGTTACTCAAACTAATTTACATTTTAAAACTAACTATAATTTGGTTAGTGATTTTATTAGATAATTTAACATAAACTAGCTGTTTATGCTTTAGCAGCTTTGAAATTGCATTTGTTTGTTTTGTTTTTATAAATAATTTGAATAATAATAATAAATGCCAGAGTTACTGATAGTTATATCTTATACCTATGTTATTACTTATTATTTATTGATATGTAATGTTTTTATAGCCCTGAATACTTTATTTTCGATTATTTTATTTAAAAAAAATGACAAATACAAAATTGTTTTTATTTCAAGTAAAAAAAATTAAGTTTAGGATTGAGTACCCATGCATAAATTTCAATTTTCTTTGATACTTTCAATGCTGTTATCTGTCCACTTAAGTCCAAATTTTTTTTTTAAAATTTAACTTTTATATTAGGACACACACACGCACATAGACAAACGCCAGTGCTGGGAATAGGGGCGCATGATGGGTATCATGCCCTCCTACACTTAGAAATTCAAACTATTGAGTTGGTAATTCAATGGTAATTTAATTTCAAAGTCAACAAAATAAATTATTTATTTATTTTTGGTATGTTGCGTGATAATTTTTATATTATTATCGTACAGTGTATCATTTATCGAAGGATAGATTAATAGGTCAAAATATTTTTAGAAGTTACCAAATTTGGTATTTGAATTTGGAAGATTTTAATTAAACGCTCCTCCTTCGATTTTTTTAGCACCATTTGTTAGGCTCTGAAAAACACTTCCTTATTATTATTATATTATTAGATTCATGACTTTGTGTATTTTTTTTGTATTAAATCATCATAAATTACATAATGAAAAAAATATAATATGCATAGAGTTTACATGATTATCTATCTCTTTAAGCTATTATTTGTGTTGCATTGATAACAAATACAAATGAAAAAAAGCAGTTAAATTGTATAATTTAAAAATATAAGTAGGTACCTGCTTAAGTGAATAATAATAATTTAGCTTATTGAATTTTAATTCTCGTGTTAGATTCATTTTATTTATCGTCATATTTTTAAATGCATTTCGGTATTAACATTTACAAATTAAATTATTGTTGTGATATACCAAACCTATACACTTAAATAATGTTTATGAAAACGTATGTATTTAAAATATATCGTTAAAAGCAATCACATATTTATTAAATTTTTTTACATATAAATCTCTTGGTTTATGTGAGTTATATTTTCAGAAATTAAATAAAATGTTCAAATAATAATGGTTAATATATTATAATATACGTATTATGCAAAAAGAACATTTTATCCTATAATATTTTGTTGTTCGGTATGGAGAGAAATTGTCAGTTTGCAAAATGTTCTATAATGCTGCTTAGAGTTGTTTAAATTTATTTGGGCTATTCATATTTTATGGATCGTTAAATGTTTGCTGTATATGTATAAAAAAAAAAAAAAAAAAATAGAATGAGAGTGGGCGAGAGAGAAACAACATATATAATTCACATATAAGAAGAAAGCAGTCGCGAATATTTTTTTTTTCGTGAATTCTCCATGTAGAACCTGTTCCTTTGTCTCGTGGAAAAAATCTCGAATTCAAGACAATACGAATGGCAAACGAAAAGGAAAAATATACGTGGCTGTACACCGATCAGTGGTTTTCAACAGTTGATCTCGTGTTTCGCTATACAGTATGAAAATTATTGTAAACTTGTGTTATAATACACTGTATAGAACTCTACAGAGTGATTATAATATATGGTTTGTGGTTAAAATTAAAATATGATTAACTATAAGAGTATACAGATAAAACAAATTGCGTATAATAAACACTTTAAATTTGTAAATAAATACCATACAATTTTGATTTTAGACAGTAATATTTTTAAGCTTAGGGAATTGCAGTTGGTTTTCTAAATTTCCTCTCATTTTGTAAAATTTGTAAATTATGTTTTACTTTTTAATGACCACTATAATCATAAGACTTTTCGATTAATCTAATGCTCGATACCAATTTTAGAGGAATGGGTATGGTCGATTTTCGTTATTTATTAACGTAAAATAGCTCTACGCCTAACAAAAATGTTGGTATCTACAGTTGGTCTATTTTAATAATGAAAATATGTTTGATTTCATAAACAAGTTAACTTCGCATAGGTTTTTAAAATTGAACTAAAGGAAGTACCCCAATTTTTTTCAAGCGTTTAGGTTTTTTACGACAATTACATGGTGAGTAGGTATTTGTATAGCAGTGGCGTGCCGTCAGGACATGTTAGATAAGCGGTGCATGCCTCGTCAAAAATTCTTTTATGAGTATTCAATTTAAAATAATTTATCAGTTTTCTTCGAATGAAATTACATTTTGTTTTTAGAATAGGTAATTTTTTTTACAGAAGTGCTCGTATTTTAGATTATCTGGCCCATATCGTTTTATATAGGAAGCAGTTAACCACGTTTTTATACGGCGATATTTTAGATTCTTAGTGGAGCGAATAAGCTTATAGTTTTACAAAGATGTTTTTTTTTTTATCTCTATGCTACTTTTCTTTTAGAAGATTTTTTCGGATTTTTACGTGTAGCAATTTTCTGAAAGGAAATCGGCGTGGAGAGGTACATTAAGGTAGTCATTTTTTGACTGTCCTAATAGTTTTTTCAGAAAATGTGAAAAATCAGGATAAAACATAGGAAACACGTAGGAAAACAGGGAAAATCGGTAAAACATTAAACAAATTTTATTAAAGTTTTATATAAAGCCTATTTGATTAATTTACTTTAAAATGACATATATATTGTTGAAAAATTATCACTTTCAACTGAACTTCAATGAAAATCATTTTTTTGTAAGCAATAGTTTATCGTTGCTTATAGATATACATTAAATCCCCGTCTATATCTTACTTTCCCAATTTCCCACCTACACCAGTAGTTGCACCCATCTTTATTATTTTACCTTTTTAAAAACGTATTTCAAATATTTTTCCGTTGCATATCGAATTATTATCATTATCAATAAGTACACTTTTATATTATACGGGTACATTAGCTATACAAGTAGGTTACCTATTAATATGATTTTGCCATCAGTCACCAACGTGCTAACAATCTGTAAAACTACAGTCTATAATACAATTGAAATTTATATCAATAAAATGGTTTTTTTTTTTTTAAGATTTAGTTTGAATTTTTATTTTAGCGCTTAACTAATATGAAATATCACGGCACGCCACTGTCACATAGATTTATTTTAAATAGGTATAAATAGGTAAACGAATAAGTTTGTATTATTTACATAGGTACAAAATATTATTTATTTTTTAAATTATAATATTTTATCCTCTGATATATTTTTTTTAAATTTCACAGTATAATTATATATTTTTTTAACGAATTATGTTTATGTTAAAAGGTATGCACTTAAATTGAAGGGCTTTGTGTAATAATAACCAGACTGATCTATTTTTCAAACTTTTTCAGAAAATAAAAAATAACGTTTTGGAAATGTTTGGTTCATAGTCAAATTAAGTTAAAAATTAATTTAGTTACATTATACCAGAATAAAAAAAAAAAATTTCAGTTTGACTTAATTTAATTTAATTGTTTTAAAAAGCTATTACGTTTGGAGTTATCTTTAAAATCGTTTTTTTATAAACGTTTTATTAAAAATTCGATGGAGTTGTCTGGTTTTGTCAAGAAATATTCTAGAATCTTGTTATCCCGTTACCACTTTAATATGAATAGTCAGATTTGTCTCGTTGTTGCACAGAAAATATGAGAATAATTTTCTCTATTATAAATAATCAAATCATGAAGTTCTTTAAATAGCAGAGCTTCCTGGTTATTGTACAAAACGACGAAACCCTTCAATTTCGTATATTTGGTTTTATGGGTTTTAGAAAATCGATTCTTAACCAAGTAATATTTTAAACATGTTAGCATCACCCATAATTAAATACTCACTACGTCATAATAAGTAAAGTTTATACTAATTCTTTATCAAAATAATATCGCCATCATTTGTTTAATTTTTTTTATGTACAATTATAGATTATCGGGCCATTTTTTATACATTTTATTACATAATAACCATTTTATTTACTATAATTATATTGACGTGTCATACAATTTGTTGCTATATAATATTGCAAATATAAATTAATGAGAAAATATGAATAAATTACTTGGTAAGATACATATATATGTTTATAATCATATTGATTATTTACATTTTACGCGAATAGTATAGTTATTAATATTAAATTAAGTCTAGTATATTTTATAGTAGGTTCATGTATAAATACGTTTAAATTTTACGTAGGTACCTATACATATTATCTAAAATAAACTAAAAAGAAACCAATTACTGTTCTGCTACCTATGCAATTATTTTAAATTGTTTTTTAAATGTAATATTTAAGTTTTAAATTTTAAAATAAAAGAACTCCTGCAGTAGATGTAATTTCTAGTAAAACAATAAATATATAATATGTAATATTTATAGGTGTTATCTACTATCTCAGTTTAACCAACGGTAATTAAAGCAAAATTAAATTACTGAGAACGTAAATTGTGGCGTTTTGGTTGAAATTAGAGTTCAAACACAAATAACCAAATTTAATGAAGAGAATATTTTCAAAGATTGTAGTTATTTTATAAAAAATGATTGTAACAAAAAACTTATAGCCATGTTAGTTTTTTGTTTTTTTTTTAATAGCTCTTACTTATTTTTATAAAAATGTTTTAAAAAATAACTATGCACAGTCTTCAAAAATATGTAATGTAATTTTGTTATGTTATCCGTTAGACTGAGACAGTAGATGCGAATGTGGCGTCTTCTTAATATGTATATTTCTGAAATAATATTCGCCAATGTTTGAGTGTTAAGATTTTAAATTATAGAATATATTTTTCGTAGTAACAAATAGTTAAAAAAGAGAGTTTCGCTAAATAAATATTTTGTTACCAAATATGTATATCTAATATACCTAGGTTAAAATAATAGATAAAATACCAGCACAGATATAGGGTTGGTATGTATCTGCATGATACTATAAACGCCACTCTATAATCTTATGTTGAAAAGACATTGATTATAATATATCCATTTTACCACTCAGAACCTATATGAATATAGTTATAGTTTTGTATAATCCAAAAATTATACGGCTTGAACAATTGGTTATTTAATTTGGCATCCAAACACTGACTCTTAGTAGGTACGCGGATGCTGTGCAACTAACAAACGTTCTATAACAATAATAATTATTACATAGGCGTCCTTGAGTACTATACATCTATTAAATTATACACGATTCGATAGTTTTTTTTTTTATCTCTATTTCTTTCTTTCTTTATACTTTTAAAGGTCTTCGACTTCAGACCAATAAATCCTGAACCGGATATATTTTTTGTCATCCAATGTCGTTTTTTTTTTTTTTGCTCGATCGAACGTTAATTAATGGAAACCAAAATTCATCGAGATGTCTATCTGGGAAATTTAAACAATCAGGAATATAACAGTTACAACGAGTAGATCTATTGGATACATAAATTTATTATAAAATCTACAATTTTCACTATATTATATTTTATTTTATTGCATGGTCACGTAGATCTATGATGTAAGGGTCTATATATATATATATTCATTTTTATTTTGTTACTATAAGTACATATTTCTAAATTGAAATTTTTCAACCAAACGATATGCTGCATGAAAATTTGATTGCAATTTTTTGGAATTTGTACAATTACTTTATAGAAAAAGAAAAACTAAGTGTATGTATATCGTGTATGTATCTTTTCCAATTTAGGCGGAAAAATGAAACGTAAAATATTTTTCCCTTTTTGTGCAATTGTTTGTAAAAAGAGTTCTGAAAGAAAAAAAAAATAACTAATTTATATTTCATCTTAAACCTATTTCTTGATGTTTAAAATAGTTGATGATATCGTTGTTTTTTTTTTTTAGTTTAGATTTGAGGGTTTAGGGTAGGTTTTTACAACTTTTACTTATATTATACGTTTAAATATAAGTTATATGCACCGGTGGTTTTTGGTCGATTTTGGTTTTGGTTTTAATTATATAAGAAATAAGAATATAATATGTTCACTGAATACTTATAGGCATTAGCATTCCTTTCAAATTCAAATTAAAAAATAATTTGTATACTATATTGACTTAATGCTAGTTAGTTATAGGTTAGCAAAACGATTAGAGGACCAAACTTTAAACCTAATTTAACTAGGTTAGGCTAACCTTAATAAACTTAATATGATTATTTCCTACCCAAAAAATGGTTAAAATATAGTTCGAAATTACGTTTTATTTTACTTCAATCTACACTAAACACCAGCCATAATAATTATAACTTACTATATATCATATAATTTTGTTAAATAAATTACTTCATGTGTAGTATTTAGGTACACTTATTTATATTTTTATATACTAAATTAGGTTAAGTTACTCAAGTATTTATAGGTATAGGTACTCGTACATGAGAACATATAAATATCGTAAATATAATATTTGTTAGTTTATCTATGTAAAGTTATACTATACCTACCAATTTTCATTTGTTTGTGAGCAAAAATATCATACAATTTTCATCAAAATATAAGAATGGATATTAAAATTGGTTTTTTAATAAATAGATAAATACGATTTGTGCGGTTATTGGTTAGATTAGGTTCGGTTAGTTTAGGGTAAGCTCGAGTTATTTACAGCGATTAGGCGATTGAGAAATAGTGCACCCATATCAGAAAGAGGCCGAAATTATTACAGAAATATTCGCGGAAAGTACTTGCACGACGTATAATATTATAGCTGTATCTTTGTACCTATTTCATGAATTTTTGCACGGGCGAATTTCATAAAAATTCAATTGGATAACAAAATTATATTTATCACGGGTAGGCTATTTGTTGTAGGTGAGTAGTTAGGAAGGTAGATTTATTTATTTTATATACTGTATGCAACGATAAATCATTAGAAATAAAAAAAAGACTTATAGAGGGTAAATTTATTAAAATTTAGATAAATGTTATAAATAAAATATTCCCAAACAAAAAAACTGTATTTTTTGAGATGCTGAGTGAAAAAAGTCGGAATATTTGCCTAACTAAAAGAGTTTTAAACAAAAACAGAAAACATTTAAAGAAACTGTTTGGAAAAAAAATTGGAAATTTCGAAATATTGTTCAAATAAAGTTCCTTAAAGCGAAAATTTTGCTTTTCTTAGGTATGATATAAATCAATCATAGAATTTTTACTAACTGTAAAAAGTGTTTTGGGAGAAACAAAATCTTTGTAAAACTAATAGCTTCGTCGTTATATTCAGAATTTAAAAATAGGAATTTATATTCCTCTCTATTGGCAAAACTTTATTTTCAGTTTGAGATAAATGTGTGTTACAAAAGAAGGGAGTTAGTACAAGCTGTTCGGAATGTTGTCCATATTCGAAACAATATAACCAGTATTCTATAATGTATACGTTGTATGATACCATATATTATCTTGTACATCTATATGTTCGTATAAGATACTATAGTTATAGAATACAAATAAAATATTTTAAATATGTTTTAAAAAATATGCTAAATTTCTGTATATGTTACTATTTATAATAACGTATGTGTAGACAAAAGAAAAGTTCTAAAATTTGTTGAAATTATAGGTGATTATAATATAGTGATTAATATAATCAATTGATATACAATTATTAAGTATAAGTACTTACAACCATTGATGTTAAAATATTATATTATTTATTTTAGATTCTGATTAGTGATTAAGCTTTATTAGTTTTACTAATATCTGGCTTTACCCCACAAAAATATTTAATTGGTTAGTAAAAAAGTTCCGATTTGTTATGATGTATCTTAAAGGAGACGGATTCTTCACTTTCATTAGAAGAAAAAATTTAGATTCCTTAAAGTTTTGCTAACAAATTATGTCTTATTGCTTCCAAACTTCCCTCCTTTAATAATGGTTTATAATGCATGGTGTGAATTATGTCTGATTGTTTTATATTTACTTTAGTGGATTTCGGGGTTTAAGTAAAAAGTATAATTAGGTATTTGATAAATTGATTTTTTTTTTTTTTTAGGGAGGAAGGGGTTATTTTAAAGTTATTACTAAGTTAAAATAACGAACAATAATATATGTTTCTATTTTATTATTGTGTAACTTTTAAACTATTTAATAGAGAATGTTTATTTTATACATGTACAGTTGTACAACCAATATAAACCTAATCTATACATATTATATACATGAATTATGACCAATTAGTAGTTTTTAATATAAGGTCGTGTCATATTTATTTTTATAATTTGTGAATTTTACACTTTAAAATAATGCTTATTAATAATTTTGTATAACATTTTATACAACGCCTTGTATTAAAACTAGTATAATTCAGTGCTTGAAAAGTTCTTTTCAAAAAGGACTTAGTTCACATTCCAGGCCCATTTCACGATTGAAGAAAGGGACTAGTTCCTTTTCTCGTTTTTAACAAAGAAACATTTTTGTATTTTTTTGTTATTCAATTTTAATATAATATTGATTCCGTAATGCCTAATTTGCGGGTATCCTTCACTTGGGTCACACATAAAAAAATCATATATTATTAATAAATGTTAAAAAAAAAATGTTTAGGGTTATTACAATTATTAAAATTAGGTGTGCAAATTGTTCATGTTCCTTCAATAAATTACGAAATTCCAATACGTTCCTTCACAGATCTGTTCTCGATAAATTCCTGAAAAATAAATGAAATCAAAAGAGTGATTTCTATTGAATTCGTTCGTTCCAAGCTCTGATTAAGCCGAATCCATTTAGAAATCATTTGTGTGAACGGATTGATCTGTAATTTAGTTTTAAAAGTTATAATTTGAATTAATCACTGTGCTATAGTTGTTACTGCATTATTTCTGTAGGCTTTTTATCTAAAGTAAATCTACCATATAAAGTAATAATATTATATAACAATTATTTTAGTATATATTTTATTATATATGCATCGATAAGTATTGACTTATCAATACCTTATACAATTGTAATTTGTAAAATTGAAATTGTTTTATTTATTAACTGTACAGTATAAAATACAAACGCACATTCATAATAAATGTATTATTTTTATTATAGAGGAGATAATAACATCTAAGCACTGGATGACTACTCAAAAATTACTGACGGGATACAATAATGACTATAGTATGAACTAAATCGCCGTATATCGGTTTTCATCCTATACTTGCTAGTTAGTCAATAAAATCTGCTCTAATAGTAAATTCTGATTAATTATTTAACAATTTGATTTATAAGACATTTTTTTTTTAGATTTGAAGTGTTTATACAAAAAATACGGGTTAAGATTTTTCGAAATGTTTAAGTATGGATATGGTATATATTAATTACACACATAAACATATTATTCCGTTTAGTTTCTAAGTGAAACACTAGTATATTGCGTAATATTAAAATTTAAAAAAAAAAATCTTTGTAATTCGCTTGAAAATTAAAATATCGAGAAAAAATCGATGTACAGACACATATATAGTATTCTTAGCTTTATGCTCGATAATAAGCCAATCTATTCTATTAAATATCTATTAAAATCAACAGCAAAAAACTTGATTTAATGAACGAACATTTGAAATTATCTAATTTAAAATTAGATAATTTGTTAAAGCCATATAACATAATGTGTATTATGACGTCGCGTCCTTAATTATAGTTATATTACAATTAATACGGTTTTAATACTTTCGTTTTAAACTATCTAAACGAGGAGAGTATTCCAGGTTTTACAATGATTATTTTTTTATACTATGTACAAAATTTCTACCAGATATCTTTTTTCAATTTTCTAGTCTAATACCTTTTCTGAAAGGAAATTTGATCTATGCGATGCTTTATAGAGGTTATTTTTTTGATTTTTCAAGCGGTTTTCATAATAATTGAGAAAAATCGGTAAAAACGGGAAATTTACGGATTTTATTATTTTCAATCTTGTTTTATTGTTGTAATTCAGTTTAAAATATTTGTAGAGACTTAACATTTATAAAGAAAACTTATATTTGCCTTTTTTAATTGTGGTAAAATTTTCAAAACATTTGTGTTATTTTTGAGCTATTTATAGATATTTTAATTTTGTAAGCTTTTTACGTAATTTTTAGTTGATAGTCTGTTAATAAAATAGTTAGATTTGATAGAAATGCATGGAAATTTAACATGAGGTTCATTATAAGTCGTATTTTGTGGTGAAAACAAAAAAAAAAAAAAAAAAAAAATAGTGTATAATATAGAATTTTTTTTTTAAAAGAATCAAAAAGATCAAATTTCGACGGAAATCGTAAATATTACGGCCTTTCAATACATGTATAATCGAACTCCGATCAGAATAGTTTTTCGTCAGCAATGATTAATCGTCAGGTACAGATATACATTAAATTCCCATATATGTCCTATCTCTCCAACTTCTCACCTATACAACAGTAGCCCATCAATCGTGCGAAACACGTATCCGTCTTTTTTATATAGTGCATTTGGAAAACGGTTAACCGCGCAATCGATCAAGTCACCTGGTCATCGCGTAATATTTATGCAGTTATTAATTACACCTATAGCCATGTATAGGTACCCATTTTATAGTGCAATACAATAATAATAATCACTCGGTAGCATTTCGGTTTTTTTTTGTTAAATTTTATATGGACGAAAATAACACGTCCCCGCGCACTAATATTACAGGCACCTATACACGATATTAATATTATAAGTATGTATATTCAGGTGCACGCCGATCCAGAGTGAGTGACGCGTATACGTACGGTGCGTAATTTTTTAAACCGTTCGCCCAGAGGGTGAACGTAATAATAAAGCATATCTAAATATTATTATTCCGTCGGGTATCCCGCCGACCGACGACGCGTCGTGGTTCGGATGAGGCTGGTGTAGGTATTATACGCGTGGTGCTTTTTGTGGCTCAAGGTCGTCGTCGTTACACTACAATATATAGTATGGGTATTATAGGTACCTACCTGTAATATTATTATGTTGCTGCGGTGTATGCGCGCGCGCGTACCTACGGGTACTGCAGACATTCTCTAAAGTCTTCTAAACATCTTTGAGCCTGTCGATTAAGTCGCCGGCCGACGACGAAAAAACAATACCCGCATCATAAATGTATTATAATAAATAAACGGCTGCGTCGGCGACTAAAGGTACGCGGAATAAAAAGCCGGAACGCCGATTTTGCATTTCTCCCGGAGAACAATTTTATTTGAAAAATAAAAAGAGTTAACCGAATAATTCATAATTATTTAAATCGTTAAAACGACGCATCGTCAGTGCAGCCAAGTTAACCAATATCGAATTATATAGACTTGACGCTTAAATTCAGGATTTTAAAATTCATCCGTTAGGATGGTGATATTTTGTATTGCTATTTTAATAGCAAAAAAAATAGCAAATAGCGTTCTGCGTTCTCGGAATTCCGTTATTATATAGTGTTAGCATTTTGTTTATAGAATACTATTCCTTATCCAGAATAGTGAACTATATTATTTTTCTAACTCATTTATAACTAATATAGGTATCTATGTTAGCCGTTCACCGCAGAAGTGTATAAAGAATTTTCTTGTGAAGGGGTCGCGTGGGTAGATATGTAGTATGCAATTTTTTTAGAAGGGCCAAATTTGTCAAATTGATAACTTTGTCTATTATTATCTCTATGTAGCAGTAACAAGACGACATTGCTTATCCATTAGGTCTATGAAGTTAATAGACAATTGTCTGTATGAAACTATGAGCAAATTTTGTTGTTACCGTTACCGTCCTCGCTACAAATACAAATTTCAAAAATAGTTTGAAATAAATTAAATACATTTTTGTGACTTATGCACAATTATAACGCACGTTTAATTCTTTTATACATTATTCCTAAGGAATGATTTTATTTTTGTTTGAAGTTGAGAATAATCACTCATCAGGAGTTCAGCAATCATTGGCTGATCTAGAGGGGGATCCAGAAACCTCGGCCCTCCCAGACTATAGAATGTACAAAGGGTTTTACTTCCACAAATAATTAATATTTAATACAAGATTTTCATAGAAGAAAATCGAAGCGGAATGATGGGTGTGTTGATTGTATTTTATGATGTATTTTTATTTTTTTATTTTGTTTTTGCCAGAAATCTTACTTCAATAAAAAAAAAAGTTAGCAACGGTTTATCGGTGCTTATAGATATACATTAAATAGCCCCCCCTTCCAAAATTCAACTCTGAATCTTTGCATATATTCTCATGTGCCTGTAAAGTTCCGTGTCGAAAATAATATGCAGTATTCTGTAACGAATTTCGATTTTCGCGTATTTAGTAAGACTGCAGTCTTTAAGTGTTTATTGAAAATAATATTCTAAACCGTTTGATTCGAGTGCAAGCATTTTGGTACGGAGAAATAGAAAATCGGTACGCCGTAAATAATATACACTACTGCACCGGTCAGGATCGACGGTCGATCACTGGCGGCGGCGGTTGCACGTTGTTTGGGAATCACTGGAACGTCCGCGCGTAATAAAAATAGAACCTAACCGGAGCAACTGGCCGGCCGCCGCAGTCGTGCAGTCGGCCGTCGTCTCGGGAGCCCGTGACGCGGCGTCAGCGTCGTCGGATGCTGAACACCGCCACCGCGCCGCCGCCGTCGCCTGATCGGGTACACGTATAATGTCCGCGCTCCGGTTGCACGGGGTGTCCGTCGTCCGGCCCGCAGAGAAAACTGGTTTGACCGGCTAAACGTCACCGCCGCCGCCGCCCTCGACGGTCGCCCGGGTCTACGGCCGTCGTCGTCGTTGTCGCCGCCGCCGGAGATTTTACAATATTTTTCGGATTACGCCGCCGCTCGTTTTTTTTTTTTTCCACTTTGTTTTATTATTTATACATACGCGGGCGCGCGCACAATAATATATTTAACCACTGCGGTCACATACGATTCTTTATTGCGTACACATAATAATATATTGTATAGGTATCAACCTAATAAGAGAAGAAAAATTGGTCGGTCGGACGGACGCGAGCGTGCACCAAAACGAAAAAAATACACCGTGCTTCGTTTAACGTCATCGCGTCGAAACCAAACGCCCGTAATAAAAGTACACGGTCAGAAAAAAAAAACAGCGTGTAGTGACCAGAAATATTCAAACGGGAGGGCGTTTAGGCGGAAAATAACAAAACCGCGAATAAATCGTAAAATATCTTCTCAACTTCTATACTCAACTAGATATTGGGAAATTATAATAGCTGCCTCCAAAAAAAGCCAACCCTTAATAAATCAAGCTTTTTCTTGCGACTTGGTTGCAGTATATGATTTTTCAGATTTAATTCCCCTAATAAATACTCACAGTGTTTTTAAGTCAAGTTAGGATGAGATAACCCCTAACCTTCTCACTTCATGGATGTCCCCCGAGGTTAATAAGAAAATCAAAAAGCCCCCAAAAATGGCAACTTATAGGGAATAAACTGCTGAAAATATTTATGCATGTATCGAATAATGTATTGCCGGACAACAATTTTGTATCTTTTGAAGAAACACGTGAACAAATCGGAACATTATCAAGTGTTTTCACGAAAAAAAAAAAAATAAAAAGAGATGTATCCGAAAAGGAATATTGAACATGACATGAAAATCGGAGTATTATTATTAACCATAAAAGTATCTTCTGGAAAAAAAAAACATCTCTTTGTAATATAAGCCCATTCGAGATCTTATTTTTCTTCTTCTTCTCCTTTGCTTTCATCCCAACTATTGGGGGTCGGCTACCTTTATCCTAAACTTATACTTGACCCGATCCCCCAAATTGTACTCGCATACAATCCCCGTCCTCGTAGATCACATCTAACTATCTCTTTTTCGGTCTTCCTCCTTCGTCTATTTTCATTATAATTCTACAGCTTCTGATTCTTTTCTGCTTATGACATGCCTAAACCACCCCAGTCCATTTTTTCTCAATTTGTCCACTAGCGAAGCCACATTTAAACTACCTTTTATGTACTCGTTCCTTATCCTATTTTCTCTCGTCACTCCACTAATCCACCCAAGCATTCTCATCTCTGCTACACTTATTCTCTTTTCTATTTGTTTGTCTATAAATCCATTCGAAATATTCGTTTATGCATACAGACGAACCGGATTTGTTCACGTCGATAAATGAATCACACTGTATACACGATCTATAGGTACGTGGGGACCGCCGTCGCCGTCGTCGTTTGGTACGCTCACACGCACTTACCACGTTTATTATAATACTCCTACAAAAACCATCATATTATAGTAATAATAATAACTTACGGATTATGCGTGCTCCGTAAGCACTCAATGAGCATACCGCCTTATTTAATGGCCAATTTTAGCAGCGGATATGAAATGATCTTCCCGAGATCATAAAAAAGATTATTATTATTTTTATTTTTTGTCATACACAATTTCCAATACAGGTATACCTATATACCTATACGGTTATACCTACAAGAATAAATCGTCCTACCTATATTTTTATGCGATGGCCGATCAACGATGATGATGGAGGAATTGGGATTTATTTGTTAGAAACTTAAAAAAATATAATTATTACGGTTTATCTATCGTAATACTCTTGTACTACATATGAATACGACCTCGTTGAATCGATCGATTTATGAATTTAAACCTAACCTAATGACTATATATTTTGATCCCAGGGAAAAAGAGCTTTTGTAGTCAATTTTGTATAGTTAAAAAACATTAATCATAGTAAAACTAATAGAACAAAGTGCTGATATCGCTGATAGGTACTACTATTATAGGTGGGAAGTTGGAAAGATAGGACACATAAATTTATTTAATTTATATCGGTAAATAATGATAAAATATTGCTAAAGAAAAATAATTCCGAGCGAAGTGCGTTTATATATGATTTAAAAAATCATTATTTCGTAATATTTGTAATTTTTTGAATAACGGGGTAAAAACATCGAAAATGATATTAAAACGAACAAATTTACAAAATTTAATTTTCGATAAATAAAAATTGAAATTTTGTTTTTTCTTTCTTTAATTCAGAAAGTTAGGTAAGTTAGCTAAAATTTATATTAGCGTTGTCACAATTTGTGTTGTTAAATATGTTCGAAATTTTAATGTCGGTAATTATAATCGTAAAAACAAAAAAGTCGTAATCATTTGGTGCCAACTTTCTTTAATTTGTTGTTGTATATAAATTTATTAATAAATTTAACATTTATTATACTATATTTTAATTGTTTTAAAAATCAACTCATTTTACATAATTTACAATTTTAGTACTTGAAAAAATGTAAATTAAACAGTTTACATACGCGTCATAGTAAAAATTCAGAAGCGTAGCTCCGTACGGGTAACCGAGGCAGTTACATTGGGGTGTACATTTTTTTGGGAAGTCTATATGTCTATTGTACAAAACAGTTACTATACAAAGAATTTCATATTTTCATAAATGTGTTAATCATTTACAAAAAAAAAAAAAATAAATAAATAAATAAGACTTAATTATTCTTTCAAAAACACATTCACAGTGCTGATTTGGTGACAAAGAGTATAATTTCTATTTTTCATTAGGTATAGGGGCTAACAAATATTTTGTCTCAGGGTGCTTTAATATATACGGCACTGTATCAATAGGTGAAATATTACTTATTACCTTATTGAGGAATTCATACGAGTATTATCAGCACAATTAATAAAATTCTAAAAAAAAATATATTATACAATAGGTAATCAGAGTGTTTTTTGTACAATGGTATGCATTTAAATATTTAATACAAATCTATAAAAGTGAACAGTTAAATAAATGAATTTGTATTTCTTAAAAAGTTGGTTAAGAACTTTTAAACGTAGGTATTAAACGGTGTAATATTATAATCCGAGTATATTTAATATTATATTATTGGTAAATCCGTAGAAATATATTTTAAAAAAAGAATGGCTTTTAATAGTCTTGTGTTAGTAAACCAAGGACGGTATAAAGCAAAGACTTCAAATTACGGAGGCCGAATAAACTGGTCTGGGGTTAAAATTTAGATAAATTGGATAATTGGGTTATCGGTGTATTAATAGCGTACCTATATAACCGGTTTGAGTTTTTGTAAGTTAGGAGATTTATATTAGTAAAAAAAAAATAATACTATATGGTTAATACATTTTTTTTTTTGAAATATTTCAATACAATACTGTATACATCGATTTATAATTACATATTTACAAACCAATTATTTAATGGACTTTAAGATAAATTAATATTTTTAAAATAATGATAATTCTACTAATTAAGATGACGCTATGTCCGCGTGTATCGTCTCCGTCTTATAAACGTACGACATTCTGGCAAATTTGTGTTTACGCGGGATATCTTTGTCTTGTTAGTTTTTATATATTGAGTGAATTATTAGAAAGTTTATGAAATTTTAAGATAAGAACGTTATCTGTGCAACTTTGGTGATGTTTTTTGATATTTTAATTTTCATGTGAGATAAAAGCATTATAAAATTGTGATATTTCACATATTCATATCTCTATTAATAATTAAAATATTATAAAAAAAAAACGTTTCACAGATAATGTTCTTATCTTTTAATTTATAACTAGGTCACTCTAATATTAAAACTAACAGCACAAAGCTGCCCCACGTGAACACAAATTTGCTAAGATGGAGACAGCACATGCGGATACAAATATCTCCCGTGATTGGGATAGAATTAATAATATACAATATTAATATTGGGCAGATGGGTATATTCATAAAAAATGTGAATATTTTATTGGTAAACAAATGTCTACATAAGTAATATTATTAAATATTAATATTATTAAAATTCAAATTAGTTTTTAGAAGTCTGTAATATACCTTCCTATTTACTAATTCGAAAACAATATTATTACTCTATTGATTGTAGGTTAGGTTATTGAAATAAAAAATAGAAATCTCGTTTAAAATATTTTGTATATTTGATAGCATCGCCAACACTAATAATTTTTAGTGGATACGAATCGGGTATAATTCTTCTAGTTTACATAATATTATTACATTATACTATTATATTGCATCGTTTTTACTGAATATGTTTAAATGTATACGTCGTTTACGTATTATTTTGTATTTATTTGCATACGTTTCCCGAAAAGAGTGAAAAAGATCTGTTGTTTTGTAATGCCTTTTTCGGGTCAGTAAAAATATTTCAAAAGTTTGTAGATATATATTTTGACATTAAAAATAACATTTAATATTTTAAATAGAGAATTTTTTTTTGAAATTTTTAGTTTGATACATAGAATTATTTTTGAATGCAGTTGATTTAAACACAATAGCAATGTGTCTTATTTTTCCACCATTACGTCTATAACCCGCATCCATGATGGTAAAGTATGTCGGCTTTTAAATTAAAATACATTATAATAGTATATAAATCTTATATAAACATTAATATTCGAGCATTTGGGCCTGAGTTTTTTGCACTTAATATTTTATGTTTTAAATTAATATGTTATACAAGATAAAATTGTATATGAAAGTTATGAAAATCTAAAATTATGAATAGAAATGGTTGTGTATTAATCGATTTTATATTTTATTCACATCATCGGTTTTTGATATATTTTCATATAGGTACTTAAAAAAATATTTAAATTTAAAAATTTTGTTCAAGATTTTACTTATTTACTCTAACATGTTAGTATAAAAGCAAGTGTAAAAATATTTATCAATATAGTAAATAAAACTACCTACTATAAACACAAATGTTTAAATTTTATATTGATATCCATTTTGAGGGGAGTGGGGTCTTCAAACTTCCTTCATACAGAGGTTGTAAAATCACAATAATAAATTAGTTCAATATTTCGACACTGAAATTCTGACAATTCAGAATCCCGATAGTTATAAAGATGTCATTTACGTAATATTTAAGGGGTTGTGTATAGGCTATTTAAACGAATTTTTTTTTTCATATGACATATTTTATTTATAAATAATTATGAGAATAATTTATCAACCAGAATCCTGACTTCTGTGTACGCAGATCCTTACACTAGTAGTGGGCACAACCGAATAGTTATTTAAATTATCGAAAACTATTGATAACATAAACTATTTAGAAGTGTCCATCACTAAACTGCACTAATTGTGTACATAATGTATTTTTAGCTAATTTTTGTATCTCTTTGTCCGTTTAATATAGAAACTACCGAAACAGTGACTTAAATCTTAATAACATAATTTGTACGTTTCGTATTATTTTGTGTTAGGTTAGTGTGTTTACGTAGGTAAATAATGTATTTTATTCCATCCATAGTTTTTATATTTTCATAGATTTCATCTAGGCACTTAGCTGTTGTTGTATAGTAGTTTTTAATTTCATTTTTCATAGTATATTGAACAATCTTGAAGCTATTATAATATGTAGTAATAAATTAAAAAAATAAATATATACATATATTTTTTTTGTTTCAAACACCAGGACAAAAATAATATAATATGTAAATTAACTTTATGCCGTTAATTTATGAAATCGTTTTTGTTGTAAATTTGATAGGTAAATAGGTAGTTTATTAAACGTACAAACTTTGTGTTGGCGTATGTTTTTAGAGTGAAATTATTGTAATGATTATTACTTTAAAAATAGGTAGGTATCTATTCGTATCTATTCGATATATTTAAGGACGAACGGTTTTAATTTCGAATATTTACTGATATTACTGGATAATGTTACTACGTAATAATTATTTTTTCCTTAATAAACATATTTATACTATCATTGAGTATCTTTTCCTAAAATTCTAAGATCGCTAAGATGCATATTATATTTAAATAATATTTATAATGTTTTTCTATGTAAGTGAATATAAGACTTTTGTTATAATTTTTTGTAAAGTAGATTTATTTTTCTAGTTCGATGTTAATTATATATATAACTATTTTATTTAAATTTTAAATTATTAATTTACGTCCAGAATATACTAAATATTCAATATTATAGAAGTATAGCCAATGTTAGAAATTGTATATTTATTAATATTATTATAATGAATTTTCAATAATTTACAATTCAAGAGAAACAAAATACAATACCCCCGTACATTTAATAATAGAATTTTAGAGATATTATCTCTAGTGTTGGATACATTTGAATACGAAAATATGTTATTAATCATTTTTACCGTTTGATAGAAAATGGAAATTGTTAAATTATTATGCGTACGGTATATCTGTACTGTAATGAGGTATATGAATACATTGATCGTTGATAGTTTTGGTAAATAAGAACATATTTTTACCTATCAAATGTTAGAGAGAACCTTATTTAGTGGCAATAAGGTTGAATAAATTTGAAAAAAAAAACAAATCTATTTACGGAGATAGATATTATATACGACGTTAGGGAATCCATTATACGTCATAATTTAACTTTAATCCGTTGTTGACTGTTGGTCATCAATATTAATATGGACTATAATGGTCCTCTTTAGTATCTTGCACCATATCCGTATAGTTTTTGAAAAATAAACTTTCTAAATATCAAAATTTTGTGAAGCGGTATTTATCCCGAAATCTCGCTACAATAAACTTATTTATATAAATTGGTGACATAGTTGATAATACAGGTACCAATAGATATGAATGAATTTAAAAGTTCATTGACGTCTTCCTGCATAAAACCAGATTTTATCTTAAAATGAATATCAAATTTTTACCATAGGATCCAGACATTGTTTGTTATTATTATATATTATGGCTTATCGTATAAAGAGAAACTGTTGGTCGATGTTAATGAGAATGAACACGAAGTAAAAAACTGCTATGCTAACAAAAATTATGTAACGCGTATAATTTTAACGAAGTTTTTTCTTCAGAATCCGATTGAACTAAATGCATGTTTTTATAATAAGCATAATGCGTGGGAAACACATGATATATATCTGCTATGTCATGAAAATTAAACAACATAATGGTTATTCTAAAATTTTTGCAAAGCGATTTGATTTCAAGATTAGAAATCTATAAAATATAAATTATAATGTATTATGTAGGTACGTCAAATTGTTGTCGAAACAAACAAAACATTATAGTGTTTTAGATGATTATGTTAATTCAATTTAAGAAAATATATTTATATAATTGGTTTAATGTATATATGAAAAAATTATTATAATGGGGTTCGAGTAAATTACAATTTAAACAAATATTACATAAGAGTTATGAAAATACCGTTAATGTTAGTTTATACAATTTTATAATTTACATGCCTTTAAAATCTCTAAAATGATAAAAATATTAAACATATATAGAAAATATTATTAAAACTCTATGTTTTCTTTTTATACTTATAATAATATTCATTTTCTAAATTTTAAATAAATTTATAATTCATAAGAATAATTTGATGATATTTAGTCATAATGTATATTCAGCAATATGTTAATATGTTAGCAACATTTAGATTACGAATTGAGAAAGTAAAGTTTTATTACTAGGGATAGAATGACCAGGGAGTGAAGATGAAGAAAAAACAGAGATTTAGAAACAAGTATAGTGAAAAGAATATTCTAGAGATTTTTAAAAAAGGAAGACTGTGATGGGCTGGACATGCGTGGAGAAGTGAATACCTGTTACATTAAGAACAGAACGCGATAGGGCAAAGACTTAATGGAAAGACAAAAAATGAGACGGGACGATGTAATTGAAAAGGATATGGAAACTTCAGTAGGTAGACCGAACTGGACGATTTTGGAAGTGAGTGAAGATAATACTCGTATTGTTGGAAAATTGATTGTGAGATCTGATGGTTCTAGAGGTCGATTTAACTTCCCTTCCTTGTAAGTGCTATAAAAAAAAAATCATATCAAATATATAATTATTAATATTATTATACTTAAATGTTTTTAATGTTGGGCAGATGAAATATTACACGTAATAATATTTACGGGCTAATTATTCAAATAAGCAGGTAACCATATTTTAGGTATTATTTGCACATTTATGATTTAACAATTATTAAACATTTATTATCCTACAATGAATATTAGAAAAACTATGAATTATTAAAAATGTCATGTTTTAGATTCTGAGGGGATCTATACGATTGTTGTATTTTTTATTTACTTTCTTACAGTATTATCGCCAAAACTTTTGAGTTACTTTTGAGCTTTTAAGGAATTTTAATTTTTGGGAGTTTTTGCTGTAATTCGGTTATAAACACACGTAGAGACCTGTAACTTGGTAATAATACTTATATTGAACTTACCTAGACGTGGGAAAATTTCCTAAATCGTCGGACGACATTTTTTATTTTTTTTATAAGAGTTGAAATCAAATTGAAACAAAAATCGCAAAAAAAATTACAGCACTTCAAATTTTGTATTACCGAACTGCGCTCAGAATTATCTTTCGTCAAGCAATGGTTTATTGTTGCTTATTAATATAAATGAAGTAATCTTATGTGTTCTACCTTCTCAACTTCCCACCTACAACAGTGGCTGCACCCGTCTCCAATATCAGCTCTTTTTTTTTTTTATGAAATTACTGAACGCGGATATTATATTTTATTTCATTAGGTATATTAGATATCATCCAAAAGTACTATAGCCATTGAAATACTTTTCAAGCCTATGCAATTTTTAAAATATTACGATGATAAAATCAATTTTTACTAATTATAACATATTTAAATAGATAATCGAATTGTTACATATTGTAATTGTGTAATATGATTTTAATAATTGAAAAATAAATAATAGGTTATGTTATAATGTTATTAATTGTGCATGATTTGTGTATATTTAGTTATCTAAGAACAAAATTATAAGGAGTAAACAAATCTGTTTCTTAGTTTTTGTTTTAATTTTCAGAATATAAACATTGGAAAATTGTTGTTCTTTATTGTTCATTTAACCGTTATATGATATAACCGATTTTAATAATTATTTAAATATAATATATATAACCAACGGGTCCTAGACTAAATTGGATCATGAAAAGTGACATATTATGTGAGTTTTAAACTAAGCCAGGTGTTACACTATTATAGTGCTTGGATGTGCGATAAACCAAAATTTTAGCAACGTGTCAAAGTTCCAGCCACGGATCCAGGGATTTAGTGTGCTTTAAAGTTTATGTATACCTATTAAACCTATAGAAATATAGATGTAAACTTTTTAAGTACCTACTAAACTATCTAATACCATACGTATAGTGGTTAAAAAATTAATTTTGTTTATAGTTGTTTAAAATTGTTTGATGTACTTAATAAATTATTTAGTAAAATAATAATTGTACTACAGAATTTTATTTTGATTTCTTAAGAATAGTAAAGACAGAAAATTGATTATATTTTTAAAACGAGTGATATTATTTATTTGTAAGAAAAATAATAACAAAAACGTGAAAGATATTGGGTTTCGCTTATAAGTACTATGGGTATAGCTATATATACTATATCTATTCTATTGTACGGGTGAAAAACGATTTACAAGAGAATGATGTCGACAATCTACGTCGTTTTTTATTTTAAGGTTTTGAAATGGTTTTTGAGCGTAGGCGACTCGTGTATGTTCGTGTACAGTGTAGGTAGGACGGTGTGGTGGTTATACTGGGAGGCGGTGGAGGGGTTAAGGAGCGGACCGATACCTGTTGTTCGATCGGAGATCATGCCGTGATTTCAAATTTCGACGATGAGAGAACGCAAATAATATAAGCACAAAGCACATAATATAATATAAGTACATACAACGGCGGAGGACATATGTGAAACAAGTGTAAATAAAACGATACTGTGGTGAGGTCACGACGGTGTAGAGTTAATATATAAGGGATGACGGTGAAAATTTTTCATGTAAAAAAAAAAAAACAAAATAAAAAAAAAGAATCAATGGATAAGTTACCATAAAATAAAACTGCTGAGACTTTAAGAGTACCTAAACCACTTGGCACTCTGTGCTGAAGGGGTTGCATATAAGTAAATTTCAAGGAAATCATTGAAAATGTATTCAAATAATATGTGTTATATAGATATTGTAAGGGTTGTTTAAAAGTTGGTACCGATTAATAGCGTAGAAATCACCTAAAAGGGGAGGTGGGCATCAATGACCTTTTTTTTTTCGCTCATCTCTAAAATATATTGCTCCAGAGCGGTAAAATTGTAAATACACCACTGAGTTTTATGCTAATTGAATAAATTTTTGATTAACCGAATAATGATATTTGTGAATGTTAAAGTTATTCCTATTGTTAATGTTAATGTTCTTAATTATTATTGTAAACGCAGTACACACTTATTGACTTATTATAGATAAGTAAAAATATGCTACGCTCGGGTCTAATATAAAATAAAACAACTTTTTATTAAGTTATAATAATATTAATATATTTGCTTTTACATTATAAATTATAAGATATAGCAATCTTATTTTCCTAGAGTCTTTCGCAAAGTTATTAAGAATTTCATCTATTATTAAAATTATTTCGTGATGAATATTTAGTAATATTAAACCGTTTAATCTATTTTCTCCAATAATAATGTTTCTAAAATATGTCTTCAGTCTTTAAAATTTAGAAAATTACTTTGAACTGCTTGCTGTAGTTATGAAAAGTGTAGCTAGTATTTGTATAAGTTTATAAGTAGATAAAAAATGAATGGGTTACTTGTTATACGAACTTCCTATGCATTTTTTGACAAAGCGACAACGTTTTAAACTCTCAGCAGTATGATTAAAGCTCAAAATCAATTAACCGTAGTGTGCATTCATTTTTATTTTCGTAGTACGTAATGTGTATAGTGTATTAATGCGTTATTACTTCATTCTGCAATCAAAATTGATATCGATAGGTACATCGTACGTGGCAATATAGTATTACACGACATAAAGCCACTTTCTCACCAAAAAGCTATTACAAATAATTTATATAATAATAATTTCATAGATTAATACTTCTTATTAATTTAATCAATTCTGTGGTATTAAAACTTTAAACATTCTAAAGTTGCCTAAAATAAGTTACGTTAAATTTTATAAATATAAAAAAATTATAAATTTATATAAATTATAAAAACAAATTCTGTATCCTTTTATTTTTTAGGTCAAGAGGGGTTTTGAACCCCTAAAACCCCTATGGCTACGCCACTGGTAACGATACACCATTAATAAATTCGTACACCGTTAATGAATTAATATTTAATTTAATACTGTAGCAGTAGTTTTAATAATATAAGTGAATCCATGTACATAATTTGTAACTTTAAATGATTTTATTAGTTTTTTTTTATTACGCTTTTTGTTAAAATTGTTAGAAATCAAATAAATACAATAATCAATATTTCATGCCTACAATAATTATCAAAAGTGGAATCTGAAATATCGAACTAATTAATTTTTAAATCTATTTTAATTGGTTATTAATGCACTTGTGACAATTAATACCGTTAATTGTATACCAGAACACGTGTTTATAATTTATAAGAACCCAAATTTTAGGAACCAAACGCTTATTAGAGAGAACATATAACATATTAAACTCAAGTAAGAGTACGGAAATAATAACACTCGGAATTAGTGATATGTGCAAAATTAATAATAATTAAAAAAAAACATATCAAGAAATTATTAAATGTTAAAACAACAATAATTTATTTTTGTATTTGTGATATCGATTTTAAGTAAAAACAATGTTGAATTATTGAACTATTCGCCAATATATTAATCTATTCTGTTTTTTTTCCGCGATGAACATTTTACTGGCGTTCCATTTTCTTTTACTAATTTTATTCACTCCTGTACACAGAGTTAAACTCGGTAAATCGTTGGGTCTATTATTTAATGTTCTACATAATTTCTCAAGATTTGTTGGTTTCATTTTGAAAGTACCTCATCCTGGAAATGATTACATTGTCATTAGTGTATATCTGTTGCCAATCAACTAAATCTTTCTTCATTGTTTGACCGCAGACATAAGGCCAACATAAAATGTGTTAACGGTGTACTGTTTGATATGACGATTCTCCATCTATCTCATTTTTATTTATTTTTGAAGTTCTCCTCGATATATCTTCTAAACTATTTCATTTTGTATCCCAATTTGTTTATTTATTTCGTATGGTAACATTAATAACATTAATAAATAATATATGATTACAAATTTACAAATTTAGAGTTAGTGAAATTTTTATGATAAGTTTACTGTAACAATATAAAAAAAAAAATAAATATTAATATTAGTCAAAATATAAATTAAACATAACACAACAAAAAAAAATTATAATAATGAATATATAGTTATAATTAACAGATTACCATAGGCTAATTCTTGAATTCATTTAAATGCATCGGTATTCGCTGCACATGACTTGAATAAATTTCCTCTCTGGAAAATCTATCGTAATATGGTATATTGTTTGGTTGTTAAAATTACAGTTACATGCAGGGATTTAAACCCCATTTGAACATCATGGCATCGCACCATCCTAGACCAGTATGGATTCTGTTGAGTACGGACCATACACTCCGTAGATCCATACCTTGTACACTCTAATTTGGGTAGGTCACAAGATCGCTATTTATAATTTTGCAATATGTAACACCAACTGTATTTCGAATGAGTCAGTTCGTAGGTTAATGGAGTCGACCAATCGGGACACCTCTTTTTTTGCGGAAATGTATATCCTTCACGTGTAAATGTATTTAATTTAAATTCTAAATTATTTCTGTAAAAAAGGTTTGCCCGTATATAGATATAATAGTAATATAAGAAATATAATTTTTTGAATTTGTTTTCGTCAGAATCGTTTTGCTATTATGTTATCGTAATAGTGTATGTAGAAAACGTAGTCACACGATTTTAGGATGCTCGGGATGGTTGCGGCGGTGTTGCGTTCGACGAGGGGAGGTAAAAATGGGAAATGTCGAAAGTCCGAGGAGAACGAGGCGCCACCGTGGAATTTGCACGGCCGTTCTACGCCGCCGCCGACCGTTAAACCATCGGTTGCGTTTTCGCCGAAAAATCACACGGTCGCGCGCCGGCAGTGTTAGGTCGAAACCGCCCCGTAGTAGTCACACGCGTGGCGACCGATACCAAACCATCACCTATTCAAGACGATGTGCCACAAAAAGGTAATTTTTGGTTTTTTTTTTATAATTTTTTTTATGTAGGTAGATATATATTATGTATACGCAAAGTTAGAGGCTAGTATCTATACAATTAAAAAGCCAAAAGTTAAATTATACAAGCTACAATTATTTTTTGATAACTTTTAACTTAACTATAGTTAAACAAAAATGTATCGTTATACAGAATAAATTAGTTGCCTAATACCTGTTTATTTTAAAAATAAATTTTATCCTAATTTAGTTATTTAATTATTAAAATTCAAGTTATTTCTAAAAAGTTAATTAAGATTTTTTTCATATAAAAATAGTATATCTATGCATTGTTTGACCAAAATTACGAATATTCATGAATTACGTTATATTATACAAAAAGTCAAGGGCTTTATATTTTAACTGAACATAAAAATAATGAACGACCACAAGTGTATTTAAATTGTGATTTTTATGTAGTATATTCAAAAAGCATATTTTTCAACTCTTATCGAGCATGTAGGACGTAAGTACGAACATTTGCGTAGTTTTCTTTTGGTTGCTACTGATCACACTTAGCAGGAGCAGATAGGCTCACCGGAACACCAAGGATTTTTCCAGTGGGCTACCTGGTTTTTTTAACATAGTAGGCCGTGATGATGGTTGATTTTCTCCCGGGCTAACATTAATATTCATCTATCCTCCCTTGATACTTGGTGGTAATTTATGTATACGTTTTATGAGCAATTTTATTAATTTAAGATATTTCCTACTATAAGTATCTGCTATGATTAAATTTAAACAATTATCAAGGTTTTTCATTTAATAACGTAATTCAGTAGTTTAATCACTTTTAAATATTTGATTGTTCGTTATTTATTCACAAAATAGTATTATTGTTTATATTATGTGAGCCGGATTAAAAAAATCGCTACATTTAGATGAATTCAGAAAATCTACACTTTCATGACAATAAATAATCAGAATTAGTAAATAATTATTTTTGTTTTTGTTTTTGTTTTTTTTTTTTTGTCAATTTTGCCAATCACAAGACGTTATAGAACGTTCGTTTAATATATGATGTACCTATGAAAAAAAAAATTTAACTAAATATCTATGTATCTATAAATTAATATATAAAGCTGAAAAGTTTTTATGTTTGAAAGCGTTAACCTTAGAAACTATTGGTTCGACTTGAAAAATATGATTGGATTAGATGGCTCGCTTATTAAGGAAGGCTATAGGTTACTTTTTATTTCAAAATTCAGCCTCTAGAGGGTTATTGGCGCAAAGATTATGGTAGTATTGGAAAGAAAATTGAATTATTTGTGTTGATTTATGGGTAACTTTGAACAAAAAGACAGTTATTATTAGTTAATTTGGGTGTCACGGGCAAAAAAGTACCCTTTAAAATAAATAAATTATCGGGCAACAACGATTAACTGTGATAAGTACGGGGTGGAAACGGGAGGAAAAAACTTGAGAATGGAAAATGCCTATGAATAGCTTAAAAATCATTTATAAAAGGCTAATATAAGTGTTCAGTGAAAATTTTAGATTCCTGCAATTATTTCTAACCGAGTTACAGCAAAAACAAAACACAATTCATTATAGGTACCTAATGAAACCGTTATTTTAATTAAACTCCTGTTTTTCTCCTAGATTGCCCAATTATTTTAAAACTCCACGGAAATTACTACGCTTGAAATTTGGAATAAGATTTCTGGAAGATAACAAAAATTGAAAAAATTAAAATTTTGAAATCGTAACGTAAATATATGAGGTTTTTAATATGTTTTTTTTCTCGAGTTTTTCTCAATTATTACAAAAAAAACTTGAAAAATCAAAAAATAGCCAGGTAATAGTACACCAACTAGATCCAATAAAACATTTCTTTGTTATTTTTTATTGAAACAAGATTCATAGTAGAAAATTTGAATACAGATTTAAAAAAAGAGACATACCTTAGTTAAACCAATATATTTCTCGCTCTATTCAGAATTTAAAACCAATAATATTATAGAAAACAGTATTTACTATCTCTAGTGTTCCGATCACCTGCTAAAACGTTCCAAAACTGTGATAACATAATACATATAATGAATTTATGAATATTAGTGTTACTGACTAAATTTGTATACTGTTTTATACATACTTGTTGTACACATATGAATAATTCCTAAATATAGCTTGTATGCTGTTTGAAGATACGACATAGTGAATGCATACTAGCAAAGGTAACGAATTGTACGTACACGAGTTTGTAAGTATGCGTGTGGTATACATTTTAAAAAATATTGCCCCTGGTCACAATAGTGATTGTTTTCCTTATTATTCTTTATTATATTATATCAAAACTAAGATAATAACACTATTTTTCGATCAAAAAGTACAAAATACGTTTATGAGTGTGTTAAAAGTAATTTTTTCATTTGAGCTTGACTTAAGTTATTTTTTTCTAACAATTAGTAATTTAATTGAGTCAATAAGTTAATAAAATTAAATTATATTTTAAAATTAACTTTAACTTAGTTCAATAATTATTATATATATATCTTTTGATAACTTGATTTAAAGTATTTAAAATTTAAAATTGTTTTACTTTTTCGGTTTTGTGAATATATATGTTGAAACCATTTATATAAGGGGTTGTGTGTACGCAATTTTTGTGAAATTTTTTTATAGACAGATCATATTAGGTATAAAAAATTTGTGTTTAATGGGGAAAATTGTGTACTATCAGTTTAATGTTAAAGTGAATTGAACTATTTTTAAACATAAGAACATTATCTGTCATGTTAGTGTATAGGTTTTTCGGGTTATTTTAATTTATAAGCAATATATAATTATTTTAAATTCATGATATTTTAAAATAATGTAGATATTATTATTAATATACCTACATAATTATTGTTGTACATTTTTTTTTTGTAACTTTTATAGTTTATATGATTAATTTTTTTATAAATGTTGTACTTGTTAAACCAAGTAAAATTTAAAAATACTATTGCACCGTTTCAAATTTATATTTTTCATACATAGAATACAATATACAGTTGTTATTATAAGAATTTAATTTGATTATCTTATTATATTTACTAAAAAACGAAACGAACTTAAGTTTATAGTAGGTATAGATTATAACCTATGAAACTATTTATATCTTTAACTATAAAAAAGTATTTTAGTAGTATTTAAGGTGTCGCGTGGAGGAAATTTTCAAAAAATGTAAATTTCTAAAAAATATTCGAACTAGAGTTCGTAGTTACGTATAATTTGCATAGGTTTTATTTATACAATCATGAGATACACTAAAATGTTTGCGAAAAATCATAACACTCAGATAGTATGTTATTCGAAGATTATAATATACAGTTAATTACATAATAGCCTATAACTTTATTTAAGAAACTTTATGCGGGCAACTTTATTTTAATGTTCTCGATATCACTGTTATTAAAAAGTATAAAAATATAATGCAATTATCAGTTGTTTAAACAATATTAATTATTTTTGTTTTTATGATCACGAAATAATAAAACTACGTTACATAACGCAACTTTATTTTGTGATTAGTTTTCTGAATAATAATTAATACTATAACAACGATTATTGGCATACCATATTAAGTGGATGTGTAAAATAGTATTTGACTTTTCAGTGATTTGGATACTTGGTTACAAAATGGATAATTTTGATCAAATTAGCCGCAGATACTGTATGTGTATTTATAATTTTATTGATAAATTTGATTGGTTTAAACTTCTAATGCATTTACCGGGGACGATTTTTAGTTTTCAATTGTTGTGGAGTGTTGGTTTTCATACAAATTGATAAAACCTATGTGTACATGCTACTGCCACTGCATATATGCCGTAGGCTTTTCAATTTAAGGACGGGGGTAAATATAATACATATTGACACACGATTTATAGGCGAAAAATCTTTTAATTATTTATTAATCTTCCAAAGTGTAATATGTGTGTTAAATATAAAATATAAATATTGTAAATAATTGAAATTAGTATAGTATATTTCAGTGGAATAGTAGGTATCTGAAATATGTAAAAAAGAAAAGACATTTAGGTTTTTATATTGAAATATGTTCATGAAAACTATGGAAACTTATTCGCAATTTTATGTAGAAGCGGTTATTAACAAAAGACACAAGGGGAAGGGGTGAGAAAAAATAATATTTTGCATATATATTATACATACAATGTACATTATAAACAAGTGACATGTCGTGTTATGTGATAATGGAATTTACGTAGAGGTACGTAATTTTTATCGAAAAACTAATGCAATAAAGTTTTTTTTACAAATAATTCTAGTATAACTTATATGTAATTTAATTTTAACGAAATAACTACCTGAGTTATATTTATATTCTATTTTTATTAACTTAATATGTCAAAAGTTATCCAAAAAGAATTTTTAACTACCTATACTGACTGTTCCAGTTTTGAATAATTCAATGAACACTTTTTTTTCAGAAAATGAATCGGGAAATTCATTTGATTTTGATTTTCTCTTGTTTTTAAATGTTTTTTTTCATGCATTGTTTGTTTGCTGTAAAACTTCGTTCTTCTTACCATACTGTAACCACTGAACCGCATAAAAGTGGCCGACCAATGTCGTCGAGATATTTATTGTAAAACCCAACGACTTTACTGCTTTTCGAATGCTCTTTTCTATTATTGCAGTGAAAAAAAAAGAGGTCCTTTTAGTTTTAATTTAAAAATTGCGACCATTTTTATGTAGGTACAAAATCAAATTATAATACAAAATCGAATTATAATCAATTGTGAAAAGAATTGATTTTTTTTTGTTGAATAGATCTATTTAAATGACATAAAAAAAATTTAATTGATGAAAAAATTAATCTGTAGAAAAACATTAAATTATTAAGATAATTTAAAAATTAAATGGTATAAAATAAATAATATATTAAAAATAAAATAGCGATGATTAATTCATAAATGTAAAACTACATTTTTTTAGTTAATCTCTATTAGAAGGGTCTTTTTCGCTAAACATTTTTTCACAAGAGTTAAGCCCTTCAAAAAATTAAAACTAGATTATATATTTTTATGTTTTAGATGATAAAATAAAACGTAGTAGTATTAGAATTCAGGGTTACGGCTGTTATGAGTATCTGTTTTTGAATTTTTATGAAATACTTAATTTATTTTAATTTGTATAAAATAATGATACATTTTCAATATAATAGGTTTTTGTATAAAAAAATATATTTTGTGTATTTGCTTTATGTATATATATATATACTTATGTATATTGTATGTACACATATATGCATTAATAATAAATATTATAAAATACCCACAAAAATATAATTTCTTTTTAGGCTCTAAGTTACTAGGTATTTTTAAAATAATTGTTCTGAATTAAAGATTTCTATTTCGCTTAAGTCACTATATTGTACATTTATTATACAAATACTAGAATATTGATCAGTTATTTGAGATTCACAAACAGTCGATACGTATACATTAAATCGTGTCCAACGGAAATGTATATCTTTTCCGAGTTTTAAGTTAAATGTCCCCTGTTCGCCTCGGGATTATGATATTGTTTTCCATATCCTTAATATATCGTAGACATGTTTTAAATATTTTATCTATCCAAAAACTTATCTCTGGTTTTATTGATTGTTTCATTGATCTTCTTTCTCTCAATCACTTAAAAGTACCAACCTGGAACACTTGTTTCCAATTCCAATTTTTTATTCCTTTTCATTTTGAAAATTATCATATTAATGAGCTCTTATACTGCATAATAATATTTGATGATGATGATCTCTATTTTGTTTAAACATTTTAGATTTTGAGTAGAGTGAGGAATGTATTGGTTTTACAATGATGTTTTTTTTAAATTTTATTTTTTTATCTGTGACAAATTTTCTACCAACAATTTCGCTCTGATTTACAATGAAAGCACTATTTCTGAAAAGAAACTGACTGGAATGGTACTTTAGGAAGACCATTTTCGTATAGATATTCATTAAATTTTTCGTTTACCTTTTTGTATTTATCCCAATAGTATTTATCTTATATAAGCTAATTTGTGCATTGCTTACTTTTATGAAGTTTTTCATAAATAAATACTGAGTTATATTTAGTAAAATGTTTAATTAATACAATTAACTATGGTCAAAATTAATAAGTGCACGTGATATGCCACATAATGACATTGTACATACATTTTTGTAAATTTACTTGTATGGTTCCATATTAATATTAATATTGCTCCATTTTTCAAGTGTAGAATCTTATCTGAAATTATATCTAGTTTGTGGATTAGGGTGGTAATATTCTTTGTAGTCTTCTTAATAATTAAGAAAAAACCTATAGAAAAAAACGAAAATATGAACTAACGACAATAACAATTTCATTATTTTCGATTATGTTATTTTTTGATGTTTTTTTGTTAAAAATAATCAGATATTTTAAATTTTTACAAAATATTAATACTAGCCCTTTTCAGACGTGGTAAAATTATTGCGGTGTTTGATAATTTTTTGTGAAAATTAAATATTATTAAAATGTCACCAATATATATATATATTTTAATGAATAAATAAAATAAAATATTTTATATTTTAGGTTTGATCGTTGAAACATCATGACAAAACAAACAGAAAATTGCATTAACGTAATTTAACTTTGGAAACAATTAACAAGTTTTAACATTTTAAAGGTATGTTCATTGTATTTCAAATATTACCAAGTATATATTAGGTATAATTATATGTTAAATAAACACAATAAGAAGTTAGCTTAGGTCAATAGTTAAGTAATTTAAAATAACATATATGTTTTTGTTATGTTTAAACTTTGAAGTTGAAATGATTGTTTTTCTTTACATACGGAATAATATATTCTATTTCATAGTTACAAAAGTGATAATGTTCCAATGTATGAGTTTTTTTATCCGAAATCTGATAACAATTTACAATAGAGAATACAATACAATAGTTATAAGTAATCTGAACGTTTTCATTGGCATAGGCAACTAAATTAACTTTACAAATATAATTATTTATATAATGCTATTCAAGATGATCAACATAACAAAAGACACCTAATCTTATCTCGAAATGTACTAAATATTTCCGGAATTTGATTTTTAGAAAATTTAACTATGAAGTAGTTCCAAAATGTTGTATTTTTAATATTTTTTGTCGTCCCCATTTTTGGAAAAGAAACCAGTACTCATTTTTAGTTTACAATTACCAATCTAAATTAGAAATTCTGTAAGTTAAGTAATTAAATATATTTTTGTATCGATCCCGTTAAAGGAAATTGAAATTAGTAATATTCCTATTCTCAAGAACTATTTTAATTTTAAGTAAGCATATAATAAACTGTAGAGTAGGCTTAAATTTAGTATAGTATTTAAGGGTTTGCATATAGGCAGTTTTAATTATATTTTTGAAAAAATGGAAATTTATTAACTCAGAAATATTCTAATTAACTTTCGAATAAATTTACAAGTAGTCTCCTACCGTGTCATTATCTTGATTATTTATTGTGTAATCATGAAATAAACTAATAAATCTTAAAAGGAAAACATTTAGTTTCACGGGGGCATTTAATACGTTGGCTATTTAAGAAACCAAAATATTTTTATCATAAAAAAATAGAGACATTTACCGTTTGTGATATATTTTCGATAAATCTAATTTTCGAAAAAATGTATTTAAGCTTAAAATAAAATTAACAGGTATTTTAACAATAATAATTTTTTTTATATACGTGCAAATAACCCCCAAAAAATAAAACAACTACGTTGCGCATCGCAATTGTCTTTTTTATGATGAAAATTTGTTATAGAACTATACTATACTTCTTTCGAGTGATTCTTATCCACTCGAAACGGTTTTTATAATAAGTAATAATAAAATAATAATTATTAAACTATTATAATTATTATTATTACTATTATTTACACTATTAAAATTTCACAATAGAACACATTTAGTTTGCTGAAGGTTCCACCTATTTGTTTTCATTCTATTCTGACACGATCAAAACTAAAAATGAATACGGGTAAAATAATAATAATACTAATTGGTCCGAGCAACGCCGGGCGCGGAACAGCTAATGATATATAAACTAAAATCATATAAAACTATTGATTATTAAATATGTAAATGACGAATAATAATAATTTATATTTATCAATTTTTAATTTATAATAAATTATATTTTTTATTAACATTTCAATCCAAATAATCTTAGGAAAAAAATGTGAAACTATGTGCAAGTTTACATTTCAAAAAGTGTTATATTGCATATGAGGTATTTAGTTTATGATAAGTTATATTTCTGAATAATGGATATTTTGATGATAATTTACTAGATTGTCTTTTATATAAGTTTTTAATTTGTATATACTATCATTAAATATTAGATACAAAAAAAAAAAAAATGTGTTTATCAAAATTATTTTATAATTGGTAATATTTAGTAAATTATTGCCAATGATCAATATAAAATGTACTATTAATTTAATAATTTTTTTAATTTAATGGTATAACAACCATGTGTGCTTATTTTTTGTTCTTTTGTATTTGTAAATAATTTTTCTACAAAAAAAAATTGATCCATTTAAAAAAAAATTTTTTATAAAAAAAAATTAAAAATACTAAGATATCTTTTACTTTATTAGTTTTATTTTACATCTAGCTTCATTGGAAGGTCATTTTTTTGATTTTCTGGTCAGTTTCCAAAATAATTGAGAAAATTGGAAAAACGAATAAATGTATATTTATATTTACGTTAACAATTTAATTATTTTAAATTGTTTAAATTTTTGTTTTCTATTACAAATCTTGTTCCAAATATTCCCAAATTACCTTAAAGATACAAGAAAGTTGTTTTTTGATTTTATGTTGAACAGAGATAAGCTTGCTTCTTACAATGTATATTGTAGAAAGACACGAACAAATTAGTTTAAAAAATAATTGTCACTGGTTATATTCAAGTTCTAATTATATTTTTAAAATCCAATTTTCAAAGCGTTTGTTAGAAATCTTCCTATTTCAAAAAAATAAAATAAAATATGTTTACCTTACGGGGAATGAGTATTTTTCCTTTTAAGTATGTTTTTGAAAAAAAAAAAAAACATATAGTACGAAGGCTCTTAATTGTAGATTTCTGATATTTTGGAAGATCATTTATCTAAAATTTTCATTCTTTTAATAGGCGATTTTTTGCTTTTTAGGGCTGTTTATTATCGAACGGATTATAAATATTTTACTAACACCTATTATATTTTAGATTTGTTACACAGATATAATTTATAATGATTATCACATTACAAAGAGTTATATTATACCTAATCCTATTGGCTAATATATTAGTGAATTTGTAATACATTTAGAAAGATATTTTCTGAGAAATTCCTTAGAACCATTTTGTAATTATTTATATACTAGGTACTAAAGTTTGACAGGTTAAAACGGACTTACATATTTAGCACATTGTTAAGAGTGATTTATGCGCATTACAAACTCACTTAAAACTTAATATGTTTCAGTTTCAATAATTATTTAAAAAAAGGGGTTGTAATATTATTAAAAACAAATTATAGATAATTATTAAATCGAAATTTTTTAATTAGTTATGTTTATATAAAGTAATTACGTTATATTTTTAATTTTATTTGGTTTTATGTTGATACAATAATCGATCAACAATGTTTGGAAATTTATTATACATTTTACTTAGTTGTCAATTAAACAATTTAAGCTTAATGTAGTATATGTTTAATTTTTTTACCTATCTAATATTATTACTAATTTCAAATTTTAAAGACAATTTTAAAAACAATGATATTTTAAAATTTGTTTAATCGAATTTCGCAATGATTTATCATTGCATACAGAAATAAATTAAAGAGCTCGATGTTTAGAGCATAGAGTAATATAGAGAGGCCGTTCTGTTTATCGCCAATGTTCATAAATTGAGGCGTAAACTGTATGTATTTTACAGTGTTGATTTTAGATTTTATTGATGATAAAAATATCGTACAAAAAAATTGTAAAACTGGTTGTCTGTTATACTTTTAATAGTTTATTATTTGAATTGTGAGGGCTATTGTCTACTATAAAAAAATTAGTTTAAATTATTTCTATTTTTTTTTTTTAAATCTCAGTAAAAAAAATAAATTGCCTAGCTGTATGATTTGTGGAAAAACAAGTAACACAAACCCTATAACTGCTAATTTCACTTTTCACAGGTATGGTTAAGATTTTAGAGATATAGTTCAATAGGTAACTTATTTAATTATGATGGCAATTTTAGATTTTCATCCAAAGAAATCATAAAACGTAAATGAAATGACTTTTTAATTAAAAACTGTTTGAATCTTAATAGCGTAACCAAAATAAGTATGGTTTGTACTCTTCACTTTGCTCATTCATATTTTGTTACAAATAAAAGTAAAAGATTATTGCATAATCATGCATTTCCATCTATTGTTGTTGACCAAAACAAATATGTAAGTGTACTTTTTTAATATTTAAAAAGTATATTAGTAAAGTATGGAAGTATTTATAATATGTTTGTATTATATAATGTAAATTACACTAAAAGTAAACAATTCGTAACATGATATTATTTGTGCATTAACAATGGATGAAATGGCTATACGCCAACATTTGGAATATGATAAAAGTACTGGTAAATATTATGGTCGAGGGGATATGGAGAGTGAAATTAATAATGATAGTTTAGGTATTGCTAAGGAATGTTTAGTTTTCTTAGTAGTTTCAGTAAATAAAAATTGAAAATTGAAACAAAAGTCTTAAGATATTTTTTATATAATTCTACCATATTCAAATCAATATTTAAAGTAGTGAATCTCAAAATTCATTAATAAATCATATAACTTTATTAAAAAAATCTATAACTTTCTCTTACACAAATTTAAAAACAGATTATACATTAAAAATACAAAATAAAACACCATCTCTCAGAATGTGGTAAAATAAATTAACTATTTTTTTAAGGAAAATAAACAATTATTATTTAGATTTCATTTTTTTTGTCTTATGTATGTAGGTATTTTATGTTACAGAAATGTTTTTTTGTATATTTATGGGAGAAACATAAAATACTGATCACTCTGTTTAAAGCCTTTAGTCATAAGTTAGTATTAAATAAATTTTAAAATATATCATATAGGTATTATAATGTGTAATTTTTCTTTTTCTGTTATTTATAAATAAAATTTTATCAAACTTCATAATTGGGATTTGATGTAAGTTAAATATTTATTTCAGACCACTGTGCGCCGACGCCGCGTGGTCGTGTACAAACACTAATGGCTGTATGACTGATAGCCTAATCACACGCCAAGAAAACCGGTCATCTGAATTACCACCATTTCATTACTGCGTGACTTCCTACAAAAATACTAAAATCGCAATTAAAAAATGGTGGTTGGTGGTGGAGGGTGAAATATACTTTATGACCTATTTTCATACATACCAAATATACAAAAACATTTTTTTATTAAAATCGGTCGAGCCGTTTCGGAGGAGAGCGACCACAATCACCGTGACACGAGATATTTATGTATTAGAATATATCTCCCGTATATCAGGGGTTGTAGATAGGCAGTTTTTTTAATGTTTGGAAAAATATACAGGGAATATATTTTATAATGAATAATTACATAATTACTATAATAATCACCACATTTGCACAACACAAGCTTATTGCCCCTAGCACCTTTGGTAAGCAATACTATGTACATGGTATTGCAGTTTATTCAAATAATCTGGGATCGTGATAGAAGCCAATTTAAATTTCGAATTTTGATTTTCTATAGTCGATAATAGTGATATAGCGCGTTTTTTTTGGTTGTAGGATATGTTGGATCTTCCCCTATTTTACTAAACTTGTGCAATCGTAGTACAAAATAATATATGGTACCAATTAGAGTTTTACAGTTTAGAGTTTTATTGGTGGTAATACTGTTAAATATTACCATTTTGTGCTTCAATTTTATTTCATTACGGCCTCTCTATATTACTCTATGGTTTAGAGTGGTTACAATGATAAGTAAATGTGATAACATATTTGTACTCCCTGTACAACACATCGTTGTTAGGTTATGCCACTCCACCCGTCAAAATCATAACTATTATGCCTTTTTCCTTTTATAAATTATAAGTCATGTATCAAAATATATATTGTCTTTTTATCGTTTTATTTAAGTTCTATAAGAAAACATTAATTAAAAAAGAAAACACTATCCTACTTTCCCAGCTTCCATCTACAACAGTGGCAAACTCGTCAGATGTATCAGCTCTTTCTTTTTTATTGCATACCTATATAATATTATTATTTTCGTGATTTTGTAAATTGACTACTAGTAAAGTGGAAATCTCATTATCAATTGTCCTGTCATCTGAAAGACTGCCATTGAAACAACGTTGAATTTATTTAATGTAAAATATTCGTTTATTTCTGGATTTGTTTACCCACTACGGTTGTACTGTAGGCGATAACCGGACGGAGATTTTATAGTATTTAGACTATTATAACATTGCCGCTGCGTAGTTTTTGCCCTAAGATGACTATTAATAACTTAATCCTTAAATTGATGACATTATATGGTTTTGTATTCGTTTCGATGACATTTGATAAATAGTTTCCTTCCTGATTGTACAAAAAATGTTATCGAATTAGACAATGAAAAAAATAAAAAATAAAATCAATAAACATTCAGGATGCATGAATGAAAATAAAAAAAAAATGCCAAAGAATTTTTTCAAAGTTTCTGTACGATTTAAAAACAAATAATAAAGTTACGTAGCATTACAAACATATAATTTTTTTTTTTTTATAATAAGCGCAATGTCAGATATTACAAAATTAACATGGCTTTTTAGATTCTGAGTGTATTTTTAACTTAATTAATTATTTTTTTAACAGACTTGAATTATTTTTGTATTAAAGTTTCCTCAGTAAATTTGTATACGTTTTCAGTGATTTTAAATAACTAATAGGTGGTATCATTGAATACATTTTTAATATACCTAGGGTCTATATTATAGTATATTATCAGAATGTGTGGGACTTATATCCTTTAGAAAAAGGACGAAAGGCACCTATTCTATCGAAGTAGGTAGGTATATTAAAAAGGCAATCAGTATTTATCTTACAAAATATATTCCAGCCTCACTATTTTGAAAAGATGAATATTATTATAAGATGAATTATAACTATACAATTTAAATCCCAAATCCTTGTGAATGAGTTCGAAGAGCATAAATAAGATCAATTGATTTACGAATCATGTTTAAGAAGATCACGTTTATTTCACAGAAAGTATCAAATATATGGAATAAAGTTCTATAAAGTAATCTACAGTATATCTACAGATAAATGAATAGTGTCATCATAAAAAAAACTTATGACTAACCTTATATAACATTTTCGTGATTTTTAGAAAAGTCAACCAAATTGACACAAATTTATAAAATTAAAAAAGTAAAAACTACAAAAATTAGATAGTATCAAATAGCTAAAAATAACTGAACAAATGTCAAGCTTATTTTTCACCGAACAACAATAAAAAAAATAAACCGAAATTAATAAAAACCGTAGTTCCGTAAATATTTCCGTTTTTCGTATTAAGAAAATATCAAGAAAAAAAAACACTCGCACAATGCACCAAATTGAAAAAATGTATTACCATTGTAACCAACCCTGATGTTGAGATAATTGGAATTCCGGTTGAAAAGTTGTTCATATAACAATAAAAATAAAATATACATCCTAGTAAAACCAGTATACTGTATAGGTATAATATTATATTAATATAGTTTTATTTTAATTACTACTTTATGGGCTAAAAATCGTAGGCGTGTGAAGACCATGGGTGCGGCATACCTATTTTAATTCTGAAGAAAATTAAGCCAATTTATGATACACAATATACATTAGATAATACACCTATGCTTTTACGTTTATTATTAAATATAAAGTGAGTACTTGAATTGTATCATAATAAAATAAACCGAATAAACAACAATTCAGTTCGTGGCCACCTGTATTGTAAATTAATATACTTTTAAAATTGCGTGTGTATTAATAATAAAATAATAAAAAAAACAACAAAATTATTAAAATGGTTAATACTCGTAAATAAATATAGTAACTAAAAATATAAATATAAATAAAAAATAAATAAATGAATGAATGCGTTGCCTGGAATATTATGATAAATGTATAATACGACCGGTTTCGAATTAAAAATTCATCATCAGATGTATCACAGACAAAATATAAAACGCGACTAAATATAAAAGACGTCCTAAGATAATGGGGTCGACTGCAGCCACTGTTATAGAAAATTTAATGTATATCCGTAAGCAACGATAAACCATTGCTAACGAAAAACCGATTTTGAGCGAAGTTCAATTGATAATGATGCTTTTTCAACAATATATATGTATGTCATATTATGGTAAAATAATTAAATAGACATTGTATATTTTCTTTAATAATATTTGTGTAATATTTTACCGTATTTCCTGCATTTTTCCCGGTTTTCCCATTTCCTCCCCCCCGGTTTTTCACATTTACTCAGAAAACTCTTAGGAAAATCAAAAATGACCTTTTTAAAGTACCTCCCTAGACAAATTTCCTTTTAGAAAAATTACTATCATTGTAAATTAGAGCAAAATTGCTGGTAGAAAAATTTTCTACAGAAAAAAAATCGTTATATTTTACTTATGTGTTTTGTACATTTTTCCGTTTGTCTCCGTTTTTCACGATTTTTGGAATAAATCAAAAAATGACCTCCTCAAGTTACTATGGAGATTAAATTTCCTTTTAGAAAATTAGCTACACTTGATACATCAGAGTAAGATTTTTGGTAAAAAAGTTTGCATAACAAATCGAGGATTATTCGCGATTAAAATAGTTCGAGTGAGCGATGGCTTAGGTCTCTAGGTACACCCAAAATGCATTTGTTTTTTCTTAGTTTAGGTAAAAGTGGAATAAAATGTAAAAAATTTTCTTTTGAAACACGGGTTCGAACTCGTGAACTCTAGGATGAATATAGGTATGTGTAACCTAACTTAACCTAACCATTTAGCTATGACAAACATATTTAAAAGAAGATAATATTTAGTTATTTAACAAAATTTAATATTCGCATAATATCAGAACTTTAAAAAGTTATAATTTTGAAATTTAATCAGTCCGTTCAATTCTGACTTCACTATCGTTCTTAAATCGGCAGTATACATATTTAATTTAATCAAGTGTAATTATAGAAATATCAGTATTCATGTTTAATTTTTCTTTTATAAGAAAGTCTCAATATATAGCAAGGTTATAAGCTGGTGCAGTTTTAAAATTAATTAATGGACGAATCGGATTATCTTGTTAAAATTTCGAATCGCTTAAATTAGGTATAATAGTAAGTAAAATGTAATACTCCTATAATTTTTTTCTGTCTGTAAACAAATTTTCGAAATTAAATCTTGCTCCGATGTATAATATAGAATAATATCTTCTATACATGTTTACTCAGTACATTGTGTATTTTATGAAAAGAGAATTGGTCTAATTAGTGCATTGAAGAGGTCATTTTTTAATTTTCTAAAGAGTTTTTGAAATAATTGGGAAAAACGAAAAAGAAAGTGTATAAGTATAAAACGGCAAATATTGACGGTGTGGCGTAGTGTTACTGTTTTCATAGTTTTTAATTTGTGTACATGATGGTTTCTACCAGAAATATTGTTTCAATAGAAAATAAAAAAAGATCTTTTTTATTAAACTTTTTTTCTAGTTGGAAACTAAGAAAGTAGTTTTTTGATTTTCTTGTAGTTTTTTTAATAATTTAACTAAAACCGAAAATTACGTAGAAAGTACTTTGAGATAGGTAAGTAATTTTTAACTTCAAATTGTTTTACTTTTATTTTTGTTGTACATCAAATGGAAAATCGTAGATTATTGTGGTCTGTAGCATGTTGTAGTTTATGAATTTAAAAAAGAAATTGGTAGAAAAATATTACGGTACATTACCAACTTATTTTAGGTGGTCATTAAAATGTTGAAAATAATTTTAAAATTTTACAAATTTTGAGATAATTTGAAAAACCAGCATTAGGCCCCTGAACAGGTTGATTGACAGTGTCATTATACTATATCATTCATAGTTATTAGTTTTTATATTCTGTATGAGTGTTTTAGCATTTAAATTTCAAACCTTTGAAAGTGATTTCAACTGATGATCCTAAAAGAGATGTTTAGTTAGTGAATACTATGGCATTTATGATTATAAACGTGATTAGTAAATTGACAATAAGTACATATTATTGTTTTATAATTTATAATATAAATATATATTTTAAACCTTGATTTATGGGATTTTTTATATTGTAACCAATAATTATGTTTAATTTTTGAGTATTGAGTATAACTCGTGGTCAAATAATAATTCCAAAAATAATTAAATACATATTGTAAACGTTTTTTTGTTTGTGCATATATTAACAGTATTACACAGAATTAATTCAATTTTCTTTTTACAAAATATTAAATAGTGCGACTATATTATATGTATGTGACAATATGACTATAAATAATTAATAAATACTTAATAATATATAGTTGATAAATATATATAGGACAATAATTACATTTCAAGTTAAACATAAATTAAACAGACACATTTAAAAAAAATAACAAGTTATTATTAAGCAAATAAACTTTCGCTTCTCTATATACTTATTATAATATGTCTATTGTCTATAATTACATGAACGTAACACAAAAAAAAAAAATCATAAATAAAATTGGTTATTTTAAAAATATCCACACGAATTTACACATACAGTTGATAATGATGAATAACACAAGAAATATAACGAGTACGTGTAACGTGGCGTCGATCGTTTTGGTACTGATGCCAATATCAATTAGGAAAAACGTTGATCGGGGTTTCGGTTCGACGATGGGCACCGCTTTGTAGCCCAACCAGCCGACGTCGTCTGATGTGCTCAGCGCGTACACGGGTGAGATGAGACTATCCAGGTCAGCTATGTCACCAAACTTCCGTCCCATTTTGTTTGTAGACCAAGCTCGTTTCGGACCGAACTATTGAGTGCACACCTACGGCAAAAACGAAATGTTTAAATGTGAGAATTGTATACATGTAATAATACGCAGTTCATAATGGTGGTTGAATGGTGTCTGCAGGGATGGGCGAGATTTTTAAAATGAAAGTATTTTAAATACTCGGTTATAGATAATATTTATGTAACAAATATTGCAGTACAAGATACTCGATATTTATATTTTAATTGTTATTTATTTGAATACTCAGTACTCGATACATTAATATTCACACATTAATTACAGTTTTTATACGTGCATATAGAGGAATAGAGGACTAGGTTTTAAGCATGTTCACATTATTTTTGTGGTTAAATTATGTATACATTCTAAATTCTGATTTTTGGATTTTGTGTGTATACTGAAAGACAATATTTTAGAATACTTAGATTTTTCACAGTATTTAAGGTGTATCCTGTGGCAACACCAACTTTAGTTTTTAAATTGAGAACTTACATGTTTTAATGCAAATAATATCATAGAATCAGATTTTTGATAAATGATTTAAAACAAAAAATTGCTTATTCAAACCCAATAAAAGTCCATTATTTTCAGTACTTAAAGAAGAATAACTCAACAACTTTTTATTAAAATTTCGATTTCAAAAATATATCATCATTTCCAGAAATATCATTTGATTGATAATTTGCATTAAAATGTGTAGGTTTTCATTTCAGAAACCAAAGTTGGTATCATTACAGGATATTGTGAAAAATCTAAGTATGTAAAAATATCGTCTTTTATTATACTTAAAAATTTAAAAAAATTATATTTGAATTTGTACATAATTTAACCATAAAATTTAATTTTTCGAAAATCTCAAAAATTATTTTTAATTTTTAATGTAGTTATTGATCTGTCATCAGGGAGAGGAGGAATAACTCTGTTGGTCCTCCTTTCAGGAGCCTATGGGTAATATGATTTAAAATAAGTATTTAGAATCTAGAAACTCGGTAATACATACTATAGATATATTGAATTCAGAATCGTATTATAAGATACAACCATGTTAGAATAAATAAAATATACATTTTAAACAATTTATTGGACCAAAAACAATTATTTTACTGGATTTAAATTTAAATTTAAATTCACGAGGAAATGGAATGCTAAAAAAATTGTTAGTGAAAATCATTTCACGTGGATAAGAACCACTCATGCTTGTGTTTTATATAATTTTAAAAATTACAATTTTACCTACCTAAAAAAGGAATATAATATATTGTGCATCATACGAGAATTTTTTTTTGATAATGGTTCAGTATAAAAAATGTATGACTTCAAACAAGTTATAATTGTTTTAAAATCTGATAGGTTTATGTTTTTTTTTTTAATTCGAATAATTTTTTCCGTATAAAGTTGACCGTTGTGATATGGATAAAAACATTCGTGATATTTGTGCATTTATTTGAATATATGAGTAGGTTTGTATTATTTTTAATTGATAAATATTGTATTTTTTTCAAAACCACTGTTAAAATTGCCTATACTTAATTCACTAAATATCGCACTACGACATCCTCTTAATTATTTTCAATTAGCGTCTTCGTAATACATTTTATATATTATTAATTCACTAATACACATGCGATTTATTTTATTGGTACCAACGTAAATAAATTACTTAATAGGTACATTATGTTTTAAGGCTTTCAAATTAAAATAATACAGTGAATATTGTTAATATTTGATTTTAGACTAATTGTATTTTACAGTTACAAATGGTTAATCCAATATTCCGAGTATGAATCATGTATATAGTAGGTACCTATAATATTAAAGGTAATTTGGTTTTCAAAAGTATTTATTTGTATGATAGATTATAATAAATTGAATACAAACATTAGACTCTTAAAAGTAAATACATCCTATATGAATATTTATGTATCAAATTATGTGGGTACGAAACTAAATATAAAACTACAATGTCGTTTTACACCTATTCACCTCTACCATTATATTAAAAAATGATTTCGATTTATTTTTTTTTTTCATATAAAATATTGATTATAAATTATAAATGTATAACGATGCAATTAATCATTTTTTCACTTTCACACGAATCCTTAATATCTTAGTTTCGTTGATGGCTAAAATGTTTTGGCCCAACATTAACGAATCAATATTAATTCTTTGTTATGGCGGAAATCTCGTACAGCATCTCACAGTTAAATGTCTAAATGTTATCGTTTATTTAATTTATTGTTGAAAACAGTTAACTCTGCAAATAACGGACACTAATAAGTCCTTAAAAAGTGTCTGCTTAGCCATGATGCTTGTTGAAAACTGCAGGTTTTAGAGTTTATATAGCCAAATTCAAGTGTACATATTTCATTGTATTTTGTATATATGACGTGAAATATTGTATTTTAATTACTAAAACATGTAATATATACAATGATAAAACATCATATAATATTATAATTATTATATAACATCACATTATAAATAATTATTTTTTTTTAAAAAACAATAGAATCAATTGTGATCAATCGGTCATATTATAACTTGGGTTTCAGAGGCTCCCAAAAGGAAACCTGCAGAGTGCGCCCCTTAGGTGATTTTCACTGGTTTTCTCTGGTTTTACTATAAGATTTTTATCCGTCACTGGGAAGAAATATATTTGCATTCATAATAGAAAGAGCCTATTCAGGTTAAGATACTTGGATATATCTATTTTATATTCAGGGGCTATTCTTGGCAAGGTCCACGGGGAAAATACAATATAATTTAATTAAACACATCTCGCCTTTTTTCATTAAAATCCGTTAAGGCAGATTATACTGCACATATTTTAATACACATGTATGTATTTAAATGAAATGATGCCATATACCAATATTATATAAATTATATAACTTATTTACTTCAATCACTTATTGCAGCTATTGGTGACGATTTTAGATTCGGAGCGTAGCGAGGGGTTTATTGATTTTACTATGATGTATAATTTCTTTATTTTTTTCGTGTTTGTAAACAACTTTTCGATTAGAAATCTTGCTCCGATGTATAGAGTATAGCACCTTACAGGTATTTGATATTTTTTTGTTATCATATGTATTTTTCTTTGGTAGGTATCTGTTATTAAAATTATATGACTTAAGAGAAATGTTTGAAAATTTAACAAGATATATTATAAGTTTTTCTTAATGGTCTACAAAACAAATCTGAGTTTAATGCATTAGTTTATTTTGATAAGCTTTTTAAGATTAAATTTTGACGAAAATCGTAAGAATTACGGCATTTTAGAATACGTCTTACCGAACTATGTTCCAAATTGACTTTTGTTAGCAACGGTTTATCGTTGCGTACAGATATAAATTAAATAACTTTATGTATATTACTTTCTCTATTTCCCACTTAAAACAATGGCTGTACCCGTCCCCAGAATCAGCTCTAAATTTGTTGTTTTTTACAACATTAGTACAGATTATCCTAATGTCTATACTCACTTGTACCTACCCAATATAGTATAGGATTCTTAAAAGAATGGCAACAAAATTAAGATTTTTAAATTAAAAACCTTTTGAAATATTTTACTATAGGCGATTTATCAACGCCTTCGGTTATTTTTTATTTATTTGGATAAATATTATCACCGAATGTGTCACTATTTAAAAATTCGACAATAATACGTATTCCATGGTAATTTTTTTAGTGAAAATTATTTAAAATGCGACTACATAGTTTAATCCTTCAAACATAGAATGATTGTTACTATAAAACCGTTTTTGAAAATAATAGTAACCTTGTCTATGATGACTTTGTCCATTGAATCGGTTTTACTTGTTTGAAGGTTATTAAAAACTACATTTTTGCCGTATTATTATATTTTATACTATATGTTTACGAACGAATATAAAGTGAAAGATGTTGTCCATGAATTGTTTGCATAACATTTTAATCATATGATATTCCAAAATTTGAATTCAGTACAAATGTATCATTATAAATACTTATACTCTAACAAAAATAAAGAATATAGATGTTATTATAATACATTATATACAGTATGTTGTTTGATAAAGAAATCCACGTGGAGATATTGTTTTTGACATAGTGATATTAATATCTACCTAAATGTGAATTCATTTCGTTTATGAACTGAATTCAAACGAATTCGTCAACAAACTATCGTTGGAAATATTATTTCATAATTATTGCGCTTAATATTTTGTAGGATATATATTATAAATACATTTATAATATAAATAATATGAAATTGTTTCTTCTAGATCGAACGAAAATACAACGATTATGGCGAAACCATTTTTCAACGAGTCGCACTTACCAGGTAAATAAAAATATTGATATTTTTGGTATCTTAACGATTTATTTATAGGTCTGATTATTTTTTTTTGAAAATCATTTTTTTAATTAAATTGGCTAAATTTTAATCTAATATTCTTGCCATTACTTTAAAGTGTCATTCTTTTTTTTTTTCAATCATAGTTTTTAACAGTTTTAATTACACAAATATAGATAGAAAATATAATATGTGTTCTATAGAAATCCATTTAGTTTAAAATTTATAACATTTAAAATTTTTTGAAGATATTAAAGAAAAAAAAATTGTTAAGAAAATTTGCATCACCATTTTTATAAGGAGACACATATTTTCGTTTGTTTTTGTATTTATTTTCATTTTCATTTTTTTTTTTTTTTTTATGAATCTCCAATGTATATTTTTTTAGATCCTTGAAACGTAAATTTTATTAGCTATACTATAATTATGATAATCGTGTTACGGCTATTAACTTTAATACTGAAGAAAAAATTTGAAAATAGGTAAAATTACCATTTTATTAAAGAGGCCTTGGCCCCGATATATTATCATATTATTTTCTATAATACGGTTGAGTTTTTTTTTATCGAGTACAGGGTATATTATCGATTTATTTTATCAAATGTATCAATTATTTTCTGTAATTTACTGGTAATTTTAATTTTAACTTAAAATAATGCACCTCTATTGGATAATGGAATTATAGGGTTAGTGAAATGCGTTCAGCGTTTTTGAGATACTGCCTAGTGCCTACACGATTTAGCTGATATGTCATTGTTTTTTCAAATATACCTCATATTTACACATTTGAAAAAGTACCTGTTTAGTAGCTATAAGGGGTTAAGTTTAATATGATAGTTTTATCAAAAATACTAATGGTAATTAATATGATGGAGTTAAATAGCCTTACAAGTCCGAAAACAAAACATACGCATATAAATTGTCAAAACGTCCAAGTTATGCTATATTAATTATATCCAAGTAGTATATCAGTATGTATTAGATAGGTATAGTGAATAAAACATCTATTAGTAGCAATGCTCTATGACTATAGTCGAATTTTATTCCAGTCAACTTGTTCTCGTTATTAAATATTTAATTTTTTTAAAAAAATTAATTGAATAATTGATCTAAAATAGTTATGGTTTTCAGAGTTTTATTAAATTTTAGTCTGTAAGAGTATTTAAAATTTGGAATTTGCTGTGAAGATATGAAATTTGGGCATACAAATGAATGGGAAGGGATTTGAAAGTTAAAGTCCCTAAAGGCACAGGTTAGGCTTATTTGGTTCAGGAGTTAATAATAGTATTCAAAAGTAGTTGGGAAAAGATATAACAAACACTAAACAGTGACAATTCGACAAAAAGAGTCCTTTATGTGAGAGTTATTAAATATTTTAAATGATTTATCTATGTACAAACATTAAAATTAGTTTATCTTTGAGTACAGATATAAAATTGAATAAACGTATGTATCCTATCTTCCCGACTTACCATTTACAACTGTGGCACAAATTAATTTAATATTATTAAAATAAAATATTTCCCGAGACACTTAAAAATATTACCACCTATAGTACTGCTTGAAAATAGTTTATTATAAATGATAAAACTGTTTTTTAATTCACTGAAATTTAAGTACGATATAAGTAATTTGTAATCTTCTTTGGTTTACAAGTTAAATGTTCCATTCAGTATACACAACGTACCTAACCTTAACCTGTATACTCATCTAATTAGCTTATTAATAAATAAACAAAATCATCTTATATTTAATAACGATTCAATTGGATACTTTATATATCTTCGCAGTAGTATAAACTAAAAAATACTAAATGTTTGATTGTAACAGTATCGTTAAATTATTTAAAATAAATCTTGTTTAGTTTACTAAATATATTTATGTGCAAATATTCATAACATAATAATATTTGAATTACTGAAACAATATTTTTTATCAATCGTTTACTATGTGTGAATCAATTTAAGTTTTTTATTATCTTTATTATAAGTAACTGTAATTACATTAAAAATAAGCAAAGTTTAAAAGTTTTTTTTTATTTTACTTATAATTTATTTTAAGAAATATGTTACACCAAAATTATTGCTGATTTATTAATTTTTGAATCATCGATTTAAAATATATAGTAAGTATAATATTTATATAATCAAAATAATCAATTATGACAATATTTGTTTGTTGTTATGTTTTAAAAAAGCAGATTTATTTGAACGGATCATATTTGAGTAGGTATTATGATTTATTGTCCCACCCATAATTATGATTTCTTTGTTTTCAAAAAACCTAAGTTTCAATTTATCTAAGTTAAGAAATATGTGTATAATACAAACAATACACATTATATTTAATAGAATATCTAATGTAAAATATTGAAAGTTCCACTGAGAGTATTTTGTTACATTTTATAAGTAGCTATGTGCGATGGGTGTTATGATTCTAGAAAAAGGATTCTAGGTGGAGAGTTTGAGTCAAGTTCAGCTATTAGTTGATTAGATACGTGCACAGAAATGTTTGTACTACGTGGAACTCATGATTTTAAGCTAGACCGTGGTTTTTGTAATATTAATCGTTAGTTTTAGTGAAAATTTAGATTATCTATAACGTATTTGGAAATAGGTATCTATAAATATATTCTAGTTATTAATTTTTTATTATTTTTATTTAAAATAAACCTATACAAACCAGAGTATCCAAGTAATGTAAGCTTTTGATAATCACCGATTGGACTGAGAATCAATGGAGGCCTATTTTAAAGCCTAACTTATCGTTTAGTGAAAACCGTATTTCAGAATTCTCAACCATAATATGAGAGATAGAGCTCATATAATATGAGAGATAAAGCTCTTACAGACAGACAGATACAGACAAATTCATAAAGTAGTTTAGATATTATACTATTGGTTGAATTTAATACAGTATACAAGTATTAGACCGTAATGTAAATGTTAAAATGATAAGTATTCGTGTCTCGTATACTGTATATTAGACTATGGTTAAGAGATATATTGTTCAAATGAGACCTTGACGTATAATGAGATCATTACGTGAGTCGATTTTTCGTTACTTTATTTAACTATCCATTTCGAGTAGATATATGTATATAGATACCTAAGATGATATGATATAATTCTAATTTTAAAGACAATTTCGGTTATGCGTATATTTTTTGGCTAATGTTGGGTCATTTATAACTACTTACTACGTAGGTAAATAATTTATTTTTTGGCGTATTCCATATTACGAATTTGTTGATTATTCGGACAAATTGATTACAGGTAGTCGAAGAATTTCGATGAATTTGTTGATAGAGTTAAAAACACAACAATGATTGAAATGACGTTTAAAATATTATTGTTGTCACATTAATTATTATTATGTTGTCATGGCGTAGTCCGTTATTTCGATAAATCGTAGCCTTTTGTCGAGGGATTTAATGAAACGGTGTAAAATAGAAGCCATTTAACTGAGATTTTTAACAGCCCGACGATTTTTTGACTAACATTTTCCAGTTCATTGAAATGTATTATTACGCAAAACATTTTTTTTTTCTATCATATTCATGAATTTCGGTGGCACGTCATTTTCACCGGCGAAAATACATCACGCATCATTATGATTTACGATTAACTTACGATTCTATGAAAAATCAGTGTGAAAAGAACACCGACTATATTTACAAAAATAAATTATTATTTTTGATTACGTTTATCCATACCAATTATATCGAATCTACGGGATTTATATTTATGGTATTATATTATTATGTTTGATTTGACTAGTTTTGAAATGTATTAACAGTGAATGTTTATTCTAGTAATTAAATCGACGAATAAACATGCTCTTTAAATACAATATTCAAGTTTGTATAGGCTTAGAAATTCCCATAAAAATAAAATATGTCATACATTAAACAAACCGTAGACGCATAAGTACATCTATATATAGGTTTCATGTAAACTGAAAACTATATCAATAATTAATTATACGAGTAAATAAGAATAAATTCTTCCCACAGTATATTTGGAAATAACTAAATATTTAGGTAGATATCTGTGGTTTATAATAGTATTTTTATTTATTTATAATTATTACTTTATCAGAATGTCGATAATGCGTTTTTTAAGTTATGCTACAGGTTTTATTTTAAAATTAATTTCAAATCGTCAACTTTTTCAAACTGCATTCAATGGTTTTTATTTTAAGTTTTACTCTAGTTTAATATAGTTTAAAATTGAAATAGTCAAACTACGAGGTGTGGCTATTAAATAACGAGACTGGTTACGAAAAAGTGTATTATTATAAAAGTTATTCTACATTCAAATGCTCCCCTTCAATATACTCCCCTCCCCTCGCCACACACTGTTTCATTCGTTTCTTCCATTGCTCGAGGCAGTGCTGGAAGTCTGTTTTCGTAAGATCATTCAGGAGTTCCGCCGATTTTTGTTTCACCTCTTCTATCGACTCAAACCGGATTCCTTTAAGACTTTATCTTCGGAAACAAGTAAAAGTCGCAGGATGCCAAGTCGGGTGAGTAAGACGCGCGTTCGAGTACTGGAGTGCCGTACATGTATATGTATTTTTTTTTTTTTTTTTGTAGACCTAGCGATTACCTACACAATGATTACGAGTAAAAATCGATTTTGATTTTTTCAAGTAGTTTTAATGTTATGGAACCGTTTTCAACGATCTCATTCTGTACTATTTATAGAATATTTTCGAAATTTCACCGTTATTTTCTGTAAACCCTAAACACGCGTATCAACTTTTGATTTTCAAATACTAACCCACCCCTAATTTAATCGCAGATACGAAAAAAAATACGTATGTGATGAAGAACTACATACATCTATAGGTATTATAACGGTTATACTATAGCCGTGCAAAACATATAATAACATCGGATTATATAGTCTTATGAGTAATTATAAAATTATACAATTTTGACTCACAGAGGAGTAGATAAATGAAGCATACATTTCGTATCCATTATGAAAAAATGTTTACCCTTTCCTACGTCTCTAGTCTAAGGTCACTCTGTATATTATGTAAATATTTTTTTAAACGGACGTTTACCCAGTATTTTGATATTCTGTATTACTTATTGTCAACAACATCATACTCGTATATTTTATACCCTATCTGTTATAGTATTATTTTTCCATAAATTACCTATTAATATTCTCAACTATAATAATAATAATTAATTTTTAACTGTATACATTTATGCAGGTATTTTTTACTACGCGTATCGTAACACGATACATGCAGTAAAAGACGAAATAAATAATTTTTTAGTTTCGAATGAAATTAATGTTGGGAAAATAATAATTTCAATGAACTGTTTGATTGAAATTGATTGTACCTATTAAAATTTCACTTTTATTCATAAACTATACTCGTATAATTAATGCGAATATAAAAAGCTTCTCAACGAAAATATAATATTTCGTATGCTATTATAATCTTTTTTAATTTGTATTATTCTAAACACATAATAATTATGATTTAATTAGATTATAATGTTCTTATTATTCATCTCTTTCGCCTTCATCCCAACTATTTGGATTCAGCCACTGTCGTCCTAAACTTCCACTTGATCCGGTCTCTCACTTCGCATGCATGGCCTCTTATTAATCGTATCCAACCAACGATTTCCCGGTATTTCCCTCCTCTTTTATCCTTCTACGTTTAATTTTCGTTCTGCATACGATTTCTCTCTCCTCATGTCATGCAAAATCTTCTCAGACTATGTTCTTTAATTTTGTCTACTATCAAAGCCACCCCCAAGCTACCTCTTATGTACTCATTCCATTTCCTATCTCCTCTTGTCATTTCAATAATCCACGTAAATATTCCTATCTCTGCTACACTAATTTTCCCTGTTCGAATATAATTGTATTGTATTATAAAAAATACTTTACAATAAAAATGATTGTCTACACACTTATCAACAATACTTCACATAACTATTACGAGTATATCTGTAAACGTTTTTGTTTTTGTTTTTTTTTTTTTATTCGTAATTAGAAAACGATTATTATCCTCGTATAATATCGCCATTTATCATTGAAGTGCATGTTCAGTTTATCTAATCTAACAGTATTTAAGATTATAATATATCGACATTTTTCATATAGAGTACAGTATTATAAATCAAATTAAAATTGCTCATGCTCTTATTTGACCGGACAAATGTAGGGGACTTGGCCCTTTCTGAAACGCGTTATCGATTAGCTTTCAATACGCAACAACTAAATAATATACATAATAATTTATAATGGCTGTATAATAATTATAGTGGCAAACCGTTAAGAATTTAAAGACCTTACAGTTTTGAGAGCGCAATTTTTGACGTAGAACTATTTATGTATACAGTTTTAAGATAAGTCTTCATTTTCTTTTCGTGTCAAGTGCAGAACAATTATTTAAAAAATTGTGTAATAACGGTTCGATTTTGCGTGTGAGCCAGTGGGTTGCCACATCCTTGAATTTGCCGTTTGCTATCGCTAAATCGTTTTTCGTACATCCAAAATCCAGATGGAATTAGTTTGCACCGTAATGGACGGTCTTCAGCTCTTACCCACAGTCGCGAGTCTCAAATTCGTCTTGATACCCTCAATAAACCAAATTTGCCTTTGTTTCGGTCATCCCGGCGCTCAGTCTTTTAAGATTAGTGTTTTCAAGAGTGCCCGTGGTAGAAGTCTCCATTAAAATATATAAATGCATACGACTAAAATAAAAATCGGACGTTCCCTGGAACGATAGCGCTTAACCAACCAGTCAATTGCACTAACCGATTTTTTTTGAGGCGTAATGTACAACCAATTGATAAGATCATCGGATTGTCTCCCCTCTGACGTCTGCATCACCGTGTGTCACTATTGTTTTATCCGACGCTATTAACTATCAAAACTTATTTCGTGTTTTTTTTTTGTTTTTTTTTTTTAACGATTAATTTCAATATTAATAAAATCAAGTGTCCACACAAGTGTGTCGGTTCTTCTGTCCGTCTGTCGGTTTGTTTTTCTTATAAATAATGCTGGGGAAACGGTTGCGACCCCGCCTTCACATTTCGAAATTTGAACGATGCCATTGATTTATGCCGATCTTTTCAAGATGCAGACCGTTTTCTTCGAGGGTACTGGGACAACAGTTGCCATCTAATTTCGACGGTTACGAATTTCACTCTTCACATCACATTTTCCGATTAATGAAAATTCAAAAAAAAAAACGTTCTGTATCAAGAGGCGATAACGTATCGTAAACATTTCCCGACGCGCGAACGGCCGCCAGGCGCCATGGACGTCCCCGGTACAGGGAATCGGCCATCTAGCCGGTATTGTAATATGATATATCTGCGGGCGAACAGCACGTCGTAACTTAACGAAAATGTCCGTAATACGAGATAGCGCTAAACACGGGCTGCCCGCGATTGAACGTAATAAATGATAGGACTTTTTTACCCCGTTCGGTTTACCGTGCACGAGCACCGAAACCACGCGCGGTCGGTAGAAAACGGTATTGTGAATTCGCGATTCGCGTCGTGGCCGCGATGACGACGATATTAATATGCAATTGTTTGTCGCGGAACGCCCGGTAATTTGACCGACGAAATCGCGGCCGGCCGAGCAGCGCAAACCGCACGAAAAACGAATCGCTTCTGCGATACGTCGTTCGCGCGGGTACATTATCGTAATGCGCGCGCGCCGGGACGAATGTTTTTTTTTTTCCGTTTTCGTTTTTCGAAATTCGTATTTCAACGCTACGGAAACCACTCGGACACCGGCAAAACCCCCGACGACCGTTATGAATATCATTCGCCCGGGGTTTTTACGCGGGCGCGCGCGCCGATAAAATGTACGCGCACGCGTCATTATGTTGCGAGACACACGCGCGTATCCCCGCGTACAATTGATATTCGAGTGGGACCGGCGCGCGGACGTCGTCGGCGTAATTATTAACGTTCGCGTTCAAAATGTTAAAATACGTGTACGGTTATTGTTTTACGACCGCGGCACGGCGTCGTAACGTTTCGGCGTCCCGGCCGTTGCGTTACGGCGGCCGCGAACAGAGACGGCCCGCGGCGGAAAAACGAGCGCCGCGAGTGCCGATTTGTTTATATTACGCGCGCGTATTTGTTTTCGACGCGCCGCGCACGGCGGCGCGTACATCGCGGCGGCGTGATAACTGTGGACGGTTTTTTTTTTTCTTTTTTTTTTTTTTAACGGGCGTACCCCGACAATTACGCGCGACGTCGTCATCGCGGCCGAAAATCGAAATACGCGAAATTATCGCGGACGCGGCGGTCCGGACATTTCACGACTTCCTGTACGAACGTACGCGCGCGTTGTTTTTTTATTATTATTATTTTTTTTTTTTTTTCTCGTACATTTCATACGACGAACGGGACACGAATTATAGGAACAGGATCCGCAGACGCACTTGCGGCGTGCGTGCAGTTATTACGGCACTACAACGCGGCGTAGGTACGGTCCTGCTGCCGTTTCGGAAACGTGTGTTTCGCGCGCACGACGCGTGTTTTGTATTTTTTTCGTTGTTCGTTTTCACCCTCCGAAAACTTTTCCTTTTTTTTTTTTTTCTCTCTCCGTCCCGCGCGCGAAAACAACGGTGGACCTATGTAATGTGTATGGGTGAAAACGGGTCAGGATATTATGTATGTAACGTGTAAGGGGCACGACCGAGGGTGTCATCGCCGGATCGGTGATGACGGGAGGGCGACGACGGCGGGTAAGGTAGAAGAGGGTGGCCGGAATGCCGAATATCCAATAAGTGTATACTTATAGGTACCTCGCAGACGACGTCTGGTGGTTAGACCGAGCAGTCCAGGTGTTTGTCTTGCGCGCGCGTTTTATATAATATAATAATACGTAGCGTAATTTTCGAGGCGATTTTTTTTTTTTTCTGTTTGTCTCGTGTCTGGTGCAAACATTTCGATCCAGTAATAACACTGGCTGATGCGACCGGGGCCCATCTGGCCGGTATTTTATTATTATTATTATTATTGTTAAGCACATAATATTATATCGGCGGCGGTGGCGGTCCCCCGACTTTGCACCTGGCAAAACCGTTTGCACGAGGACAGAAACCGTATTTCCTGCTGCTGCTGCTGCTGCTGCGCCATCTCCCTCCCGCTCCCCGCGGATCTTACCAAACGTAATCTAACCTAACCATCGTCGTAAAATAGCATAAATGGTTCAGGAAAAACGCACCCCACGCGACTTCATTGTTCTCGCGTTGGCCTCGTGGACCACCGGAGACAGATGGCGAATATCCACGCGATGCAGTAGCATTACACATAATATTATACAAATAATAGAATCCTGTGCTCGTGCGGAGGAAATATTCCGATCGATTTAATAATGCGCACGGGCCCGGACACGTCTCGGCCGGTGTGTATAATTACCCCGATGGACCGTAACGAAATCCGTCGCAAAAGCTTTTGTCCGGTGTCTCGCACCGTTCGCTACCGAATATCCCGCACCGGTCATCGTATAACAGGGCGGCTATATATTTTAATACGCGCGGTAAATAATGTTGGTTGAATTTGAAAAAAAAAAAAACCGCCCCGTGAGCCGTAGCAGAACTGTAGGCGAATTTTCCGTTCATACGGTTTTATATATTTTGTTTTGTTTAGAAATTGGACAGTTTTCCTTGGGTTTGGTGACTTTAATAATAACTGTTTAGGGTGTTCAAAAGAGAAAAAAAAAAAAAAATATGGCGAAAATCTCGACCGAAACACGATTGTTGTTGATATATAAGTTCTGGACACCAACGCAGTTCGCATACTCACGCAAATTTAAATTCCCCGCTATGGTACCGTTTGTTTGCAAACAAAACTATTATTATTATTTTGTGTGTGTGTGTGTGTGTGTTTTGTAAACGTTAACTCAGAGTAATCTCGGAAATCTCGTTCCGGTCGGGGGGCAAGTGCGGGGGCGATACGCGGCCGTCGATTTTGTTATCATACGAAATTATTATCGATATTAATACAACGCGGTTTTACCGCGAGTCGCGTTCGTTTTTGTCGTTTTCGATCCGGAGTGAACGCGACGACTGTGTAACAATATTATAACAGGCGCAAATCCGCACCGGCCGGTCGCCGGAGACCAACCGGATGACGCGGGATGACGCAGGCGACCAGAATGTGTCGTTTTAAAACAGCGCGCGCGCGTATTACACCGGCGGTATCGCGGACACGTGCGTAATAGTGTTTTGTCGTAACGCAGCGAGCACCGTCGGGCCGAACAGCGCGAGTCGCGCGCGCGTCCGGACGGTCGCATTCTTCGGTCCGTCGTGCAGCGCGTACGGGTTAACGTCGAAAAGGGTTATGGCGACGGAGGAGTGAGAGCGAAAAAATATAAAAAAAAAAACAAAAAATATACACGTACAAAATACGTAATGCGTAATACACGTACAAAATCGTTGTACGCGAATAACGGCGAACGGGGAATTCGCGTGCCCGTTTTTCGTTCGGGACCCGCGCGCGCCGCGGCGGCGGTCGCAGAACCAGAAACGGTCGCGGCGGCCGCTATACCCGCGGTGCGCACGCGGACGTAACGACCGGTCGCGGTCGATTTCGGCGGGGGCACACAATGTGCCCGACGCGAGACGCGGCACCGGACCCGGTACACGGTTTACCATTATGCACGGTCGCGATACAATACCAACATCGCAGGTATACAGATTGTTACGTGGCGCGGTCCGAGGACGCGCCGCGACCGGATACTGTTGATTCGTGATTATTATTATAGCGGGCCACGCTGTGTCGTCAGATTTTTCTCGTCCGTCTGTACCGGGGGAGTCCGTTATTATCATTATCGCCGACGTTCCGGTTTGGGTTTGTCGTGGTTTTTTTTTTTTTCAACTCGCTTTACCGCGCGATTCGTGCTTTTCGCATTGGATTTCGCGCGCGGCGAGGAACGTATCGGTTTTATCGATTCCGACCGAGGAGTGTGTTTTGTTTTTTTTGTTTTTTGTCAACCGGTCCGTTAACGGCTTTTCCACCGGGGACCTCGCTTTAGTCGCGAGACGGCGAGAGCGTTTCAAAGTAATTTTCACAACGACCGAGAATGACCCGTGGACAAAAAAAAAAAAAAACCGGGAAAGTTAATCGTTTCGGTATTTTTAATTTTTTTGTGATTCGGGGTTAAATATAATCGTAAAGACCCGACAATTTCACAAAATACTTGTAATATTACATCGCAACAATAGTACTATCTCTACCAGCGCAAAGTATGTGTGTAGTTCATTCATTTTTATTTTGCAAACAATATTTCAATGTGGTTTGTTAGTTTGAGGTGGGGGCGTGGGCGGTTTAAATCGAACCCCGATTATACCACTATATTGTACTAGATTTTACCACACTGAATTTCCGCAGAGGAAATTTATTAGGATTTGTTCGAGCAAAAATACCTTAATAGGTTCAAAGAAAGAAAACTTTCAGTTATTACACGCATTACCGATTGAGAGTGTGTATGGAAAACAAATTATTTTATACATAATTAAAAATTACACATCCTATCTGAGTGTAGAAAACACAAGAGAGAAAAGGGAAAATCGGTGTTCGATATTAGAATAGATGACAATAAAAAATCTTTTGGTCGAAAATTCGTAAATAATTTAAATTTAATGCCTTTATACATAAAAAAAAAAAAAAAAAAAAACATATTTAATACGATTGGGTATGAAATACTGGCGGACCGCTCTGGGCGTTATTTCGTTTAAAGAGTTTTTCAACGTTTTCCATATACACACATATATATATATATATACGTTAATACAGTAAACATTTTTGCGATAAAAAAATGTTTTTACAGTTAACAGAGATGGTACGTTTTTGGAACGAAACGATAAACGTCAATAAGTTTACAACACGCATATAGACGGGAAATCAAGTGTTTTACAGACACTTAGAGTACTGATGTTTTTATTATTTCTATTTTTTACTTTTATTTTTTTTTTTTTATATACAGTGTGTCTCACAATGTTCGACGGATTTTTCTAGCGCTGTAGATATAAAAATGTTTTCGATTTTTTTTTTTTAATCAAATAAAAATTAAATTTTTATTTTCAGCCCCTTAAATACAAAATAATAAAAACAACTTTATTTAATCACTTTAGAAAATTGTCAAAAAAACTATTTTGTAAAAAATATTATTTTAAAAATTGTAATGTATCACATTCATATCCGATTAATAGTTTCTTAATGATAGCCTTAGTTCTTTATCGCATGACATGTAATTTTTTTGAATATTAATTGTTTTCACGCCTAATTAAAACGGTAAGAAATCATTCATCGGATATGAATGTGATAAATTAAATTCGTTTTGAATAATATTTTTACAAAATGGCTATTTTGAAAATAATTTAAAGTGAACAAATAAAGTTATATATATATATTTTTTTTTTCATATTTAGGGGATGAAAATAAAAATTTGATTTTTCTCGAAATCGAATGTCCCTCTCGATGACGAACCGATTTAAATTAAAAAAAAAAAAATCAAATAAAATAAAATGTAATATCGACAACGCTAGAAAAATCCGCCGAACGTGGTGGGACACACTGTATGTTTATTGTTCGTTTCTGAAGATATAATTCTAATGACCGAGTATCATACAGACTATTTATATTGTCGTGCATACATATGGGTGCGGTGTATTTTTTATTTATTTATTATTATTTTTTTTTTTTTCTCTTTCGTTCAATACAATAATATAATATTGTCCTTTTCGATTTCAATTGATATGCTACTTGATTTATGGCGGAACTCGCGGACCCGGGCGTAACAGCCACTAAAACTCGATATCATCGTCGTACAACAATGCCACGGAGGAATTTTCGTGGAATCCGTATCTGGTATATTGTAACACCTAAATCTGCAGCGCGCAAACCCTGTACAACAACATCGTTTATTTTCATGGAAATTTCACGCGTTGTTTAGCGTTTGATATTTTCGTTTTGCGCGGCCCCCACTTATCGCGTCGACTGCGCACGATCGAGGGGTTCGATCGGCACGGTCCGCCCCGCGCGCACGCCGTCCCACGGTACCGTACGGCGGCGACGCGCACTGTTCGCCGTCACCGCGACGACGTTTCTCCGCGTGCGCGCCGGGGGGGGGGGGGGGGGTGGTGGGAGGGTGCGAGCGGAATTCTCGAAATTTCGTTCTGCGGTTCGCGACAATCCCGAACGCGCCCGCGGCCTAACCGCCGTCCTCGACGGGGACGGCTTGGCGGCGGGGTGCGCGCGACGCGGAACGAGCGGAAAACAGAATGGGTTTTCGCATCGCCGGCCGTGCGCGCGTGGCCCGGTCGACGGACCGTCGCGGACGAGACGGTTTCGAGTGCACGTACGCGCGTACGGTACGGAGACCGGTGCTCCCGCGCGGCGCGCGCGCACAACAGTCGACGGGTAACGGTACTCTTACCGCCGGTGTATTATTTCTATACGATTCCGATAGCGTCCGACGAGACGGGCGCGGGGTGAGAGTGTTTTTTTTTTTTTCGGGGGGAGGATTTTAGGTGCGCGCGGATACACAAAAGTGTAGTGCGGCGGGTGGCGGAGAGGGGCGGGGGACCGGTTGCACGCGGTCGCGGCCGACATTTATGTTATTCCGTGTGGATTTTACCGCGCCGTCGATAATTCCGAACAAAAGTGAACGTAGAGGTGTTCACACGCGCTCGTACATTTTGCAGCTCGCGTCGCGGGATAAGGGGACGAACGCGCAAGGGCAAGCCGCGGTCTTATTGCGACGGCCGTATTACTCTTATCGTTATTGTTATTACTGTTATTATCATCATCGTCGTCCTGTGTACCGACGAGGAATCCGCTCGCTCCCGACAATCGCACGCGGTTTACGATTCGCGGAGACGATCTTATAAACAAAGCAGCGTAATAGACTCTGCGCGCACAAGCCGCGAACGACGTTCGTTCGGGCGTGGGTCCGAAACGTCGAGATGTTTCGCACGGACTACAGGGACTACAATAATTATCGGCGAAAACACCGATCGTATATTATTATTAGGTACAAGTGGTGTTGTAAAATGCTCGAGAATAATTTTTCGGGGAATATTCTCCGGACATATTCGATCGTTTGTATTTTTTTCCATAGGTTATTCATTTCGACACAAAAATTTAATTGCAATATGCGAAATTATTACGATGAAACCCCCTGTGAAGCTTCAGAAACGCTGCGGTTGGGAAAAAAATGGATAAAACGAAACGGACGGGAACGGAGACATAACAAAGAAATGTTAGATTTTGTGAACGAGAAGAGATTTTCGCTAAGCGATTTAGCGTCAAGACGATGGTGTATAAATAGAGGTCATACGCTGAGACACAACAAAGAACTCCACAGCATGTTGGAATGTACGGTCGAAGGGTAGCGCGGAAGGGGAAGGCCAAGTACGTCTTACATAACACGTTCTCCTGACGTAGTCGAGTAATTAAAGATGCGAGAGTCGGTCCGTATAAACAACTCGAAAATATAGCGCGAGGTACAGAATCAAGGTGAGAATGTTTATTGTAGATCAATCTACTGATTGAATACTAAAAAAAAAAAAATAGCTGCATAATATCAATATCAAATAGTGTATATTTATATATTTTGAATTTACATAATACATAAATATATGTATGAATATTATGTGCGTATAAACTGAATAAAACTGAATCTACCCGTCAGTATGTAATAGGTATAGTTTGTTTTTGAAGGATTTCTATGTAGAACTTTGCTATTGTTTTATTTTACAAATGATTTTTTCGTAGGTTTTTTTTCTGTAGTGCTTCAAAATACCTGCACCCGTTCTAAATTCTAATTTCGTAGCATGTAATATTATAGAAAACGTGCATATCGCGTCTTGCTTGTAGCGATTTTTTTTTTTTTTTTTTATCTTTATTGACATTTTTTTTTATTCTTCCATCAAAATCGTGACAGAAAATTGTATCACCGCGTTATTACTAACTATAATAAAAAATAAACCGAAGCGACACAGTGTGTTCGCGTTTTCAATTAACACGAAATATGTCGACCAAATAACTTTGGATCGAAATTCAAGAAGTTGATAAAAATACTTAGGATCAATTTCCAATTTTTCACCCTGTCCGTATTGCGCATGTGTAATACAAATAATCTTTTTTGAATAATTAAAATTGAACATTTAAAATACATGACTTTAAAAGTGAAGAAATTTGACTACTGTTTAATGGTAAAAAATTATACGTGAATATATTGTGTAAAATTATACGTTAACACAAACCGATTAACCTACGTCTTAAAATAACTGGTGATAGTGTTTGTGGATGTGTCACTGCTATATGTAGAAAGTTGAGAAGGTAGGATTCGCAGAGCTATTTAATTTATCTGTACTGCGACTGTTCCTAACGAAATATAATTCTGAGCGAAATTTGGTTAAACATGTTTTGAAATACCGTGATTATTCTGTACAAGTTTATAATAATTTCTGTTTACAGATCTAGAGCGCAGATTTATATTCCCTTAAATAACCAAAAAAAATAATGTTTGTGTATGCATATATTCTATTCAACATTCGAAGATATGCTTGTAATAAATGTTTTTATACATTTATAAAAAATGTAAAAACATGCTCTTTTTATTAATATATTTGTTCAATATTAAAATGAGCACTTATTTTAATATTTAACCAATTAAATTAACAAACAATTTTATTTATTTATTTTAGATTCGTATACATATTACATAGGTTTAGTAGATACATACTATGAATCGTGCACGTATGTTACTCTCGTAGTTTTGCACAGATCCAATAAAAACACGTTTATACATAAAAACCCGCATTACACTTTTCACTAAAACACACATATTTTATACATTACACTCTAATATTATAATATAATTCTTTTGAGTTTCACCGTGTATCGGAAAATGAACACGGATATATTACTGAAACTCGTTTCACATCAATTTTATTGCGCTGCTATTTTGTCTTGTTTAAATATTTATTAAAATATTTGTGTGCAGAATGTAAACATTTGCTACCATTTATTTTACCGAAAACTCCGTTACGAAATAAATAAACAACAATAGGCAATAAATAAATACATGAGTATGAATTCTGTTTCTATATTTCCATAGCAACAGCAACACATAAAAATAAAAATCGCACAGTTGTTAAATACAAAAAAAGGTATAGTTAAAAGTATATTAAACTGTTTCCATCGAAAAACCTAATCAGCTGTTAGACTTGAGGTTTATCTGGAATCATTTTCATCGGTTGTAATCGACAGTTTTGCGACACTTTCGGGGCGAGGAAGATGTGTTAGGTAAAAGTGTGATGAGCGGAGGGAAAAAACAAGGAATGGGTAGTAGAAGAAATTATTGAGGGAAATAAGAAATAGAAGTAGAGGGATGATATAGTGTAGGAAAGGACGGGGAAAGTGTTTGAACAAGGGGGGTGGGGAAGGAGAAGGTAAATTGTGAAATTTACGCAGATTCGAATCGGTCATATATCGTCTTCTACGCCCCAAAACATATCCATAACGATTCTATATGCCATTCCGCGAACCGGAGAAAATAATAAATTGTTTTTTATTTGCTTACTTAATTAATTTTAATAATATAATATATAGTTGCAACACCTATAGCACCTAACTAGGTTACGCATTAAAAATTAACCAATTATATTGTTCGTTTTTCTATTAAGTGTGTAACGGATCCGTACTGAGGAAAGTGCAGACGATAAATTATAAATATTATGACGTTCTTTAAAAATACGCGTTTATTTTCAAGTTTTAATTGGTAGGTACGCAACTTTGGTATGATATTTAATTTGAAATAATTTGCATGTCTAAAAACAATCGTGGTTTTTTTTTTTTTTTTTTTGATTATGTAATTACAATAATAAATTTAATATCTATTCTTTGTTATAAGGCGTGTCCACTGCGGGTAAGGTCAAATAAACCGTAAGGAAATTAATCGTGTAGTTTTATTGTTTAATGAATTATCGCGTTTAGTTTTTCGGATTTTTTTTGTTTGATTTTTTTTTTAAACAACGGTTTTTTTCGAAATTTCACATTAGGAGATCGCCGCAGTAATATTTTTTGTCTAGTGACGTCTTTCTAGAGAAAACGCGGAAGAAATTTATCCGCCATAAATCGAAAGGTTAAAAAAGTCGAAATATTTTTTCGAGAAAAGTAAATCTAAGAAAAAGACGGACGAATATAACGGGTGATCTACTGTTGTAGGTGAAAAATTGGGAAGGTAGGATATAGAGGGAAATTTAATGTATATCTGTACGAAACGATTAATCACTGCTAACGAAAAGCGACTCTGAGTAGATTTCGGTTATACATGTTTTGAAAGGACGTAATGTTTACAATTTTCGATAAAATTTGATATTAAAATTTTTGTAAAAAAAATTCTAACTATACTAATTTTTTTTTCTTTCTAACCATTAAGTACGATTTATAATGATCCCCCGGTTAAATTTCCAAGCATTTCTGTTTGGTCTAACAATTTTACGTACAGAGTATACCTACCGAATACAAATTACGTAAAAAAATCCACAGAATTTAAATGTCTATAGATAGCTCGAAAATGGCTCAAATAATTTAAACACTGAACCGTTTAGATAATAAAAAAAATTGTCCGCTTAAAGTACCACACAGAAAAGGTTGTCTTTCAGAAAAGGCACTACATTTGAAAATCGGAGCAAGATTTCTGGTAGAAAAGTTGTTTACAGATAAAAAAAAATAAACATTTTTGTAAAACCAATACATTCCTCGCTTCTCTTAGGATCGAAGATATTTAAAAACGATGAACAGCGAGCATACTGTTAGTAGTAAACTAATAAACGTCCGTGAGATAGTGCCGCGTAAATCTAATAAAATATGTGTGTTTATACATTTGCGCATTCAATTTTTAACGTGATATTATAATTAATATCTTCATTATATATATAAAGATAATGTTACCTAGACTTTGTGGTCGAATTTTGACAGCAAGGAAACACAAATATTAAAAGTAAATATATTATATTATAAATAATAATATTTTGGTTACCGTTCGTACACAAACTTGATATACACTATAAGTTAGCATTCCGCTGTCGCCGTGGAATAATTTGCCAAATCTTTTTCCGACCAATGTAATATTAAATGATATCGTATTATCGTAATATTTTTATGTAAATAAAATTTAAATCTTGAAAACAAAATTTATGTATACATATATACATATATATATATAATATTAATACCTATTCAACGAAAAAACTGAATTTTTATGTTGGTAACTTTAAATTTTTTTTTTTTTTATAATTTCTATTTCAATACTGTTACAGTACAAGTTCTACGAAAAAGTTCCTAAAATCAATCGCTTCGCTTAGAATCTAAAAAAAATAAACACATTGACAGATTTAAAAATATGGAACTTTAGGAAACCGAATAAAATAACATTAAAGCAACTTATATAGATATTTTATTTTAATCGTCCTTGAGCATTTTAGAAATCGTAGCCAATTTGATTTTTTTCAGCTTCGCCCAAGGTTACAATACAGCAGCGCATTTAGATTTAATGTTTTTTTTTTTTTTTTTTTTTTTTTTTTTTTAATCGCAAAGATCTCTTCGTACGTGTTTTACGGAAAAAGATCGCGGCCATTTTTGTGTTTATAATTCGCAGAAAAGTACTAAAGTTAAATATAACGATTATTTTTGGCCGATAAATTTGAGTGTTAAAAAGCATGAAAGGCGTGGACAAAAAATATTACTTATATACATATATAACTTTATAAACGATACACGTGCAAGATGTTCTGTTAGTTTTGTAAAATCCTGTATGTAAAAGATTTGCAATGTGTTGTACTCGTAATTGTACACACTCGCGAATATTAATTTACTTAATTGGACACGCTTGAAATATTTTAAAACCGTAGAAAAATCATACGCGTAAAACTTCCAAACGGCATACACTTTTAATACGATAAAAGTGTTTGAATTTATAATGGTCGATAAACTAACTCACATATGTTTAGTATGCGTTAATTATATTTGTAGAGTAAAAAAAAAATTATAAAAATAGTAAAACGTAAAACTTTTACAGCCTTTATATTATGTATAATTTTTTGTCGATATCCTATTACGCAGATATACTTTTCTTCTCGTCTTCAATCTTTTGTTTGGTTTGCTGCAGTTCACCATGCTTCTCTATAGTAACTCAACTTATTTAGCTCTTTTTATAACTAATTTCATCTATGATTTAATTCGTGTACTCTAGCCTTGGCCTTCGCCTTCCGGTAAGATATTCTACGTCGCCTCCAATGAGTTATGGTTGAATTTTGAAAACTTTGTCATTTTGACGCTTATTAACCGAAGCTATTGTATATTATAAATAGAGTTTTTGCACGTG